CGATCCATCCACCGTACCTAATATTTATACAATTGAATGCTACGGTCGTTACCCTCGGACAACTACGAGCCCCAAAAACCGAATTCTCGAACCGACCTCACCTTCACTTGCCACATGGACTATGCCCGACACGCCCGAGCCGGATGTCTCTCATGCTGTCCAACCTTGTCCCACCATGCCATTTCCCTCTTGTAAGTCGGAGTGCATCACCGGGGACGCAATAAACGCCGTTCATGACGATGGAGATGTGCAACGCGACTTGGGGACATGGAATGATGGTGCTCAGACCACTGCCATTGAACATTTGGTCACACTCAAACAGGGTTTGCGGGCGTCCCACACCGAGCTGTTCTGGAAACGGCTTATGGAGGACATGACATCTATAACCAAAGCCCAGTATGGGTTTGTTGCTCGGAGGGTGCACGGGAGTGAGCCGATGCCAGAACTAGGCGGGCGGCGCCCGTCGCTTTTTGGTGCGGCTTTCTACTACAACGATGGTTATCAGACCGTTGGTTTGCAGCGAAACAGGTATTTCGCGGGCGGGAACCCCTTACTGCATATGGACCACGAGCGGCCTTGTTTGATCCCCGAGAATCTCAGCTCACTTGTATCGTTCGGCGATGATAATTTACCATTCGCCGCTGATGGTTATTTGGCGATTCCCCTCTTTTCGGCTGGAAAGTGCCTGGCGCATCTCGGGTTGATGTGGTCCAAAGATGGTCTTCGGCATAGAAACCTGTCCTGGTCCTTCCTGGAAATGATTCTCCACTCGCTCGAAGACCTGATTGTACAACGACTAGTCCCAGGGGAACAAATCCTAGATGCAGTGTTAGATTCCCCAACGACAAATACGTCCGACTTCCACAATCCCCAGACTGCCGCCTTCCATGAAGCCGCTGATTTCAACTCCCACCCCCTCAAACCCTACGCCCGAAGCTTGTCCCATGAGCTGAGGACCCCAATGCAGGGTGTGGTGGGAATGCTTGATGTCATGCACGCTACAGTGCGCGAGGCGATGGAGAGTAAAGCCCCTGTCAAATCGGGAGGGATTTTTCAATCTCTCAAGGAGGGGATTGAGATGGTTCAAGATAGCGCGAGACGTGCTGTTGAAGCCGCCGACAATGTCGTTCATGCATACGAGCTCAACATGCAAGTCCCCAAAACACCACTCCGGGAGGAGCCCGATATACTGGGTGGTCTCGCAGTCCCAACTACTATACCCGAAACCCGCCCGAGCATCTTTTTTGAAGGAAAGAATATCGCTGTGAATCCGTACAAACGGCGGCGGAGCCTACCACCAGACATGAATACCCGACCAGTACGCAAGCAAAGACTCCGTGCGGCTTCGTCGCGGCAAGAGCTTTCGCCCCGCAGCGAAGAAGTCAAGAATGCTGTCCACGAAAGCGACCAGATCGTACATGCTATCCCAGTTCGCCAGTTTGAGGCTGTGATGGCTAACATGGTTGATCCACGCCCGTCTCTCGCAGCTCGACGATCCGCACCTCACTTACTCCTCGAGGGCATCAATGTGAACCTGAGGGGTTCTGCTTTGCGTTTTACCAAATTGCGAGATCTTCTGCGCTTGGTAATCAACGAGTCTCTTCACGTTGGTGGCCGACCGGATTCTGCTGTTAGCAATGCCACCGAGTTTGGTGAAAGGATTGAGATTCGGTCGCGGTCCTCGAATGGGGAATTGTTCACCCAGGTTGTGGACTGGTCTGTAGACCCTTCATTACCCGAGACCCTTCTTGCCGATGACCGTGATCTGGCCAAACTAATCTCGTGCGTCTTCCTAAATGCAATTAAATTTACCAACAACGGCACCATCACTGTTTGCGCAACTATTGACCCCAAGAGGAATGATGTCCTTATTCTTGTCCGCGATACCGGCCCGGGTATCCCCGCTGCATTCCTACCCAACCTTTTCAAGCCATTTGCTCGTGAGGATGCATCGACCACAAGAAGTAAAGATGGCCTGGGTCTCGGTCTCCTCGTGGCCAAGGGCCTTTCTCGCAAAATGGGCGGTGACTTGACATGTGTGCGTTCGTCGACTTCCGGTCCTACGCGTGGTACAGAGTTTCGAATTCGAGTCCCAGTAAACCAACGTGAAACTGAACTCCGCCCTGCCACTCCCAGTGAGAGTGTTTCGACGCCATCTACCTGTACCACCGACCAAACACGACAGGGCAGTGTCAGCAGCCTTCTGTCTGATCCCTCTTCCTCTAATTCCCCATTTATCCTTCCCCAAAACTGTCAGCTGCAACAGCCGACACCGTGTACCACCGACGAAAACATGTCTCAAAGCCCAACACCTTTGCGACCCTCCTCACAAACCCGTTTCCATCGAACGCGTATCTCCGGCGATGCATATGACAAGAAGCTTGGAGAGAAATATCCACTGCGCTTTCTCGTTGCCGAAGACAATCGAATCAACCGGCGCGTATTGGTGAACATGCTACGCAAACTTGGCTACCGCGACGTACTTGAAGCGGCCGATGGCAGAGAAGCCGTCCAGATCGTTGAAGGCATTCTCTCTGCGTCAAAGCCTTCCACTGTCCTTGACATTGGTCTCGATCCAGAACATGCGATGCAAGGTGTCATCAACCAGCCACCTCTGGCTGCAAGAATGAAACCGATTGATGTCGTCTTGATGGACCTCTGGATGCCTGAAATGGACGGATATGAAGCCACTTCACGAATCCTCCAGATGGTTGACAACCATCGGAACCAAAATATTGCCTTTGAGCGACCGAACCCCAACAGCCCTGACTCCATGGAAATGGATCCAATTCCGAACTCTTTTTGTACGCCGCCACCTCCCACAGTTCTTGCTGTGAGTGCCGATGTTAGTGACGAGGCATTGAATCGCGCCTCCAGAGTGGGAATCAAAGGCTATATGACGAAGCCATACAAACTCTCTGACCTCGAACGGTTGATTCTCGAATTCTGCGGTGGTAATCCCAACCCCATCGTCTAAATTCTAGTATAACTACTAGACCCATCGTCTGAACCTGATGTTGCTTTCTTCTTTGATTTCCATGTCCAGACCACTATATACCCACTGGATGTGGATCTTTTCTCCATGTACAATTCCCCCAGTTGCTTTTTTTTTCTTTGGCCCAGGGGCCTATTTAGGGCATGCATTGAGTCAGCGGCCTTCATTTTCAACTGCCATATACCATCATCGTTTTGTTACCACCCTTTATGTCTATTATTCCCATTTTGGACACAATGATTGATGATACATCACTAGCGATCGCTGCACATATAGTCATTTAATGAGCATGTTACATTCTGAGACTTGACTCCTAGCTGTAATCTTTCCGCTCTGGGCAGCCTATAACTGAACCTACACCAGCAATTCAATCCAGTAGCTTTGATCATTAAATGTTATATATAGAATAGTTTACAAATTAAAGGAGTTTCTTTCCTCCATCATCTCCCTGGTAGTATGTAATTCCAAGAATCTGACCTACTAGCGTCATTTGCTGTATCTGACACTCATTTCTCTCTGATTTATAAAGCACCAACGCACACACTGCTAAGTCATTGATTAGCCCATACTTACATATTTATATTTTGAGAGCAACACATTTCAAGTCCCGTGGAACTGACTTAATTCTAATATACTTCGGAACAACGATTACCCTGTGGGCCCGTTGTTGTGGCAACTGAATTTAGCTGGCGGTCAGAGTAGGCAGTATATCGCTGTTTGTTGGATGCCTGAGGCCACAATGGACAACCTTGGAAGCATCTCACTAGATAGTCAGCTAGCTCTCTCTCTTCCTTTGTCTCTTCTTCTCTCTCTCCGTGAGGGCTTTGCTCGGAATGAATCACAGTCTTTCTCCATTTTACCTTGCACAGCGTTTCGTTTCTGTTTCCTTCGTTTGTGACTGACGATTTCCTACTATCCAGCAATGGCCCATGTACAAGGTATCCATGTCTCTAGGTCTTCATGCTAGCTGTGTCGACAAGCTCCAATTCCTGGAACGGAAATCCTTGGTAGGTCATTTCCCTTCCCTACTTTTGCTCGTCTAATTCAGTTCATAGACTTGAGTCAAAACAAGCTTTTAGTTCCAGAGTGCATATCTGAATGCTTTCTCTGCCATAGCAGGCCATATCCACGTGTTTGGTTTCATGCACTGTGCTATGGTCTTCTAGTGAGCAGTTATGAGCCAGCAGAAAAACCTTCCTTCGAATTTAGGGAGGTTTGCTGATGCCATCAGGCCTTCTTATGAATGCCCAAATGAAAAGCGTGGAGAAATCGCGACTACCCTGGAAGGGTTGGTTAGTGAACACACGAGAAGAATCACTCAACCTGTTTTCAGACCGGATTTATTTGTGCGGTTACCAGTGGAGATAGGATTAATGATCGCTGACCTCATTACCCCATGTTGGTATTTGAACGTGCTTAGCGAAAGTCGTCGTCTGCTTGAACAATCCAGGAGTCATCACGAACCCTGGTATATTCAGCTCAAGCTTACGCAAAGTATCTGGATACTGAAAACGATTTACCGAGGTATCCATTATGTGTCACGGCTGAGCGACACACCACTGATACCGACAGCTACTACAAGTGTATACCGTATGAACGTTCCTGATACGATTGTCAAATTGTTGTGTCGCTTGACTCTATTGGATTACGTGGAATACAATTGCTGGATAATAACTCAAACCCCAAACCTGACGGCTCGCCATGGTACGAGATTTTCGACCTGAAGGGACCTGCTAAAGAGATCCAAGTGCGCTCTGGTGCATGAATAACGGATATTCAATGATTGAATAATTGCTAACATGGTCAGGGTCTTTTCGCTCGAAGTATTCAGCTTATTCCAAATGATTTGTCTTTGGACTCTCCACCCAATTGCTTTTGGAGCTCTCCATTCCCGCCAAAATTCCACCCATGGAACGTTTATAACGCCCGCAGCAAGCCTCGGTTAGACCATTTGTCACTCGATGTCCATATTAAAGGTCTTCTTGTCTGTTGCGCCAATTCCGCGATGATCGGTATCCACGGGTTTTCGGGAATATCGACAGAATTCAAGCAGTTTGTCAGTCTGATGGCTCAACGCGTGACTATGAGCCCTAAGCAGTGGATCTACTTTCCGTTAAATCTACAAGAGTCCATTACAGCAGCTTGGGTTCGGAAGTACAAAGCCTGTCGTGGGCCGGCTTTAAATCCAGTATTAGTTGTAAGTCCCGCCTATCTTGTTTTGCTTCAATGAATGACCGGAAAAAGCTGCAAACATCCTTCGGAAGAAACATAACATTTGGGCCTCAATGTCCAATTCATATCATCAATGGATATATCACCTATATGAATGGCTTCCCCTGATCAAGAATGGCGATGGCCCTGTCTCGGGTGTCTTCCATGACACACTTGACCCAGAGTACGATCATGTTACTGACTTTGGAGTTACCTGCAATGACTCAAGCCAGGGTGGAGCCTTAGATCTGCTACGCATGGACACCCGTCTTGAGCCGCAGCAGTTCCTCCGGGCCGAGGGGTAGCAAACACCTGGTATATGACAAAAGCTTCACTCAATGGCCTCATCAGAATCCAAATCTACAGGGACCAGCACAAACCACACCATCCGATATTGGGTCTTCTTCTATTTTTCAGTGATGAGCATGTTGAATCTCTCGGACAGTTTCGGTGGGAGTGCGATACAAGCCAGGAGATCCTCCAACCTACGTACGTTGAAAAAGCTACCGTTGGTAGAAGGGATTACATCAAGGACATCCGCGGTGGCACAGATGACTCTGGGATTGATTTAATGACAGGGCAATGGCAAAGACTGCCAAGAGCTGGCAGTATCGTATGGTGGTTTCGTGATGTTGGTGACGTGATAACCATACGTGATAAATGATGTGATTGATTTACTGTCACAACGAGTAATGTCAGGCTGAAAATAATATTCAATTGATTCAATCATACCACCTGGAACAAACAACATAGTATACTTCCAATGCTCTATTCAGAGAGTTGACGGCAAAGCTCTCATCATTTGGACAGCTTGTTTGATCAGCTGAGCCTCTGAGAAGTGTACCTCGACGTACTGAGTACGTTCAGCCAACGCCTTGAAGCCGAATAGAGGGAATAGGTGATGGTCATCTCGAGCACATCGCCATCCTCTAACCTTCGTTCCGAATGATATAAAGGTGTAAACATATTGCAAGGCGGGGTGCTCTCCAAGATACCTCATACAAGCATCAAATGCCTGTCCCTCGGCCTCTTCAACATCTTGAGGCCCCGCATTCGGTGGCTCTACTTTATGGAAAGCAAGCACCGTAAGGCCTTTGTCTTCACCCAGATATTCGATGATAATATCCCCGAGCTGACGGCCACTGCCCTCAGGAGGTCTCTCTTGGGACACAACCCAGTCCTTCGCCGAGAAGAGGTGCTTGTTCCACAACTGGAACCAGAGCCTCACCGATACCCGTTCGCTGGAAGATTGTACCTGGGCCTTCTCCCAGAGTCCCATGAGGGTAACATCGGTGATAAGTGAAATTCTCTTGTAACTTTTAGCTATGACACAAATGCTGTCTTCACCATCATTACGTACCAGAGTCAGGATTCTATTTCGTGCAGCAGAGTGTGTACTTGGTCACAAGTCGACTAGGTGGGACTGCCTCTGCTCCCGGTTGAAGTGCTGGCCAAGAAGGACGGTATATAGAAGTCTCCCAATAGGGTAGTTCACTTAAGGGATCGGGTTCGAAATTGACAATCTGTTTTGAGAGGATTCCGAGATTGAGAAATGACGAACCTTTATACCTCGATGGCAGAATCTTGTTAATGCACAATGGAATCATCACATTGGCGAGCGAAGATCAAATGGCCTGCCCGTCACATCGCATGCACCTGAACTCATCTCACGGCCAATCAATTAAGCCAGTCTAAGAAAAGGCCATATTTCCAAGCTTAATGTGGGACGAACAACAATTAAAGGACTTACTTGAGGCACCGCTACTGCCAATCAAAAAATCATCATAGCCGCTGGCAAATTCTATTGTCACCTTGCCAAGATGCTCGATGTCGATCTTTGAGGCTCATCGGTATCGCGAGCGCTTACTGAAACCGAGTGCGGAATGACTCGACTGCAGCCTTCGACATGAGGGTACTCGTATTCCCAGCTGTATCATCCGTATATTTAGTGCAACGATTAACTGAGTTCCTCAATCTCGAGATCAGCCATGTAAATATATCCCACATGGCTCTCCAGCGTTTCAGGGTATCCCCTCTGGGTTAGGTAGGCCATATGCGATGTTGACCCCAGTGACTGTAGTTGGCGTGGGCAAATTTCGTTTTTAATGGTCTACGAGGCACAAGGGAATAGAAGAAAAGATATCATTACATCCATTATCAAGATCGACATCTGACCATGCTCCAAGCACTCCGCACCCTTTTTTGTCGAAACACTGGCCGTGTGGCCGAACGAGTTCACAAAGGGACCTCCAGAAGTCGAAATGCCTCCGACCAGAATTTAAAGATCCACTGTTCGCCAGAGAAACAGCGTAACAACGCACGTAAGCACCAATCATCAATATTCACGTAAACCGGCGTGCGTGACCACAGCAGTGGAAGGAAGATGCAAGGCATAAGAAACAAGATATGCTGTAGGGAATAAGACAACGCGGCATCTAAGTCAACTTCTGCTTGATGAAGAATGACCGCAGGTGGGAGAGCTGCCAGGCGCATGCGGCGGACAAAACGGCGAGCTGGATCAGAGTCCAGCGCACGACACGCGAGTTGGTGGTCTCAGACTGGTCACGGAACTCAGACTCACGTTCCTGAAAAAAGCAAAACGTTAGTATGTCCGCTTCAACCATCCACAGAGACATTAGCTATAGATTGGATATTGGGTAATCCTTACCCGCTGGTACACCTGCTCACGACGAATATCCTGCAACCGGCTGTTCAGATCCTTGACCCGCTGCACGATATCCTTGATCTTGTCCTTGTCCTCAGTCTCGATCTTGCTGGTCTCACCAATGGCAAGGTCGACGGTGACCTTGACGGCGCCTGGGGAGTTGGACAACCAGCCCGACGAGGCATCCGTCTCAGGTGTGAAGCAGATTTTGTGCTGGCCAGCATCCGCGGCAGAGAAGTGGAATCGACCAGAGTGGCTGTTCCGCTTGGACACGACGCGGTGGTCATTGTCAAAGGTCTCGTCGACGGTGATGAGCATCTTCAAGTTATGGTCGATCACGTAGTTGCCGCTCTGGGGGTTGATGACTTCCGTCTCGAAACGGCCTATTTATGGTTTAACAATATATTAGTTTAAAAGTCCATCGCGAAGGCTCTGGAGATTGGCGCATACCGGCCACTAGAGTATCCTTAGGTAGGTCCTCGAAGAAGCACTTTGTTTGCCGGCCCTCCATGTAGAAGTACAGGGCATTCGTTGGGAGGAGGAGAGAAAAGAAGGAGAGGAGAGTCAATGCTGACGCCAGCCATGACGAGGATGTCCCGGTGAAAGCCATGATGAGGAAATGGGCAATTGGATAGTCGCACGGCCAAGTTCTACTCTCCGTGAAGGTGTCAACATCAGGGACCGTGGCACCTCACCGCCTACCATCTCTGGAATGCCTCCCTTTCCACCGGGAAGCCTCTGTCGATGTGATCTTCAATTTCGACATTCACTAGTCTTTATTTCATCAAACAAATTCTGCTTTTATCTCTCTGTGGCCGTTTAATAAATCTTTAATCGTCGAAGACCGAAGAAATCCCCCTTCGTGCCGTGTCTAGGCAGATCACTCCGATCGAACCGTCAATATGGCCGCGGCCGATGTTCGCGACATGCTGGATTTGCCCGCAGAAGGGCAACCCAGACCACACAAGAAGCAGAAGGTGGTCGAAAAGCGACCAGGTAGGTGTAATGCGCTCTATTATGAATGGCATAGATTACTGACAGTTTCCCGTTGCAGAGGGCATTACCCGTGAATTGTACGCGCTACTGGGCGAAAGGGCGCCACCAATCGCCATTAATGAGAACAAGTACAAGGGCCGTCCAAAATGGATGAACAAGCTGCGCGTTCGACCATGGTATGTTGAAGACGCGGCTATCTGGAGATCCCGAATGCATACTGATATTGGATCCTATATAGGAGCATGACACCGTTCACGAACAATGCCCGTTCGGACGGCCTGGTTTTGAACCACTGGCAGAGAAAACACGAGTCGGCGCGACCACCTGTTCCCGCACCTGCACCCGCACCCTCAGAATCCCAGATGGAAGTGGATCAGCCCAAGCAAGAAGAGAAAGAGGACGTACCGAAACTGCCAGAGCAGGAATATGCCTTCGCCAAGTACAACGTCAAACCGCGCTTGCCCCGTCGGTACACAGACGACGAGTACAATCGACATCTTCAAAGTGATGACTGGTCGCGCGAGGAAACAGATTATTTGGTGGATCTCGTCACGGAATACGACATTCGCTGGGTGCTGATCGCAGATCGTTATGACTACCAACCACGAATGGACACACAGCCGGATGCGAATGCCCTTGTTCCTGCGAAACACCATCGGACAATGGAGCAGATGAAAGCGCGATACTATTACATTGCTGCAACAATGCTCTCACTAGAACACCCACCCTCAGAGATGTCTGAGGCCGAGTTCGATCTACACGAAAAGATGCTCAAGTTCGACCCCGACCGAGAGCGCGACCGTAAAGAACTAGCCGCCCTTCAGCTCAACCGCACAGCCGACGAGGTCCGCGAGGAGGCAATGCTACTCGAAGAATTGAAGCGCATCACAAGCAACGAGCAGAACTTCATCACCGAACGCCGAGAACTCTACTCTCGCCTCGAGGTTCCCATCAGCGTCGGCAACACCACAATGTATCAGTCCAGCGCGGGTCTTTCCCAGCTCTTGCAGACTCTACTGCAAGCCGATAAGAGCAAGAAACGCCGCTCCATCCTCGGCGATGGTGCCATCCCAAGTCCTGCCGGTCAGACTCCAACTACCGCAGGTGGCCTAGGCCGAGCCGAGACCCCCGTGTCACAGGCCGCAAGCAAGAAGGGAGCTATTGCATCAAAGGAGATCAATCAAATGGTACGCACGCTCACCCCAGCGGAGGAAGCAAAGTACGGCGTCCAGCATCACGAGCGTGTCTCCGCAGGCGTGCAATTCCGCAGCGACCGTGCGCAGCGACTCACGCAGGCCAAGTCCAACGTGCAAACGCAGAAACTGGCCAATGCTCTATCCGAGCTTGAGATCCCTGTGCGCCTGTTCATGCCTACTGAGCGTGTATGCAAGGATTTCGAGAAACTCATTCAGTCTGTCAACATGCTTCTCGACGCGCGCAAGGTGTCCGAAAAAGTTGAAAGTGAGATCCGTGTACTTGAAGCCGCGAAAATGGAGCGCGAGCGCAAACTACGAGAAGCTGCTGGTATCACGGGGCCAAGTGCTGACCCCGGACATCCCCATGTGAAGAAAGAGACTGAAGACGGCGATGCTGGCGTTTTGGGTCATTCTACTGCCCCACAGAACACACAGGGGACTGGTGCTCAACAAGGGATGGTAATCACAAGCGGTCTGCTAGTGTGCTCAGTGGCGCAAGCGACAAGAGCAACAAGCGGCAGAGGAGATAGGTGATTTGCTTCTTTACTGGTAATGAACTGCACTGAGAAGTGTAAGATGTATTAGGGATCAATTACCCATATTTCTGTACGATTAATGACACCTGATTGAGAAGCATCCATGGATACTCATAATTAAACCAACTCCATCCCCGCGGGTAATAATAACAAAATGATTGGCCCCGGAAGCCTCGATAACAGTATTCGTGTGCTTGTTCAACCAATATACCCTCGTTACTAATGCGATGATTGTTGCTGTGCATCTTCGTCACTCCGCTTCCACCACCAGACTTGTTCGGCTCGCCCACCGGCTTCCATAAAACGCCCCAGGCATCCCAATGCACTCCTGATACGCACTCGCGAGCTCTTCTGCTGCATCGCTTCTGGTAGAATCTGCTCGTCCTAGATCACTCGACGGACGCTCTTCGTACTGTACTGGCGACTCTTGAGATGGTTCTTCCTGAGATGCTGCTTTTGCAGGGAGGTTCGAGCGTTTCTTGCTTTCCCTGTTTCTGGAGAACTTTAATAACCAACGTCCACTACGTGAGCGGGAAGGTACTCTATTCAATCTGTCTGCACTCCTGTCATTCGACGGATCGAAGTACACGGAGGGTCGGTAGTCAGTCTGATCCACCGAGGAGCGGCGTTCACCAAGTGGTGAAGCATCCGGAGAAGAGACAGTGCGCCCATGGGCTGAATCGTGGTACTTGTTTGCTTGTGGTTGTTTACGTGTGGAACGGCTGGCCTTCGCCCATCGACTTAAGAACGTCTCATCCACGTCTTCGATATAGAAGCTGGCTGCAGAAGTAGGCGTCTTTGCAGAAGTTGGCGACTCAATGTGCTGCGGGCGAATTGAACTTCCATGGCGGGCTTCCTCTGCAGCCATTCCTTCACCAGCCAAATCCACCGCCAGCGGTGCGTGACGATTACCTCGAACTGATTGGCTCTTCATTTTGGCCCACATCGTTGGTGTCAAAATGGGTTCCCCTTTGGTATTTGTAGGACTCGTGTTCATAGGAGACCATCGGCTGTCAGACCTGGGTCCCGAAGTGTCCCTGTGCCACTCCCCGTTTGGGAATGGACTGCTGTTCCCTCCAGTTGTTGGTGGGAGATCGTCAGCATTATCCACCAAGCTATACCCGTAGCCCATTCGTCGGCCCCCGGTCATCCAGCCAGGACTGACTCTGCGATGTGGACCCGCACCGCTGGCGCCATTGGAAGTGCCTTGAACCTGGGGTGTTCCCCAATTTGCCGCATCAAGTTGCTCAACAAACTCGCTTTTCACAACCTCGCCACCTGGTTCCCGTTCATTATGGACGGAACCAGTCTCAACTGCCATTTGTGCATGGATATTGGGTAAACTATCCATTGCATTTGCAGCGTGGATTTTCAGGGATTGAACGGCAGATGCCCCATGTGAAGGGTTACTGCTTTGATGCGAATAGAAAGAGGACGCGTCTCGTTGATGAGACGTAGCTTGCTTCTGGGACTCCGATCCCACATTTTCCGATGTTCCAGATTTCTCATGAGATTGAAAGTTCTCTTGTGATGCCATTTGTGGCCCATACCTATTCGCACGTGGCAGTTCCAACATGGATGGGTTAGTTGATGGCGGCCCGGACCCCATGCTTGTCCCTGCGAGTCTGTGCGAAAGGTCTAGATCACCAAGATGCGGTACTCGGGTCTCAGAGTGTGTCCTGGGAGAGCTTGTTTGTTGTCGTGTTTTCGAAACCATAATGCCCCGATCTTCCCTGGCTAGCGACGCTGAAGATGCTGCGCGACGATCGTTGGGATTTGATCCCACGTACTGAGTCCAGTTAGGCACAAGATTTTGAAGATTCTCACGGCTGCTGCCTATGAAGCCTTCTCGAGATCGGAGACAATCTTGGCTTGCTGGAGCTGATTCTTCTTGACTGGCAGGGAGACTTGGGAGAGCTTTCGTGAACGTGTCTTGATCGCCCGACCGCCCATTGTTGAATGAAGGCACGGACTGGCTACCTGTGCCTTCGGTTGCAGAGTTAGGATGGGCTGAGTGCCCCCTCAAACTTCCTGTTGGCGTGGGTATATAATGCATCCCAAAGGGAGTTCCCGGGGAGTCGGGTTGATCATAGCTTGCGGAACCCGCCCACATCTCCAAGTCGTTTCGCTCACGACTGTGCTCTATTAGATCACGTAACCCCATTCTGCGAACCGCCGGGCTTCTGGGTGACGCTTTCATATGATCGGAATGCTGAGGACTCCCAATGCACTGGGCATCACTGTCGTAGCCTCGTTCGTTCATTAGACTGCTTCCCATGTCCCCAACCATTGAGAGCTCCTCAGTTCCTTTAGGAGTATTTGGCTTTGGCTTGAGCGAGAAGGGAAAAATGGGGCGGTGTTCGCCGGACTGCCTAGATTCTCTTGAGAACCGATGCCGGAGCCGACGCGAAATACTTGTAGATCTCCGTCTCAGATCTCGAACAGGAGTTGTAGTTGGTCCTGGTGAAGGGCCTGCGGTACCTCAAGTTAGCCAGGGGCGACCTTGACATCAAATATTGGGTTGAGCCTTGCCTTGGGCTTGCTCCCTGGCACCATCCACATTCTGCATTTGACCATGTTGATATGGTTGTGCGAAACCACCTGGAGATCCAGCTCGATGTCCCCTTCGGAGACGCGGACATGCAAATAAGAACATTTGGACATGGGATGTTTACAAGATGAACTTCTACGTGCTCGTAAATCTCTCCTTGTAGGCATTTTGGGGAATGCACCTTCCGTTTCGGAACATCCCGAGGTCGCTCTTGCTGTTTATTGACATTTGGATCCTGGTGGTTTTGGTACAAACATTGAACTTTGAAAATATTCATACAGAAAGATACCATCCAGATGGACGACTTGGATTATAATAGCAAACGCCGGTACCCGGAGCATTGATTAGAATGAGACATTACATATCTAGAATTTTCATAGTGTTTTCTTCACCCAGTATACATGCACCCACCTTAACTTAGGTAGTGGATATCATTACCCAATACATACTAGTGTCCGAAGTGGGCCAGGCGCGGGCCGCATCTATGAACCCGCTTCAACACAAGCCTTGTGTTATAGGCTGCTGTTACAACTATAAAAAGGCCCTCAACAGGTTCATTGCTATAGATCGCTAGTCATTCAATAATCCTGGTTATGGAAGATGGGAGCATATTTAAGGAATCTCAAGAAGCGGGCGGAGATGATAGTTTGTGTGTCTATTTATGCCCTAGAGTCATGATCAGTCCTAGACAATATAGTATAATTCCTAGATCTTGTTCTGAGCATGCCCAATTACTGAGTTATAGTTACAGTAAGGCCAATCCGCCAAGCTCGAGTTGTTGGCTAGGTGCCCTGAGGTTTCACACGACGGCATATGCCGCAGTGAAGCAAAAGAAGCAAAATAGTAGCGAACAAGCAACAACTCAAGACTGACAGACCGAGTCTCTATAATTTGACATCATACTCTCAGTACCTCGCGAATGTTACTTTATAAAGTGATCGGAGTGTAAGAAGAGACCTCCAATTGAGACTTGACGTACAACTCCACCGCGGTTTGAGCATCACAAAACAGAGCAATTGCCTGCATTAGAGATTAGTCAGTCTTTATTGGGCAAAAGATACAAGCTGAAAAATTATTCTTACCTGTGCTGTCTTAAACTGCGCCTTTCCACCCTCACTTGCAGCGAACTGAACCCGGTATTGACTCTCGGAATCGATATACGAGGGGTAGCTGGCAGGCTCGGTGGCTTTGGCGGTTTTCGCAAACAAGGACATACTCTCCAACTCCTCTTGCGGTCTCTCTATAGCTGCGAGTTCTTTCAGAATCGCTGGTGCTATAGTCAGTGCGTCGACCCCGGCGAGCATAATCAGCTCATCGATGCTTAGTGTCACACAGGCTTTTACACGTGTGGGCATAGAGTTCTGACGATAGAACTGTTGTGCTTGCACACAGACACCAAGTATTGGGTTGCTGTCCTTGTATCTGCCAAAGAATTAGAGATACACCCAATACTCGCCGATACCTCTCACTCACCCCTTGTAAGTCTCGGTTTTGAGCTCATGTACAAACGGTGAAATCGATATACAGCCGGCTTCGCCCGCAAGGATCGCCTGTTCCATTGAGAAGAGAGTCGTGGCCAAAGTCTTTATTCCGCTTTGTTTGAGCTGGCGTGCAGCTTGCATTCCCTCCCATGTCGTTGGTATCTTGGTGACCAGGCGAGATGTGTCAAAGTCGGGGTCAACGATTTGGCAGATAAGATGCAATCCTGGGGTACGTAAATTAACATCTCTTCTTGGTGTAGGTCTTGAGGGGTACCTTTTACGTTGGGCATTTTCAACTATTGCCTCAGTATTGTAGGCATAGCTTGGATTGATCATAACATGGACATTCCCATAAACATTTTGGATCACTTCGAGGGCTAGTCCAATTCCCTAGACAGGTCAAATTCCGATATCCGCATCACTCCATTTTCCGAACACTTACCACCACCTCAACAGCAAGCTCCTCGAAGCTGAGATTGGCAAATTGTGGATGGATCGTGGTTGCCAACGCTAGTGATCTTTTCAGCACGGCGCTTCTGCTGGGCTTGACAATCTCCGCTTGCATCTCAAGCTGTTGTCTAATTAGCACAACCAACAGTACATTTGAATATGTTCTCATACTTGATTTCCCGTTGCATCTTGGAAGTGTCCAATTTCTTTGGAAGCTGACATTAAACCTTCATTAGTCTTCTGTCTAACACACGTCAAAGGATCCTCAACCTTCAGCACTGTATGTGTCAATATCCACCTGGGTTCGCGAGTTAAGGTATTCCAGCAAGTTTACAGTCGGCATATTGCTAGTCGTATTGAGCGGTAAGTGTAGCAAACTTGCTTGTTACATGTAACAAAACTGTCAGTGATCTGGGAACAGATTTTGCATACGATCGAGTCGAATCGATTCAAAGCCGACTTGACGATGCGACCCCATACTTAAATACCAGGGGAAAAACCAATTAATGCCACCAGGCTCTTTGTTTCACCAGTGACCAAGGTCGAATTGACCTGCAGCTTGTATCTGGTGGTCCCAGTCATAGATCCCAACGGGCGCTGAGGTGTGTCACGAAGAATTTGTCCTATTGGCTAGTAGCTGACAATGATTGACTAGGTATTATTCAACCCATTCCATTGTTGAGGACTGGAGTGCCGGGGCGCCAGAGCCCCGGAGGTGAAATCTCCTGGGCTACCCCAGTGAGCCCCCGGGTCCGGGGATACCACCGCCTAAGTTAAGTCCTAATACTTATAGATCGAACCGGATTATCAGCCTTTTATCTAGTATAGCATATTTGATTAATCTAAAGAAAGGAGGGAAAACGGTAACAATATTGATCAATATGACCAAAGTCCTGCGTGGCATACTCCGTCGCCCGTAGATATCGCCCTATCTCCATGTGTGCGAATATTTATCGGAATCTACAGTAAGAATATGTCGAGGAAGTTCTATAGAATTTGTGCCCAGGGTGCCTAAAGCGTTTTCTCTTCTAATATTTTGTGTTAGTATTTCTTTTCTGTCAATGAATGTATGGTAGAGCAGGTTAAGTGTGAAAGCATAGATTGGAAGGGCTTGGTACTCTGGGATTATATACTACCATGCCAACATCGTTGATTTAGCCGTTGATTTTAACCGGACAATAGGCTCCAAGATAGAATCTTGAATATACTTAATACAGCAAGTAATAAGCGGCTGTTAGGTCCTTGAAGCAAGAGGCCGAGATTTGGACTTTATCCCACTTGTTGTGATACTATAGAGTGGTATACTTGTGGCTTGAAAAGAGCGTGTTGATGATTGACCTCTTCTGAGACAGTACAATCCCTAGTGTTTCCTAGGTCCACCATTATCTAATGATGAATCTAATGGAAACTGGGATAGGAAAGAAAAATAAATAAATAAAAGGGGAAAGAAAACACCGTTCGATGGGGTATTTGATTTATTATTTCAAGGCCTTGCTGCTTAAGCCCAATAAAAATGTCGCGATTGTGCAAGGCTAGAGAAGTCAACAACGATATATTTAGGATATGCATCGTAGACCATGATATGACACTGTTTCTATTAGACTTTGCATGACAATGGTATAAGTGAAAGTATCCAGGCATATGTATACTTGAAACAATAAATATGGATCGCCATAAGTATACAGCCACCCGCGGTCTTAATGATCCTGCATACAAAGCTTAGCCATGGTCATAAGCAGATCCTTCAATTGCATAACTAATATGCCCCTCTGCAAATGTTCCGATCGCATGTGGATTAACGGCAAAGAACCAGTCAAACCCCGGTTGCTAATTCGCATTCTTAAGCGTTGAGAATGTATATGATCAACAAGGGAGATTATATGATGATGGTAAGATCAACATAGCTATTACTCTTATGCGGGTTATGAGCTTACGTCCTCGCGGTGGGTCAAAGACTTCAGCACCCTTATTCTTATTATCATCCCTTGCATGTATCTATAAGATCTACCAGAGTCATCCAAGTTTTTCCTGCTGTTCAGCTAATGTTTCTAGGACTTCCGAAACCTATGTGCTCATAGAGAAACTCAATTAAAGAATGCCCGGACTCAATCCTATAAATTTCCTTTCCTGCCCGGGTCCATTTAAGCTTAACCTCAATCCTTGGCTCAGTAACCATCATGATCATCCCAACTCCTCAAACACGACTAGAGGTAAACCAAGCCCTCAAAATCCAAGGTTTGAAGCGCACTGGAGATGAGAAGAATCTCGTCGGTTGGGATGCCATGAACCCGCGTCATCCACGGAATTGGAGCAGTTCGAGGAAGGCGTATGATGCTAGTATTATCATCTTCTTGGAATTTTATACGTGGGTTTCCCGTTCAGGTATTGATAGTCGATGAGTCTAACCATTCTTGCGAATTAGGACTGCAGTGAGCACGTCAGGGGTATAGGCTATCGCATCTACATTGCATTTATCTTAAATGCTAACTTATAAGCAGGCCACAGCTGCCAGAAATGCACAGCACCACTTTGGAATTGGCGAGACCCTGTCTGTGTTTATATACATCTCGACGTGAGTGTACTTCTCTGTCGGTATGAATATGGTACGGGAAATGCTTACCAGATGGGACAAAAAGATATCTTCTCGCTCAAGGCATTGGCAGCATAGTATTACCTCCTTACTCGGAATGCTACGGTCGAAAAAAGCTGTATGTGGGCAGCACTGCATTGTACAGTATATTCTGCGTGTTGATTTCGGCAGCGGAGTTACCTGCTGCAGGCGCCATAGGGCGCCTCATCACAGGCTTTTTGTCCGCGGTCCCGAGCGCTGTCATAAATGGCAGTATGCAAGATATGTTTGACACTAAGGAGATGATATGGCTTACGCTGCCGTATATGGCCATGGCGAATTTGGGCATTGCAGTGGGGCCGGTGATGAGTGCATATATCACTGCTGTTTGGGGGTGGTAAGTACAGTCCCAACCCGAAGACAGTCTGTACACTGATCGAGACCAAAAGACTAACAGATCGTTATAGGAAATGGGTTTTCTATGTGGCCGCCGTAGTCACCGGAATCCTAACCATACTGCTACTCGCGATTCGTGAATCCCGCCCAACTGTCCTCCTGACACAGGAGGTTCGACACCTGCGGCGCATTACTGGCGACCATTCTCTCCAAGCATTGAACCCAGACAAGGTTCTAGACCTCCGGTCGTTCGCGCGCCAATTCGCCTTCCGACCAGTCCAGCTCCTCTTCACAGAGCCCATCGTCGCAGCAGTCTCAATCGTTTGCGGCATCTCCACTGGACTCATCTACCTGTTCACAGACATCCTGCCCGGGGTTTATGAATCATTCGGCCTCACAACCACTCAAGCTAGTCTCCCCTTCCTAGCCCTCGGCTTCGGGTTCCTTCCAAACTTCGGTACCCGCTTCCTGGAGTACCGCAAAACAGCACGCCGGCGCCAGCGTGGCGAACGCGTTATTCCCGAGCACAAACTAACCGGGTACATCATTGCTGCACCGGTGCTAATGATTGCACTGTGGTGGTTTGCATGGACGATCCCGCCCGCCGTGCATGTGCATTATTCTGCGTCTGTGGTGCCGCTGTTCCTGACCGGGTTCGCGATCAACGAGTTCGGCATCGTGCTGGTCGGATATATGTCGGACAGCTATCGGTCGTACTCGGCTAGTGGATTTGCGGCGCTGGGACTTGTGCGCTGTATGTTGGCGGCTTCATTTCCGTTGTTTTCTGGGCGGATGTTTAGTGGGCTGGGGCCGAATAAAGCCATGTGTGTTCTGGCTAGTCTGGCTACTGGATTTTGCTTCCTGTCGCCTGTACTGAGGATATACGGGGAACGTCTGAGGAAGTCGAGTAAGTTTGCTGCGCACTGTGTGGATGTTGACGCGGAGAATACATGCGAGCAGACTTGATACTTGTGGTGCATTATGTATAGTGATGTTTCTAAGTCTTTTACGACATGGAACAGAAAACGAAGAAAATGTATTTGCGGGCAGGAAGTGAACCAAATATGTAAAAATAATTATGCACCCAATAAAGATGCCGTGGTATTAGCTTCAACTCTCGGTCCTTGAATATGGTTGACGGGCCCAAATACCATCCCATACAACCTGCTTCACTTTGCACCGAGCTGTTGAACTCGGTGGTTCTGCCATGAACTCCATAGGGCCAAAGATCTCCGTTGTGAAAGATAAGCGTAAGACATGACCAAAAACGCGACGATGAAGCGAAAATCATTTCGGAGTGAGGAACATCTAATTCCCGCCATTCGAAGTCGAATTCCAATCCGGGGAAAAAGGGGGTTGACTGGAATAATATGCATCAGTATACAAGATAGACTAGTAGTTAGGTTGTTTCCCCACTAAGTTGACACGAACGAGGCTACTATGTAGTTAGTGCTCCGTACAGAGTAGGTATCGGTATCAGTATGAAATTTCACCGTTTATATCTCCACATGTGCACTCAATTTGGCTAAATTTGGTCTGGACCAATAAGGAGCGTCTAAGCAATCTAATTTGGTCGGATGGCTGGCCCAATTAATGTATCCTGTTAGCCGACGTGATACTCTCGACTCCTATTTAAGATCGCCTTGGCAATGGGTTAATAAGGGCACAAACCTCCAAATCTTCATAATTATGTATCCATCTCCACGCCACTCCGATCACCTAGTGGGGCGACGGAAATTACGGAAAATCCTGTGGGGGCTCAGCCGTACGCTAATGTAAATTTAGCTGACTACGGAGCCCTGGAGTAGGGTTTTGCTGATTTCAAATGTTCTTGTTCGAGTTCAAATGTTCCCATATACCCACACGTTCTCCCCTCGTGTCACCTTTGAGGCTCTTCATCGTTTCAATGTTAACCAACTTAAAGAACTCGCGCTCCTTGCGCTTAACCGTCGCCCTTATAATTCCATTTGCCCTCATTTGTTATCTTTACTCGTGGAGACAAACACCCACCCCTGTCTCTGGTCCCATACAGTCTCCAGAGGTTGGGACAACCGGCACGGGGGCCTCGGTATCAATATCAGTACCTCCAGAGGAACCTTCAACTAGCGACAGTCATTCTACTCCTTCCGCTGCACCCACTTATACGCTTCCAGACAAGGTCTGGCATAAGTCTGATAATTTATCAGAAAATCAACGTGAATGGACCGGCAGCTGGACGAACAAGAATCCTTCCTTGCGCCAAGAACTGTTGACCGATCGGTCGGCTGAAGCATTTGTTCGCGCTCATTATTTTAAGACCCGCCCGGATATCGTCGAAGTCTATGAAGCCCTTCCAATCGCGATCCTACGTGCAGATCTCTTCCGTTACTTGGTTGTTCTCGCCGAAGGTGGAATTTGGGGAGATTTAGACACCACGTGCGAGAAAGAAGTCTCTGAGTGGGTACCCCTGGAATACCGAAATGAGAACATCGACATGATTGTCGGATTGGAATTCGACTTCGAATGGCGAGGACCGGGTACGGAAGTTGCTTCCCAGTTCTGCAACTGGGTATTTGTCGGACGGAAGGATTCGCGCAATCTGAGAGTTATCGTTGACACTGTCATCAATAAATTGAAAGGCATTGCTCAAGCGAATGCCGTGGGCATCGAAGGGATCACCTGGGAAATGCTTTCGGACGTGGTCAACGTGACGGGACCCAAGATTATGACAATCGCGATCATGCAGAGTCTCGAGCAATTGCTCGGTAGGACCGTCGATGATCGCGATTATGCACACACCAAACGACCCAAGCTGGTTGGTGATGTTTTGGTCATGCCCGGAGTCTCTTTCGCCGCTCTTCAAAACGGAAACCCGACGGATCAAGGAGATCCTCTTGTGACGCATCACTATGAGGGCTCGTGGAAAAAGGAGGAAACGGAGGCAAAGGAGCGGAAAAAGGATAAGGAAGAACAAGAGCGACAGCAACGAGAGCAGGAGCAGCAACAAGGATCATCAACACCACCACCTGCTGCGGCCTAATTGGAAATACGATAATGAGCGAAGGGCGACGGGTTTCCTTGCTTGTCTTGTTTCCTTTTTTTTTTTCACTTCCCCTGGTGGGATGTCATATTTCGCTAGAATTCTAAAGCGATATGATCGAAGATCAAGGAACATACTGTGTAACTACCATCAGAAGTTTTGTTATTTTTCGGTTTATGTTGTTTAGCATAGCATGTCAATTAAGTCTTGCATTTTCCCGTTTATCATTTTCAATTCACCATCAACAGAATGTCCCTCGAGACCACATTGAGGCTCCCGCCCGTATACCGTGTAATGGACAAGACCGACCATACTACTATAGGTATTGGCAGCCTTGTATTGCCAAGCTTCGGATTTTTAGCCTCCCACTGCACGACAGCTCAAACCCTGCGGTCAAGGCGTAGCCAAGGCAAAAAGGAATGGAAGCACCTCTGGCGTTCGAATTAAGTACATCGCGACCTTAGGAGACAGCGGATGCTCAGCACGCTGCCCGACCACAAGAGCGAGAATAACAGGTACAAATGGACTACCAATTATAGAGAGGACTTGTTGACGATTATAACAATCGATACATGAGTTTAATTCAGTGATAAATTAGATGTAAAATGGAGGCAAGTTTGCTCAGCAGTAGTTCGGATTTTGTCGGATTTTGCCTTTGATGACCGCCCGAGGATGGTACACGTGACAAAGCTCTACCCTAGATGAATCGATAAAAATAGCTGTGTGGGTCATCGACTAAGTCGGATCTTGCCGACCTCGGGTGCAGATCGCTTTACAGACCGGTGGAGCTGGATGTATGTACGTACAACATACATACTCCACTGGACATTCAAAAAGCTTGACTCTGCCAAGAGGAAGACATCGATACAAACGCAAGGCATGTACCTAGGTATAAAGCAGACCAACTTTGAAATCCTCCACTGCAAGTACCCGAAGAAGACACACTCCGGGCGCTACTAGAACCAGCAGATGCGAGCCTTATTCTGTTGTTGTAGGCGAGGGTTTGGGGACTTGTCAGTACACGATTCTAGTACAGACGATGGGAATATACCGAGGAGAAGTAAGCTCGGGGTAGGACGTATAATATTTCTCTGTTGATTTGCGTTTCGATGCTGTGATTCATAATTGAAATCAATCTAATACATGCATATATGCTCCCTGCCATTCAAATTACTAACCGATATCTCTCCAAACTACTGGAAAATAAGCAGAATATGAGGCGGTCAGATACCGCCTCGTCGCTTCCCACTTGAGCACTTTTGTATATTCCAAGGTTATTGTAGGCAGTCGGACCTGACCAGGTGGCACGTGGTACCCATGGATATTTGTTTCTCTCTCTTTACACTTTCCTTTTCCTTCTTCCATAAACAACGCGTCCAGCTGTTACACAGAAATCCCCCAGTTTTCATCTCAACAGCTTGGTATTCATCTCATATCTATCCTAGCAATCATCAAGACTGACTTGAATACAGCTAAGATGCGAATTCATTCTGTTCTTGCGGGACTCTTCCTGCTGTTGGCTGTTGCCATCGCCAGTGTCCCACAAATTGAGATCAAAGCAAGTATTTCTTCACTGTTCGGGGCATTCAAGCAACTAACAAGGTCACTCCATAGGGATCCAAGTTCTTCTATGCCAACAATGGCACTCAATTGTGAGTTAATAAACTGTTTGAAACTGCTTCAGTTGCTAATTTCTCGACTAGTTACATCAGTGGCATTGCCTACCAGGGTATGGATACTGGACAATGAAACTCTTCCAACTCTTCCATGACTTGATACTGACTATCATCCAGAGGACTACAATGCTGGAGGAGCCGGAGGTACCGGTCAATCTAACAACACTCACTACACTGATCCCCTGGCGGATGTTTCTCATTGCGAACGTGATATCCCGTACCTCCAGCAGTTGCGGACCAACGTCATCCGCGTCTACGCTGTCGACCCGACCAAGAACCACGATGATTGTATGCAGAAATTAGCCGATGCAGGAATTTATGTTATCGCCGATCTTTCGTCTCCTCAGCTGTCGATTGTCTCCAACTCGCCCACTTGGACCGTTGAACAGTACGATCGATATGTTGCTGTGGTTGATGCAATGCATCAATATGACAATATTATTGGTTTCTTTGCTGGGAATGAGGTTGTGAACAAAGTCAACGAGACTATTGGTTCAGCATTTGTCAAAGCTGCAGTTCGCGACATGAAAGCCTACGTCAAACAGAAGGGATACAGAAAGTCCTTGAGCTTTGGCTATGCAACTACCGACCAACCGGATTTCCGCAATGCGCTGTCAAACTATCTCAACTGTGGAGACCAGTCTACCTCAATCGACTTCTTCGGATACAACATGTACGAATGGTGTGGAGACAACACGTTCCAGGGCTCCGGTTACAAAAACCTCACAGAGCAGTACAAGGATTACCCCGTCCCAATATTCTTCTCCGAGTATGGATGCAATACTATCAGGCCTCGCAAGTTTGGCGACATCTCTGCAATCTTCGGTCCCGATATGGCAAATGTCTGGAGTGGTGGCATCGTTTACATGTACTTTGAAAGTACCAACAACTACGGGCTCGTCTCTGTTGACGGAAAATCTGTCAGCACTCAACCAGACTTCAGCTATTACTTGAAGGCAATTCAGACTGCAACCCCCAGCGGTGTCAACAGCGGTAGTTACACCCCCACCAACTCCCCACACGCCTGTCCCACCGTCAATGACATGTGGTTGGCAAAGGCCAGTCCCCTACCACCTTCGCCGAACAAAGACCTGTGTTCATGCATGGTGGACAGTCTTCTCGTGTGTGGTCAGTCAGTCTGTGAAGGAAGATCAGTACGGCGAGTTGTTTGGTACAGTGTGCGGAAGCGACAAGACCGCCTGCGATGGAATTTCCAAGAACGCAACCACGGGAAAGTACGGGGCGTACAGCATCTGTGCTAGCAAGGATCAACTCTCATACGTCTTTGACCGCTACTACGAAGGTCAGAAGAAGGCTCAGTCCGCGTGCGATTTCAAGGGGGCAGCATCAGTTCAGTCTGCCAAGGATCCTTCCGGAAGTTGCAAGACACTTCTCAGCCAGGATGGCACAGCTGGACCGGGACAGACCACAGATGGAAAATCGTCCCCATCCAAAGGGGCAGCTTCTAGTCTGACGGACCATGCCGACACAATCTTCTATGTACGGATTGGATTCGCCTGGGTCGTTACCACCATGATTGTTTGCCGCATACCGCCTTTTCGTTTCTAATGATCGCCGTCAGGATCAGGTTCTCTACCTACATATGTAGGTATTATTAGCGGATAGTACCAAGAATCCAAGCTGTTTGCGACTCGAACAAATGGAAGGACATCGATATTTTAAACATTCCAAATAACTAGGCACATAAGTATTGTAGTACCAAATCGCTGAGCATAGAGAATGGTCATAGGCATTGCCACGATGTCCAACAGTCATGACACCCATCTGTTTTACTATGAAGTTTGAAATCTATTGGTTCCTTCACCTGCTAACGATGAATCCCCGGTCCGGGCTATAGATCTGCTTGGTAAGCATTTGTTCCCCACGTGGGGCCTAAAAGACCGGGGCTTACAATTTTTTTTACAAAAAATTACAGATCTTCCTCACACCCACATCCTATCGCATTCCCCTATTTGAACCCCTTTCTCTCGTTTCAGACATCAAGTCGAATACCGCAAACATGGGCAACGTAAGAAGGCATCCCCAAGTCATACAGATGACACCAGGCCATTCTGAGCTCTTTTGTTTAGGTCCATCAGCGCGCAGTGAACTAACAATACTCGATAGGGAGCCAAGGCAAACATGAAGCGCGAGCGCAACGCGAAGGACACCAAGACCGCCAAATCGCAGACCAAGAGCGTACGTAGACATCATCTCCAACGTTCATATTCTCCCCAGTCACTGACCCACATTCTTATCTAGAACGAGAAGGCCATGAACATCCAGTGCCAGGTCTGCAGACAGACTTTCCTCCAGACCACCAAGGCGCCTGCGTACGTTATTCCACATCCTTATCCCCTGCGCATTCTTTCGTTCTGTTGGTCTATATGCATATCGAGTTCCTTGCTAACATACATATCCGCGGCTATAGTCTCCTCGAGCACGCCTCCAATAAGCACAACAAGGGTCTCCCCGAGTGTTTCCCCGGTATCAGCGCATAGACAATCATGCCGGCGGAACCGAAAGCAATCTTCTTTACGATATCACGGGTTAGCATGGCTTTAGGAGTTTTGATGGGAAGCGAAAATATCTAGGAACTGGATTTGGGAGTGTGGACACTTTACGTAGGAGACTATGTAGGTGTAGGTGTAGGGGTGGGGATCTTCATGAGCGTACATGTGGTGGCGATGTGGATATCCCTTATGAGTAGATGTACCTATGTATAGATGTAGTTGACTCATACATATGATCTTTCTCTCCCTCCACTGCCTCTGCCACTGATTCTGCCCTGCAACACCAACAACCCCTCCGAATCAATATCTACGTCTTGAATATTGGATATCGGCTACGGTTGTAGATCTGCGAGGCAAAGAAATGTACTAGGCTAATTTCAAGTTTGGCGTACTGCACTTTATTAATACTACGAGGGATCATACCGATAATCTAGAACTTACTAGAATAAATTGGCAAATATCTGAATTTCAAGTTAGTCGGAACTGAGTAATATTAAAGAGGACCCGAAAAACACTACTAGTAGTAGATATGTATTGGTCAACTTTCAGTTACGTCTCAAAAATCAGAGTGTCATCGAAACACACATGCTCAGGTGATTTACGACAACCGCAGGAAGATGGGTTTCTCGGATGTCAACCACTCATCATTTCCATTTAAGTGAACGCGACTTCTGGAACGCGAAAATACTTTCAAAATGGCGGAATCTTCAACTGAGGTCCCTTATGAACGACAGAATGTTCATAAGGGGCACCGATATATCAAGAACGGCAACATGATAGCACCATGTCCGTGGTCTCTGAATGCACTCGACCTCGACCTCCAAGATAACCAAGAGGTGATTGCTGTGCTCAATAAACAAATGGGCAGACTTGTACTTGAGTGGGACTCTTCCTGGATCACCAAGTCCGGGGCTGGAGTGCGACCTCCCGAAGCCGAAGCGATGAGCCTTGTCTTTAGGCAGACTGATGTTCCGGCCCCCGAAGTGCTTTTCACCGATTTCAGTCCCGATGAAGGGAAGACAAACCCAAAGGAGTATTTTAAGCCTGATTATCGTCCATCTGAAGGAGTTATTGGGATGACTATCATTTCCGGAATAACACTAGAGCAGAAATGGGATAGCCTAGAGGACGAGGCTAAAGAGTCAAGTTGCCTTCAACTCTGGGACCTCATCACAAAGATCCGAACGATCCCTCGCTCACAAGAAGTCGAGGGACCTTACCAGTGTGCCGCAGATGGCTCTCTATCCCGGGACCCGATGCTAGAAGATTTGCAAGAGCCCGCTCGACCAATTTTGAGTGACTCAGATCTACGTGCAAGGATCTACGAGCGGTATCTCTACCACGGAGGGAGCCGGTATGAAAATCGACTACTGGATATGCTACCCCATTCGGAGCGCTCGGTGTTCACGCATGCAGATATTGCGCCGCGCAATATCCTCGTAGACGAGGAGAACAATGTCACTGGTGTTATCGACTGGGAATATGCGGGATGGTATCCTGAATACTGGGAGTATGCGCAGATTATGCGCCCGGCCTTTTGGGGGGACTGGTCGGTTTGGATGGACAAGACGGCGCCGCAGAGGTGGGACCTTGGAGGAATCAATGCTGCTAGGAAGGTTTTATTCTAAGTCTAGAGCAGGGTGCTTCCCAAGGAGCAGAGGAAAGGCTACGTCGGGTGCATGGTTGTTAATGTACAATAAACAACGAAATTTCGATATCTACTAATGAAGAAGCGTTTCTTGCCGCAACTGTTCAGGGCATATAGATTTGGATATCGACATGAAGGAGATATCCAACTATAGACGAAGTTATCTAACGGTAAAACCACCATCAACTCTAATATCCGCACCATTGATCATGCCGCTGGAATCCTGTTGCAAAAGTCAGAATAAGAGACATAGCCCACAAAGCGGAGGAAACATACCTGACAAAGAAACAGCACAGAATCAGCAACCTCCTCCGGAAGCGCAAACTTGCCGGTCGGTATATTCGCCAAGAAGGCATCGCGGACACTCGCCTGCCCCCAAGCCTTCCTGCCAAGATCCGTCCACGCCACAGTCGGAGACACAGTATTAGCCGTGATACCCGACCACCCCACTCAGACGCCATACTGCGTGTCAGACCCAACAGCCCAGCCTTCGAAGCACAATACGCGCCATGCCGATGCAGCGCGGCATGTGCCGCCTGAGATGAAATGCTGACGATTCTTCCTGGTGGTGGGGGACTCGGCGATGATTTGGCGGCCTTGGAGGCAGCGAAATAGAGTCGAGCAAATGCCTGAGAGCAGAGCATCGGGCCGTAGAGGTTAACAGTCAGGTGTCTTAGTGTTTCTTCGGGAGGTGTTATCTCCATGTCGCTGAGAGATACGTATCCAGCTGTGTTGATCAGGATACTTGGGAAGGCTCTGTCAGATGGAGAGGACGAGGTTGGGTCGATTATATGTTTCTCTAGAGAATTAAAAGCTGCCTGCACGGAGTCTGGTGAGGTGATGTCGCATTCATAGGTGTGGATGTCGTCTCAGGTTGCCGCTCGCGCCGTATCCGGACTCGAGAAGCTCATCGCGGCGTGCAGCTTCGAAAGGTGCGTAGAGGATGGCGAGACGGGCGCCTTGTTGTCTCAGCCTTTTGCCAATGCTTGATCCAAGGCCGCCTGTGGATGAAGTTAGGTCTCGTTGTGTCTGGCTTTGTGGCTCGTGTTCCTACCCAGGCCGCCAGGCATAATCGCTAATCTGCGTGCAAATGCCATTGTGCGTAGACTTTGCTTCAATAGTGGCAGAGTGTCAACGTGGGAAGTGTCCAGCGGAAATGAACTTCAAGCTGTTCTCCGCTGAGGGGAAGTTGAACGCTTTCGGAAATGATCATCAGTATCCACCCCCACACTTGATGTCACTTGGCAGTGAAGGCCTCAAGGAAGACCATTTGCTTGCTCTCATGTTGAAATTTATGTAGGTAGTAAATCAACTAGGGGTCCGTGGATGCCATTCCAAGGTTCGAATACAAGCTTAATATTTCTGGACTAGCAAACTCAATTCGTCCCCTCTACCCAATCAGGTTCATTCTGTACAACATATGTATGAAAAGAGAATCATTATCGCCCTTTCCGTCAGCCTCTACTACACTAAATCCTATATGTTTACCTCTATTTCTTCTCCCTGTATGTATATCAAGATCATCCAACACAGCCTGGTTCTCCTTGGCTTCCCCAAGTCGAATTCTCTTCAGCTTTCTCGTATCAACAACCACCCGCTAAGTAAAATCCCAAGAAGGTTCATAATTATAGCCATACCAACAAACCCCATCGCAATGCCAAAGGAAGTCATATATTGTGGGTGCGAACAAAAATAAAATAGTTGAGACCCCACATCCCCTCCAAACGGGCCATAACTATTCGCAAATGCGATTGCAAAGGCAGATCTCGTTGCACCCTCGGTGGTCTGGACTCGCCAGGGCCACATCATAGTATACCTGGGTTGTCTTAGCGTGGGTTATTGACGTAATATGAAATGTTCTATCTGGGTCACACTTACAACGCAGTCGAGAAACCTCCGGCGATAATCGTCGCGGCATACGGACCACTATTGTTTGGGAAGGCATACACCACGCTGTAACATGTCAGAATCACAATCATGAATCCAAGTGGGATGGCTGGTTGAATACGGCCGGTATCTGCTAAGATGCCGAATGCGACGACCGCCGATGGAATGTTTAGTAGCTGGGTTTCACCCATAGATCTTTTGCCTTTGTTAGCAAATGTACTGTTTTCAATCTGGAATGACGCACGTAAATCTAAGATTGAAATTGAAGGTTGGTTGATAGAATGTGAGTCCCGATGTGGCAATAGTAAAGAAGGCCCAGCAAAAGAGGAAAAGCCATATTCGCTTGTTCATAAGGTCGTAATTCGTTCGCGGAGATTGAAGTTAGCCTCCGACGCTCGAGGAAAGCCGCTCGATAGGCGGGCTTGAGTGAAGGCCTTTTCTTTTCGGATGACCAGGATGCCGTCGAAATACCTGCTATTTATTTCTAGCATTGAAAGTCAAGAGGAGAGCCATCAGTTGGGTGCAACTGTTTGGAGCAGAAGGAGGGATCAAATTTCTGAAGGCGAAGGACGGGAGCGCCTGCATTTAAAGTTGAACGCTGCATAGCTGCCAATAGCAGGGTGGCTAAGACAAACTATAGACTATGGATTGATTAATCAATCAATCACTCACCCCACTCGCTCCAGGAGGACCTGTGGCTGCCTCCGGGGGATTTCACCTAGAGTTCCAGGAGCAATATAGCTCCCCGGGGAGGTGGTTCATGATTCTAGAGGCAGACTTTACACTGCCGGAAAGCTAACCCGCGATCCACAAGAAGCAAAAGTCCATATGGTGAGTGCCCTCTTACTACAGAAGACAGAGCCTAGACGTGGCTGGGCCCGAAAGGCCTTCAATTTTAGTTTATTGTGGGGAAGAAGGGGTATCCAATCTTTTCCTGTGTCGCTCTAGATTGTCAATCCGGAATAACATAGATAGTGACTAGAGAATAATCCACAGCCACAGCGACTGGCAGCGCAACCAGTAGTAGCAGGCTTTTCTGATGGAAGAAGGTAGGTATGGAATTACGGATACCGCGTGTTCCCTTAATAGGCCGCATGGTGTGGTTTTCGTTAAACCAGGTAGCAATATTAACATTGCCTAAAATGGTTTAGAGGGGTGCGCGAAATTTCCAGGGGGGCTGGGCGAATTGTAGGAGCCATAATAGGAGACCCTATTGAATACGTGCCAAGCAAACACAACTCGAAACCGGTATACAATTCATGCCAATTCATGCACATGAGTCGGAGTGTTCGAAGGAAGCTCCGAGCGATCTCCCCTACTAGCAAGCTCAAATGGTTCGGAATTCTCTTTAGTCGCGAGCTCCGAGAGCGCTCCGCGACCTCGTGGAGAATCATATATCTCCGCATGAGGTTCCTCTTTGGCCGTTTTGTGTCGTTTGAGGAAATAGAAAAAGGTCGCTACTCCTATCGCAATGGCCGCCATCGGGATCCCAATCCCAATGCCGATCTTGGCTCCTTCTGATAAGCCACCACTTCTATTATTGTTAGGCGAGTTTGATGCTGCCGCACCGGTTGCGGTTGATGTTTGTGTTGACAAGGGTGTTGTTGATGCGCTGGTTGTTTTGGGGAGATCGGACTTCTCCCAGATGAGTGGGATTCCGTCCGCATAAATGGTGATTGATGTTGCCAGGGTAGATGTGACCACTACACCGGACATCCCAATTGTGATGGTGTCTTTTTCCGATAGGACTTCCCTACATTGATGGTCCGTCGCATAAAAGCTCATGCTCCTACATAGGGTCAGCATTGCTCGGTCCCATAGAGAAGAAAAAACCTACGACGGACAGCAAATAGCACCACTTGTGCTGCCGGTAACATGTAACCCATTCCATGATGGACCCAATTCGCCTGCAGTAGTCCATCCAGTCGGACAGTAAAGACCTGGGGAGTCTACGAAGCATAATATAAGCAAACTTATACCCAAATTTTTAGATGATTTTCTTACACCAGTATGTACCCCAGTATGTCGGTGAAGCCAGTAGAGTGCCAGGCATGGTGCCTGTGGGTAAGCATGAGTAACCCGCGTCGTCAAACCCAAACCAGTGCCCGTAGAATGTGGCGGTCTTAGGCGTGTCCTCCACATAAAATGAAACCACGGACAAGGTCTGGAGGCATGTTGTCGGCGGGGTGAAGGTGGTTGTCAGCGGTCCCCGGTTGAAGTAGCTTGTTATATTAGGGCTGACGGAGGAGGCCATCGCGACTATCGCGAAGATGACTGTGCCTCTTCAGAGGGGGTATTGACAATGATGATGTTTGTGCCCGTAGGTGGAGAAAAAGGATGACATTTAACCCCTATTTTGGTTTCTTAGCCATGTTTGGCTAGCCGCCAGCTGTGTCTGGCTAGCCGCCGAGGGAGGCCGGATATATTCCAAAGTGAGTCAAAGCTCCTCGCACAGACCCTTTATAATATTCGTTTTTAAAATTATATCTGTAAGGGTCTTGGCCTATCTTGCTTATTACTTACCGTATAAGGACTTTGGCTATTATAAACAACATAAGGTTCTAACAATCGGTCTATACTATTATAGTATATCTTTGTTACGCACGACCAACTAGTCACGGTTAGGTTAGAAGGTTTCCGGGTTATTTGCTGTTACGGAACTACCCGTCCGCAATCGATGGTGCCCCGCCCGGGTACACAGATGGGCTCCCGAGAGCCAACCAATAGTCAGTCAGATCACGTGATGTCACATTAGAAAACCGTGGTACTTCTGTTGTACTCTCACGATATAGAACAACCACGGTGCAAATGAACCCAGAACATACTATGCCAGGTCCCACAGGCACCATGACATAGGTTTCAGCACGACCAGAATCATCCTAAGATCACTGCGGTCTCAGGATCCAACGAGGATGAACACGTGACCCGACATTTCGTGGGATAAGGACCATCCTAGGTAGGATATGCCTAACTAAGCATGATCCCTGTTAGGCTTCCGTAAAACCCAATTTGGGTCGAAAACTCCGACCCAGGACCCTAGTCCATCTCAAGATATAACGCAGTTTTTTGCACAAAAATACACGGAACTGCAAGACCTCTAATTAGTACTATTTATACATATTCATCCATGGATGCATAAAACTGGGTCGAACTGGATTGCTACTGGGTTCTTGGAAATGCCAAGAAATGGGTCGAAAACTGGGTTCTGTGGAAGTCTAATTCCTACAGGAAAAAGCTGATCGCAGGATACGCTTAACTAAGCGTGACTCCATCCCGGTCAGGTGCCCAGGTGATCTACTCCTTGGGAGTAGATCTGGGAGTATACGGCGACTCCAGCAGCTACCCCCAGGGGGTAAGTTAAGGAGTAGGGAACGAACGATATACAAAGACATCCCCTCATGTGCTTAGTTTACTTCTTCGTCTTCAATCATACATTGTTACTTGGGTTTACCTTTTGGATTACTGGTGACTCGTCTACTTGATTATAACTTGACAACACTCACGAATAGACCGATACTCCGGTATAGGTCTCATTCGGCGCTCTAACTGGCACCGTTCCTCGATAACTCGAAACGTCCCAGTCTACAGTAAGGCCTGTTAGGCAACAGTGCGGTTGAGAGCACAGGTCGTTGACGTTGGATACCTGAGGAGTATAAGGCAAGTATACCCAGAATCCTTCTAACTTAACTGTGACCAGTTGGCAGTGCGTAGCACAGCATTGAGCGCAGTCTTTTCGATCGAGCCCTCCTCTATATAGATCTACTAATATCCGGATATTAGATCGATCTTCAAGAAACCCGCGCGTCCCTAGCGATATCTAGAAGTTCTTGAATTTACACGAGCGGATACCTAATTTTCTCGATTTATTATTCAAGGCTCAATAGTCGATATATAGCGTCCACTTCTTATACAGTTTCCCCGGGGCGAACACTATAGGGAAGCCCTATATGCTGCCAGATTAACGGACTAGGCCCTTATATTTCGTAAGGATCCGCTAGATACCGGAGTCTTATACCTAGTCGGGAGGACAAATCTCTTTATTCTACGCTTATACGCCCGTGCCCTTTTAGACGGATCTAATCGTACAAACACTCGTTGACCTTGCTCCTAGGATTCGCAAGTCTACTCAGGTTAGGATTTTGGAAACAGCGGACCGGTTCCTATTTAGTAGGGGAGGATATAATCCTAGAAGTCCCTTTCCTTATATAAGCATTTCTTATAAGCTATCAGACGATCCCACCCGGGACCGTTTCTGCATATAAGTAGATATAGTTCCCGTATTCCATAGTACTTAGCCGTTGGCTACCCCAACTCAATAAAAACTAGGCGATCTTTTCCGAATCACACTGAGTTTCCCCACCATTGTATGCACATGTGTAGGCGTGAACGAGTATTCGGCTGACGGGAAGCCGCAGGTCTTAGAGACGACGACGGGAACCCAAAAGAAGTTGAGCAGCATATCGATGATAATGACAGTCACACATAAGGGAATACATGCGCGGGGGCATGGTATTTAGCGGTAGGGATGGCCAGGAAAAGAGGCTAGATAACGCATGCCATAGCGCAGCCTCGGACGTAGGCAGTTTCATATAGGAAGCTCGTCTTTGAGTTGAACACGGTGTCGAAATCAGGTAGTTGGTGACACCGAACGAATCACTTGTGAGGAAGGCGGTTCATGCAACCAATGGCCATGCGGGAACGAGGAACGAGATGAACCCGCCGACTTTACCGTCTCCGATGGATCGGAAAGCTTAGTAGTAAGCTGACCCTGCGGCGGGAAACGGAGAAGATGCATAGCAGGCAGGCGGCCTCCAGGGCGATATAGAAAAGCACAAGGGTTCCCCCAACGCAATTCAAGGCCGAGAAAGAGCAGGCCAAATTGTTGAATGAGCCCTAGCCTCGCACGAAGACAGAGCGATAGCCAAGCTTTCGGAGGTCACAATCATCTTCATTAGTCATGGAAACTCCATCGGAGTTCTGGGCCTGATGTTCGCTGTTCCGAACATTTTGCGGGGAGTTCAATGCATCAAGGGCAACAACATCAAGGAAAGGTCATAATGGTCTTTTTCCTCTGTCTGTTGAGAGGCTTGGCACTTGACAATGGCTTTCTGTTTTTCCCTTTACGGAAAAAAAGCTATCCATGGATGCTCAACTAATTTTTTTCCTATCAGGATATCACGTGGGCTGATCAATTGCTTGAATGGACCCCGACACCGGGGTTTGTTAGGGGATGTTCTGAGTCATTATTATTTTTCCTAGAAGGAAAATAGAGGGAATCATGAAGAATTGACTAGAAAATTACTCCGTGCGGAAGGAATGAAGCTGTCAACCCATTGCTAGCTAGGTACATATGTAGTATCAATTACTGTCAGCTTGTCCTGCAGGTGAAGTGGCGGGGTCAATTGACAGCGTGTCACACAGCGGTTGCCCCGTACTCCCTGGAGTTCCGCGTTTTGATATACTTCTAGGGGTCTTGACCGCTCATTAATCGAGAAAATATAGAGTTGTGTGTACAAGATACAATACATAAGGCCCTTGCTGAAAAAAAGGAAGGAAAGAATATACTAATTGGCAATAGTCGTAAACAAGTTTGCAGAGGTCTTATCGGTGTCTCAATGGCGTGATCATCCATGAGGGGACCGATCACGGAGATCATGGGGTATTGATACTGGGTGAGGACTGAAAATAACAGTAAGTTACACAGCATTCCACATGTTCCGCCCAAAATCTGTGGATTCCAGGGACAAGAGAGGTACGCGGATGTACTAGACCATGTATTAAACCGTATTGATGCCCCTCCAACTTGAATGTGGATCAATCCCCCATTAGGATTAGTGTGTATTCCTCCCCTCCATATTTCTTTCGACATTTCCCAGACCTTTTCCCTTCCCTTCCCTTCACTCTCTCTCTCAAAGGAATCGGATTTGTGAAAATTCTATCCTTGAGACCCCTTTCTTCTTTCTCCCTTTTCACACACATCCATCAGAATGGTTCAATCGTATGTTTTTTCGATTCTCTTATGAACAGTTGCTGGTACAGTTGCTGACTATGTGGATAGATCTATTCTGGGTTTCCCCCGCATGGGAAGACTCCGTGACCTCAAGAAGGCCACCGAGGCTTACTGGGCTGACAAGATCTCCCGCGATGAGCTCCTCGCTGAGGGTAAGCGTCTTCGTCTGGAGCACTGGCAGATCCAGAAGGATGCCGGTGTCGATGTTATTCCCAGCAACGACTTCGCCTTCTACGATCAGGTCCTCGACCACCACCAGCTTTTCGGAACCATCCCCGAGCGTTACTCCAAGTACAACCTCAACCCTCTCGATGAGTACTTCGCCATGGGCCGTGGTCTCCAGAAGGAGGGCATTGATGTTCCCAGTCTGGTATGTGCAAATGATTACAATATATGTGTCCGAATCCAGTATGCTGACTCCATCAACAGGAAATGGTCAAGTGGTTCGACTCTAACTACCACTACGTGAAGCCCACTCTCCAGGACAACCAGGAGTTCAAGCTCGCTGCCGAGCCCAAGCCCGTTGTTGAGTTCCTTGAGGCCAAGGCCGCTGGCATCACCACCCGCCCCGTCATCCTTGGTCCCGTCTCCTTCTTGACTCTCGGTAAGGCCGACCGTGACCAGACCGTTGACCCCATCTCTCTGCTTGACAAGCTCGTTCCTCTCTACGTTGAGCTCCTGTCCAAGCTCAAGGCCGCTGGCGCCGAGGATGTCCAGATTGACGAGCCCGTCCTCGTCTTCGACCTTGCTGAGAAGTCCAAGGCCGCCTTCAAGCCTGCCTACGAGAAGATTGGTGCCCTCGGTGCCCAGGGTCCCCGCATCACTCTCGCCACCTACTTCGGTGACATCGTCCACAACATCAATGTCCTCGCCGACCTGCAGAGCCTCCACTCTATTCACATCGACCTGGTCCGCAACCCCGAACAGCTCGACACCGTGGTCGCCGCCTTGGCCCTAAGCAGGTCCTCTCCGCCGGTGTTGTCGACGGCCGTAACATCTGGAAGACCAACTTCAAGGCCGCTATTGAGAAGGTCGAGAACGCTATTCAGAAGCTCGGCAAGGACCGTGTCATTGTTGCCACCTCCAGCTCCCTCCTTCACGTCCCCCACACTCTCGCCAGCGAGAAGACCCTTGATGCTGAGGTCCGTGACTGGTTCTCCTTCGCTGTGGAGAAGGCCGCCGAGGTTGTCGTGATCGCCAAGGCTGTCACCGAGGGCCCCGCCGCTGTCCGTGAGCAGCTCGAGGCCAACGCCAAGTCTGTTCAGGCCCGTGCCTCCTCCGCCCGCACCAACGACCCCGCTGTCAAGGCCCGCCAGGCCTCTGTCACCCCTGAGATGCACAACCGCAAGTCCGCCTTCCCTGAGCGTTACGCTGAGCAGACCAAGACCCTCAAGCTCCCTCTCTTCCCCACCACCACCATTGGTTCCTTCCCCCAGACCAAGGAGATCCGCATCCAGCGTAACAAGTTCACCAAGGGTGAGATCACTCCTGAAGAGTACGAGAAGTTCATCGAGAAGGAGATCCAGGACGTTGTCAAGATCCAGGAGGAGCTTGATCTCGATGTCTTCGTCCACGGTGAGCCCGAGCGTAACGACATGGTGCAGTACTTCGGTGAGCGCCTCACTGGTTACGTTTTCACCACCCACGCCTGGGTTCAGTCCTACGGCTCCCGCTGCGTGCGCCCCCCTATCATTGTCGGTGACATCTCTCGTCCCGCCCCTATGACCGTCAAGGAGTCGAAGTTCGCTGCTTCCATCTCCCCAAGCCCATGAAGGGCATGCTCACTGGTCCTATCACTTGCCTGCGGTGGTCTTTCCCCCGTGACGATGTCCACCAGTCTGTACAGGCTCAGCAGCTTGCTCTCGCCCTCCGCGACGAGGTTGTTGACCTCGAGGCCGCTGGCATCGCCGTGATCCAGGTCGACGAGCCCGCTCTCCGTGAAGGTCTGCCCCTCCGCGCTGGTGACGCTCGCGTCGCCTACCTCAAGTGGGCTGTTGACTCCTTCAAGCTCTCCACCGCTGGTGTCACGGATGGCACTCAGATCCACTCCCACTTCTGCTACTCTGAGTTCCAGGACTTCTTCCACGCCATTGCCGCTCTCGATGCCGATGTTCTGTCCATTGAGAACAGCAAGTCCGATGCTAAGCTCCTCAAGGTCTTCATCGACGAGGCCTACCCCCGCCACATTGGCCCCGGCGTTTATGATATTCACTCCCCTCGTGTCCCCACCGAGCAGGAGATCAAGGACCGCATCGAGGAGATGCTGGCATACTTGACTCCCCAGCAATTATGGTGTAACCCCGACTGGTTTGTGATCCTGACTCGAAATCTAATTTTTTTGGTTGTTGGTGCTAATATGCTTATTTTTACAGTGGCCTCAAGACTCGTGGCTGGCCCGAGACCAAGGCGGCTCTCACCGCGGTAAGAAGTGGCAATTTCCTTGAAAATGACGTTCAAAATGCTGATCAAACACCAACAGATGGTCAACGCTGCCAAGTACTTCCGCCAGAAGTACGCGCAGTAAATTCTTTCAATTCACCATTAATTTAATGAGGAGGCGACAATCAACCTGTCGCCTCGGTAGGAGTTTTCTTTATTGATGAGTTACGACGATGATACCAAAAGTTCAACATATGGGTTTCAACGGGTTTTCTAGAGGATACCAAAAGCGGGCCTGGAGTTTCAACATGACTGACGATTTATTACTGACGCTGGCCGACATCATGACCTACTTCCGTTGTGATGTTCGGTTAGTGCTGGCTTTACCATTTCAACATTGTGTGGTTTTCCACACACAGCAAGCTCTACAACCTTGCTTGGTCAAATTTGCATTGTCGAATTTGACCTACTGTCTCTATCATCGTGTAGAATCAGTTGTCAATATTACAATTTACAATATTGTGTGTTTCTTGTAGCTTTGCTGTGATTTGGAGAGAGAATGCCTGCTCTTCTAGTGTACGAGTGGCATGTTAGTTCTTAGATTGTAGAACTGCGATGAGAATGATCATATGGACAGAAACAGGGGATGTAATCAATTATCCAATCACTGTCAGTGAGTCAAGTCAAGCTCGGCGTACTCGTCACAGACCTCGAACAGTTTGGCCCGCGTTCCAGGTTCCTATAACAACGTTAGCATAGCTATGTCCCAGAAACCAGGTCACACGAAGGCAGATGGTGTACTCACACTAGGACTATGACCGGCATCAGGAGTCCAAAACAACCGCGAGTCCGGCAAACCCTTGTGCAAACCCCAGGCTGTCTGCGGTGGGCAGACGATATCATAGCGACCCTGGATAATAGTGGCTATGACAAAACGAGTTAGCTGCATGCAAAGCACAGTATGTTTCGACCAGGGGCAAAAGCAACGTACCCGGAATATGGCTAATTTTCCTCAAGTTCTCCTCCTTGAGAATCTGACCTTCTTCCAGGAAACCCCCGTTCATAAAGTAATGCGCCTCGAGCCTCGCATGAGCAAGCACCCACGCATCATCTTCCAGTTGAGCAAAATCCTCAGGCTCCGGTCTCAAAGTCCCAATACTTAAATCCCATCTATTCCATTCCCTCGCTACAGCAACTCTTGTCTCGTAATCTTCCGAAACAAGGAGATCATAGTACGCTTCATTCGGTCTGTCCCGATCCTTTTCAGGGAGATAATTGACAAGGCTTCGTATGGTTCAGGAAAGGTACTCGCTGCGCCAATGGATCCACGCGAGAACTCGAGTTCAGATTTCCTGACAGTGAATATTCCCCGTAGTATCAGGGAGCCAACCATCTCCGGGTACGCTTGTGCATAAAGCAAAGACAGGGCTGAACCCCACGAACCACCGAAGTCGAGATGCCATTTCGTGATTTGGAGGTGCTTGCGTAGCAGTTCAACATCTGAAACCAGGTGTTGACTTGTATTCTCGCGTAGTTCGGCTGCGGGTGTTGATTTCCCGGCACCACGTTGGTCGAACAGTACCACGCGGTAGATGGCTGGGTTGAAGTACTTCGTGTTGCCATATGAGGTATGCCCGCCGGGTCCGCCATTGAGGTAGAGGACTATATAGTAACGTTAGTATATTTGCCATTCAAGCTTTTCAAAAGTTTGTAAGGTGTAGTCAGTGATAATCGAGTACTCGGAAGCGGGGGAAGCGTCTATTTTAACAAAGGTATCTTACCTGGCTTCCCATCTTGTTTGCCGTACTGCTCATAATGCAGAGTATGGATATCGCTCACGGGCAATTTCCCTATATCAAAGGCTGCTGAGTGGGTATATCCGGTCAGTGGATCAGCCATGTTTAATTTCGAGTTGTCAACGACTGAACGGGTGGAGACTCAACGCTTGGGGGCATTGTTTTTAATAACACGAAAGTGGCACAAGAATGACTCACATATTAGCGCGACAGGGATGTTTTGGGACCCCTCCGAGGGTCACTACAAGGATCAGGTATAGTGCTTTTTTACATGCAGTTTTCACATACTGAATAGGCTGACTACTCTTTTGACTTCTCACATTAGCTTCAACGCCCGCTCTGGTTGAAACTCGCACATATATCCTTTGTATCAAATGTACTTAGACTTAGAATTACTATAATCAACAGAGGGGCCTGGAAAATGGTTCAATTGCATCAATGTAAGCGTCCACTATCTGAAGGATCTCGAACTAGGTGGCGGGGGTCACGGCCTCTGAGCCAATTGGGCGACACAACTCGTCCCAGCCGGGAACGTCCACAGTCGGGGTCTCTCGGCGCCCATTCGCAACCCACGCACCCACGGCTTTCCTCTGCTCTGCCGTGGGGATATGCATGATTTTTGTCTGCTTGATCGAGACTTGCCAATCAAATCTTCCTATCTGACGCTCCCATAGGCCCAGCCAGGCCTCCTCAATCTCTGCCCTTGTGTGTCTGTATGTGGCAGTACGACGTTTATCCAGCTTATGTTGCGCTTTGGAGACCTTAGAAGCATGGCTAATACGGACAATCAATGCAATGAGGGTCCGCCTTGCGCTTCTTTTCCTCCCTCGCTCTCTCGGCAAGGACTAGCTGAGTCGCTGGGCGTTCCTGCCTGCGTGGAGTCCCGTATACTGCCAAATGGACGGCATCCTTGCGCTTCTTCACCGTGAAGTTGTGCCAATCGAGATGGACATATGACTTACCATGTCGAGGCCCCGAGTGTAAGTCAATTCTGAAGTCAATGCAAACCTAAGTATGTAAGATAAGAAGAAACAACAAAGAGTTGAAGTAACGATAGATGAAAGGAAAGGTACGAGGGTTAAAAGGAAGAAATAGTTTGGGGTGGGAGGATAAGGAGAGGAGAAGAGAGAAGAGAAGAGAAGAAAGAAAAGAAAAGGGACAACAAAAACGTCCACAACCCTCTTCCTCCCCACCTAGGGGAACAGTGAGATTATCACTACCTAAGCTTTCTAGCTATTCTGATATATATGACCGCTAACAACATAAGATAGTGTTGGCGAATACACTCTTATAAGGATTTGTGTCAACATGAGCAGCCTGAATTTGAAACTTCTAGGATGATAGACATGCCTAGAAAGGGTTTCCACATACTAAGGCATATATGTATAATAAACTGGACGCAACTGACGAGGTAATACTTCGTGGGGAGCTCCTAACTATCCTCCGTATCATGCTAGGCCAGCTAAAGAAGGCACGGTTTCTTCAGCATATGAAAGCACCGGTAATTCTCTATTTTTCATTTCCACCTATACTCGCTTACCGGGTAATAGGTCTTTCTGGTATCATTTATGGGTAAACGCGCTCGCACTCTGAGGCATATTCTAAAGGTAAAGCCCTGGTCCTACGTACTACTAAGCTCTATAATTTCCTCGCCACCTCGGTCGCGTTCGATAATCTTGTAGAGGGGGTACCTCGGTTCGCCGACAGTGGATACGTCCTAGGACAAGATTTTGTTCTTTGTTTTCTTTTTTAGCCAGTACTCTAAAAGCCCTAATGCTTGTCGCATAGCAGGTAACTGCACCTTTTAATGCTTTCAATTATTGCATGAAGTAATCAAGTAGAATCATCAGGCTCTTTTCACCATCCTCTCGATGGGGTATTGACATATTAAATTAAGTATATACTAGTTGTGGGCCCTCCCAAGGTCATCGTGATACATCATGACTCATGCTGGTTCATGATGACCGCCGATCAATACCTATTGACCAGTCCGATGTAAGTTTGACTAAACATTGCTCTTTAGACGTACACGTTCTATCATCGGAAGATATTCATGTGCTTGTCGCACTACAATGGAGGTCTAGTAATTGTGGTCGTTCTAGACGGGAGACGGCATACTATGAGGACAACCCGATTTGAATATTGAATATAATAATATCGTTGCTGTTTACTGAACTGAGTATAAATACGATCAATATTTCTCCTAGATAACGTGTAAAATCAAATAATTCGCCCGAAACACTCAAAATGGTTGGTATAACAAACCAAATACGGATATATATTTCTTGGAAGAGAGTGTGATACTGCAGTAAGTGATTGGTTTAATATTTCTATCTTATTCGAAAAGACAAAAGGCATGACGAAAAAAAAACCTGTTTGAACCCAAAGATCACGTTGCTTTTGGTGATTTTCTCATATGATGCAATTATTTTTGTCGACATCGTCCGAAAGCCTTCCATTACTGTTAATTGTTACGAGCCCGGCATGACCCATCTAATCAAATACTAACTTGACCCTGAATGTCGAAAAATAGGAATAAATTCTAAAGAGAATACATGTTCTAAACCGATATCGATAACCAACACCCAATATTCGCCTTCCCCAACGCCCAAAGCCTCCCTAATCAACCAGCCCGCGGAGCAACAACCACATCCCTCACATATGAAAACATCTCGCGTGGTTTGTTCACAAAGACACTGTGACCAGCCTCACGGAATAGATGATACGACACTCCACGCTCCTCAGTCCACGTACCCGCAGCAGCAGCAGTGGGAGTGGCAGTCGAGAGCGTAGTAGCCGGGGCGTGTGCTCGAGCAGGAGCTGCTTGGTCGCAGATGGCGCAGCATTATCAGCAAAGAACGGCTTACTCGGCTTCTGCGCGAAGCCCTGCGCACCACGCCACGTCATATTCTGCAGCGAGAGTTCCGCGCCAAAGTGGTTGATCAACATATCCCACTCGCCTGAGTAGATATGGAGGGAGATGTTGTGGTTGGTGACCAGAGACGGGAGGACGAAGTACTCCGGTGGCACGGGGGAGGGCGCTGAAAGGAGCGTATTTAGAATTGTGGAGTTGCAGGCGCTGTACAGTCCGCTGTTATCGACATGCAGGGCGGTCTGGACATCTGCGCGGCCGAAGTACTCTGCCATCAGTGGGAGCTCTGAAACGGTGCTGCAGTCGTGGGAAATGTCGTAGATGTCGAAGCAGCCGCGGGTTGTGCGGTTGGCGGAGACGGCTGTTAGGTAGTCACTTGCTGTTGAGAAGACGGCGCAGGGGCCGTAGCAGGTTGAGTTGAATATTGAAGTGCGGACTTCTTCCGGGGTTGTGGGTGAGATATCGCATGCCGCGTTGACGGCACTTGTTAGGTCTCGACGTCGGAGGTTGAAGTACTCTGGGTTTCCGGGGATATGAATCCTAGCCTCGGGAGGGTATATGGAGGATTCTGCTAGCACGTCGTTGAAGCCGCAGGTTTCATCTGCCTCGTCGAAGACAGATAGAACGTCTTCGGGAATTTGAAGGAGGCCCAACTGTGACCTGAGATATTTGCCCATTGCAACAGCCGCCATGGCTGCTCCATTTCCCCAAGATCCGTCACCGAGGGACATCGAACGCACATTGAGAGGCAGGGAATCTTTGCCCTCGAGAAGCTCTGATGCAAAATAGGGTATGAAGATGCCTGCATATGACTCCCCCATTAAGTGGATCTGCTTTTTCTGGAGGTGCGGGAAGTATTCGAAGAAGCCACGCAACCACTGTGTAAAGTCCGTCGTTACCCGGTCATTGTTCTTAACTGGGTAAGGGAAGCTGGCTGTGGAGTAGCCAGTGCCCACGGGCTGATCAACGTAAAGGACATTGCCCAGCTTTGTCCACGAGTGTGGATTGCGAATGAATTGAGTTGAATTGCCATCGAACGTAATGGGCCCGTTGCCGGTCGTTAGACCTATCAAGGATGAGCAACCAGGGCCGCCATTGAACCATACTATACAACTCTGTTAGCAACCACCTTTGCATGTCCCGTCCCATTCAGACTTACTGATCAAATTGCCATCATATGCCGGTTGCTCTGACTGGAATAGCCAAAAGAATATCTCATTTCCATCTTCTGTCCCCGGAACCGGAAGGCGACCAGCCCAGCTGGGTGGAAGGTCCGAAACGCCCGGCAAGGAATGTACTTCGAACCGTGCAGTATTGTATGAAGCAATTGCTCGTGAGAAAACAAAGCCAGGGGCTGCCCATAGGACATTAAAGAAGTATAGCAGTGCGGAGATATTCATGATTGGAACTCGCGCTTTGTCCAGCTATGATAATTCTCTCCTTTCGGCAAGTAATCGAGATGATATTGCGTAGTAAAGATGTAGGATGATCATGCAGATAAGATTCCACGTGGAAATTATGTTTCCTTTTTATCTCTTCCTTTTTAGACATGGTGGCGTTATTGAGCTATTGAGCGGGCAGTTGTTGAGCCAGATTTGGGTGTCAATAAGGCCGGTGGGGTTATTGTGGCCAAAGACATGGCCAGTGAATTTGGGAGATCCACGGAGCTCATATCCATCTATAAGCAGTGGATGCCTCCTGAATCACGGTAATTTTATTCAGATCCGAGCTGAAAATGAATATCAATTGGTAGGAGTTAAGTGGTGAAGTGGTAAGTATAGGGTTGCCAAGGAGTATTGTGGCCTTGTTTATCAGGCACTCAGATATAAGGCACCAAGGCGCCAAGGCATGAACCCAAAAACATTCCGATCCCGACGAGAGGGGCCCTGCTTCATCTCTCCTCGATACTTCGTACTTACTCCATACTCTCTGCACTCTTCTCTGCCAAGCTGGAACTATGTACGGAGTACAGAGTAGCTGGTAATGCGCAACTCGACTGCATCCAGTGGTTCCCCGAGAAAAGGAGAGTCTCACGTGGCCAGTGCTGGTTTCAAGGTTCAAAGTGAGGCGACTAATCCCCCTTTTTTTCCAGGACATCAAATTCAGATACAAGATTCAATCGGAAATGGAAAGATGTGACCATGTCGAGATATACCCAGTCGAGGGGGGCTGCTCGCGGGTAGCAGCATAGGAATGTCTGGTTGCGTCCACCCGAATCCGGTGTAGATGGGATACAACACTCACTATATCAGTTCATCCCGGTCGCTTTGCCAACTCCTTTTCTTTCTTTTCTTTTTTTCCGTTCTTTGATTTGTCCATTGCGTCTTCTGCTCTCGAGGATTTGGTCTTGTTTGCTCTCTTAAGAGTATATGCCCTTTTCTGCTTTGGGATTTCATATATACTCTTTGTTCTGAATTTATATTCTCTTTTTAATCATACTCTTATACACTTCTTTTTTTGTTTCAATATTCTAATTTCCACCCCCTATCCTCTTACCTTCCAAAGTTCCTGCCTTGCACCCCTGATCGGAAACCACGAGGCGATCGACGCAGATCCAAGCAATCCTCGGCTCCACAGGAATTGACAGCTCACTTGCATCACTTTTCGGTGACTGCGGATTGGCTGCCTGCCTGAGGCAAACAGGGGGTTATTAAATTTGTGAGTGGGAGTTGCATAGGGGCGTATTCGCCTTGTTCTGTGCTTAGGTGCATGGCGTGGTGTCGCCATTGCCACCCCCAAAATCTTCCTTTTATCTGACTGTCTGAGCAGGGGAGGTTCAGATATATCGTGATTAGCGATGGATCTACAAGGCACAAAAGAAGCCCGAGCCCAGGAGGAGGGCGCTGAAGGTCCTCTAGAGGCATATGGTGCTGGAGGTGGTCGTTCCAAAGAGTATCACAAGAACGAGGGGCGAGATTCTCACAATCATGATGACCGATCTTCTATTCATCCTCTTCGTCGTCGCCGACAGCCCTTCGCCTATCCCCATGGAGCTCGACAATCTGCACCGCCGGTACCAGCTGCTGTCACTCGGCTTCGGGAGCCCTCACCGTCCCCGGAGGCTATCAGTATACCCCAAGAGTTGGGACTAGGATCCCGCGATCTGCGCCTATTACGCAAGGCTCGGCGATCTCCACCGGTTACAAAGAAGACACTCAGCGAGCTTGATCTGCCCTGTATCATGAGCAACATCAACCTCCGTATGGACGCCAACTTCGACCGCGACCTGCACTTCAAGCCTGACCTAGACGGAGAGAAGGGCCAACGCAAGCGGAAAGAAGCTGCCGATTATTGGGACTCTTTGGCTGCGGAGATCAGTATCTACTCTTACCATGCTGCGACTGCCGATGCCACCACCGAGGAAGTCGAGTCGAGTGATGGTACTCGACGCACTTTCGATCCCCGTTTGCCCGCCCTGTTCGAGACATTGCAGGACGTCATCAAGACCCTTGTTCCGGAACGGGATCATCCAACTATAATGCAGAACCTGGAAGTCCCATTACTGATGCAGCAAATACGCAAAGGCGTTCTCGACATGCTCACGCTGGCCAAATGGCTGGCGAAACTTCTGAAAACACATTGCGCTCCGATGCGAGATGAGTGGGCAGATTCTATGGTCGAGCAAATCGAAAAGGGTTCACACTCCCAGGACCCCCGGGAGATTGTCAACGGCCTGCGAACATTATTTTCGATCCTAGAGGCGATGAAGTTGGTATGTCACATCTACATCCCTTCTGTTCTTGCAACGTTCCGAACTAATTCGTGGCTTGATAGGACGTCGCCAACCATCAGATCCGAGCATTCCGCGTTCTCCTCATCGAAGACACAGTCCCCTTCCTCCAAGAATACTTCCAAGGCAAGATGAACCGCGGCGGCTTCCAGGTTGAAACCGCCCGCCACTGGTACCTATCTGTGCGCGAGCAAGCCCGTCGAGACGATGCAAATGCAGAAGCCCAAAAAACAACCCCAATGCCAGAAACAGAAGACACTCTTAAACCCCTCGAAGCCCTGTTCCGCGGCATCTCCGCCCAACTCCTCCAATTCAGTCCGCCCGCCGACTTCCCCGAAACCTTCCTCTTTGACTCCGAGCGCCTCTGGCAACTCCGCTCAACAGTCCAAAACCTAATCAACCTCGACATCGCCTGGTACATCTTCGAGTCCTACGTCAACAAGCACAAGCGGTATCTCTCCACGCCAGAAGAAACCTACTCCACCTTCCGGTCACGCGTATGGTCCCTAATGGAAGACGGCATGGACCTGGAGAACCGCGTCGCGGGGAACCCAGAAAACAACGACGAAGATCCCGACCACCGCGGCGGAAAGCGCTGGACGCAAAATATGCGCTGTATTGCACTGGAGATTGCCCGCTTTGCCTGTGCCGCGCTGCAGCTCGACCCTGTCGTCGCGGACGAGGTCATTGTTCCCATCGAGGAAGCACTTGAGTGGCATCTCTCGAATGAGTCCGACCTCTTCGTCTTCTTCCAAAATAGCATGCGTAGCAAGATCCTTGCTACCACCCTGGCGGCGGCCCGCAGATTCTTGCCGCTGTCACCGTTGGCGATCTGTGAGTCTCAGCGGGCTCCTCTGTCTGCTGCTTTGGGTCCTACCACGCCACAGACTGGGACTGCAGGTGCGTCTGGATCAGTGAGCACTTCCTCGCTGGTGCTGACACCGCAACAGTCGGATATCGAGCGTATCGGGATGCGTCTTGCTCATATAGGTGTGCTGCATTGGCGTGTTTGGGCTCCGTTGTTGTACCTCCGGGATGAGATTGCAATGGTGGAGCTTGGGCAGCCAGCATTGGTATAATCTGCTCTGTTTTGGTCTTTACTTTTGCTCTTTTGCTCTTTGGATTTTCGGTGTTGGTTATTTTTTTACTTGCTGTTCTCGAATGTTTCGATTGACTTGCTTTTCAGCGCCTTGCATTTACTGCTTATTGGGGGGAGTTTTATTATTCACACCGTTTTACCGACACGAGGGGCTCTCGGTGTTATATTTTGACTGGGAAATAGAAGGCGCATATAATATTTATTTGCTATATCAACTATTAGTAGAGGCCCTAAGAAATGACAGTCTACTATATCCATACTAAGTCCAACAGAACCCTGGAAATACCAAAAATAACGAACTCAATCCGACCCAGTGCCGCGAACGTCAATGGCCCGTGCACCGATCAGCAATCCACCCTGAAGAATTCCGAGATCCCCCTTCCAAAGCCCATGCATCCAGCCTAAAATTGCCGTTACAGGTCTTCCGCACAGCCAGACACGGAAATCCGGTATTTACCGTGCTCGTGATTGTGCTTGTACCGGGAAGTCCAGACCCCGCACCCAATGCCACCCTTGGCAAGCAAGTACAAACAAACACCCCAATGCGTCTCACTGCAGCACTGTACTCCCCAACCCACCCTTGGCTTGCATGTTTGAAATCAGCACAATTGCAGCGCCTCGCGCGCGCAACGGGCATCCAATCGTCTGGTACGAAGGGTGTTCTCATTGAGCGCATTGCAGCGGAGTTGACGTTGCATTCACGGTCACAGGCGCAGTTGCAGTTGCAGTTGTCGGCTGCCGCGGATGGTGTTGCAGAGGGTATCACTAGTAGTCCCAATGCCAACCCCAGTACTAGTGCTAGTGCCACCACCAGCCTAAGCCAAGATCGACGGGTCGATCTGCGGCTGGTGTCGACAAAAACTCGGTCAACCAAAACAAAACCCAAGATCGGGACCGAGTCGACAGGCTTGTCGAAATCAAATCCAGCGCAACCATGGAGCATTCTCAGTATCGATATGGGGGGTTCAGAACCTCGCATTCGCGCATCTGCGAGTGCCCCGCTCTGGGATCCCAGGTGTCGGGATAGATGCGGCGAACCCTCAACTGCCAGAGTTAACGGCCTGGCACCGACTCGCTGTTTCGGATATATCAAGTTTGAACCTAATACCCGGGGATAATACCAGTATAACCAAACCCAAATCAATATCAGGATCTTGTGATGCCACAGAATCATCCCAAGCCATTCTCCCAATAGAAATGGAAAAGGACCTGCCAGTCAAGACCCCCAAATCCTCAAAAGAAAAAGACTCCTTCTCGCCTGACCTCTATGCTGCAAATGCCTACACCCTAATCTCATCACTTATAGCTGCATACCGCCCCACGCATGTGCTCATAGAGCGTCAGCGCTTCCGCTCAGGCGGGAGCAGTGCCGTTCTTGAATGGACGCTGCGCGTTGGCTTGTTGGAGGGCATGCTGTACGCTGTTCTGCATACGCTCCGACAGGAGAGGGGCGGGGAAGTTGCGGATTTGGTTATTTGGGGTGTTGAGCCGAGACGGGTAGTCAGGTATTGGCTTGAGGACCGTTCTGGGATATCAGATTCAGGGAAAGGAGATGTGGAAAAATCCGAAGTCGGGGAAAAGGTGAAGGAGAAGAGACTCAACGCTCGAGAAGTGAAGAAGGCTAAGATCGATCTTGTTGGACGGTGGCTTTCTGCTGCGATGCAGGGTACCAATTCTTGTCTGGAGACGGGCGGGGGTATTAAGAAGCTCGATCTGGGTATTGCTGCCGACGATAAGATAGTGCTTGCGGATAAATCTGAGTGTCCTGCTCTGCATGGTGTTGCGGGTGCGTATATGCGGAAATGGCAGGGCCAGACGCAGACGTCGAAGAAGGGAAAAGGGAAAGGGTCTCATGCTTTGAAGAGTGGATCCCTTTCTCCATTGCCTGTATCCCCTCAGTCTGATATGGTGGACGAGGTGGCCGCTGTTGATCCGGGGAAACTCGATGATCTGGCAGATTGTTTGTTGCAGGGTGTGACATGGGTTGAATGGCAAATTATGCGGGATCGGATTGCGAGAGAAGGGGTTGAAGCGTTGGATTCGATACCATAAAGATATCAACATTCATTCTGAGTGGAGCAGGCGGGATGATGATGGGAAGATGGATACCGTGAGCAGGGATGAAGCTGGATATTCGAATTTTGTATATTATCCTGATGTACATTGATATTCTGGAATGTACAAATCACCCGATACATCAACTCAAAGCTCTACTATACTATATATCCACGTCCCTATGTGTTGTTCCGAACACAGCCCAAGATCGACACTGATCGACAGGTCCGTCACGGGCCAAGCCTTACTATAACTCTCCAGGATAGAGAGCCTCATTTACTGCATTTTTACATGTCTTACAAAGGAGGTGGAGACATTTTTGTAAACAGGCAAATGCCTCAAGTCAATTCGGGGTTTCTAACCTTGGATACCGATATTGCTCACACCATCGGCCTTCGACACGGAAAGAAAAACACGAAGACGAAAAAAAAAACGCAAAGATCATTCGCAAAATGAAGATCTGTAAAGATCAAGGAAGATGGTTTTTTTCCTTCAAACACAAGAGAAAAGGGGCAAGATCCAGTCCTCATAGCAGACGTGTCACCACCCGTCAAAACGATACGTAAGAAAATGTCCCGAGTCCAATTATGAATGGCTCAATTTCACATTGGAGAGTAAAAATGTAACGCAAGGAAATGCCACGCCAGGAGCATTGACGATTGAGCACCGCGGCTAGAATTGAAGTTCGCCTGCAAAACGTAAACAAGCAGGCAGGGAAAGCTCGGGCCCAAAGCACAACCCGGCATGACAAGACCATTGCAAGAATAGAAGAAGTCGAAAAGAAGGAACATGGCAAAAAATGGAGCGTAAATAAGAAGTGAAATCGAAACCGTATGTACCGAAACTTGTCAAAAATAGGTACAGTACCAGCACGCCTCTGCGCGAGTAGAAGGAAATCGGAACTTTCTCTCAGATCATCAACAGGCTCGCAACTCGCTGCCATGTGGAGGTGGAGCCTCCCCTCACATTAGCAGTGTGTTGTTTAGATGAAGTGGCGGCGCCAGTTGGCCAAGAAAGGCTTGCCAGTGGGGGTGCTGGTGGGCGAGGGCTGGCCGCTGGAGGAGGGGATAGGCTTAATGCTGGCGCTAGCGGAAGGAGTCCGGGTAGCGAAACCGCTGGAAGAAGGAGTAGGAGTGCGGGTGATGGGAATGCGGGTGGAGCTGGTGTATGGGCGGGTAGTGGACTCTGAGGCGGTCTCACCGTTGCCCTCACCGTTGCCGTTCCCGTTGCCATTGCCATTGCCGGGGGTCTGGGTCTCGGTAGCACCCTAGAAAAAAAGAATGTTAATTTTTGTTCCAGCTAGGGGAATCGGCAGCACGTACAGCAGTCACAGTCTCAGTGACGGTAGCAGTAACGGTAACAGCGCCGCAAGAACCAGAGCCAGAACCGGAACCAGAACCAGAACCATTGCCGGCCTCACCGGAGGGAGTGGGAACCTCAACGATAGTGACGGTCTCGGTCTTGGTGCTGTTGATAGTAGAAGTGCGAGTGCGGGTGATGTCCCCAGCGGACTCGGTGGTCGAGGCTCCAGAGCCAGACTGGATCTCAAAGTTAGTTCAAAGTTACAAAGCATAAGATATCAGAAGAGCACATACGGCAGTGACGGTGTGTTCCTGGGTGGCGGTCTTGGAGATGGTGGTGGTAATGACGCTAGTGGAGGTTCCAGAGGTCACAGTGTAGGTCACAGTAATGGAGCCATCGCCAGGGACGTCAGTGCCAGCGGACACACCGGAAGAGGACTTGGTGGGAATACCAGTAGGGCGAGAGCTGATGGGAGTGCGGGTGACCACAGGCTTGCTGCTAGAAGCGACAGGCGAAAAAGAGCCAGCAGGCACAGAGGAGCTCACAGCAGGGGTCGAAGCAACCGAAGAGGAAGGAACGACGGAAGGAGCAACGGAAGGAATGGAGCTGGAGGCCACCGAGGGAGCAGAAGAAGACTGCACGGTGGAAGATTCCTCAGGAGCAGACACGGCAGAAGAAGAAGCCGTAGGAGCTGGCTCGGCAGCAGTGGGCACAACGAGGACGGTCGAGGTCGAAGCTTCGGCACCAGGGGTGACGGAGCGAGCCAGGACGCGACGAGCATGCAGACCCTCGTGAGTGGCCTGGCCTACAGCAGCCAGAGCGGCCACAACGGCAACGGAGAACTTGTTCAAGATAACCATGATGAAGATATTGGTAACGACGGTGGATACCAAGAAAAAGTCAAGGTAGGATGAGAGAGATGTCAAGAGCAAGAGTGCGCGAGCAACCTTGGAATTTAGCGAGTGTTTAAGTGAGTGTGTTGAGGAAAGAGCGACAGAGCAAAGTGCGAAATCAATTCGCAGGGAAGGAACGTATGGCTTCTCACAGAGAAGGAAAAGAAGTCAAGAGCAAGAGATAACAAGCTTGAAGAAGTAAAGAAGAGAGAAGAAAAGAGATAGAGCCCACGTAATTAACTCATTTTCCTTAATTTCCTTAAATTTAAATTAAATTATACATATCAAATTTTAATTTATTATAGTATTATAGTAAGAAATCCTCCGTAGTAGTACGGAGTATCTTAAAATCAATTCAATGTTCCATTAAATGTCGGTAATACCGGTGGATCTACGGAGTACGGTATATGCATCTCCACTGTCTCAGGAACGGAAATCTCATTGGACCATTTGCATTTATCCCGAGCCCGTGGGCACCTGGGCTGTGACCTTTAATCTCATGTAAAAAATCTCATATGATATTGTTGCCTATGAGCCTCTTAAGCGACCTATTAAGGTGAGGTGGCGTTGGTGGCGTCACCGGCTATCTACATATCATTTTCGATAGAGTGCTTAATAGGGGGTCATTGAACTTGCGTTGTATGTTGTGTACCAAAAGCTTTTGTACTCCGGAGAGCATGTCCCCGAACGGCTTTTTAGGGCACGGACATACCAGCACGTGCATATATCAGAAATGTCTGACAATATCCGGGGCCACATCTATAGGCCCGTCTACAATGTAGATGCCAATGGGGAAACACAGCCCGAGAATCCAGACGATCATTGTAGAGAAAAATACGGCTAGGTCTCCGGGACTTTCGGGAAAAGGAATTGGAAGTTCTAATGTTCAGCCCCGACTCTACTCGGCTGTAATAATACGGGATACACAATACAACCTTGGAATGGCCGTCGGTTTCACATAAATCAGGCTCCCGTGTCCCAGGGTCCCCCGCTTTCCGCCAATTTTCGGGATATAAATTGGTCTTAGAAATAAAGATGGCATTCTGGACTCCACGGGGCAGTCTATCTACTAATTTCCATACTGATAAAGATGAAGATGTACACAAGTCACTCTAAATGCCGTCTGGACTGGAGTTGGTGGGGCACATTGATCAAATCTGCCGTCCACGGGTGTATCGGATGAAATTGATCAAAGAGGTCTAGGCTGGGCTACCAGCACGGCCCTTGTACTTCCAAGGTTGGGTCTTTCGTTTGTAAAGTGTTTCATTTCCCGTTGCACTGAAGCGAGAATTCAGAAAGCCTTGTTTGTGGAGAGGGATCATCCCTGTCATGCACAGAATTGAGATGTCGACACGGAGAAGCTTTCCAAGATGAAACATCCTGCTTGAAATTTCGCCCTGTCTCTACAACCCCTCCTCAACTCCGCAAATTGCTAGGGACAGTTAGTAATTGCTAGGAAATTCTCATAATTGAGGAGATCTCAATTCTGCGAACCATGGCGCATGCTGGAGCCATCTTCTGGCAATATCTAAGTCTTAGGATGTCGATCTCGATATCGAAGGCGGTGACGTCTTATCGTGACACCTGCCCAGATGCAATCCCGCATCACAACCTTGGAACCTTATAGATCACCTATGACGTGGAGTTAAACAATTGACATGTCCTTTCAAGCTCTCCGATCCCAGTATGCCTCACTGCTGAAGCGGTTTCTAACCTCGACCAAAGACTTCGAGGTCCTAACAACCATACCGCCCGATCACTCCGCAGAATCAGAAACACTCTATGTCTTAGATTCGTCCTTCAATCCCCCCACCCGCGCCCACCTCCGCATTGTCACCACGGCACTTCTAGAAAATCCCCAGCCCCGCCCTCGCGTTCTCCTCCTTCTCGCCACCCAGAATGCGGACAAGCCATCCAAGCCAGCTTCCTTCGAGGACCGGCTCGTGATGATGGAGCTGTTAGCTCGGGATCTCCGTGCCCACCTCGCATCGGCACCGGCCTTCGCCGCCTCGGGATTCACACATGCTGTCGAAACTCTCCCGTTGATTGATATAGGAGTCACAAAAAAGCCCTATTTTATCGATAAAGCTGCTGCCATAGAGACATCGGATTCTTACCCTGTGCCTCTGGAGCAGGTCCATCTTACGGGTTACGATACTTTGATCCGGATCTTCAATTCCAAGTATTATCCCCCGGAACATACCTTGGAGCCTCTGGGACCTCTCTTGTCAAAGCACAGGCTGCGTGTGACTATGCGGCCGAGCGATGAGTGGGGCGGGAGAGAGGAGCAGCTGGGGTATGTGGCGGCCCTTGCTAGAGGGGACCGAGATGACGAGGGTGCACGTAGGGAATGGGCCGAGAGGATTCAGCTTGTTGAGGGTCGTCTCCCTACTGATAAGCCCGTGAGTTCAACTAGAGCCCGCGAGGCGCTGCAATCGGCTCCCCAGGACCTGGACTGGTTGGTTCCTGAACAGGTGCGGCGGTTCGTGCTATCTGAACACCCGTATTCCGGAAATTCCAAAGTGTAGATAGACGGGTTAGCTACCGGGAGACTCCTACAGTCTATTTCCAACTTGTATAATGATAATGCATGAATGATTCATTAACCCATATTCACTGACACCGAGACCTGAGGTCACCCATGTCCCAAAACGCACAACTAAACCACTTTTGATACACATATTGTACACGACAGATCACAACACCAATAAGCAAATGCGATCTTTAGTTATGAGCCGTCTTGATCATGACGCATCCTCTTCCTCCTCCCTCTTACCTAGAGTGTACGCCAATCCACCACCGACCATGTTGACCAAAGCCAAACCCATAGTCGCACCGCGCACAACGCCCCGAACACCGAACTTCTTCATGAATGGCTGTCGACGGCGGGCTGCGAGAAGCAGATACAGCCCGGAGAAAGCTGCGCTGATGCCGGCAGTGTCCGTCTTGAAGCCCTGCAGGTTGGCATAGCTGGAGAAGATCAGCACGGGTGGGAAGAGCATCGGGAAGAACTGGAAGGGGCGCATGTGCTGGGCTGTGATCATCGAGGCGAGCAACGTGGGTGGGAATGAGTTTTCTAGGTTGAGAAACGACATTAGTGAGTGATCGCTTGCGACATTGCTTGCCTTGACGATTGGGTCAGGCTATTCATAGGCCACTTACCACCCCAGGCCCGGAAGCGCTGGATTACCGTCTGCTTGGTCTTCTCGACAGTCGAATCGTCCGCCATGTTGAGGTATTGAGCTTCGAAGCTGGACTTATTTGATGAATCCGGAAGACCGTTTGGAGCTTTGACAGCCAAGAATTGAGTTTGCTGCAGGTATATCAATGAGACCGGTGTGTTTTAATTGAACCGAATGGGTCTGAACAGCACTCACAATTGAATATCACCGCCTTGGAAAGGTTGGCAGGTTTATCAGTTCGGCAAGCGATGTTATCGCAAATGTCCAGAAGTTCCGGCGCTTGGCAAAGACACCTAAGACCACGCTTTTTCCCCAATTTATGCCCGCCGAATCAGCCACACCTTGTCACTCTGCTTTCGCTGCATCTTGATCAGGCCGATATTTTACTCTGGCCATCTCATCGCACGTTTGATTAATCCGCAAGCCCAACCATATCTCGTGCGGGATTGTTTCTCCTTTATCCGCGGTCCCACGCCACCCTACAACATACGCCCTCCAGATTCTCTCGAACCCCCCCTCTTCCCTCCTACACCAGCAAATAAGTGGCATTTAGGATTTATCGTATTTCCCTATAAACTACGATTGCTATGCCCTCGGCTTCGGCATCTGGCTCTGACGCCAAACGCGGGGGTGCGACGTCGCGCGACCATCAGCAGGGCAACCAGGATCGCAAGTACACGGATGACCAGAAAGCCGCTGTGCTTCGGATCCGAAAATGCCAGCCTACAGCATTCTACGAAATTCTACTAGTCGAGCGCTCTGCAACGGACAACGAGATTAAGAAGGCGTACCGGAAACAGAGTTTGTTGACGCATCCCGATAAGAACGGGTATGAAGGCGCAGATGAGGCGTTTAAGAGTGAGCAATGACCAACCCTGGCGTAGCTCTTGACATATTGATTCTTACCCGCAATGGCAGTGGTCTCACGGGCTTTCCAGATCCTCTCCGATGAGGAGAAGAAGTCCAAGTACGACAAATTCGGCGGCGATCCTGATAGCAGGTTCCAGCCCGGACCGAGTGCTTCGAGCGGCGCATCCCCCTTCAGTGGGTTCGGCGGTGGTGGTTTCCCCCGTGGTGGTGCGAGATTCGACGAGGAGGTCTCAGCCGAGGAGATGTTCAACCGGTTCTTCAACGGTGGATTTGGCGGAATGGGCGGTGGTGGATTCGGTACTACTACGCATCCCTCTGGTATTCGCTTGACCTAAACTAATCGTGTTCTACTATAGGTGGTCCGCAATTCGTCTTCAACATGGGAGGCGGCCCGGGTTTCCGAGTGCATCAGTTTGGAGGCCAGGCACCCCGCCGCAGACCTCGCCCAGCAGCCACCGAGCAGGAAGCTCAACTCGATGCCCGCAGTTTCCTTCGCCAACTATTGCCGCTTATCATTCTATTTATCCTGCCGCTCCTCTCCTCTCTCTTCTCTGGCCCCTCGACCTCATCCGGACCCTCCTATCGCTTTGATACCCCGTCTCCCCGCATACACTCGGCCGCTCGACTCCGAAACTTAATCTCAATTACTTTGTGAACCCCCTCGATGTGGATAACTTTAGTGCCCGAAACTTCCGAGAGCTAGACACGCGCGTGGAGGTGGAATATGTCAGGACACTGCGGAATGAATGTGACGCCGAAGCCCATGAGCGGGAAAGAAGGCTGCAAGAAGCGCAAGGGTGGCTTTTCCCTGATGTGGAGAAGATGAAGAAGGCTCGTGCAATGGAGATGCCGAGCTGTCGACGTTTGGATCAACTGAAGATGAAGGGGAGATACTAAATGAACTGCGGGCTTTGGAGGCTTACGCCGCATCTTTTCATGGCATCTTGTTTTTTTGTTGGGCTCTTTTGCAAAAGAACGTGCTCTAATATCATTAGCCCATCCACAAAGGTGGCATCTATGGGAGTTTCCATTAACTGTATATTTTATTTTTCCTAGAGTTTCGAATGCATCTAAGATATCACTGACTTTGTCTTCTTTCTCCTGAGGTTTGGTTAAACTGCGATATTTGGTTTCATCTCTGATGTCAGGTTCCGGTTGAGATGCATGGAGATATATCGCATCACAGTAATGTTTGTTGAGGTTGTAGCCATAAATCTGTTATGGCTTGACGTATTGATATCAAATAATCTGATAGTTCAACATATGAAAGAATACATTCATAGAAAGGACTATAAGATGAGTGTACCATGCACATACGTACAGAGAGTGACTTTGGAGGTACATAGCTTTATGTGGGAAAACCTTGAAATCAGAAGTACCTGTCCTGTATCTCACCCAACCATGGACAATGAGATTTGCTTAGTCAAATTTGATCACGGCCCCGGGGCGCTGAATCTCGAATCAGAACAGAAACGAATCTCGGCGATCATCACGGAATCACAAACATCTCGTTCACCTTCTCCAGATTCTATACTTTCCCCCACTTTTGGAGGCTTAGGAGCAGCCTTATTCCGCTTTCACGCCTCCTTATGATTCCCACACGATCACGACAATATTGAGATTCTGCCGACCCGATCCACCAGATTAGCGGTCTTGCCAAACTTTCAAAAGCGGCTTATCGTCTGACTTGCAGTCAATATGTCGGACACACTTTCTGATGCAGACAAGGTCAGTTACTTGTTGTGCTCAAATTATGAACCCACCCCGCCCCCGCAGTGACACGAAGACTGACATCTCTTTTCGATAAAAAAAAAGATTCGCAACAAGCGACTTGCGAAGCTCTCAAACCCGGTCCAGCCCTCCGGAGACGGCAACTCTGAATCGGCACAGAGCTCAGCTAACACATCTCCGTCACATTCACCACTGTCCACTCAGCCACCGAGCCGTCTTTTCAACGCGCCACCAACCCCGCAGCAGTCAGAAGGGAAGCGGATCAAGATCACACCGGCCGCGGCTACACCAGAGCGACCACGATCCGCCGCTCCCTCAGCCCCGAGCACTCCTCCACCTCAGAAAATTGAAAGCATCGAGGCTTTCGAAGACCGGACACTAAGCGCCGTGTTCAGAGTGACCCTCAAGGAAGAAGGGCAGCGTGATATTCATGGCAACCGCACATACTTGCCCGGACTTCGGACTGAACTGCAGGATGAGGGCCAGGATCTGCGCATTCAGGTCGCGGTTCTAGATCAAGCCCTCCTAGAGGCCGCATCAAAGGCCGAGAGAGCAGCGTCCCCTTGACTATCTGCTGCCATGCTGGAAGCGCATCACAAAGCTGTACAAGGGATTGAGGCGGACGGGAGATGAGGACCCAAAGTATCAGGTTCTCTGCGAGGCGCGGCGCCTGTGCATGAGCTACTGTATCTTTGCGATTACGATGCCGGAGATGTTTGGGTTCGTTTTTCTGGAATGCCACTGCACTGGCACTGGATACTGACTGTCAGGGCTATAGGAGCGAATGGTCCCCGCAATCATCGTTGGCCTCGTACCTTCTCATCGACCCTGAGGATGACAGAGGAATCGATTTCGAATTTATCAACGAGGCTGTCAGAAGATTTGACGAAGATGACTCTGTCAAGCCTGCTTTCATATCTGCCGTCGAGCAGTTGAGCGCGCAGCTTTCTTCTATGAATGTTAACGATGACTACAAATCGTACGCTATTGTAAGTCAAACGTCGCAATTTCTTTGGAACACGTCTGACCAGTTTGTTCAGGCTCTTCGAAATCTTGTTCGCCACGGTTCTATCGCTGCTGCAATCACGGAATCGTCCATTTTTAACAACACGAAGGACCCTGCTCAATTCGAGAAAACCACTCTTTTGGGTCCATGGTTCCGCCTCTCACCTCTCCAAGCTAACGTCACCATGTCTTATTTCTCTAGTCCCAAAACCCGGGACCAGGCTTACATTTCCAATGCCCAGCGATCGCTTCGAATGACACAGCAGATGCTTAGCTCTGATCTTCTTGACGTTATCAACCATCTCATTCGGGCCTCCAAAGAGGCTCGGGACCGTGTTTTGGATTGGTTTGCTACTGCTATGAACATCAACCACAAACGACGGGCGATGCAGGTCGACCCTGAGCAAGTATCGTCTGACGGCTTCATGTTTAATCTAACAACTTGCCTCGATCAGCTCTGTGAGCCATTCATGGATGCAGCATTCACCAAGATCGACAGAGTTGATGCAGATTATCTCCACCGCGATTCTCGTGTTGACATGCGGGATGAGACCAAAATTAATGCCGATCAGCATGCTTCCGACGCTTTCTACTCCAAGAAGGTTGAAGGAACCTCAAACTTTATCACTGAAATATTTTTCCTGACTGTCGCAGCTCATCACTACGGCAGTGAATCATTGACGTCAAAGATGGAGCAACTCGAGAAGATGTGCGACATATGGAGAGTACAATCACTAAATTCGAACTCGAGCGAGTTCGCTGGCTTAACAATCCGCAGCAATTGCGCACCTTCGATACGGCCCTGAAGAAGTACAAAGACAAGCTCGACCTTGGTATTGCTCTCAAGTACAGTCTCCAGGGTGTGTTGTTTGACGAGCACTGGCAGGCTCGTTCCATGCTATTCATGCGATATGTTACCGTGTGGCTTCTGAGACTTGTCTCGGGAAAGAACTTCCCCAAGGAACAGGTTACCCTTCCTCTTCCAGAGCAGCAGCCTGAAGTCTTCAAATGTCTACCAGAGTACTTCTTGGAGGACGTTGTCAGCAACTTCAAGTTTATCATGTGGTGCATGCCACAGATCATTACTGCCACCCAGGGAGATGAGTTAGTAATGCTCTGCATCACATTCCTGGAGAGCTCCGCCTATATTAAAAATCCCTACCTGAAAGCGGGACTGATCTCCATTCTGTTCCGAGGCACCTGGAAACGCCCTGGTGGCGCCAGCGGTGTTTTGGTCGACCTGCTCAACTCAATGCCATTTGCCAACGAGCATCTCCTCCATGCGGTCATGAAATTCTACATTGAGGCAGAGTTCACGGGAACGCATTCGCAGTTCTACGACAAGTTTAACATCCGTTACGAGATCTTCGAGATCATCAAGTGCATCTGGCCCAACACACTGTACCGGGAGAAGTTGTCCATTCAAGCCAATCGGAACCTGGATTTCTTCGTCCAATTCGTCAACCTCCTACTGAACGATGTGACTTATGTACTCGACGAATCCTTCGGTGCTTTCAAGACTATCCACAACACTCAGACAGAGTTGAATACACAGGGCAACTCAATGGATGACGCAACCCGCCAGCAACGGGAAGAGCATCTGTCATCAGCGCAGCGCAGCGCGAAAAGCTACATGCAACTGACTAACCAAACCGTATCAATGCTCAAGCTATTCACCGATGCGCTTGCTGACTCGTTCACAATGCCTGAAATTGTGCAGCGACTGGCAGATATGCTGGACTACAACCTTGACGCAATGGTGGGACCCAAGAGCTCGAACCTCCGAGTGGATAACCTGCAGGAATATGGCTTTAACCCCCGCGCTCTTCTGAGTGAGATTGTGGATGTCTATCTTAACTTGATCAACAAGGAAAACTTCATCTTGGCAGTTGCCCGTGATGGTCGATCATACAAGCCAGCCAATTTCGAAAAGGCGGCCGATATCATCCGAAAGTGGTCACTGAAATCCCCCGAGCAGCTCCGTCGCTGGAGTCAGCTGCAGAAGAAGGTCCAGGCTGCCAAGAAGGCCGATGAGCAAGCGGAGGAAGATATGGGCGAGATCCCTGAAGAATTCCTCGGTATGTCCCCTTTATCTGGACACTGTTTTTCGACAGCTACTAATATTCTAGATCCTCTTATGTATTCACTCATGGATGACCCAGTCATCCTTCCCAGCTCGCGGATCTCCATCGACCGCGCCACAATTCGCTCGCATCTCCTCAGTGATCCCCACGATCCGTTCAACCGTGTCCCATTGAAGATCGAAGATGTGGTGGCTGGTAAGCAATTTTCCTTTTTTCCAGGTGTTGATCCGCTACTAACCACCTTTCTTAGACACCGACCTTAAGGCCAAGATCGAGGCGTTCAAAACAGAGAAATTAGCTGGCAAACGGAGGGAAATGGTACACGATCGGATGGACACATCGACTTAAGGAGGGTTTTTATGATTTAATTCGCAAGCTTGCTTGTTTAGGGGCATTTCCATTAGCGTTCACGGGACAGAATACTACACTCCGTTTATGTGGAATTATGCCCCTGGGTTATTTACATGTGTGACTTTTTGTCGAGTAGAAATCAAACGAACCCAGTCCTGTCGCTAATTCGCTCACTCTGTGCAATTTGCCTGCTGTCATACCCTTTGTAGTTATAGGAGGGATTTCGTTTGCACGACTGTGATTCGAAGTAGTACACTCCTTAAAGTTGACAATTCACACATTGTCTCGCCAAAAGCTGTCCTCTTGATCGGTATTCCTAGAACTATTTGCTTTTTGAAAAAAAAAAAAGATATAGAAGGAAAAATAAGTAAAAGAGGAAGAGCAAAAAGAAACAGGTGAAGTTGAATCCTGTGTAGCTCCTTATCCGGGACCCACCGCCTTCCGCATCACAAGCTTTTAAGCTTCTTGTTTATCCTCCGCGATCTTCTTCTTCTCTTCAACTATCAATATGGGTGCGACTATTTCCACTTGTTGGGGAGCTCTGCCCTCCACTGCAGAGCTCTTCCCCCCAAGTCCGACTGTCTACACATCAGTTTTATGCTGTTTCCAATACTTCCCCCTGGTCAGGACCCTGAAGCCCTAGAATATGCTACAAACACTAACTCGGTGCATTTAGATGACAGTAATTCAATGGATTTTGTCCTGGCATCCAGCAGGCAAAACCTCCTCGCAGTCCATCTTCAACATCCCAGGTCGTATCGCCTGGTCTGCCATGGAGATTGTCGGCCCTATCAACTTGATATATAGCATGGTCACTTCATCGCCATATGCACCCTCATTCACTGATCTCCCCAAGTCCAACATCCTCATTGTAGCTCTGTACTGCATCCACTATTTCAACCGAGCTATCATCTCCCCTTTCTTCTCCGCCCCCAGCATGTCCCCAATCCACGCCGCCATCATGTCCTTCGCCATGGTCTTCAATTGGTTCAATTCGGCCTGTCTGGCCGGATGGTTGCGTGGATATACAGTCCCAACTATCCCAAACTTCCACACAGCCAGCAGCGAAAGTCCATCTCCTCGCTCTGCGGTTGTCGATCTCCTCCCAACCGTGGGCGTAATCTTGTTTGCCATCGGAATGGCCGGCAACATCTACTCAGAGACAGCATTGTTCCGACTTCGCCGCGAAGAAGCTGAAAGACGCGCTGCCAAAAAGGCAGATGATGGACCTCCGGCGCGAGCCGAAGCACAAGGAAGCCGAAACAAGTTCCACAAGGTCTACGTCATCCCGCCTTCCCGTGGTGTCTTTAGATACATCTTGTATCCGCACTACGTCTTTGAATGGCTCGAGTGGATTGGCTTTGCTCTCGCTGGTACGGCGGTTGCCCCATTCTCCGCCCTCCCCGCCTCTGCGTCGACATCTTCTGTGGGGATCACTCCCCCGCTGCGTCTTGCGCCTTGGTTGGTGCCTGCTGCGTGGGCGGCTGGTAAGCTCGCTGTGCCGCTGCATTTGCCTGCTGTGGTGTTTGTTGTCAATGCGGTCACGAATATGTTGCCCCATGCGCGCTGGGGACGGAAGTGGTATGTTGAGAAGTTTGGGGAGAAGGCTGTCGCTGGCAGGGGGGGCTGTTGTCCCTGGCTGTGCGTGGATGTGAAATTGAGGTAGCTCCTCCTGATGGCTTTTTTCGTTTTTTCTTTATTTCTATCTTTTTAGTGACTGGCTTCTGGCTTTGATATCCAAATACGAACTATTTTTCTATGTGACCGAACTTGAATCACTCGGAAATCATGTCTGAGACAAAAGAGAAGCCCTTTCTTCGGATCGTGAGCGGGAATGTAGCGCGTTTGCGAGCCCTATCCCAGTACGAAAATGAGATATCAGCTATCTTTTACTAGTAGGATGTGTAACAAATGGGAAACAGACCCTTTCATTTGCCGCCCATACACAGCCTGTGTGGCTATATACGTACTCTTTTGGGTATCAATATACATAAATTTGCCAAGGTATAACTCCCAAATACAAAATTAAACCCTATCCTCCGCATTGACACGCAACCCACTCAGCGATCCCATCCTACTCAACTTCGAAACAGCGGGAGGACTGGGCGGCAGCTCTGGGGGATTCTGCTCACGCGAAACGATGACCTCAGTCGTACGAACGATGCCATCACCCTGAATAGGCAATATCCGCTCCTCACTAGAATTGCTTCCTCGACTTCCAGCATACGTCGCCGAGCCCGTCGTAGAAGCCATCTGAGAGCGCTGAATGTTCGGCTCAGCGTCGTACTCGGCGATACTGAGATTACCGCTTTTATGTCGGGATTGTAGCGGTGCGCCCCTCGATCGAGACATCGAGTGCATTTTATATTTTTTGCTGCCAGGGTACTCGCGGCTCGTTTTTGATTGCGAGCCGTATGTGCCGAGGAATCTCTTGAAGAGTGGTTTGAGGGTTGGGAGGGTGCCGGCCATGATACCTGTGTTGCATTCCGTGCTGTTGTTGGTTAGTATGGTGTTTGCAAGATGGTCTTCGGATGCTTGTAGTATGGATAACTTACACGACCCAGATTGTGAGGTTCGTATAATCCCAGAGGAAGTCGCCGGTTCGGCCGTAGTTGGGGAGGATTGAGAGCTTGACGAAGGCGGCTGCGCAGGCACTGTGAAGGAAGTAGGATTATTAGTATGGGTTGTAATAGGATTGGATGGGAAGTCACTCACAATATTCCCAGGCCCAAGATGCAGATTAGAGAGGCTTTCACTCGGCGATTGACTTGAAGATGACTGTCGATTATTGTATTAGTCTCTTATCTGAAAAGGCGATGTCCATGAAGTATACCGTAGCATGAAGACCGGTAGAACTGCGAAGATCAGATCGGTGAGAATATTCAGTGCTATTCGAGTTAGGATATGCTTAAGTATACCCATACGTATCAATCTCACCAGTGTTTGTATAGCTCAGAGTCAGAAGTTGTGTGGGAGTAAAGCACTTCGACCTCACCGAGCTATCCCAATTTGATCGGATGTCTTGACACTGAAAGATAAGAGTCTATAATGAATGAAGCTGTTAACTGCTGCCCGCGATCGAATGTGGGTATAAGTTACGCGCCAAGAAGCAGATTGCAGTGTAAAGTGTCATGAGGACTGCCATAAATCGGGTTCGTCAGTAGTGGATCAGAGAAAAGAGATAAAAGCCTTTACTCACCAATGACCACCCAGATGAAGACCTTATATCCTTTCCGGGGTGCGAAACGAAGCAAAAATAAGCCAATTGATATCTTCACCAGGCCAATAGCCCACATGTAAATACCCTGGGTAGCGTAGTTCAAATGCATTGCCGTTACGGCCGTGTCTTGGACGTAGACCATATGTCTACCGGCACCATATTTCACCTCGGGGACGATAATGGCGAAGCCACAGACAGACAGCAACATCGTTAAGGCCATTGTATAATCATCCCATCCGACATTGCGAATGAGGAATACGCGCACGTAGAACCTAGCCAAGACGGTGATTAACGCGGCGACAGTGGTGATAGCAGTGGCTATGATAATTCTAGGTCCTTGGTTAACATCTGGGAGGCTAACAGCTCCGCTATGAGCACTGTCCGACATGACTGTCGTAAAAGTTATGGAGGGCTCGACATTGAAAGGAAGAATTGGACAGGGATTATACAAGGGAGGGCAAATCGGGCGGGGCCATCAAAAGTATTAGCAGATTTAATCCATAGTGCATCGGGTCATAATTTTAAGATTACATTCAGCTCGACCTACAACAGTTGTGGCTTCCTAAGCCAAGGAAGACAGTGGGTTGAGTCTCGTATGGGGCATTCATCTATTATACTCAAGACCGTAGACCAATTGCCTGTTTCTATCATCTCTTTCACGTTCGGGTCGACACTCCCATTTCGGCTGTTCATAAGCGATGGTGCACATGGAATAAGACACAAAGCCATTCTCGGCGTTCAAGCTTGGTCCAACGCTAGGTTCGGAAGAATGCTTTTAACCCAATAGAATATGTTCTAGAATACGCCTCAGACCCGAGAACTGGGATAGTAGTTGGTCATACGAAACTTGGCCAATGAGCAGACTTGGTACTTCGGTAAGAAAAGCGCCTGAAAGGAGATGAGAGCCTCGGGTATAGAGGAAGGTTGCATTGGTGGATTACAGTTTATCGGAGTCTACCCAGCTAGGGCACCGGGGTGTCTCTTCCGAGATTGGCTTTTGACTGAATTCGATTTGGGATCTTGATGTGATTGGGTCTGTCGCTTAGCTGAATTTGCCAAGCCGCTGACCTCGGGAGGAACAAGGGGGCCACGAGGTTGCTGTCTTTGGTGGTATCGTTGCTTCAGGTTGATTAGTACCATTTGGTTTCTTCTATATCTGCGTGTATCTTGGTGATCTCCGGATTATAAAGGGTCGGTCCGTGAGTGGCCCGAAGAGAAGATGGAAGTGATCGTCTGGGAAATGTCCGGTGTGGTCTCGTAATTTGCCCGTCTGTCCCGGCGGTGGAGAAAGCGGAACCTGGCCCGGTGCCCTAAATGGTCCCAACACAAGGGGATCTCGCGATTATGGAGACTTTTATGCAAGAAAAAAAATGGATAGTGGCACGACTATCTTTTAGTTCGAGTCAAAAGTCCGAGATAGGGGTGATTGGCAAATGCATTTAGCTTAAATCGACAATCATGTCCGGATTCCTTCTTGATCAACATCTCTCCTAAAACTCTTGGTGTGGAACTTACTGGTCTTTCAGAGGTTCAAATATTCAACTCACCATGGTTGCCGTTTCCATTCTCACTCTGGGAGCTTTGTTCGCACAGGCGTGGGCTATGCCCACTGCCACGGAGAGTGCCGTTGCGAGCGCTGCGACTCCCACCGCTGCGTCCACTTCCCTGCCGGTCGCTGAGTCCCAGCTTGACGACCTGGCTGGGCTGGCATACAACAGCAGCATGAATAGTGTCTCGAGCGACTCGGACATTGAGAAGCGCGGTGGTTGTTCATTGAGCAACCTGCGCATTCGTCGCGATTGGAGGGCTTTCTCTACCAAGCAGAAGAAGTCCTACATTAAGTCCATCCTCTGCCTCCAGGAGTTGCCTTCGCTCACTCCCTCCGACAAGGCCCCTGGTGCGCGGTCCCGTTACGACGATTTCGTCGCTACTCACATCAACCAGACCACGGGTATCCACTACACCGGAACCTTCCTGGCATGGCACCGGTACTACATCTGGAACTTCGAAGAAGCCATGCGCAACGAGTGTGGCTACACTGGCGACTTCCCGTAAGTCTGACGATCCTCCGCATAACAAAATCCCTAACCTCTAACATAACAACAGTTACTGGAACTGGGGCGCTGACGCCGCCAACCTGGAAAAATCCCAAGTCTTCGACGGCAGCGACACCTCTATGTCCGGCAACGGTGCCTACACCGAATCCACCGGCGACATCCAGCTAAGCCTGGGTACCTACCCGGTCATCCACCTGCCCACCGGCACAGGAGGCGGCTGCGTCACCAGCGGCCCGTTCAAAGACTACTCTGTCAACTTGGGCCCGGTCGCGCTGATGCTGCCAGGAGGTGAAACGGAAAGCACAGCCAACCCGCTTGCATACAACCCCCGCTGCCTGAAGCGCGATCTAAGCTCCAAGATTGTCCAGGACTACGCTAACTTCACCGCGATCGTGGACCTGATCCTGCGCCACGACAACATCTACGACTTCCAGATGAACATGCAGGGTGTTCCTGGGAGCGGCAACATCGGCGTCCACGGTGGTGGTCACTACTCCATGGGCGGTGATCCTTCTCGTGATGTGTTCGTTAGCCCTGGTGACCCTGCTTTCTGGCTCCACCACGGTATGATTGATCGTACTTGGTGGATTTGGCAGAACCTGGACCCCAGAAAGCGTCTGAATGCTATTTCGGGCACTGGTACTTTCTTGAACGGCCCTCCTTCGCCTAACACTACTCTTGACACGCTTGTTGATATTGGTTATGCCGGTGGCGAGACTGTTGCTATGCGGGATCTCATGAGTACCATCTCTGGTCCTTTCTGCTACATCTACCTGTAAACTGTGATGGTAAGTTATTGGCTGTCGATACCTACGTCCCGGATATAGATTGGACGGTTGGAAGTTGCCAAGAAAGGACGGAGTGGCAGGAGTCATATCAGTATTCACAGCATAGAATTGTATATAATCCATGATTTAGACCTCATAGACCTCGAGAATAAAGTCTTAAAGTAACTTTGAATATTTATCCTCACGCAGAATATCTCTATCTGACCATAGTTCGGCCTAGTCAAGAATAATATAGCACTCCGAGATCTATAACCAAAAGAGATCACTACATCCTCCACCGCGAGAGCATCATAATCGGAACCCACAACCATGACAAAGGAAGGAAAGAGCCCTGCGTCGAGGAATCGGGCGTCCCAGCACCATTCGCAACAGCAAGGTAAGGATCCTGGCCATAAGTTGTGTTTAATGTGACACGAGCTTGGGCGGATCCATCTTCCAATCGAATCCACGTCTCTGTGTCATCTCCGAGATTGCCCTCGTGGAGCAAAATCTGCCGTCCACCGCGGAGCAGATCGCCATAGCCGCCATACCCCGTATGTCGACCGTAGCACATATTGATACCATTCCCGGTCAGATCATGATCAACAAGAGAGCCATCCCATTTAAAGCACCTGCGATGTTTGATTAGCGTTTCCAGTCATTTAAGTGATGATTATTGCCTAGACGTGCATACCAATCATTCTGGTGATCGTGGCCGCTGAACCCTGCGATTAGGCCTTCGGTGTGAAGGAGCGCGTCCATGAACTTGACATCCTGGCCATCGTAGCTCCAGTCGCCGGTTCCTTGCGGGTTCACGCGCTCGCGATTCACTCCGGGCGTTAGGTGCGGATTTACGCCCCTTCTTTGTTGGTGTTCAAGCATTGCGTGAGCGGGGATGTGGTAGAATGCTAGCGAGGGGATGACTTTTCCATACTCCTCTTTCAGTTTGGAGTTGGTTTTTGTGAACCAGTCAACGACCTTGTAGCCAGTTAGTGATTTCTTCCAAAATGTGGCATGACCAGGGGGTTTCCTACTGATTCATCAATCCAACTAGGTCTCTTAACAGCAGGGCCGCCCTCTCCTTGCTTTTTATAGTAATGTCCACCCTTCGAATCAAAGAACCACAGTAGCAGCACCGGCGTGCTAGTATCCGCCTGTCCGTGCGAAAACACCGGCAGGTAGTAGTTCGTTATTCCGGCCTTGTCGCCGGAGACTCTACTCTGCGTCAAGCTGTTGGGATACTTGCGCTCGGCCTCGAACATGTCATCTTTCGGGTTGAGATTAACCTCGCTGTCATGATTGCCGTAGGTCGATGCCCAGCTGTACCCACGGTCGACGAGCGGTGAAACAACCGAGTCGATATATTTGCTTGAATCGGCCTTTTGGGTTCTTTCGCCGGAGACTAGGTCGCCGTTTATGACTACGAAGTCGATGTCCTCCTCCGAGAGGATGTATGACATCACTTCTTTGGACTTCCTGTCTTTTTCATCGTCTGCAAGGGCTTAGCAAGAGCCTCCTAGGGGTTATCGAGACATACCCTCGGCGAAATGCAGATCCTCAAAGACTGTAATGTGAAATGTCCCATCTTGTCTAAATCGAAGGGTTCGATCCCTGGGTGCTCTGAGGACGACCTGGTCCGATGCTCTGAGGTCCGGCCGAGGTACCATATTGACATTGATGTTAAATGGAAAGTTATCGAGTGCGGGGAGATTGGCTTTTGCAAGGTTTAGAGATATTCACGTGCTGTCTCAGTCCATCACGTCAGTAGTTTCGTGCCAAGACATTCTATATTAATTTGGTCATTTAGTTCCTGGACATTCTGGAATTGATAGTCCCCGAAATAATGTATCTAGCCCTATAAGGACTGGCCCCTTTTGTTCAAAATGGTATTGTATTCGGAATCCCGGTTCATCGAAGTGTTTCAATGGTAATGCTACTGTGTTTATACCCATGCTATTCAAATGTTCCTATCAAAAACCATAACTATTCCCTGATTATGCATAGAAGAGTCGTCTGTATTGTTTACACTGTTACCCGCCATTTCCTACCGTCTACCTATGAAACTGAGAAGGGGAGAAAATATCTATAGCAAGGACATATAAGGAGACCACCAAAACGGCTGGACAAGGCCGCATGCTATTCTTGTATACCAGGTATAACACCGTACATGCATTCAGCTTAACCACAATTTCTCCGTTATGTGACACAGCACGTAGTCCACGGGCCCACGGCCCCGGGGATGAGGTTAGGATAGGTATGCGTAGACAAGATGACAAAATACAGATGTAACGAAGCCATAGCGCCAAAAGAATAAAGTCAAAGGCCAATTTGGTATGCCTACAAATAACCAAACGCCTTCGTTACTCGAAAAACAACACAAAGAAAGAACGAAATCCCGACCTAGGAGGTATCCCCTGTCGGCGAGCTGGCAATCCACTCTGCAAGGTCTTTGTATGCGACCGAGGTTTCCTCGGGAAAATTGTAGAGCTTAGTAGTACGTAGGAAGAGGGTCTCACCGTTGGAGTAGGCCTCAAAAGCGCGGGCACGTTTACCCGCAAATGAGACCAGAAAGACCTATAGAGTACCCCGTAAGCGACTACAACGGAAAGGGGAAATAGAAAACTGAAAATTAGAGGTCTAGAGGTGCTTTCTTACCGGTGCTTTCTTATGATGGAGGCGTACTTTCCTTAGCTGGCCCAGCATCACGCGGAGAATAGTCAAGAGCTCCCCACGAAGGATTATCTCGTCTGTCGCGTCCAGGCCGTTGTACATGGTGGTCTTGGTGTGAGGGAAGTCTTTCCCCAGAATATCTGTCATCCCGAAAGCCCCAAATTCAGGGTCATCATGCTTATACAAGTCTTTGTAAGGTCTGTAATCGTAAACACTATACCACGATATCAGTTATCAGAGCGAGAAAACTCGGGATAGTGGTAATCTCGCTCTCCCCTGGTCCACGGATCATCCCGGTCGTGGGGAATATAATACGACCAAGGGCCTGCAACTTGACGGGACCGGTCGACAGGCTCATTGAAACAGGTGTCCTCAAACGCCAAAGTCGAGCGGAGTTCATCATCGGTCTCCTCACTGGGTTCCAGAATGCTGGGGTGTGGCGCGAAGAAGAAAGGCTTGCGGGCTGTATCTCCTCTATCAAGAGTCATGCGCTGGTGGACAATACCATACTGCTTGAGTTGTGCCACGTCAATTTTGTGCTCATTTTTCTCTTCAAGCTCGTCAATAGCAAGCTCCATCTTTAACAAGAATCTAAGATTCTTGTAATGTCGGGTGATTCAGGAGACATGTTGTTTTGATATGTTTCGAAAGTGAGCAAGGCGAGGTGGGATGGATGAAGTGGATGAAAAGAGTGAGAGGGAGTGAGAGGGAGTTGGAAGGAGTAAATCCCGAGGACTTTTATCAATAGCCAAGTGAATACGGAGTATGTGATTCAAAGAAATGATGACAATATGGCGAGTGTCCACGGGTGGATAGGTGGATGAGAGTTGGGTTGCCGAGCGACGCGCCAAATGCAGGAGAGTGCCCAAATGGTCGCTTGGATCAAATCTGATGATGAAAAAGCCAAAAGTCGTCACAAGAGGTAAGTCATATTTCCTCCATTTTGTTATAGGTAGAGCTGACTTAACACTAGGCGTCTTCACGTATCTCAGCCTTAACAGGCATCAGGTATTCATAACAGTCGCCGAATATGATGAGAAATATCTCAAGTACCTCAACAACACAGACGCTTCAATTGGTAAAGATGACCAGGGCTTTCTAATCATGCACCAGTTTGGTCCTTGGGATACACTAAAGGCATCACACATCCGTGGCCGATTCTTCTGGCAATCAGCTTGCAAGCTGATGCTGATAGCAAGGCAGGATACTTGGGATTATGAGACTACCTATCTTACACTATCTGTTATTTCCTATGTGATGTTTATTTTGTTGTTACATGTATTGTGCCTATGTATTCACCCGATATGTTATTCTTGTGCTTACGCATACACATCTGCATACCCAGCGATGTATCAGTGTTTCGATTTACATCACCCGCCCCTCACTCTAGCTAGCGTTCAATTTTAGTTTGTTACGTTATACAACGTAGGAAAGAAGTCCGTGGGTTGGTCTGCGTCTGGTTACTAGATATGCCCATACACTCTCGGAATAAAGCGAGCCATAAAGTTCAAGGCATTTAGTAGATTCACCGCTCTATCATTTATAAATAAGACGTACGTAGGCAACGTTATCACTATATATGGCTTCTTTTGGGGCTGTTCTGACGACATATCTGCTATAGTGTGCAGAGTAGGATAGTAACGATCTCGGGATAGTTATTCTTAGACGCAATTGTTAACGGCTCGCTATCATAATATACTTAAAAAAGGGCGGTATTTTATCTTGGAGTGCCTTAATGGTCGATATCCGATCTATTCGAGCCCTTTAACGTTTTATTGCAGCTAGGACGGTAGCATCGGTATTCCTAGTTCTAGAAACACGCTTCGTGCCCGTATAACCGATCTTTTTTGTATCACCGACGGCTAAGGCTGCGAGTAAGGTATCTAAATAGAATGCGGCATCATCAAGTACGTTGTATCTGCGGTGATCTAATTTTCTCAAGGGATCAGATCTGCTGCTCTCTAAGAAAAGGAAGAGGATCAGATGGCTTGGAAGCTCCTATTATCTTTTATATATTAGTCGTAGATATTGTATGTATTTTCCTTCCCATATTTTCTGTCTTTTTAAGCACAAATTGAGCGGAGTGCCAGGAGCTGTGTGGATATGGTTACCGCTCTTTCATGATTTCCATCATGGCGTCCTACCTACCCATGTAAGTACTAACGCGGATGTCATCTGATTCGCTTTGCTGGAGATGATACTCAGTGCCATGGCCCGCAAGATAAAGGGGGGAAAAGAGAATGAGCCTAGCAACTGATGTCCACGACGAGCAACTTGATGATTGTTCATGTGCTGTCCGAGTTTGATACTCATTTCACACGTATCACCGACATTAAAACTAACGGAATGACATCCAAGTGCACGCCTCCATTTGATCCAAATAATGCCGTTGGCTTGAAAGTGAGTCATTGAACCAAGCAAGAACCCCTGTCTTTCCACCCGTGGGCTGTGTGATGCAGCCTGCAGGACCGCAAGCACATCCAACCTTAGAAGGGATACGAGACAAGAATGTCTAATGATGTAGGTGTAAGTGCGGCTTAGCGCCCAGAAGTTTGGTTGCTCTGCACCCAGCCCGAACACATATCTAGCTGTGAATTCCAGCAGCTCCTCGCATCCCCGTTCCCACATCGACTTTCTTTACATCTTGAAACAAAAATTGCCAAGCCACACATTGCACGAGAAACCCTCATCTGTTTATTGAAAGCAACTTCAAACAATGGAAGTCCCTGTCAGGGAGTCAATCAAGCAGGTTGATGAAAATACATGGCTCAATGGTGCCTTCATCCTCCTCCATCGTTCAAGCGGATATTCTGATACTGCAACTTGGTACGATCGGGATGACGACCTAAGCTACACCCTCACCGATGCACCTAACCCTGCACCCACATTCGTGCCGTTGCCTCGGGGTCATCCTAACATTGTACTAGTGTACGACGCTGGGGACTGCTCAGACGTATGGTCTATAGGCAATAGTGCCTTCTGCAAAGTCAAACTGCGAGTTAGTGGTACAACACGAGAAGCTACGACATTGGATTTCATCCGGAAAAAACAGCCAGGCTTCGAGACCCCTACTATCCTCCACCAAGCGGAATCTGACGGTCGATCATACCTTTTCATGGGTAGAGTACCAGGTCGAACCCTTGCGGAGGCTTGGCCTACTTTAGAGGAGAAATGGAAATTTCACTATGTCGATGCTGTGGTGAAAATCTGCCAAACCCTTGAGGGATGGAAGGGCAATATGCTAGGGGGCGTGGACGGGAACCATATCCCTGAACAGTATCTTATCAAGAACGGGGGTGAACATAATTTTCACCCTGAGAGCCTTCGACAGACATGCGAATCGATAGGCATGGACTGCTCCGAATTTGTTTTTTGCCATCCCGACCTAGGCCCTGGTAACATCATCGTGGAAGATGTCCCAAGGGTTGGGTCTGTTGGTATTATCGACTGGGAGATTGCTGGTTATTATCCTAGGGGATGGATCCGAACAAAGTTTCGGATATGTAGTGGATTGGATATTCCAAATCCGATGAAAGAACAGCATTGGTGGCGACGGGAAGTTCAGAAGTCACTTGGCGAACATGGCTTCGAGGATTACTCGGAAAAGTGGGGATCTTGGTGGTATTGATGCTTCAAAAGCAGGAAATGCCACATTAGGAGCTCGCTCCTCTCGCTCTCTGAGGCAACGCAGCATGCACAGGATCAAACTGGACCGCAATACCAACTACCTCGGTGAAATTTTTGACATACGCAGCAATCTTGGCGCATACTCCGCGGATAATAAGCTCCTTCCCCCCGGCGCTGATCGTAGTCTATTTATCCCGTATGCACCGGTCACGCTGGCTTTGGAGTGCTGAGAGGATATCGTGCAAAATACGTTTTGTGCCTGGAGATGAGGTACTTGATATGTTGAAGATGCGCTAGTGGGGAACTCGAGCACGAGGGAAATGATTGAACCTCATCGTTAGCATTGTTCGATATATATGCGCACCTTGGGCAAAGTTCTTGGGAAGGACCCAGTTCATTTAACGTCCACGAATATTTATACTCTCGTAAACCTCCATGGCTGACTTCCTTGACCCTGAGAGCACCGCGACGGTGAAGTTGCATCGTAGTCCCGGCGTTGACCAGATATGTAGAAGTACCATTATATCAAAGGAACTCAGAACTCAATCTCTAAAGCTTTAACAGACATTCAGGTACGTACTAGTATGTGTACCTACCTAGGTAGGTAGGTGTATATGAATTGTTTTGGTACGTCATGATCTACTTCCCCGCATAATATGGGGTAAACCACCTGACCTCTTCCAAGTTTGTATGACAAAGTATCAGCCCACCTGGACATCCCTGACTTGTTCTCTCCTTTTCTCTTTGCTACTTCCCCCTCTTCCTCTTAGCATTTCCCACACATCTACCACCATGACAAAATTCGCAACCATCGCCCCCGAATGCGAGGAGGTCTTCGACCAGGTCAAAGGCACCGACAACCTTAACTACGTCATCTACGAAGCCTCCGCACACGACAAGAAGATCACTGTCGCCGAGTCCGGCAAATACAAGGACTACCCCGACTTCCTCTCCAATTTCAAGGATGACACTGCCCGATACGCTGTCGTAGACTTCACCTACGACTCTCCCGCCGGCGATGGCCAGCGGAGCAAGCTAGTCTTTATCACGTGGTATGTACAAACACCTCCTATCACTTTCCCTCTCTCCTGGGAGGTGATCTCGCGATTCATGGAGAGTAACATGGTACTTACTGTTGGGATTGCGTGTAGGGTACCCGAGGGTGCAAGCATTCATGACAAATCTTACTACACGTCGAACAAGGATCATCTCTTCTACGAGCTCCAGGATATCAGTCTCCATGTTCTGGCACATTCCCGGGCGGACCTGGCTTATGCTGCAAGTATGTATACTCTGTGCCTGTGAACAATTGGCTCTATGGCTACAATGGTAGTACTCGGGGCTGACCTTTTTGTTTTTTACTTAGTCCTGGGGAAGTTCAAGGCTCTCTAGAGGGCCCTCAATCTTCAACATCCTTTTTAAATCCGGAAATCGCTGTGTGAAGCGCAATTCACAGATCATGGGTGATCTGGCCATACTGTTCTAGACACCTTATTTCGTTCATAATATTCTTACATATTTCCATTGTTTAGCTCTACCACACGTAGTAGATATATGAATACCTTCCAAAGAGTCGAAAGCTCGAGTTTATCATGATAGAATGATAGAACTTACCGACGTGCTTTTGGATGTTCGCTTTAGGTGTATACGAAGGCTGTACAGAGGGCTTCTCTATATAAACAGGGATCAATGTCATTTCATTTGAGACCTATGTGGCCCGGCTCTCCCCCAGGATACTAACCCGCTAATGCATGGAAAAAGAAGCAAAAAGCGCACTCATTATATGCATGTGTGTTCGATGGTCAAAAAGGACTCTGGAGTCAATGACATGCACGATAGATGGCTCGCATTCCAGTTCTTTCAAAAGAGACCAACCCGCTAAATCATGGATAAAACAGAATACAGATTGAGGACCAGGTTGCCAAAGCAGAGATGGTGTTACAAGGAATCACCGAGGTAACACTTCTGGCATGCACGATATATGCTCATAGTCATAATCATAAGATGCAGATAAAGATGAGCATGGGGTAATCATGACGCATAGAGAAAAAACAAAATTCTCTGAGACAGAGCGTAAAAATATTTCATAGTCGCTTAGCGACGGAAGAATGGCGCCTGGTTCGACGAGAGAAGCGAGTCGGCACGCTGGAAGACATCGCCCTCGAAGAATTTGTCACTGTATGCACTGGCCGGTGTGGACGGGACAGTGGCCTGCGCAGCAGGTCCGAGCGCCGCACTCAACGGAGTGGTAGGGACGGTGACCGATTGCGGGGGCGACATCATATTGAGTTGGAAAGAGGGGTTGTTGGCAAGGGCGGACGTTGAAACGGATGTTTGATGGTGTTGCAGGTGCGAGGTCTGTAGTGGAGGGCCGTACAAGCCACCAGGCGGAGGATGGCGGTCCGGGTCTGCAAGGTAGGCCCAAGGAGATACCTCGATCAAACGGCCTGCTTCGCGGCTTGCCTTTTGGACTGGGCGAAGGAGGATGATGACGTCGGCAGGTAGAAGCTGCATACTTCTCAACTCGCGCATCTCGTTCACTAGGTCGACGAACGACTGCATGAATGATTTGCATAGTTGCCAGAACTCGCGTTGGTTGCGGAGTCCGCCGCCTGGTTCTTTAATTTTCATGGTCGAGAGACGCTGTCCCAGGGCATCTGAAACTTCCAGGCAAAACTGACATCGACGAATGAGGTTGTTCCAAAGGATTTGGATTCCCTCTGAATCGCGTGACTTTTGTGCAGCTTCTAGACACCTTATGAATTGCCGACGGGCCAATGGAAGTGCCCCGTATGCGGCATGGTATGTAGCAGTCAGCTGATGGAAGATCTTTTCGAATATTCGCTCCTCTTCGTTTTCGTCCAGTCCAGTCAGTGTGTTGACCCGGGGAGCCCCAGGAGTAGGCATAGGAGGGAAGGTTTCGCCTGAGCGAGGGGTTGCCAACGAGTGTGGCATAGATGCGTTCATCATGTTTGATCTGCTACTCGAGCGACTGCGTGCGTACGTGGAGAAACCTGGAGAGCTAATGCTAGCCTGATTGGAAGTCATCGTCATAGGGTATTGAGGGTGCCGAATTGTTGTGTCGCTTCGCAATCGTCGTGTGGGCGGCGCCTGGTCCCTTGTCGGAGTGACCAGCGAGAGTTGAGATCGGTCTGGGACCGAGGGAAGTTGGTTACTCGGGCCAACCAAGGGCTTTGTAGCAGAGCTACCTTTGTTGGTAGTCTGGAGCGGAACTTCGAGAATGGCGCAAGCATTCCGTAGCTCTACCAGGCTGCCGAAGATCGTCAGCATCAGCGACCGTACATAGCGCGGATCGCCGTTGGAAACAATCTTAGCAACGTTGTTGCGTAGCTGCGTGCCGACGTGAATGTAGGAGGCGATGCACGTCTCGCATTCACGTTTGACAGTTTCGGTGACTGACGCGATTGACTCTGGGTCGTTGGACAAAGTATTTGATGCTTTCTCAAGAGCACCGTTAAGCCGGTCAACGTATGGGGAAGCATTGGAAAAGACAAGCTCGAGGCTGCGGCGCCTGGTGTCATCATGCTTGATAACGTTGATCAACGTATCGATATGGGAATGGACTTGTGCGAGGGCAAACAGAATACCTTTTGCACTCTTGATTATCGGTTCATCAGATCCACGCTCGCCCTTGTGTTCGGGCAGACTAGACATCCGATTAACCCAACCGTCTCGCGGACGCCGACGCTCTCTTGGGCTGGTGGGACTTGGGGTAGTACTGTCATTCGGAGCTATTGGCGCTGCAGGCTGACGCGCTCGAAGCACAGATCCATGGCTGAGGCCCCGTAGATGGCTGTTTCGATATGGGCGCGTTTCATCCAATGTACCCAAATCGGTATTTTTGCGAGTGATTAGTCCCATCCTTTTGCTACGAGCAACAGATGATCCTTGAATTATGCCCTCGCTATTGCTTCGGTTGCGCTCGTTCACAGAATGAGGCGCTAAGCCTGGTCTTTGGAGACCTGGCATGTGGTAAGTAGCGCCTTGCTGTCCAGAGGCCATGCGATAATGGGATTTTAATGGGATTGGCGGTGCCCGTGATATCGACGGAGACCGAGATGAGGCTGCTGAGCTATCGCCAGTGCTGGGAATTACTGGAAATCGACCACTCAAATTCCGCTTTGAAGGTATCGGTGTAGGTATCGGTGTTGGTACCGGTTTAACCTCGAAAGTACCATCGCTGTGTGGACACCGGCTGTTAGCTTATATCCACCTCAAGACAATGAGGCAGACAAACCTTGAATCAGTAATTATTTCTGGCTCAGGTGTACTGGTCTGTGGTCGCGTTTTCATAAGAAATCTTTTGAGTTTAGTCGTCGCTGCAACTTCTTTCTCGTTGTCGGTCATCCCAGATGGTGTCGTCTCGTTCTCGGTTTCCTCCAGAATGTCACGCAGTGGCTTCCGTAGAGGATTCCCAACACACTTGAAGATCTGAAGCTTATGCATCTCGGACAGGCCAGCTGGGAGGTCGACGAGTCGATTTTGCATCACTGACAGAACTCGCAATGATTTCAATTTACTGATCTCATTTGGTAACTCCTTGATCTTATTTCGGCTCAAATCAAGAATTTCGAGTAATGGTAGTTTGTAAACCTAGCAAGCAGGATTAGCGCAACAAGCACAAAGCAACTTTATCATTGTACGTACTCCTTTTGGGAATTCACGGAAGTTGTTTGCTCTGATGTTGAGATAGCGTAGATGCGAACACTCTGCAAATCGATAAGGGATATGGAAAAGCTGGTTGTTCGACAGAGACAGCCTTTATAGTAATCAGTATAGTCCAGAGCAATGATGCCATAGCCCAGGAACCGGCAACGCAAGATTTGACTATAACAGTTCAATCCAAGGCTCCGACGTACCGTTCAACCTCATCCTTGATCAAGTCAACGACTGGTTCAGGGATCCTGGCAATGTGTGAATGGCCAAGGTCAATGGTCAGCTTAGGCTTGACCACATCTGTAACGGCCTCGCTGCCTGCTAGGGAACGCTTGGTATCTTGAATACCACTTTCAACGGCATGTCGCGCTAGCTCAATGGTTTCCTCAGGGCTAAGCGTTTTCGGCCCAGTTGGTTGCTTGCTAGTACTCTCTGGCGCATCTCCTAAAGCAGTGCTTGGCCGACTTTCCTCATCGGGGTACGGAGAGTCATCGTTTTGTGACGCCAGGAAGCTACTCGGCTCCGGTGTTCCATTGTCCATTTCATCTTCATCTACCTCGCCGCGGTGCAAGCACGGTCCACGTATTGTGTCCTCGGAACGAGTCATGGCGGATGTCATGGCGGATAAAAGCCCGAATGTTGTCGATCAGACACCCCAATGCAGCACTTTCGTTGATGAATTGATATTGTTAAAAACCAAAAGAAAGTACAGGTTCAGCGACCAGTACCATATAAGCACACTTCAGGCACCTGCGCAAAGCATCGTTGGTTGTGATCAAGTCGGAGAGGCGGGCTATCTGGACGTTTGACAGGGAACGGAGCTCGAGGCGGCCGTGGAGTCGGAGTGGAGGAAGGGGAATCGGAATCGCCAAGTGACGAAGCAGTCGGGTATCAGATGGTCGAGTTCAGAGCAGATTTGTTTAACACCGGGGGAAATAGTGCAATGAAGCTCGCACGGATGTTGACAATCGCGGGCGCGATAAAGAGATTGGCCACGATGGAGATCTGGCAGGCCGAAGAATGTTATCGAATCAACAAGCGTCTTAAGGCTGACGCGAGTAACCAAAAAGAAATCAAGTCCTGGTCCTGGAATGAAGGGAATTGGGGACATTCAAGTTGGCGAGGCTGGAAATCTTCTGATTGGGCGAAACACGCCCAAACACCGGATCTCCGCAACTCTGCGTCCCGACTCCGCCTGCGTCACTATATTGAAATTGAAATATCAATCATATTTAGTGATAGCTTAGGATCTACGATGCATAAACTAGAATGATAAATGAATTGACCAAGAATGCATGTGCTATCGCGTAAATAGAGCTAGGGAAGTACAACATCCAGCAGAACAGATCAAATAATATACATACGCCATCAATAGGAAAGTCTCAGGGGTCGTCCAAGCTTCTGGAAAAGGAAGCATGGCATAATGGCATTCGAGCCCACTCCAAGATTTCAGACTCTTACAGAGTGACTGCCTCTCCTTCTTCGGCCTCGATCCCACTTGACTCAGTAGTGTCTCCCAGATCTGGTGCACCGCTAAGAGCTGATTTCCGCTGGTCCTGGACCAGAGATGTTTCCCGGGCCCAGGCAACCCATTTGTCGTACTGCTCGTTCTCCATCTTCATACCAATGTCCAAGTATGATGGTCCAAACTCTGCGCCATATGCCGTGGCTTCTTCCGCAGCCACCCGACGTTGAATGTCCTCCTGCAACCGAAGTCTGTAGAATTCTCGACGAGCAATATCGTAAGCGGCGCTCTTGGTCATATCCGGGACGTTATTCAAAAGCCACAGCTGCCGCTGGACAACACTAGTACCAGAAAGTAACACATTAGCATCGGGTGTTCACGTGAAAAATCAAATGAAATAAAATAAAAGCATTAGAACAGGAAACATTGGGAACACACCTTTCACCATCTAACCGCTTCCCTGGCTGTTGGATGCGGCTCCAATCGTAGTGTTCAAAGTCCTTGCCAGTACTCTCAAGAAGCACACGGGGCCGGGCAAGTTCCCATGGGTGGTCGCGGAAGAATTGGGTTCGCAATTGATCTTCTTCATATTTGAGCTCGACAGGCTGGAAAAGTCGACTAGGCTTCTTGGGCTTTCTGCGCTTCTCTTGGACTTGGAAGACGACTTGCGGCTTCGATGACCCAGGAACGGTCTTCAACCGCTGCTGGACAAGCTCATGCTGAGGAGGGCGGGTGCGAATGAGGGTTTCAGCAGGAGGGATCTCGCCGACCACACCGACCCATTGTGGCAGTTTGCTGGTCTTTCCACTGGCGAATTGGTTGAGTGCTGTCTGTCGCACCCGGAGAGCTGTGAGGTTTATTTTGCCCATGATAGTCGGACACAGCCAGTAGCTGGACGAAGTTGAAACGAAAGAAGAATTGAGACGCGACTGGAGACAGCAGATCAAAAAGACAAGATATGCGCTGGCAGGGGACGAGGTGGTTGATGCGGGAGCGAAAAAGATGGGATTGGCAAAGCGCGGCTCCGATTGGTCGAGGGAGGGACTCCGCCCAGAAAGTGCAGGCCGTTCATCTTCAGAAAAACACACCTACGTCTTCCGAATCTTGACCCTCTCCCCTTTTGTCTGCTTTTTACGCCCGGAAAGTAGACGGCTCCCTCCTGTGCGAGTTGCAAAGGGCTTTATCTTGAATGCGGTCTACCTAATGCCACGATGTCTGTCATCTCATGCCTCATTCAAATAGGTCCCCCCAGCTCGCCAAGCCTGCGAATTCACCCCAAGCAGGCCTTGGATGAGCTTCCTCTCTTTCGACAGACCTCAATGCCTCCCTCGAAACTCCCTTCTCACACCTCCTCTGTCCGAAGACTCTGTACCCGTCGTCCTCGCCCGTCCGTCGCGTCAATAGCAGATATTTTTGTCGGCTCGCTGGTTCTGGCAAGCTTCTGCCACGAACACTCGCCGAATCGTCGGGGGTTGTCGACAGTAGCCTGGGGTGCCTCAGATCATAATTTACAAAAATTCCAAAGCAAAGGCGCCAATGGTCGCAGACAGCCACCACCCCGACGACAGCCAGAGTATTCAAACTCAAGGTTTCATCTGTCGCAACCAAAAAGATTGATCAGCAACGGATTGGCACGTACGAATGACGATAATACAGAGGAGTATAATATTGAGACCGAGTCGCGGGAGGAGACGGAGACAGACAACGACTATATACCATTGTGGCCGGCAAAGAATGCGGACGCGGAATCGCAAACCCGTTGTGAAAGATTTGATTTTACATACGATTTCGACCGCAGAATAGAGATAACAGAATACACCAAAACCGACATCGACCCCAAATTGCCGGACAAATACCCCCGCCAATCCTTCCCGTCATGGATGCATCCAGAGAAGGAGAAACATCTCTCTATCTCGAAGCTGTACGAAAGGTCCTTGGCAGATTATGACTGGGAGGAAGCAGTGAATGCAGTGGCGCCATATTCGCGTTACAAAAAGACGTACAAAGATCAGTCGCACGATCAAATGGAAATCCACTCGGTTGAGAAGCTTGTCAGAACGTTGTGGGAAGAGCCAAATCCATCCACTCAATACCTGTTCCGATTATACAGAGATCTTCCTGCCCCCGGGGTAGCTTTGCTTCGCAACGCACCCGAGGTGCTCTGTTGCGTTTGTTCGCGCATCCGCGGGATCGGCGGTGGGTAGATGCTCGTCGCTACTTGGCATTGGTGGATGACATGGTAACTGCTCGACTTCCTCTATCCCGCTCACTCTGGTCTTCCGCGATACATCTTTCTGGCCGAGCCAACGGCAGAGTTTTAAAACGAGATCTTATCCGAGCCGTGGGCATGTGGCAGAAGATGGAACACATCGCTGGAGTGAAGGCTGACGAAGTGGTTTTCAACATCCTGTTCGACATCGCAATCAAAGCCGGTGCATTCAAAGTCGCTGATCGCCTGGAGGAGGAAATGACGAAGCGCGGTCTGAGCTTTTCACGGTGCGGAAAGACATCCAAAATCTACTATTTTGGGATGATACGGGATGTTGAAGGTATTCGAGAGACTTTTGACGACTTTGTGAAATCGGGCGAAATCGTCGACACAGTTGTCATGAACTGCCTCATTGCCTCTTTCCTTCGGGCAGGCGACACTCAAACTGCGGAGCAGCTGTATGCGCGCATGCTGGAGAAACAATCAAGCAACAACAAACGCATCTCGCATTCGGACGATGGGTCCCACTTTCACATTGGCGGGTCAAATCTGAGCTATGACATGCCCCAATACCGGGAAAGATCCCGAAAGCTGGGCCGTGTATTGAAGAAGTCGTCAGCACTCAAGGAGAAGTTTCCGGCATACCACCGTGCTCTCCAGGATTCCCTCTCCATTGCACCCGACACGCGGACATTTTATATCTTCCTACGACACTACGCCTACAACACTGGCCAGCTCGACAGCTTCATGGCTGTTATGCGTGACATGGAGAAGACTTTTGCCGTCCCACCACGTTCTATAATCTATCTGTTCCTCTTTGAAGGGTTCGCTCTGCATGGTCGGAGGAAAAAGCAGTGGAGTGCGGAAAACCTTCGGCTGACATGGCATGCATACATCCGGGCTCTGCGCGACTCTAACGCGAGACTCCGTGGACTAAATTTGAACAACCGAAAGATGACGTGGGAGAACCCCCTGGCTAAGAGCGTGGCAATCGAGGTCGAGGAGCTACCAGTGACCGATGCTCCCAACGGGTTGTACATGGCTTTGCCGACAGCAGATACAGCTGGGAACCCACAGGGATCCGAGGAAACTGCCGAGGGTTCCGCCATAGATGATTCCCAAGACACCGAACAAGACGCAAAGCCTGAGCTGGACGGAAATGAAGATGAATCCACAGAAATAGAGGAACTTGACGTAGATGAGATCTTCAACCCTCGTTTGCAGGTTCCCAGCGAAGCAGAGCAAGAAGAAAACTGGGATCCTGATCAGCGTCTCGAGAATGGTCTTTTTGTTGGACGTCGGATGATCACCATTATCCTGCAAGCATTTGGAACATGTTGTGGTCCCAAAGAGGTCCTCGAGGTTTGGTTGCAACTTGAGCGGCTTTGGCATCCACAGCAGCGCAAAGCGGTTGATGTTTTTGCCGTCAAGGAAGAGCTTGATAGACAGATGTCCAGGGATCCGCATCGGAACCGCTGAACAAGAAAGAGGAGCAGCTGAAATTTGGATTCAGCACTTGTACATTATTTTCTATATAGATCTGCCATATACCGCCTCGATTTCTAGCGTGTCTTTGCGCAAATGTATTATTTTTACGTGAATACCAGGTCCAGTTTGTAGACTACCTACCTAGGTAGGTAGTTCTTTATATTGTCATCAAGTCTTTCAAAAGTGAATCAAAGTGAAGTCCAATCAATCCCGAAAAGGAAGTAAGTGGTCACCACGTGACAGCGCGTTCTGGGCCGCGATTGAAGACACAATCTTCTTCTTCGACTACACTTTCACCTACCACTTTCAAATCATCTTCTCTGCCATGAGGCACAATGGATCGTAACCCGGCGGTGACGCGCCAAACAGCCAATATGCGGTGGGTCTTGAAACACACCTTCAAAAAGAATGATTTCCGGTGAGTTGACGAACTACAGAAGAGGATCAATTTACTTACTCCACCATATAGTCCACTTCAACGGGAAGTGATTTCATCCGTTATTGAAGGACATGATGTTTTTCTCCAAGCATGCACTTCGTTCGGAAAAAGCTTGTGTTACCAGCTGCCCGCGGTACTCAAAGATTGGGGCTGTGAGTTTTCAGCATCTCGTATTTTCTGACAGATTAGTCTGACTTCAATATCCCCAGTGACTGTCGTCGTCTGTCCACTTCTCTCATTGATGGTGAGAGTGGTTCCAGGACGTTTGCAATCAAATAGCTAATCCCTGACAGACTGACCAAGTAAATACATTAAAAGCTCTTGGTGTAGCAGTCGCTACGATCAACTCCAATACTACCCATGACGAGAGACAGCGCGTTTTCGAGGACATGCTTTGTGGCCACCCGAGCACACGCCTGCTTTATGTCACGCCGGAGTTGTGCCAAACGGACAACTTCCGCCGGCGCCTGCTCATTGTTCACAAGCAAGGTCAGCTCATCCGCATTGCCATTGACGAGGCACACTGCATAAGCGAATGGGGTCATGACTTCCGGCCAGCTTACAAAGAGCTGGGCTGGTTCAGGAGGAATCTTGTCAGTCCGACGGTTCCAATCACTGCTTTGACGGCGACTGCGACCCCCCGAGTTCGCTCAGACATGATCAACATCTTGGGGCTGGATCTTGAGAATCTGCGCCTGTTCAACACTCCATCCGATCGTCCAAATATTCACTACGAGGTACGATATCTCGCAGATTTCGCTGGCGACAACGACAGTGCAGAAGACAGCCAACTACAAAACCTGCTCAGATGGCTTAAGGGCATCCAAACCCGACGAGAGGCCCGACTTGGCAGCAGAGTGACACTGCTCCCTCCAATGTCAGGAATCGTCTATGTAGGGACCCGGGCTATGGCTGAGCATCTTGCCAGCCGGCTATCCTCGGACGAAATGGTCACGGCAGTGGCATACCACGCCGGCGTGGAAGCCACCAAGCGTGCGCACATCCAATCAACATGGAAGTCATCGCGGCCGTTCCAGCCAGCTGGTGGGGAAAAGACACCCGTTTTCTCCATTATTGTGGCAACCAATGCCTTCGGGATGGGAATTGATAACCCCGACGTTCGCTTTGTCGTGCATTGGACGCCACCGCGAAGTTTCGAAAGCTTTGTTCAAGAGTCCGGGCGTGCAGGTCGAGACGGCCGCGCCGCTGCCTCACTTGTCTACTACGGGATTCAAGAGAGGAACTTCATAGAGACCATGATCTACCGGGATACAGAGTCTCACCGTGCGAATGGCCCCGAAAATCGAGAGGCCAAGCTTGAAAGCTTCGGCAAGGTCATTCGATACTGTGAGAGTATCAGGAGGTGTAGACATGAACTGATCAAAGAGTTCTTTGGTGATTTCGAGCTGGAAGAAATGGGGTCACAACTGCCGGCCAGGGAGGGCGTATCTGTTACGAGCTCATCCCCTTGCGACTTTGCCTGCGACTTTTGCAAAGAGGGTCGTGCCGGGTTGGCAAAGCGCCGGGAGAAAATGGCATCTGAGACTCAGATGGCTCTCCTATACGCGGATTTCGATTGAGCGATATTGTCATCTATTGGATATGCTGCATGATTTAGTGTTTTCTTTGCTTTTCTTGTCATCTTGTTACTTCTGTCGACTGTCCTGCTTGCGTTTCCGAGGCGCCAACAGCATGAATGGCGCAGGAGGGGGGCTTTTTTTGTGCTTCACATATACCACAGAAACAGATGGAATCCAGCATCCGAGCCGCTTAGCAACCAGTGCTTGCCTAAACAATTTAGTCACGGCAAGAGTTTCACTGTCAATAAGCAAGCCTTTTATTATGAACACATTATCAAGTTTACCGAGTATGGAAATAGGTAGATCAAAGGGTTAGACACAAGGCAAACTGCTAGACTTTCTTTAGCACAAAAAGATCTGAAAGAGATCAACGAAATCGCTGTATCACCCTCGTTTTTGCAAACGACCAGGACATGCTTTTGTTCGCCGTATAAATCAAATGGACTGCGACCGGACAGTGGAAGGCACAACATTAACCCACCAAAACAGGTTCTGGCTTAAAGACCAGGGGGTGGAGGGACCTGCAATTGATCAGTAATCGAAACTAGCCATGACACGTGAACAACGTACCGCGCTGTAGCTGCCACCCGCACCAGGAGGCGGAGGTGGCGGGGATCCCGAGCTAGGGGGTGGAGGAGGGGCCTCGCTGGCCGGAGCAGGAGAGGGAGCAGTGCCATCTGCCTGCTGCTGCTGCTGAGCGGCGGCCATTTGCTGATAGTACTGGTAGTATGCGACGTAGTTCTGGTATCCACCGTAGGCAGCATATGGGGTCGGTAGTGCCATAGTACTGGGCGTACTGGGCACTGTAGTCGGCGGCAGTGGGGGTGGCAGAAGCGCTTGGGGAGGAAAACAGCAGCAGCCTGGCCTGCAGGGCTAGCAGAGGAAGTATTGTGCTGCTGACGATTGTTGTAGCCACCGCCATATCCACCGCCGCCACCTCCACCTTGGTAGCGATCACCGCGATCACCACGATCACCGCCGCGGTATCCACCGTAGTTGTGCTGGGGTGGGTTCTCCTTGAAACGCTGATATTGTTCCTTGACATTGGTTAGAAGGTCCTCGCAAAGTACCTTTGCTTGCTGGACATCGTTGGCGTCAGGACCACTTGGAAGGCTGTTAGTAAAAGCTCATAGTAGAAATGGGCGAGGCAAAAAAGCAAGTGGGAAACAAAGTCAGTAAGAAAATAGTTGATCACTCACGCCACATGGAGGAACATCGCTTCGTCACTTTCACGGCCAGTGCTCGATTCGATAAAGCCAGATCCACGGCCCTTGATCTGAACACGGCAACGAGTGGCCTGCTGGATGTGCTTCACATAAGCACCACCCTGTCCGACGACCTGGGCTCGCAAGTTGAAACCGGGAATTGGCTCAAGATCGATGGGGATGCGCTCATCCGGCCATTTGCGCTGTATGAAATTAGCCAAATTATTATATTAATAAGGAGCAAAGGAGCAGTCTCATACACGGCCATACTCATCCCTCTCAACCTGTTGCTCGGGTTCCCGGCGACGGAATCGTCGCTCGTCAACCAAGTTCGGAAGTTCTTTTTGCATCAGATCATTAATCATAGCGACTGCTTTCTCTAGACCATCCTTATTGGTGCTGGTCACATGTAGGTAAAGGGGAGGGCTCTGAATTAGAATAGTCAGCAATTGATGATGCCAATCTTTGAGGGCATTCCTTACTGCGGCGGTCGCCATGTTCTTGTCGGGGTAATAATTGCCTCGGGTCGTCACATCTTGAGAGAGAAATAAGTGAGTGGGACCTTCTTTGCCTAAAGTTGAAAATATAAAAGGAAGTCGTACCGGCGCCGGTTTCATCTTGAATCTATAAGTCACGCAGCGGAGGTCAGCAGATGCAACAGAGGGTGAATTGGATGCTATGAAGGGTAAGCTTCATCCAGTCCAAAAGAAAAAGAGCAGAACGGTGAGAAATCAAGATTCAGGGTACCCCAATCTTCTGAGGAACATGGCTGGAGTATCAGCAAGTGACAAAGGAGTTATTTACCATCTTCTGGGTAGATCCCTTTGTCAGGGTGTAGCGATTGCGCAGATCATTGATCTCAATGTCCTTAATGTAGTCCCCATCCGCGACGTAGATTTCGGCATTCAACTTCGCTGCGCCCTCGGCGGAGGGCGACTTGGAATTCTCTGTCGCGTTGTCGGCCTGTCCGGACGATGTTAGAAGTTGGGTAGAACCAATCGAAGTGGGTGCATATTCACAGAACGAATTGGAGGGACATCAACATGTTGAATGCCCTTCTTCGCCTGAAGCTGCGCATTAATCTTGGCTGCTGCTGCCGCTATAGAGACCACAATGGTTAGCTATATAATCTGATTCATGACAGTGTAAACCCAAGTACAACGCACCTGCGGCTGCGGCCGGATCCACTGCCGATGGCTTTGCTGGAGTATCTGCGCCAGGGCTGCGACTCAGCGGGCGACTCAGCGGACTACGAGTGCGGGCCGACTCCGACTGTCTGTTGGACGGAGATCGAGAGCGTCGGTCAAAACGGGATCGCCGGGGCTCAGGCTCAGTTTGGTCAAAGCGAGACCGCTTAACTCGGTGTTCATCGTCCGCCATGGTGAAAGTTGGGGTAGAGTGAAAAGGGAGAGAGGAAAGGTCGGGGAAAAGAAGCTCAAAAAGGTCCAGATCGATTGCGGGAAGGAGTTTTAGAGGCGGAAACCAAGCAAGCAACAAGCAAAGCCACAAAAGATAAAACTGAGAGGATTTTAAGTAGATTAAGGAGCTTAAATTGATGATAAGACCTAGAAATATTATATATTTCTCATTTCCAAGAGCTGGTCGGGTTTTCTGGCAATCCCTTTGGCCATGTTGAATATTGAAGATCACGTGGCACCTACCACGTGATCTTATCACTGGCGGATGCACTACACCGCTTTGGATCTAGCTTCCTATGAGTCAGCGAGCGGTCGCCGAGGTCGGCCGATTAAAAAGAATATACCCGGGGCGAATCTGGAGTGAATCATCGCACAACCCATTCACACTTCTTGAACTCCTCATGGCTTTCCGGCGCCCATTGACGCTGTCCCTGGGGTCAGCGTCGCTGCTGTCATCTGCTACAGCTACTGCCCGGTCTCGCGCTGCTGCCATTCCTCGATTCACCTCTATTCGTGCATCGTCGAGCTCAACTTCAGCTCTTGCCTACAAGGCGTTGCACCGTCGATCCCCTCTGCCCCTGCCGGTCTCCGATGCTTCTCCTCAATGGGATGCTCCGACAGCTGTCTCCTCCATTCTCTATGAGACTCCCGTTGTCCCCTCCAACCCACCCAAGCGGCACATCCTGAACTGCCTCGTGCAGAACGAGCCCGGTGTTCTGTCCCGTGTGTCAGGTATCTTGGCCGCCCGTGGTTTCAACATCGACAGTCTGGTGGTGTGCAACACCGAGGTTGAGGATCTCTCTCGCATGACCATCGTGTTGCAGGGCCAGGATGGCGTTGTCGAGCAGGCTCGCCGCCAGCTTGACGACCTTGTCCCTGTCTGGGCTGTGCTGGACTACACCGACTCCGCTCTTGTGCAGCGTGAGCTTCTCCTGGCTAAGGTCTCTATCCTTGGTCCCGAGTTCTTCGAGGAGCTTCTCCAGCACCACCGCGAGATCACCACCTCGCCAGACTCCCTGGACCACAAGCACCACAGCCTCGACCACACCGCCCAGCAATACCACCCCCGTCACCTTCCCCAGAGTCAGGCGCTGCGTCACAAGCACGAGCACTTGGATGCCATTACCCGCCTGACTCACCAGTTCGGTGGTAAGATCCTGGATATCAGCACTAACAACTGCATTGTCGAGGTGTAAGTCTTTTCTCTGTCCTGGTTCATTCTTTTTGATCACAATTGACTCATTTGACCTCCTACAGCTCTGCCAAGCCTTCCCGTATCGACTCTTTCCTCAAGCTGATCGGTCCCTTCGGTATCCTCGAGTCCACCCGGACCGGTCTGATGGCCCTTCCCCGCTCTCCTTTGAGTGAGCCCAACGAGGAGATCGAGAAGGATGCTGCCGACGTTGTCGATGCCAGCACTCTGCCCCCCTGGCTAAGCTATATCCGAATTTCCAATTCAAAACTTACATACCCGAATAGGATTGGTTTGGTCTCTTGGCTTTGTGTATCTTCTGGCTTTCCCGTGGAGTTGACCTAATTTCTAAATAAATGGCTTAGCCATTGTATGTAAAATGACACAAATATTGTTTCCGTCACTTCTACATACAATTCCTTGCTGTCCCATACACCTTCCTGTATTATTCAGTAATGATACAAAGTGGCGGTGTACGGTTATTCAGATATGCCGCGTCTGCTGTGGCGTTTCCTAGGTCGGAGATTGTACATACTCCACCATTTACCTAGTCCCGACCTTGGAATAGCCTCTCAGGTATTAACCATTGACAAAAGCAACATTTCCAGCATGCCATTATATACTTAAAGAGAAAGGAAAAAAGAAGAAGAGTGAGAGGGAGGATGGCCCTCCGATGAGAAGTAAGGGAACGGCTTGGGATCAACATTTGAAAGACTCGGCCCTAGAGCAAGAAGGATGACACGGCGCTGGAACGAGGGCGCAAGCTCAGATAGGTAGAGCATGACTGTGCCCAGCCAGATTTGGGGTTTTCAGATTTCTGATGTTGTTTTTTTTTTTTTTTGTGTTTTTTGCTACCCAGATCGGACCTGTGAGGTATGACACGAGCCTTACCTGGACAGAAGGACTAGAAAGTAGGCATTGGTCCATTACTTCCGGAACCATACAAGTCCATCCTGGTCATATATATACATCTATCTTTACTCTTACTCGTACTTCGATCTGATTTTCTTCTTGTTTCATCTTTGGATGTAAACCGAGAGTATATATTTTGATAGCGGGGATTGATTCAACCTTGCAAATTCCTAATACTACCAGTCACCCATATATCATGGGCACCTAAGCATTGCCGATCCAGCAGCAATGAGAACACCAAGACCAAGCAAGACATCGACCTCCATTATACAGGCCGTGGCAACTACACTCTAAATCCTCACTTTAGCCGCAATGCCCTTCCCATGGTAGAGAATGATATCCATGTAGTTCCCAATCATCACTCCAACCTTAGCGACAGCATCCATCTCCAATGACTGGCCGAGTGCCTTGCGCAGAGCATCGTACCCAACCCCGCCCATGTCAAGATTGACTGGCAAGCGTGGGCTCTTGGATATACCAGGCGGCACTTCAAAGGGTTCATGGTTATCGATTCGGCCGATTGGCTCCTTTTCCTCATAGAAAGCCGTTGCGTCAATTGAAGTGATTAGGATATTGTTTTCTGTTAGGGGTGAAGAGAGGGTGAATTCTGCTGTGGAGGTCCAGAGGTAGAACTAGATTTGTGAGTTAGTGTTAGTAGAAAGCTTTCCCTTCTCTCTCTGTGGAGATGCGGTGTGAGTGAAAGGGACATGTACCGTTGCACCTTGAATAAAATGGGGCTTTGTGTCCTTGTCATCGCTGCCCGGAACAGATATGCGAGGGACAGGAACAGTAATGTTGAGAACTGATAATGCTTCGCCCAGGTCTGGTAGAGATGGAATCGTGTTCCGATGGCTTTTGATGGTGATTGTTGTATTAAAACCTGAGTAAAAGCTTCAGCACAACCTACCAGGTGGGCGCAATGTCATCCAGAAGGAACTGACCTGATACGTAAGATGAAAGCAACGCCCGTCCTGCCTCAACGCCATCTACTCCAGCTGCGTCCAACGGGCACCAGAAGAAGTCGATGGGCACGTAACTGTTGTTGCCGGACCCAACAGAGATATTCTGAGCAGTGATGTGGGCCACAGCAGTGTCATTGTAGAGTATGAGAAGGTCAACGAAGGGAACTGTAACCGAGTAATTCGTTGGATTAGTAAAGTTCGCCAGCGTGGACACCAACATCGAAGATTCAGTCGTGTTTCCTAGTCGTAGTGAGACGACGCGCGGATTGACTTGGTCAAGCGAGTTGCCGATGGAAGCTATGACATGGTCAATGCCCGAAATATTCTTGATTTGTACTAAGATCTTCTAATTCATGAAAACATACTCTTCACAGGCACATTCCCTTCTGCAGGAATCCCTCGCAAGGCGAAACGGCCCAACCCAGTTGAGACCTTTGTGTCTACGGTGGCAGCAACCCGCAGTATGACTGTTTCGCTACCGAAAAAGCATTGCTTGGATGACCTCTGTCAAAAGCCCATCATCTGTGACTTCTAACGGCGCATCCTTGATTGCGAACTCCACAAGGAGTGCAGAGGAGCCATCTTGATCATCCACCAATGTGGAGTTGGCGTCTTGCCAGCGGCTGATGTTTAACACACCAAACTTCTCTTCCTTGTAGTAGACATCCGCAAGGGCACGAACTTGCGGAACTTCTACTTGGAAATTCATCTCCTCCGGTAGAGCAATAAGAACCTTTACAAGAGCAGACACCGTGGGTCGGGAGTCTGGAGAATCTGGCTCCGCGAAAGGGTTAGGAAGGGAAAAATGTGTATCCGACATCGTGAAGTTCTTCACGAGGTTGTCCAACGCATGCCCCGTAAATGGAAGAGGCACAGTCACGCTGCGCAGTAGATCGACGATCCATGCTGGGGTATTGAGTGATGGTGCATCAGACCCACGGACGTATATAGTCGTTTCAAGACCTTGCATATAGCTCGAAACCAAAAGATCCAGAGGAGAACCCTCTTGTCCTGGGCAGGTAGAGACCAATTCATCAGGTAGCTGTTGGATGAGACCCTCAACACCCACCGCAGTTTCCTGGCCAGGGTGAACGTCTATCGCGCTTGTCTTTGCATCGGCGACCAGAATATAAGGATCTCCAGGGGAGCAGTTGGGCACCAGAACGTCAAACCCGAGGGCAGGAACAGTGAGAGCGACGGGAGAATCAATCAAAGACGACAGTAAGACATCCACTGCCATGCCACCACTGTTCGCATCGTGCATATTCAGCTTGAGGATATTGATCATTGGTAGAGCAGGGAAATCATGTTCTGAAAAGAGATTAGCTTATATGTTCCAGTACCAAAACGACCAAATACACTATACCTTCAATGATGATGTTGTCTGTCAGAACTTGAGTTCCTAAAGCAAACAAGCCTGACTTGAGATTCAAGGTCGTCTTGCCCTTGACATTAAGACGGCCCAATCTTCCCTCAATCCAATCAATAGCTACCGCGTGGATCCCTCTAATGTCACCAGCCTCTAGATCAGCGAGGAAGTCGACATTGGTATGATGGCCGTTACGAATGTTCACTTTGATGGAAGGCAATGCTGCGTTTCCAACGACTACGTTCCCATATTCTGGGAGATAAACTTCAACTTTTGATGGGCCTGTCTCAACTTCCCTGGCAATCCATGTCGCCAATCGACCAATGCCTCGAACAGACTTATTCTTAACACGACCAGAGTCCATCACGAAGTCGCCCTGAATCCGGCCTCGAACGCCATCGGCTGTGGTAGAATCGATTGATATTGCCGTCGGTTTGAAGACAGCGGCGTGCTGCGCATATTCTTTGACTGCCGCCGGAGCAGCAAAGGCAAGTACCAGTATCGTCAAAACACCGAGAGTTAAAATAGAGAGAGAAATGACCGTCGGCCATGGTACACGGCTCCGCTTGTCGATGGCGCCGTCCTCGGGCGGATTCTGTGATGCGACTGAGGGGGATCGCAACAATCCTTGCTCAGTCCCGTAGGCCAATTCATCATCACGGCGATGTAAGAGAGGTGTTGATTCTGACGATAATTCATATGATGGCCTAGGCTGGTCGGCGGATGTTCTCTCCGGGGACCGTTCAATAGGGCTGGACTGCCCGTCCAACAGAGGCCGGTTCGCTGCATCCCCCGTCGTAGCCCCGCCTGAATGAGACTGTGATATTCGTTGCTCGGTTGTATGGACCGTCGAACTATTTTCAGAGTGGTATAAAACATTCGATAACTCTGTGGATAATTGATACGATGGCCTGGGCTGGTCGTCGGATACACTCTCGGAGCCCGACTGCCCAGCTAGCAGAGGCCGGTTTGCCTCGTCAACCATCGTGGCCCCAAACGTGTAGATGAATCACAATGGGTTGTGGTATCTGGAGCTGATATACCAGTTAGATGAAAAGGGATGGAAGCAGCGCACGTAACAGAGAGAAAGACGGACAGAGGCGAGACGTACCTAACCTTGGAAGAGGCTGGCTGGACCCTCGATGACGATAAGCCTGATAACGGAACCTTGGAACTGTGGAGAACACACCTTGGCACCTGGAATATTAGGCGACAAGGCATCAATACCCTCGCACACCCGGGGCATCCACCTTAATTTATTGAGTCACTCTTCCAAGGTTCTTTACTTTTAGGGCTCCCCTTTCCCTTCTTTCCTTTACTCTTTCCCACAACACTCCAATTCCTCACCAAGAATTCCCCCCAGCTCATCATGGCTAGTGGTCTCACAGCTGCCGCCCGCTACGGTGCCCAAAGTGTAAACCAATTGGCCGGCTCTACCTCATCTTTGCGTCGAACACTCCAGGCTAATGGAATCCGACGATTTGCCCACCAGACACCGACTTTACCTCCCACCTCCCCTTTCGCCCCTCGTCACCTTCTCTCCATTGCAGACCTGACCCATACGGAATTCGCTACCCTAGTCCGCAATGCAGCGTCGCACAAGCGTGCCATCAAGTCCGGCGCTGTCCCGGAGAGCCTATTGGGATCCCCTCTGGCAAGACCGTGGCCATGATGTTCAACAAGCGCAGTACTCGCACCCGTGTATCCACCGAAGCCGCCGCCGTCCAGATGGGCGGCCACCCCATGTTCCTCGGAAAAGATGACATCCAGCTCGGTGTCAACGAGTCCCTATACGATACCTCCGTTGTGATTTCATCCATGGTCTCTTGCGTTGTCGCGCGTGTCGCTAAGCACGAGGACGTCGCGGGTCTGGCACAGCACTCCACCGTTCCTGTGATCAATGCGCTGTGCGACTCCTTCCACCCGCTCCAGATCATCGCCGACTTTTTGACTATCTACGAGTCTTTCCCGTCGCAGGCGCACAAGCTCTCCAGCCTGGGTCTGGAGGGTCTAAAGATCGCTTGGATTGGTGATGCGAACAACGTTCTGTTCGATCTCGCCATTGGTGCTACTAAGATGGGTGTGGACATGGCCGTTGCTACTCCTAAGGGCTACGAAATCCCTGCGCATATGATCGACATCATCCAGCGCGCCGGTGAGGGTGTCTCCAAGGCTGGCAAGCTCACTCAGACCAACGTTCCCGAGGAAGCTGTCAAGAACGCCGACATCCTGGTCACGGATACCTGGGTCTCCATGGGCCAGGAGGAGGAGTCTAAGAAGCGCATGAAGGCCTTTGAGGGCTTCCAGATCACTGCTGATTTGGCTAAGCGCGGTGGCGCTAAGGAGGGCTGGAAGTTTATGCACTGCCTGCCCCGCCACCCCGAGGAAGTGGATGACGAGGTCTTCTACAGCCCTCGCTCGCTTGTCTTCCCTGAAGCCGAAAATCGGTTGTGGGCCGCTATTGCCGCATTGGAGGGCTTCGTCGTGAACAAGGGAAAAATTGTGGAGTAAAAAAGCCGGTTAAATACATATGGAGTCTATAGAGATACGCCGAGTCGCTTTACCCGGCCAATGACAGTGATGATGATTTGATATAGCGGAGTCACCAATACCGAGAGTCCGAGGGTCTCCGAGAGTCGTCCGTTGCTGGTGAGCCAATCAAAAGATGATCCGATGGCTTGAGGCTTTCGGATGTGGCTCCTCCACAATAGCGGGGACTTCCGATTCTGAGACATCTACGACTTTATTCTGTTCTGCAGATCATTCGGACTATACAATATAATATACTATTTGCTACCTGGCTACGGAGTAGTTGTCTGAAATTTCTACGGCTATCCCAAGACATACACTAGTAGGTACAATACCTGCGTTCTTCCTCGGGAGTTGCTTCGCATTACCGAATCCGAACTGCAAATAGTATAAAACAGAGTATGCAACTATAAAATCAACCATTGAAAGCATATTCCTGTCAAATGCATAACCCCAAGTCGAATCTCGAAATTTGGAAAATACACATACGTATGTAGTGTGTATTCCACATGAACGTCTTCTGGAACTCGGGAAATCCGAAGTAGAATCTCGGAATCATTGCTCACCCCACATTTACTCCACGCTCCGAAGAGCACCTCCAAGACGGTTGATCGGGTAATGCTTCACGGGGCAGACCGAGCGAATATACATAAAGCTTACTCGGGAACCTGGAGTATCGATCATCATTCCTTCAATAATATCTCTGGTTTTAGTTTCTCCGAATTCCTCTATATTTCACTATCATGGGCTTCGAAGACAAACGAGTCGCAATCATTGGCGGCGGCCTAGGAGGCATGTCCTTCCTCAATGCTGCACTGCACACCGGCCTGAAGAAAGTGCAATTATACGAGCAAGCAGCTCAGTTCGGTGAGGTCGGTGCCGGTGTAAACATCACCTCAAACGCAAACCGCGTCTTGGACGCCTTCGGTTTGCAAGAGAGCATGATGCGCAAGTCCTCACGCAAGCTGCCCAGCTATATGGAGTACCACAACTACAAGACCGGCGACTACGTAGGTCACATTGGCGAGTTCTCGCAGCCGCACGCCCGCCTGCTGCACCGCGCCCACCTACTAGACTCTCTCAAGGAGCGCGTACCCGAGTCAAGCCTGAACTTGGGCAAGCATCTGGTATCCGTCGACCGCAACGCGGCCGGTGCTGCACCGTACACACTTCATTTCCAGGATGGCAGCACCGCCGAGGCAGATATTGTGGTCGGCTGTGATGGTATCAAGTCTAATGTGCGCCGGGATATGGGCCTGGGAGACGACCCTATCTACTCTGGCCAGGTTGTATATCGCGGATTCGTCGACTACAGGGACCTACCCGCTGAGACGGAACAGCTGCTGCGCAAGACTGTTAACTTCCGTGGGCCCAAACGCCATGTCCTGATCTTGCCTATCGGTAACCAGGAGACGGGGACCGACCGTGCTGCCGTGATCGGTTTTATGTCTGAGCCACTTGAGGCTTGGGACTCGGAGAGCTGGATGTCCCGCTCGGATATTGATAGCCTGCAGGAGCACGTCCGCGACTGGTGCCCGGAGGTGCAGCATATCATTGCCGGTCTGCGCAAGAGCTCCCAGGATGGCAAGATGCTCAAACAAGCGCTGTACGTGCGTGATCCGATCGATAAGTGGTATGAAATGAAGAGTGGGCAGAAGGATTCTGGTATTATTCTGCTTGGTGACTCGGCGCACTCGACTCTTCCTCATCAAGGTACGTTGCATTGTTGCATTGTATCTGTGTCTAGTCCTATTGCGGGTCGTATATTAATTGCATACTATAGGCCAAGGAACATGCATGGCAATTGAATCTGGCATTGCCCTTGCGACAATCCTCAGATATTGGAAGACAGATGACCTAGAGGCTGCATTCAAGTTCTACCAGGACCTGCGCAAGCCCCGGACAGACCTGGTCACAAAGACCAGTTACGAAGCTGGCAAGCTCGCTAGCTCAGAATCTCCTGACCAGATGTCTAACAACTTCAACCCGGATGCGCTGATGGAGCGGATGAAGTGGATTATGGAGTACAACGTTCTAGAAGACTTGAAGATCAAGGGCCAGGGATTGTTGAATTCGCAAGATTCGCGCCTATAAGCGGTTCCGATATATGTTGGTATACTGTAGATATTTTGATGGTTATTTGTAGAAAGAAATGAACAGTTCTAGTTTTTCATACATTCAGTTCGGTTGCACCAAATGCGCATTCATCATGTCACAATGTATAGTCGTATGATTTGACTGTACAACTGTGCTTTGTCGTAATATCCATATATCGGTCATCTATCACTCATTCTATCTCTGCTTATTTACATTCAACACCACTCATTGCAATATATCTCTATCTATTGAGTGTATTTCTATCCTCGGGCATAATAACCTCAGCATAAGTGCCGGTGCCGGCATCTTTCACATGCCAACCGCACGTGCAGCAACTCCGCATTTTCCACCGTCTGGACCTCGTCCTCTTTCATTCTGCTTGAGGTTTCACCTGGAAACTCATGATGGAGGTAAGTACTAGATTTTGACCCGGATAAAATAATGAACTGAAGATCTGACGTGGAATATATAGTTCAACACCACCTCGGGAGGCTTCCAGTCCCGTCGCTCATACCCGTCCCTCCGCCACATCTCTCTCGCACCCTTAACCCCCCGATTTCCCATTGATGACGACACAGATATAACAGATTACTTCAACCACCGCGACCATGTAGCTCCAGCTAGCGGTACCCGCACGCCTCCAGCATCATCCTACCTATCCAGCGTCTCAGTCCCAAGCACGCCACCGATCCTCTCGCACTCACGTAGCAACTCGCGAAGCCGCCACAAGCGCAGCAAAAGCTCTACAGGGGCAGGAGCCTTAAGCGACACAAACCTACACAACCGAGAACTGGGCCAAGCGCTCCACCACATCCCGAACACCAAGAAACATCCCAGCATCTCCCATTCACAAGGACGACGCCCCCTCCCAGACAACACGCCGAAATCCAAATCCGATGCAGAATGGATGCTCCGCGCAGGAATAGCCCTAGCCTCCTCAACCCGCGAGGAGAAAGGCCAAAGCTGGCTCTCCAAGCGCGAGACCTCAACAACTCTCGTCCCAGACACGTCCTTCGACGAAACACCCACTAACCGCCACCACCACCGCACCAGATCAGGCGCCTCGTCACGCATTTCCCGGTCCGGCACCTCAACACCAGGCGGAGCAGGTGTCCTCTCCCGACGCAGCTCCCGCTCCCGCGCCGGCAGCAGACCCGGCAGCAGTAGAGTCCATCTAACCATGACCGCCCTCCCGGCGGTGCCGGTATCAGCAGAGAACGAGGTATCTATTAGCTCGGGAGCGGATACAGGCACAGTGACACGCACTGCGAGCCCTGAAGCGCGCGGCCGTAGTCCACTAGTGCCTGACTTCGTGGATGCGCGCATCCGTGCAGAGATGGCGTCGCTGCAGCATCGCGAGCGAGGATTCTCGGATGAAGACTCTATGTACTGGGATGGGGGTGGCTCGGATGAAGATGAGAGTTGGTCTGTGTACTCGGGTGGCTCTGACGAGATGCCGGATGATTTCGATGAAGCGGATCTGCAGCAGTTGACGCGTGAGCGTGGGTTCGGGCTTGGGTCTTGGATTGATCGGCTGGTCGAATGGACTCTTTTCGGGGTTGATGAGTGGCCTGCGGCTGTTCCGGCTGCTGTGCCTGCTTCGCGGATTGGTACGGCGGATACTAGTACTACTGTTACATTTGAGGAACCTGTTTTGGTGGATCGGGGGCCTGATGATACGGTCTCGCTTGGGTCGGTTGGGGATGCGGATCTGTCTGATGGTGAGAGTTCTACTGGTACTGCTGCTTCTATTGAGAAACCTGGGATGCAGGGTGGGTGGGAAGATGCTGGGTGGTTGTTTCGTTTAATGAAGCGGGCGTTGGTATGAATTATGAACTGCATTGAGCGATGTTCTTGATTGGGATGGGTTGTCTGTAAATAATGTTCTGTTTTGATCTGCTCTCGGTAACTATTTATCAGTTTTATTCAAATATCTATGAAGCTGGCTATACATGGCCGAGCAAAGGCCCTAAGAGAATAGGGGAATATGTCCCGTTGTTGCAATTTTTTTTACCCAATGACCAAAAGCTCTAATAAAATTGGCAGGATTCCAATGATAAAACTAGCGTGAATAAAGGGCCCTATCATCTAACAACGTATCAAAAATATGTTGCGCGATATGACAAGATCAAAACGTATGTTGTAGACCAAGTTGGATGGCGCGTGGTCCTCTTCTAACGTATAGAATAGGTTCAACCCTCCGAATTCTCCAAAGCTGGAAAGCACAAGGATTGGGTTTGATGGCCGGAGACAGACGTTGTCGCTTTGACACGCATCATTGGAATATGGGAGGGTTTGGATGGCACAGGCAATTGAGAGATCGAGTCCAAGTCCCAAAAGTGAAACAGGCAAAGACAATGAGACATGAATGGAATGAAAGAGGGAAATGTATGCGACACCAGGGCGCCAGTAGATATAGAAAGAGAGAACCAGAGTTGGAATGAAATACACAGATGAAAGATTCGAGATTCTGACAAGAAAGGAAAGAGGAAAGGAAGGGTCATGCGCATAAATCGGAATACGATAAATGAGCAAAGTAAGGAAGAAAGAAGAAGGTACTGAGTCTGAGTTCATTGAAAGATTTGAAAACAAAGCTATAACAGCATTCATCTTCCAGAGTTCCAGCCGAAAAAGAAGACAAAGAAAAAAAGCTGTAGTTATCCGCCTTGAGTACTATAACGCCATCTGACCATGTTGAGTCTAGGGTCATGCAGCAGGTATCGTGATCGTGACATACGTCGAAAATTGCACGGTCAAAGGGGGTATGGACCGTCGGTCAAGCTCAAATGAGGGCCGGCATGGATGGGGGGACGTGAGGCCGACACGCAAGAGCGGTGTAAATGTAGTGGTAGTCTTTCGTAAGGGAATCGGAGTGGTGTGATTCATCACCAAGGTCCGACCTTGACTGGTGTTCCCAGCCCGTAAGTTCCGGAGAAGAGCTGATCCCGTATAGAGCCCATCTCGCTGTTGGCTCCGTGGGATGGTGTTTCGGGTCCACTCATCCATCCCAGGCTGAAGCCGAGTTCGTTGACAGCCCCCTGTAGCTTTCCTCCAGAGGTCTGGTTGTGCTTGGCCAGCTTTTGATCCCAACCTCCGTACTGCAACTGGATGCCGCCACCTCTTTTTGCCGCTTCCCGGATGACCAAAATCCATGCCTTGCACATCTCATCGTAAGCTGAATCTCGTTCGATGTTGTTCTGTGGCGTGCTCCAGCGAGGCAAGGCATGGATGATGTCGGTTGCCCCGTCTAGGTAGCTCAAGGATGTGGATGCTTGGGATTCGTTCGGAGGAAGAAAGTTGGGGGTGAAGTCACTCAAGGCGTCAAGAAGGTTGGTGAGCGGCTGTCGGACTCGGTTGTAGGCATAGTCAGATTCGGTATTGCCACCCAACGGGAATGAGGACTGGAGGGCGGCCTGATAGTTTCGAAGGACTTGAAGAGTTGAGGATACATTGGGGCGTGGGGATGTGTGCACAACCTCGTCAGCGAGTTGAGGGTGACGCTCGCACATGGTCCGTACAACCGTCCGCAAGGCATCTGTATCGAGGGTCTCTAGCAAACGGGGGAGAGATAGAGGTCGGCCTGAAACGTTCGGTCGGGAACGTTTGATGTTGCGGTAGCTGTGAGGGAGTTGTCGAGGAGTAAAGGCGGGAGAGTTTGTGGGCGAAGCAGACATGCGTCCATCATGGTCGTTGTCGTCGTCGGCTTTCCGTTTACGGCTGGAATACGACGACGAGGGTGTAGACACTGATGGTTTGGTCAGTATCCGAATGCATCAAAGACGACCACCTTAAAACAGGACAGAGAGAACAAATTATTCCAAGGGGAAAGGGATATCTTACTCATACGGGAGGGAGAGAATCGGGAGTTCTGGTAGAAGTGAGGCGGAACAGGAGGTGTGGCCACCAAGCTGTTCATGATGACAGCCGGATGGCAAAGAATAAATGTGATGGTCCAAAGGACTCGGATATCCAAAAGAGTGAAAAAGAAACAGCAATGAAAAGCAAGCTTGAAGAAGAGGATAAAAAGGGTTTTGAGGTGGGGAGAGAAGGGTAGAGAAAGGTAGCGGTGGAGAAAAAGTAGGCGTTGCAGGTGGCAACGCACTCCCTTTACGCAGCTTTTTGGAGATCTGTGCCCTTAAAAGAGATTTTGGCCATTAGAAAGGTCTTTTCTAGTCTTTTTTTTATAATAGTTCATATATTCATATAGCAGAAAAAAAAAATCAAATAGTCTTATGTCTTCCAAGGTTTCTTTTGGTTTCATCGAACGTGACAGATTAAAGTATACTCCACTGCTTCCGGGCAAGGCTATACGAATACCCGCATCATCTACATTCTACATTCTACGTAATAGAGGGGAAGGAAATGAAAAATTGTGGGTAATCATATTCTTTGGACTCCAGCGTTCATAAAATGGGATATCGTATCTACAAGTACAGGGACTGGGCAGCAACAATATCGCGGCGGACCTTGCCCAAGGCCTCCTCGAACTTGCTCTCCAGGTCTTCGCTGCCCATCACCTTGGCAGCTTGCGCCATCTGCCGCAAACACTCTTCCAGCCGGCGGAAGACACGGATCAAACTACCCTCATAGACATCGGTCATTTTGCTAGGATAGTTAGTATACTGTTAAAATATTGTTGAGGGGAGAATGCTTACCAGATATCTGCAAAAGACTTGCCTTGACTCCACTCGTAGATCACCTCCATCAGCTCCCAGTGGAAGCTTTGAACGTACTCGTCTTCATTCACGGCCATCTTAGACTCTTGCGACACCTTGGCGATGATGCGGGCCTGTGATTGGATCTCCTTCAATGGCTTTGCCAACTCATCTTGGTCAAGGTAGGGGCTTCCTTGACCTTTTCTTCAAACACGAAGCAACTCATTACGGAAGCGACTTGCTCAGGAGTCAGGTTGTTGAAGAAACCATTAAACAGCAACTCGCTCAGCATCAGTTCATCGCCTGTGCTAATCTCACAAGCAACACGAGCCTTCAACTGCACAACTTCGGCTTCGTTAATAAATCCGAAACGACGGAGTACGCGCTTGCGGCACTTCAGCTCATCAAGCTGCAAGATCGACATAGCTTCTGTAATCTGCTTCTTTATCGCCTTGATCTTTGCAGTCAGGTCCACCTTCTCGGCGTATTGCTCGTACAATTCAGTCAACCGGGGTGAATTGTGCAAAGGGTTACTCAGGAGGCGAGACTCAAGAACCTCGATTTTCTATCACATGGTTAGCAGCGTGAATCATGTCTGAGAGCAAAAGAATCTCTTCTTACCCGTAGCAGCTTCTTGAAGCTTTCATCCTTGATCTGCATGTTCTCAATCGGATCAAGCAGCGGAACACCGTCTGGGAAGCGCCTCTTAACTTCGTCAACCGACTTCATAACATCATTCCGAGAGCCAGGCGACGTGATGTCCTTCGGGAGCATGATGCGAATGTGAGAGATCTCCGTGATGCAGCTCAGCACAATGGGCACAACCTCACTGCGAGTCGGTTCCCCTTCCTTTGCGGGGTGAACACCTGGCGGAAGATCTTGGAAAGACTTGGTGCCAATGGACGAGCCTCCCGACATCCTCATCAGGACATCAACAATATGAGATTGGTGAGGACTAAATTTCTCGGTGTCATTGTTCGCTTGCTTGCGCTTCTTCTGGTTGATCACCACGCCCCAACCGAAATCGGCATCCTTGTACTTAACATGGATCAATCGTCCAGGGTGGATGTAAGTCAAAGAGTAATTTGGGTGGGTAATAACATGCTGAACATCGTCCGCAAATGCGTCCAGTTGTTTCCGTAGGTCGTAGTATTCGCGGATGGTCCCCTCGTCAGAGATAATCATGTTGGCGCGCTTCTCTTCAAGACCTTCGAGCTCCTTCTCCAGGCCTGAAACGCTTCCAGTGTTCTGGAACTGCTTGAAGCATCGTTCGAGCATGTATTCGGGTGAGATACCCTCCACACGCATCAGGTTGAGAATCATGTTGTAGCCTAGGTGGAATGCGGAATTGAGTCGGTCCTGTTCACCGCGCACAATCTCCTTCGCGACTGCTGGATCCATCTCCTCTCCGACCATCATGATCACAATACCTCGGTCATCGAGACCTCGACGACCAGCACGTCCAGACATCTGGATGAATTCAGACGGGGTAACCCAACGCTGGCTAGTTCCATCAAATTTGCGGACACTGGTAAAAACTACAGTCTTGGCAGGCATGTTGAGACCAATGGAGAAAGTCTCAGTTGCAAACAGAACCTTGATGAGACCCTCCTGGAAAAGAATCTCAATGGTTTCCTTAAGAATTGGCAGCAATCCTGAGTGATGGACACCGATACCTTGTTGCAAAAGCGGAAGGATGTTTTGGATCTGTGGCAATTGGCGATCCTCTGGAGACAACATCTCGATAGCACTTTCGAAAACCTTGGACACCATATTCTTCTCAGAATCATCGTTGAAAGTCAGTTTGCTCATCTGCAAAGCACCTGCTTCACACTCTCGCTTGCTGAAACTGAAGACAATGACGGGGTTGTAGTTCTTAAGCATGATCATTCTGACGATCTTGTAGATATCCGATGGGCCCTTGTTTCCACCCTTATTGATTTGCTTATCCTTGCCCTTGCCCTTGCGTTTGGCTAAAGCATCAGCCGGGTCATCGCCTTTCTTGTCAGCGATTGCGCTCATTGCCTTCTGGAAGTTCTCTTCGCGGAAGACTCCCTTTTCATCCACCACGAGATGGATACCCTCTCCACCAGCGGGGAAGAAGTAATTCTGGAGGGGGGTCGGACGATAGTTGGTGTAGACAACGTGACAGGGTTGGTCGTGCATCTTCACGATCCATTCGGCGAATTGCATGGCGTTCGGAATAGTGGCGGACAGGAAAACATAGCGGACCTTATCGGGCAACAGAATGATAGTCTCTTCCCAAACGACACCACGATTCACATCTCGCATGTAGTGAATTTCATCGAAGACCACCCACTGAACTTCACGCATAATCTCAGAGCCACGGTACAACATGGAACGAAGAATCTCTGTGGTCATAACAAGACATGTAGCAGTGGGATTGATGGTCACATCACCAGTCATTAGGCCGACATCGCCAAACTCGGCAGCAAATTCACGGTACTTCTGGTTACTGAGCGCCTTAATCGGACTGGTGTAGATCACTCGCTGGTTTTGCTTCAAACTTTGCGCAATGGCGTATTCTGCCACCACGGTCTTTCCGGCACTAGTGTGAGCTGACACCAGCACACTCTCCTCACGCTGGATTGAAGAAACTGCGACCTGCTGGAAAGGATCAAGTGTGAAGGGCCATGTCTTTGCTGGGTTCGCCGGAGGCTTGTGCTGGGAGATAGGCACATAAGGGTAGTTTGGTGGGATTGCGACCTGGTGGCGCACTTGATGAGACACCACAACTGCAGAAGTGTCTGTAGCAAGTCCTCCAGCTGCAATCTCACGCTCTTGCTCGGTTTCAAAAGAATCGGCGACGACTGGCTCGGGTTCCTGATCCAATCGAGGTCGCTTCGTATCGGGTTGCTCTGGCTCGGACGGAGTCGCGGGGGCTTCGGCATCTGCTGAGTCGACTTCTGCGGCGGGTGCATCGCTCATCGCAACATCCTCCTTCTCTTCAGGCTGGGTATCTGCAGTTTTCTTCACGGCTCCATTCACCTGTCGTTTTTTGTTCTTATCCTTCTTCAAGCGCTTGAAGGACCCTCAGACGGTTTCACCGCCTGAGGCTGGTCCTCAAAGACGTCAAAGAGCTCATCCATCTCCAGCGGTTGTGATCGGTGAATCAACCACAGGAGGAGAATGAGCGGCGTAGGTAACCGGTCTGGACTTTTTTTTGGTTGAGAAATTTAAAAGTTCTACCATATGGGGCAAGCGGTGGGGGAGAGCCCGAACAAAGACGCTAAACCCGATTTTAGAGCAATCCCAGTCACGTGATTCAAGATCATCCCATTCCGCACCTCGCGATGTTCACTTCGGCTTCGTCCGTCCCTTTCCGATCGTCCACTCTCTCCTCTCTGTCACTCAAGGTTAGTACCTCTAACCTGAAATAAAACAATTGATCTCACTGACTTCTTTATCTCAGATGTACTCCTCTGCTATCCGGGCCAGAATGGCCACCTCTTTCGCTGCCCGTCGTGGCTTCTCCACCACTCGCACCCAGCTCGGCAGCCCCTACCACTACGCCGAGGGTCCTCGCACCAACATCCCCTTCAACCCTCTCACCAAGCACTTCTTCTGGCGCTACTGGGCTTTCATGAGTTAGTGTCCCAATGGAGATATGCGCTATCCATGACTAACTCGGGTATCATCTAGTTACCGGATTCGGTACTCCCTTCGCCATTGCTGGTGAGTTATACCCCCTCTCCACGATTCTACGCCTTAAACATACTCTAATATCTCCCCCTACTAGTCTGGCAAACCTACAAGACCAAATAAATTGCCCTTCACGCTGTATTTTTCTTGCGATAACAGTCTGGGCGACTAGGTGGTCGAAAACTTGGATCAGGGTTGAAGCAGAGGCGGATATCATGTATAAAGCTAGAGATTATTATCGAAAATTGGTTCCGCGTGTTACCGACCCCATTGTACCTGTGTAGATGTTGAAATGCGTAGCTCAAAAAGGACGTTGAAATATGGATGAAGTCATTGGCTGAGCCGCTGTGGAAAACCAAAAAAATCTCTGGGTCGGCGCGACTCATATATCAATCCCCACGAACACAACCACTCCCAAGCAACGAGACAGTTCCTGTCAGCAGGGAAGAAGGCTGGTCTCCGGAATTTAATTTCCCTCGGTATCGTTTAAAATCCATACATTTACTCCCTTGATCACTGCATGGCGGGGTAAAACAAGAAGCATAAAAAAAAGTTACCCGTTCCTGGAAGATGCGCAATTTAAGAAACGTCCGTCTCGCTGAGACGCAAATCGAGAGCGAACTGCCTCTCACTGCCACAGCATGGGATACTGCTTCAGACTCGGTGGTCTGCACCTTTGGTCCGGCCGAGAACAATGCAATCATTGAAGTTAGACGGAAACGTCCCGAGATCACTTCGACAGATCCTCTGTCTCCCGAAGCATTTGAATGTATTGCTTCCTGGGATGCTCCGTGCCCTCTGCCAGGCCTGGCATGTGACCGTGTGCTCTCCCTGCATTACTTTGCGGACAACCTGACAACTTGTCTGGTGCTAGAAGGAGGTGATATAGTCGTTGTTCGTGAAGAGCCCCTTGCCGGCGAAGACAAGATCGAAATTGTCGGTTCAGTCGATGTCGGAATCACAGCTGCAGTATGGTCACCAGATGAGGAATTGCTGGCTCTCACCACCAGAGCGCAGACGTTTTTGTACATGACCAGAGACTTTGAGAATGTGGCCGATATAACTTTCGCTCACAGTGATCTGCAATCATCACAGCATGTTTCAGTCGGATGGGGTAAGAAAGAAACGCAGTTCCAAGGAAAGAGAGCCAAGGCTTTGCGAGACCCGACGGTACCGGAAAAGATCGACCAAGGAGTCTTGAGCAGCCGCGACGATAGCAGCACTACGATCAGCTGGCGAGGAGATGGGGCTTACGTTGCTGTGAACAGCCTTGAAGCGGGTAGCCGCCGTGTGATCAGAGTGTACTCGAGAGAGGGCACTTTGGACAGTGTAAGCGAACCCGTTGACGGGTTGGAAGGCGCTTTGAGCTGGCGGCCGTCTGGCAGCTTGATTGCTGGAATTCAACGACGCGACGATCGGATCGATGTGGTGTTCTTCGAAAGAAACGGACTGCGCCACGGCGAGTTCTCTCTTCGTCTGTCTGAGGAAGAAATGAAATCATGGGCTTCTCGCATTCATCTTGCCTGGAACGTTGATTCTACCGTGCTTGCTGTCAAGTTTCAGGACCGTGTACAGTTCTGGACAACAGGCAACTACCATTGGTATTTGAAACAAGAGATTCCTATCATGGCTGATACAAATTCTTCGCTTCCATACTCTTTCGAATGGCACCAAGAGAAGACATTGCGATTTGTTGCTGGCTCCAACGGTATGATATCCTTGCACGAAGAGCAAGGTAAAAACAGACGCTGATTTAAACAGGTTCGATCTTGGATGCGGACTATGTATTTGATATCAACCATGGGTCTACCTCTATTCCGGATGATGTTGGCGCTGTTGCAGTAATCGATGGGAGTAAGTATCATAATTGAACCTAATTAGGAACAGTACTGATCAAATATTAGAAACTCTCAAATTGACTCCCCTGCGAATGGCTGGGGTACCGCCTCCCATGGCACACAACGAGCTGGCTTTGGAGTCCAGCGCCATTGATGTTGCATTCAGCAAATCCGGAAACCGCATTGCTGTGCTGACGAGCAACGCGTTCTCCGTTTATCTCTGGTCTCTGAAGAGCCGACCTGTTCCTGTTCCCATCCTCGAGTCAAGCTATCCGTTATCAGATGCCCCGGCTAGTCGGCCCCGGCAGATTGCGTTCTTGAATGAGAACGAGGTATATGTGCTTAAGGACAACGGACCAAACTCGAGCCATATTGAGAGGGCGGTCCTGGACACTCGCACCACAGAATCTGTATATCAGGCTGCGGACTCCGAGCAACTGTCATCGATCTTCGCCGGTATTGGACACCAAGCTCTGTGGTTCTCACATGCCCGGCAACCAGCTCGTCCTGTCAGCTACTCGAGCATTGAAGAGTCGTCATCTGGAACTCTAGATATCGCTCCATGGGGCGAGAGCCCTAATGTTGACAGCCATTGGGCTCGTGTTGTCTCTATCTCTGATCATGAGGTAAGATTATATTCGCCAAGTGTTTGGATCTTGTTGCTAACTCCGGTAGCGCATTTTGGTTGCAATGACGAGAACTGGCACCTTGTATGCTAACAAGCGAGTCCTTGCGAGGAACTGCACATCTTTCCTCGTGACCCCATCTCATCTTTTGTTCACCACATCGGCGCATCTTCTGAAGTTTGTTCATCTGAACCATGTGGATGGTAAGATTGTTTCTTGGGCGTCTATGTCTACTTACGCTAACATTGGATTGCAGAAATGGAGGTTCCCGAGGATACACCAGAAACTGATGAACGGTGCAGAAGTATTGAACGTGGCTCTCGGTTGGTTTCGGTGATACCGTCGATCTTCGCGGTCGTACTCCAAGCTCCTCGAGGAAATATTGAGACAATCTTCCCTCGTGCTCTAGTATTGGCTGGAATCCGTACATTCATCGACCAGAAGAAATATCGGTCTGCATTCCTTGCATGTCGCAGTCAGATGGTGGATCTCAACATTCTCCATGATTATGCCCCAGAACAGTTCATGGAAAACATCACTTTGTTTGTCGATCAAGTCAAGAAGATTGATTACATTGATGATTTCCTGTCGCGCTTGTCGTACGTCAATATCAAGTCTGATAAAATAACGTTTTACTAACACTCATACAGGGAGGACGATGTGTCACAGACACTGTATAAAGACACGCTGAAAATATCCAAGAATGTATCGGCAGCTGTCGCCCAGCCGGACGGTGCAACCGTTCCCTCGGCCCCCAAAGTTGGAAAAAAGGAGAGCAAAATCAACAAGATCTGCGATGCATTCCTGGTGGCTCTCCAGAACCGTGTCGATACCAACTTGCAGAATCTGATCACGGCGCATGTTTGCAAGTCACCGCCTGATATGGAGGCAGGACTGGGACTTGCTGCAGGACTGAGAAGTAAGTACTTGGCTCTTTTTGTCCTTTTAAATAATTGGGTAAGGACTAACCGTATTATAGAACAACAACCAGAGCAGGCTGAAGATGCTATTGCGCACATGTGTTTCTTGACCGATGCTCAGAGGCTTTACTCTCACGCGTTGGGTGTATATGACCTCGAGCTTACGTTGTTGGTTGCTCAACAAGCTCAGATGGTAAGGCTTTGGGATGCTTTGCCTGTGTTATCACTCACCACTAACGAATTTTCAGGACCCTCGCGAGTACCTACCATTCCTTCGGAAGCTACAACAGCTCCCAGAGACTCGGCGTCAATTTGAGATCGACAATCACCTTTCTCGCTTCGAAAAGGCTCTGGGGCACTTGTATGCTCTGAATGCTCACGATGAGATTAGTGCATATGTTGCCAAGCACGTCTTGTACAAGGAAGCCCTTGAGCTCTACAAGTACCAAACAGAGCACCAACGGGAGATCACCAAGCTATATGCCGACTACCTACAGGATCAATCGCAATACAAAGATGCAGCAATTGGTAAGTGATTTGGTTGTAACAAAGCAAGACAAAATGGACAGCAAGCTAACTTTTCAATTTCAGCGTACGAGTCTCTTGAGCTTTATGAGAGTGCTTACAAGTGCTTTAACCTGGCACACAAATGGCGCGAGTCCTTGTACTGTGCCATGATGGCATCTATATCCGAGGAAGATCTGGCTGCCCACATCGACGCCCTGATCACAACTCTGGTTGACGAACACAAAGACTACATCTCGGCAGCAACAATCTATGCCGATCATTTACATGACGTCGTCACAGCCGCACGACTTCTCTGCCGAGGATCAAAGTTCGCCGACGCAGCGCGTCTCCTTACGCTCCACGGCAAACAGAGCCAGGTTGCCGAAATCGTTGACTCTGGCCTTGCTGAAGCAATGGGCAACATGACGGACCTGCTTGCCGACTGTAGATCTCAGCTCAATGCCCAGGTCCCACGACTCAGCGAACTCCGTCAACTTCGCGCTGCCGACCCGCTTGCTTTCTTTGGTGGTGATCCCACTGGCGGAGACGCGGGCGTTGATATCCCGGACAACGTCTCGCTGGCCCCGACAGATGCATCTACGCTTGCTGGTCGCTCCATGTTCACCCGTTACACGGGTAACACCGGGAAAACAGGCAAAACTGGAATGTCACGTCATACTTCTAAGACTCGCAGACGCGAGGAACGCAAGCGTGCTCGTGGTAAGAAGGGCACCGTTTACGAAGAAGAATATCTCGTCAACAGTATCCGACGACTCATTGAACGGGTTAACTCGAGCGTGGCGGAAACTGAGACCCTTGTCGATGCTCTGCTGCGTCGTGGCATGCGCGAGCGTGCAGCTGCTATTGAGAAGGCATTGCAGGAAGTCCTGACTATGTGCGCAGATTGCCGGGACGAGGTATTTGAAGTTCCTCCCCCACTGCAGAGAACGAGGACCAGGAAGATGAAGAAAATGATGTCGAGCCTACCATCCCTCCTACGTACGGAGGCAGAGGTGCTGGCGTCTTGAAAGAAAGTATAGCCATTGTTGAGGGTGGTGGTGCCGCTCGCGTTAAGGAGATCCCTACCGTCAAGGAAATGAAAAAGTCTTCTTTGCTGGCGGCGTGAAGCAGTCGATGAATATACTGCACGTGCCAATTAGCATCTAGATCATGAATGAAAAAGAAAAGTTGCTTCTGTTCTAAATATTCTTATTCCACCTAAAAGTACGTAGCTTAAGAAATCGACCTAGGATATATTCAACGTCTATCTCAATATGTATTCCAAACGGTACGAGGCCTCTCCAGACTCTCTTATGACCTGAACATAAAATGGGATATTCAGCTTTTGGTACGGATCATCGACGCTACAGAGTTCTTATTCTTATGAAGAGTATCTACTTCGATCCACGGGTTACACTTGTATGACTTTCTAGTAGCTTTCTACGAGATAACTCAAGGGTCCCTGTCCTGTGTTCTGCGAGTCATACGTGACCTGCATAACTGAAATATAATACCCTCCGCAACAGGCTATTCTTGACAAAGGCTGGGCCCAAACGTTGCCTTTTCACAGTGGACATCCTTTCGCAACGGACTGAAATATGGTACCATTGGGGGCCATATGCTCATTCTTCTAACGTTGCATTTGCTTTTGTATTGGGGTAGTTAGAAATAAAATAAGTGCTTAGTCTGTACACTTAAGATATCAGTACGTGGAATATATCTCTTTGTACTAAGGTTCGATTCCGGCCATCGAAGCTATACATGTATACAGGTCCACAACACAAACCCTCAAAGAGTTAACTGCAAATCTATGTTGCACAAGTGAACTATCGTCATTCATATACAGAGAAGTGTTAGTGACGTGACTCTAAATTGCGGGGAATATCCCAGGCCTGGGGCAATCAAGTCAGATACTATGGACTACATCTGTCAAGATAAAGTAGTACAACAGACACAGTTTTCCCACTAGATGACGCAGAAATTACACATATATGTTGTGCTCCCCTGAATGGCTAGTTGTCGAGTCGATTGAAACGTTGTGTACAAAGTATCCAGGATGGAGATATAAAAAAGACCATATCCCACCTCTGAATATCATGACTGCAGCCAAGAAAGGATACCAAGAAAAGCCCTAAGCAAGGCCATTCCTTTTCAAGAACCGTAAGTGAACCTGTCAGGTTATCTATTAGCTGGGGTTAGTTCATTAATGTCTTGATTCAGACCATGCACCTCTCTGTCTCAACATATCTCACTTCCCTCTTGGGCTTGGGAATGCTAGCGACAGCTCAAGTGCCAACCAGGTCTATCAAATGCGCTTGCGAGGATATCGCTGAGAACTCTCAGTCTGCCTGTGTCCAGACTGGTGGAAGCTTCAATGGTACCGGCTGTGGGTTTGCTGGTTGCTGTGTTTATGCCAACAATGAACAACTTGCTTTCATTGAGAATTGTAGGACGCTCGGATTTGGCTTCAGGCGCTGTGATGATTGTCGCTCTTGTTGAGAGGATGCAGGAGATATTCGTCGGATGGGAGTATACTAAGACAGGTATTGGAGTTTTAAAGTGGGAAGCGAACATTCCATTAATTTGCATGCAAGTGTTGTGTCGTATTGCGTCATGTCCAAGATATATTATTATGAGGAATGGAAGCAGATATGCTGTGTAAACCGAGACCCCGCTGCCATGGTATGATTATGTTCTAGATTATGAAGGAGAAAAGAAGATACAGTGAAAGGAATATGCATCAAGCTTGCATGGCCAAGTGGAATTGTCCGCACAAGAACGGTGGGGTATCTTTCAGGCTGTCAGACCTTCCAAGGTCGGCCAAAATGGGAATACCGATTGTCCGGTATAGCTTACTCAAACTTCCTAAAGAGTGCTGAGGATCTCACCAGTCTCGCTAACAAGGTGCTCCTCAACCTTGACGGGGCCCTCTCCGACACCAGTCAAGATGACACGGCTCACACCATCTTTCAGAACTTCGACGGCGCGAGAGTCAACCTGATCCAAGGAAACACCAGCGGTGACATTGGCCAATCTCTCGTAGAATACGCCGTCCCAACCCTCAGTGTTGGGGCCCAGAATAGCCTTGACGGTGCCAGCCACAATCTCAGAGTCCTTATCTTCATAGTAGATGACAGCATTTGGGCCAGCATCAAAAGTGTAAGCACAAACCGTTCGGCCAACGACACGGTTGATATCGTGCACAAGGCGGACAGCAGCACGGGAGACGTCGTTCATGTAAAAGATAGGGGGCCAGGAGTCGAGGCAAGTAGCGTGGAAAGTGTTCGAGTCCCGCATGGTAATCTCCGCGAAGTCGTGGAAGTTGCGGTTTTTAATGGCGGTCTCAATGGCGGCCATACGCTCAGGAACAACGTTCTGGGCACGCTCAGCGAAGAGGGCTGAGGTGGCTACAGTGGTCTGCATTCCCTCGGTGCTAGGCACGTCCTTCTTCTCGGCACTGACGACTAGAACAAGAGCACGCATTTCAGGCCAGTGGGATGCAGGAGCAACTTCCTCAGCCAGGCTGTCGCTTCCATCAGCGAGCTCGCCTGTGCGCCATGCGACGTATCCGCCCATCAGGGAGCGGCAGGCAGATCCGGAGCCTTGGCGCGCAATGCGACTCAGCTCTTTAGGGGACTGGGGCAGTTCGTAAAGGTCAGCGACGGCGCGGACCAACGCTGCGAAGCCAGCCGCAGAGCTGGCCAGACCGGCAGCAGTGGGGAAGTTGTTCTCGGAGACGATCCGGAGAGGGTGGGCGGAGAGCTTGGGGAGCGAGGAGTCCGCATCCTCAAGGGCCTTGCGGAGGGCACGAAGGTTGGAGATACATGCGATTGTCCGCTTGGAGGACTGGATGTCTTGCGGGCTGCCGTTCAGGTTCAGGGTGTCCGCATGTGGGTATGCAGCAGAACAGGAGGCAGTGGTCAAGGTACGGAGAGAGCGCTGAGAGAGTGTGACTGAGAGGGAGGAGTTTGTCGGAAGGTTGAGAGTAGTATCACGCTTGCCCCAGTATCTAGAGCACTTCTGTTAGAACAAAACTATCTGGTATGAAGGGGATGAGGGGTAATCCAAGAGCGACATACTTGATGACAGCAATGTTCACCGGAGCGGTGGTGGTGGCCCGATAAACAGACTGGTTCGATGTAGACGCCATTTTTGCTTCAGATGGATAGAAGAAAGAACCTCAATAAATATCTAAAGAACTATAAGAGACTCGAGGGGAGATTTACTACTTAGGGGGATTGTTGATTTATCGGGGCGGTGAGGGGGCAAAATAATTTCTACGGCGTAGTTCTAGTTCCGTGTCGATGCGCCGAGCTCCTCCAGTCATTGACCTCCAATTATTCAACAATGGGAGCTGCAGCAAGTACGCCCTCTGCCCCCGCCGCGGAGGCACCAGCAACTTGTCCCGTGGATCATAAAACCCGTGAGATCTGGTTGCAACAAAATAGCAACTCACCTCATCCTACCTCCGATGTCCCTGCCGAACAGGGACAACATCGTCCTAAATCACAACGACCCCTATCAACAGACCGGGAAGTGAGCACTATCCCTCGAGCTGGTGATTTCAGCTCAGCAAGTGCTTGCCCTGAGGCCAACAAAGGTTCTTCATCCCCATACGCTGTGTCGCATGGTAGCCCATCCAATGCCGAATCCGAGACTGGCCGTGATGAAACCACTGGAAATTGGATCTATCCGTCGGAGAAACAGTTTTTCGAAGCCTTGATGCGCAAGGGTAACACTCCTGGATCGACTGCCTCGGCTTCAGAGCTTGCGACTTCCGTAGCCTCCATTATCCCCATTCACAATGCTGTCAATGAACGTGCATGGGATCAAATCCTCGAATGGGAGAGAAATGGCCCCTCATCTGACCCCGGAGCAAGAAATGTGGAGGACCAAAATTATATTCTTTCCGGGGACTTGGAGTCGATCCAAAATACCTGAGTCCGCGTGCGCGAATCAATGGATGGCTTGGTTACCAGCATCCGTTTGATCGGCATGACTGGGTTGTTGAGCGTTGTGGCGGTGAAAGAATTGAATACGTTATCGATTTCTACCAGGGCAAGCCGTCAGGAGGCAATGGAACACCATCAGGCCTGGCTGCCAATGCCAATGCCAACCCGGGAAAGCTCAGTTTCTTCCTCGACGTTCGGCCCAAACTGAACACTTATGAAGGCTGGAGGCTGAGGTTTAACCGCTTCACCGGTCTATGAAGGCATCATTGATGATCGTCTTCTGGCGGAATACGCTTTCGCACTGCACATACCAAGGCGACAACGGAGCACGGGCAGGATTTGGGACCCGATTGGGTGTATTTTGCATGTACAACACATATATTTCTGTACAATATCAGGCTACAGGATTGAGAGACAGCGATGAATTAATGTTCTTCATTCCACATACACCGGAGGTTGGTCAGGAATGCGTAAGTCCGAAGTAAGAGAATGAAAAGAAGCAAAAAGGGGATATGCTTGACTAAGGGAAGTGCAATCATGCAAGAGGGATATCGCGCGCATACATGACAACATTAAAGACGAAGACCGTGATGGTAGCCAGTAACAAAAACCAGAAAAAGAAGAGAAATATCTATCCGAGGACAATTGCAAGCACAATAATAGCAAGGATAACAGCAAGAATTACAAAGAGACAGCAGGCTCTGTTGCGCGCATTCTTTTGATATCTGCTGGCACTGCGCAACTCGACATGGGCGCCTCGTGTGTCCTGGGTGACATTTTGGACATTCTCGCTGATGATATCCAACTGCCCTCCTTGTTCCGTAACGATGTGCGCAACATCCCGGAAGAGCTCGTTGAGCTCTCCCACGCTTTGTTCAATGTTCCGTATCTCTGCCTCACGCTCGATGATCAAAGACTCTTGGAAGTCTACCTCGCCTTGGTTGGCCATGCGATGTTGCTCCTCCAATAACTGCTCTTGTAATTGGACATCGTTCTCAGCGGACGGTTGCTCGCCTTCTTCGAATGCTGTACGTGCAGCAACTGCAGAAGCGCGCTGTTTCTCGAGTGCACGACGCTGAATAGTTTGGAATTCATCCAAGGTGGCCTTGAATTCGGATGATAGCTTCTGCTGTGTCCATTTCTGGGAGGGCTATAAGTTGAGACGTTAATAAAAATCAACCAGCAGTAAATGGAATCAGATGGATCATACATTGACGTCCTCCCATGTCTGGATCCGCTTAATCCCTTCTCCTACATCCCTAAACCCCGTACGGGTCTCTTCAAGCAGATTATGAACTCGTTCGCGCACACGCTCTGTATCACGCTTGGTCCCGAGAAGGGCAATTTGATTCGATAGGCGAGAAATGTTTGATGTCAATGTAAATAACTGATCTGAGAGCTGCTCGGCCAGATGGTCGAAGTCCGGATCGTCACGGTACTGCGGGTCTTCATCCCGGCGCATAGTGGTAGGCTGAGCCTCCAACGAGTTTAGCCTATCAAAAGACATTCTATGTGTAATCAGAAAGCAATAAATGAGTGCTTAAAGTGAAGGCAGAAGAAGACTGGAGACCAAATGAGAGTTATCTGCAGGTCCCTGCTGCCTTCGATAAGCTGCGTTGGTGTCCACGGGTGCAGACCGCCCTCACATGACGTACTATGCATCCACTAGTCCCGATATGGACTAGCCCCTGTGGCACAATGTACACTTGAGCCACATATCACATGACTATATGTGGCTGGCGTGTTATGATGCCTCAAAATATTCCTGGGCGGACCTCGCCGTTGATTGATTCTATCCGACCAGCTCAACACAACCAGCTGTCAGCCGTGACCATTCGTCGACACCGTCCCTGGTCCGCCAATTCTGTTCTCCAGCTCCCGGAGCTCTCCATATCACTGTCATTCTGATCATGCTCTAATCTTCAACTATTTCATTCTCTTCCACGAGCGCATCCCACTCAAGCTTACATCATGGCCACTGTACAAACTCGGCCCTATAGGCGAATCTTAACTTCGGCATTGCACCGAAGATTTGTTCATGCGTCTGCACTTTCACTGCTGGTCTCTTACATTATCGCAATTGCGATCGGGGAGAAATCGTCTTGTGAGTACATCGCAACCTTATCGGGTGGAGCCTCGAAGGCTCAGTTTCAAGTCCTGAAAGTACAAAGAACTGATAAAAATATTCTATGCAGTTTTCTGGTTATGGTTTCCCTTTGGTAGTTGCGGTGTCCGGACCGCGCTGCTGTTCATATCCTCGCTCACCATTTTTGTCCTTCGGGTCAGTCAAATGCACATTGGCTCGAGAACAGCTAGCTCCTCGTTCGGCACCTTGAAATCCTTCACTCCGTTACAAATCGCGCAAACCTTTGGCTGGTACATCTTCTCGGCATGGTGGTTCACTGTAATTTATGTATGGTCATCTTCGAGTGATTCAAACCTCGAGCTTGTGAAACGGGGCAGGTGCGTCGAGTATGCTTCAAATGACTCCGATTCGGACTAATGGGATACAGGCTACACGAGCGACCGACTCTGAACGAGAGGCCGATTTACCTTCATTCCTTCCATGCGTTACTAGCATGCGTGCAAGCAGTGTTTCACCTTTACTACGACTACGACCGCATTGCAGTGCCAATCGCGGAGCGAAGCTCCAAAACAAATGACGAGCGTATCCACCCCGTACCGCCAACCTCCAAGTATCTACAGGGTGTTCTGCTGCCGGAATTAGTGGCCGGGGCTCTCAGAAGCGTCACTGTTGCTGCAGCGTCACTCGTGATATACCCCATATTTTTCAGAGGCTTTGCGTGGAGCTGGTCTTTGTACGTCGCCAAGCTCTTTTCCAGCTTCCCGAGATCTGCAGCCGAACCTCAAAGCTTCGTTCCCTCGATTTTCCCCTACTTCTTCTTCAAAACCTTGGCTCCCGGAGTGATGCTTGTGCTCTCTTGGCAAACTGCCAATCTCTTCTATTCTGTGTTCATCGGCAAGGAACCTTTGAAGCGGGGCCAGCCACTCACAACAGAAGCCAAGGATCCCAATGGCAGTCTTCTTAGTGGCCTCAAGGCGAAGAAGGAAATTGTGAAGACTTTTGCGCTCTGGGAACTGAGTCTCATAAGCCAGCGCGTTCCCGACCGCCGGAAGGCAATTTTCAATGAAATTGATCGCGAAGGTGGTTCGGCTTGGTCCCAGGTTCTTGCTTGCACTACCGATGTAATCAAGGCCATTAACACTCGCATCGAGGAAAGCAAGAATCCCGTGCCTGTTACCAAGCCTTTGCCGCAGGCCGAGAAATCCGAGCCTGTTCTTCAGACTCTCCCACGACTCTCAGAACCAATCAAAGACGGCAATATCTTTACCACTGCCCCGAAGGGTACTTCGCGCCAGGACAAATTTGGCGATGCGTTTAGCTCGGCGGCTAAATCCTTCGGTCAATCAGAAGACTGGACTCCTACTGCGCGGGCCCGGGTCCGTGATGTTTTCGACCGGGCGTCATCAGCAGTGCTTAGCCCCGAGCAGAAACAGAAATATCTCGGCTCTCCCCAGAAGTTCAAACTACTTACCGGCAGTCCCTCCACAACTCATAAACCCGAGGACATGAACCCAGTTCTGGCGCAGATTCTTCGTTCGCCTATCGGCCAACCTTTCCGTCAAACATACGCTCAACGTCTCTCTGCTATTGTTCTTGGCACACCGGAGTCCTCTCTGTCCTTGATCGTGGATGCTGTGGAGTCGCTGACTCGACTCCTCATTGCTAGCTTGGCCGAAGATCCGTATGGCAAAGTTCAGGCCGATGTGCCCTCAGCCGTGCGACTTCTGACCCAAACCACCCTCGCTCTGAATGCATTTGCCCACCAGGGTGGGTTGGACGCCCACTGGACCGATATCAACTTCCCTCCATCAACCGATCCCCAGGCGCAAGCAGTCGCCCGCCTGGTTCCAGATGTTGAAATTGTGCTTGCTGCACTCCGTGGTGGTCTTAAGGATCTACTGACAGCCTTCAGGCCTTACTTGCGCGATATCGGTATCGCAGGCAAGGATTTGAGGCTAGCAAAGGAGGCAGCTGGCATTGACGGGGAGGAGGTGTTATGATCTATGTCTCTTTTTTTTGCCGCGATTCTTTTAATGCTCACTATCTCTCATGATTTCTCTTCATAAAACTTCGTGTATTGCTATCTCTCGTCCTGTTCTTTAGTCCTACCGGGTTGGTATCAGTGGACAAATGCATGGTCCGGCGTTCTCTTAAGATGGGCGTGGTGGTGTTGGCTGAAATACAATATCAGCACTATTGAATCAATGCCTTATTTCCATCAGCGCGGCATCTTGGGTTCCAATTATCTTGTAAAGACTTCAATAGATCCAACTTGCTCTTGTAAGTATGGGTCACATGACGGCGCTTTCTCAATCAACACCAACCTCATCAAGTCCATCTACACTTGTTCAACACGGCCTCCAAACAGCAACAGAAGCTCTGAAGCACTCCTCGTAGCTTACGGCATTTTGATTTGAAATTATGTCATTGACAAACGTCTACCTTGTGCGTCGGGTGGCCGATACCTCTGCAAAAGCATGTTTGATTTGTTACAAACCATCAACCAGTGTGATGATCACACCGGATAACAAGGTATGCAATCTGATCTGAGATCTAGAGTATAGTATAGAAGATTGTTTCTTTGCTTGATTTCCTATTTTTATGTATATGGAGTGGCTAATTCACTCCTCAGGACTTCTTCTACGTGTGCCCCGCACATTTGCAAGACAAGCATTTCTGCTCTCCGATCATCGACACGGAGGGCCAGGCAAAACGTCTCAAAGAAGAGGAAATGGCCAAGGAGATCGAAAAGGTAAAAAAGGAATACGAAGAAAAACAACGACGGAAGAAAGAACGCGAGAAGGCGTCTAGCAAGAACAAAGACGAAAAAGACAAGGGCAAAGATGAGCCCAAAGACAAAAATAAAGATGCATCCGAGTCAAATGCCAATGACGAAAAAGACAGAGATGATAAGGTTCGTGACTTTCCACAGCGAAGGTCAATAAGCAAAATCCTTTGTATGAACGTGTTGACTGATTCCCTGCCAGATCGCTTCTATCCAGAAAGGTTCCGGGAAAGAGACAAAGTCGGATGATTCGCCTCGAATTTTCTCTTTGCACAAGTATGTGATAAGCATCATTTTCATGATAGTGACTCCTAACGGCGCAACAGGAATTTCTATCAGATGCGCATCGACCGGCTGCGCAACATTGAAATGGCGAAACGCAATCAGGAAAGATTAAGGCAGCCTTCACTGTTCCCCTCTGTGCCGTCGGGAAATCCTTAAACTTTTCCTCGATTGTATACTTTGGGCATCAGTATAGGTAATTCGAGATAGGAACGCCATGTTGGTTCGGCCTGCGTCATCTGCCAATCTGCCTGCTGAAGCTCCGGGCGAGGAGAAGGCGATGCAAACCAGCGAAGGCATGTTCCACAACTGATGTCCGTCACTTCGCACGGCATATCTGATGCTCCGATAATCGCTAATTATCGAATCATCCATTTTACCCTGTGTTTTGACCCGATTGGAGGTTTACGGAGAACACCGGACGCAAGATTGGGTCACGCAAGCTTCATATCCCCACATATGTCTTCCCTTTCTTAGCGGACTTCCCGCCCAATCATCACCGAGTCATACAGTCTCAAGCCGGCAAAAAAGGTTTAAGCCATTGACGTGGCAGGAGCGCCCGGTACGGGGCGCTTCTGGCTCGGGCATATTCGTTCCTAGGACCTATATATATCGTGGACTCTATTTACCTGTCGAATAAGCGAATTTCTGATCCTGCAGGATTCGACTGCAGTAGCAAAATCTACAAGCCGGTGACTTCCATGTAACCTGGTTGTTCTTAGTAGACTTTGTCTAACGAGGCGGCCAACGAGATTGCGCCTTTCAAATGAATCCTCGGCCACTCTCGCCCGGGCAACTATATATCTCCAGACCGGAAATTGCTAGCTCTTTGTTTGTTACACCTCAGTGCCACGACACTCTTCACATATTGCGTGACTTCGTGATGTTAGGTGGGGTATAATAAGCACTAATTAACTAGAGCGGTCCACGAGCCCATCACAAAAACTGCCTCAGCCCTAGTGGGCGGCTTACTCGGTTTCTGTGCCCTACCGGGCTTCGGTGAAACATCTACTCGTGTACGGCGTATTTGCTGTGGCCGTAGGAACTTCGAGGCATGTGATGCTTGAACGAACTCCCGTTGGTACGAAGACTACCGTGGTGCATATACCGATTTTTGTACTCTCATCCCGTGTCCGGGGCTATTTCAATGCAAGTCGCTATATATAGCCCACAATATAGACAACTACATGCCCACTTCGCTTTCAAGACCGAGACAGACACGTGAAGATTTAACTCCAATTACCAACGCAGCTGCCTGGAAGTGACACGATCTATAATTGTTAGAGAATCATAGATGCCTTTCTCGAACTACTCAAGTCAAGTTTATCGATTGAAGTCTGCCTGGCAGGTTTGGATGGTAGAGAGCACGCGGCCTACTAAACTAGCACAATGGATGCGTTCGGGAAAGGCTATATATAGTGCTAAGCTAAAATGATAATCGTAGGTAGACATGATTATACCGGGATACTCTGTAGTATATTGACAGATACAGCGTACATATATGTATGTTGTCCTCATGTGAGCATAGTACAAGATATGCACATGCTGCTCAAACTTTGAAGGCAGTGTAACTCACACAGTGCTATCTTTATTTAGCTAAAAGTATTTAGCAGCCTATTTCGTAGCTCGCTAGTTGACAACAATGTCGCCATGAGACATAAGACTTGTTCAACGCAGAATACATATATAGTCGACAGATGCACAGATACTATACAGTGAACGAAGTGAGACTAGCCGTACTATTTTAATGGCAAAATCCTTGGAACATACGATTACGGGGTTATCCCAGGCATAAACGATTGTATTTAGGACTCTCCTAATTAGACTGATCATAAGCAACTGTCCGGTATACAATATCTCATCCATACCAAGAGACCAAGCCCTAATCCCAGACAAACCTGAAACAAAGTTAAAAATGCCAGCGATCGACGCAAGGCGATCACGACCGCATTGATAAACTATGTTGTATGTAAAGATGGTTGTGGAAAGGATGTGTACTCCGTACATTAAGTCACCAAGCCAGACCAGATGGGAACTCCACCGGGAGCTCCCCCTGCAAGGCAAAGTGCACTGCCCACCCCCACAAGGAAAGGGCTGCCAATCAAAATATGAAAGTGACATTCATAAAGTATCAAGCTTGCGAAACAACGGAACCAATGAAGGTTTGTACACTAATTAGATCTACAACTAGTAAGAGCCACATATATTATCATCAAGAAACGTCCACTGTATAGTACAGAAACCTCCAATTAGAACACGATATAAGGGCCGAATTATGGAAAAATACCAGATACCCCAGTAAACAAACACATACCAAACAGATACTGGTAATACCAATACAGCTACCCACCAATCGGGAAAGCCAGGAAACAGACCCGCTTTGCACAGCCTCCTTCTGCTTCCAAACCTTGGAAGTCGGCAGAAGGGGGAAATTTGGGTCAATCCTGTCATTGGCGTTACGCTGATCTTTGAAACATCCAACTCGAACTGACAGCGCTTCGGTGAGCGGGGCCACTTCTCTGGGAAAAAGAAGAATGGAGTCCACTTAGTCCACTTAGTCCACTTATTTGGGATCTACCTAGGCACTCTTTTGGCTAGAGAAACTCAGGTCCTTGGCGAGCGATTAACTATTGCTTTCCAAGGTTGTGCCTGTTGCGGAGTATGTTAGCTGCATATGGCTCGAGGATCAGACCCTGGGAAAATAAACCCAAAAAACAAGGGCTAAGGCAAAGGCCACGAGTCGACTGATGCACGTTTGGTATGCGGTGCAGCCCTAGGGAGAGGTAAGCCCGTCCGGAGTTTAATTACTATGTACGGTTCGAAATGGGGCTTTGGCTCTGTCTCATATCGCCGATGCTGTATTACTCTATTTTTGAGTTTGCGCAAGATGTTTTGGTGGGACATGGCATCCTTGTTGAACGGGGGCGTTGGATACGAATCACAAGATAGGTGGATAGGTAGCTTTCGGGAGGACTAATGGCTTGTGCGTTTTGAGGTGGATTGATATCAGTGGCTGTACGGATCAGCAAGGACATGGCGTGCTGCCTAATGTGTGTCTTGTTTTTGTAAATCATGGGATGGAGCATGGGAGAATCTCCTGTCAGCCTAAGTGGCTTGTCTGGAAAGGTCGGAGGCGGCGTTCTTGAGCCTCTCCTTGCCATTGTCGCTGCCTGTACGGAGTATGTAGAATGAAACGAGACGCAAGGCAGTCATGTTCTCAAGGCCAGCGACAATCTTCGCTCTCCGCGTGCAGCACGTGGTCATCCCCAAAGAGTGGGTAGTCAATAATGAAGACCCAGCTGTGCACGGAGTGTGGAGTGGCTCCCAGGTCCAAGCTTAGGTGTACCACATGTCAATTAGGACAAGCCCATTGAGCCCCCTTGGTTGACACACGATCATCTAGAACCGAACAAAAACAACCAAAAACATGATAAACAAATGTAGGAGCTTTAAGCTTTCATAACTCGTAAAACTATGTATGCATGTATGTTGATCATCACTTCTCATCTCAAAGATTGCCACGCCCAGAGTCATTAGCTGCGAGGGCCCGCATTCCCGGGGAAGACGGATGGCAGGGTTAACTCTTGGCCCCTGAGCCATGTTGAGCTGGTTTGCGATATCGACACGGGCTTTCGTAAGACCGATGGCTGGCACGACCCAACCACCGCAGCTGCATCGAAGTCCTTGCCACGCAAATTTGCCGACGTTGGACCCGCAGATAGGATTGGGGCAAGTGAGGCGCCCAGAGAGAGGGCATCGTCCGGGTGCGCACCATATGTTGTATCCGCACTAGCCTCAGCTCCCTCAGATGGGAAGAGACTTGGGCGCATCCAGGTCAGGGGGTGGAGGAAAACATGACCGCAATCGGCGGTTACTGAGGACTTGGCGGTGTTTTGCTTTTCTTCCTCATGCGGGATGATGAATGGAGTCGTCGCCAATTTGGTTCTGTGATGGGTTTAGTAAATCTGGAAGTTTCTTTTTTATTTGACTCTCAGGAGTTTGGGTCTGGACCCTTAATTGTGGGACTAACCTGCATTTCCGACATTTAATTTCGACTGTTCGACCGGTGGCGTCTTGGGACTGAACGGGTTGTTCATCTTCAAACCGCACCGACTTCAGCTCTGGGGCACGGCCGCACGCCACACTGCCTTCGACATCGCGGCGATAAAGCCAGCGCTTGTACACGGGGTGGTCAGTGACATCATCTGGACAGCCCATCTCATGGTACAAATTCAGCTGTTCCATGAAGCCATCGTTTGGCTCACACAGGGGCCTGCTTTGCCGAAGCAGCGCAAGGGCAGATTGCGGTGTGAGTGCCCCCGGCTGCCGGTGGAGCAGGTAGGCGATGCAAATGGCCGCGGAGCGGGACTTCCCCATCGCACTGGGTCATCAAATTAGCCACTGTACATCTTTCCATGATGGGCAAGGCCAGGCACGGCTTGTTGGATTTCCAGGCAAAGGGCCCAACGTGTATAAGGATGTGCAGAATTCTCAAGCCACGTGTAGATCGCACTTGATGGATACGCAATGACGTAGGAGGCACGAAGCCACTCGAGAATCTGCATTCCACAAGAGGAAACGTATCTTGAGAATCCGGGAAAACTTTCCACAAGTGAGACTGGAAAATATGTATTCTGACTTACCAGTGCACCAGTACACCTCCACCACCGTTTAGGCCGGACTGGATAAACTTGATAGCGGCAGGGAAATGTTCCAATAAATTTTCATCGTCGACATCGTCAACTCCTATGGAAAGATGATGGTAAGGCTTGAAAGTCTCTTGCTCCTCGGCTAGGTTGAGATTAAGACGCAGCACTGAGAGAACATGCGTGATATCTGCACGTGCCAATGCTGCTTTGTTTTTGGCGCCTATTATGCTACAACTGGCGCGTTAGCAATGAATGGAAACCGCTAAATCAGGAACTGCTAGCCAATCTCGAGTCTCAGCTCCATTTTAGCGACACCCGGGCAAGGATTGTTTGTTAGTAGAGTGAGACCAACCCTCCGACATAGATATTGTGGCCTTTTATTTGATTCATGGCCATTTTGAGATATGGTGGATGCGACCCGACAACAGTAAGATTTTTCGTTGATGGCGACAGGAAATACAGAATTCAGAAGCTCAGCTCCAGTGCCAGTTTGATAACTCGACTCTTTTCTTCTCTTAGATCGCAAAGGCGGAGGTTGAGCCTCGGCCAAACTCAAAAAGTCTGATAGGGCAAGGGTATGACAAAGCAGGTGACTTGGAGTGCCTCAGGCCATATTTATTTTTATATCTCAGACCTGGGTTTATTTGTGTCAAGGAAAATACTGTTGTGTAATTGTCTCTTGACCTGAACTCCATTTATTAACTTAAATATTCACAGGTAAATCATTAGAGCTGTAAGAGAGTGTAGAGTTTTGCATAATAGCGTGAGACGTTGGCCATTGTATGAGGATCTCCCCACTCCGGGTTGGTGCCTCCTATGTTGTATCGAATTATGTTGTACATGCATATGTCATGAGTAGTATTATCATTTTCTTTCCAAAGACTTTATTAGATTAAGTGCACACATTTCTAAGGAGGAATTTAACTAGCCCTTCCCAAAAGTGAGACACGGAATTCACAACCAAGCATCAAGGTCATTTTGCCGACCACGTGCCCTTCATGTTTTACATACAATATACATGTAGTTGTAGACGTAATGAGCAGTTACAATCGTACAGAATTTTAGAATGTCTATATTGTAGTCTTAACACAGTGCATACGGAGTCGATATACTGGACTTGTAAATCACAAGTCTCGCCGAGGGTTTCTCACCACATGGAGCGCGATTTACATCCAACAAAGGTCAAACAGCCAATCTATAATAGGGTTGATCTGATTTGCTATGCGACCTGCAAGGGGGTACTCACGGGGCAACAAAAAAAAGGAAGCTAGATTTAGGCTTAGTTAGGCTTACCGCGGGGAACTTGGATCTAGGCTGACCAGGAATGGAGCAATGAACGGGACCGGAGGCAATATACCACATACGGCCTCACTATGCAGTATGGATACGTAGTATAAAGTTGGTTAGCCTGTCCGCGTTACATGACTAGAGCCGTAGCACGCGCTTCTAGGCTGCAGCCCACTAAGGCTTAAGGCTGGCTGCGCCTCAGGAGGTACAGTTTCAGGGCAAAGACTGGGTTTTGCCAGCCGAAGCCAGCCGAACCACTCCGTACAAAATCCGCTAACCCCTCTCTGCTGACGCCTCTTGTTGAAGGAGCAGTGTCTTTGCTGCCTGTCGGGTCTGGTAATCATTACCCGAAGCAAAATACGGAAACAGACGCCTCAATGGAGTTGTGTACAACACAACTTACCAATGTAGTCAGCCATCACCCAGCGCAATCTAATTATTTCCTAAATAAGTCAAGGGCGCTTCCTGGAACACCAACTGGCTTGACGGCGACGATCGATGAGAAATACATACATAATGGGCCCGGGGAAAACTTTATTAGACTACAATATACATGTGATCTTGGTGCCCGCTCTGTACTCCGCGTACGGAGTAGACAGAGGATGAATCAATGTATAGAGGCAATACCCCCTGCCAAGAAAGACACTGCCACTCTGCAATTACAAAATCCTGACGGTTGAGCAACGTACTCCGTACTCATAGAGCAACCCTCCCTTTAGAGCAGATAATCATTACTCTATGTAGACTAAGACGCTCTGATCAGAAGATCTGATCGTCATACGTGTGATAGGGCTCCAGGGGTATACATCTAACGTAGAGTTCGACCATCTCCTTGGGATGAAACCCCATAATATTACATACATATATTGTACTAACGTAGACTACTGGGTAAGTGCTCTGTACTCCGTAGTCCGTACAACAGTAACACACTAGTAGTCGAATGTGTTTGCGGATAAAATACCTAATTTAGCGATATTTCCTAAAAAGGAAATCAAAAAGAAAAAGAAAAATTGAGATTTTTCATTCTCGAAGCTGATGTGGAGCTCTGGAGCATTCACCCGATTACTCAGCCCTGTTCCCTGCAGCCCTGGAGGGTTTGTTCCAACGTTCTCTTTTCTCTTCTTCACGTTCATCTCCAAAGACCAGGTCATTTTCTGTGAATTTTTTTTCAAAAATCCAGCTCAACACATCTTACTCTATGTTTGATCACACCACATTCAAAATCCACACCCCTGCGCTCAAATGACAGGCGGACCGACAGTGTGGCAGTGCATGCACTGCTAGGCGCTAAGTGGAGCGCACTAGCAAATCAGTGGGGCCAATGTCCAACGACTCAGCATTGTCCGCTTTTTTTGTGGAGGCAAAAGAATGTTCTCTCATGAATGTAGGGCCGAATCCTCCGAAACGCAGCACAAGATTTATGTTTATTGTACCATGGGATTGCACATATGTTGTACATTGTGCGGAGTACTTATATCTGCCCACTGTTCAGGATTCAAAGAAGAAAAAAACCATCAACAGGAGTGTTGTCGCTGCCCCTTGCCCAGGAGATATTAAGCCTAAATGCCAAGAGTTCCAAGCCCCCCGTGTGTATTATCACTGGTTGCGAAACTGTACAAGACCACACAAGACCAATGCCAATCTATACTTCATTCTCCCAATGAGTCGGGAGGAGGGTGTACCCCTCTCTAGCCCTTTCTCAACAAGTTCCAGTTCTAGAAGACCATAAACCATGGTTCCTCGAACATGTTTCTTCCTGGGCATGTTAAAGCCGTTTTTGTCTCACCGAAGATGGTAGATAGCTTTTTCTTTTTTAATTTGGAGTATATTGTATGTAAGTACTCCGCAGTCACTAAAATTCGTATTTTCCTTTTTTTTCCCTTTTTTCGCATGCGACTCGCTTCTTGAATGAGTGTACGGAGTACGGAGTAACTAAAGATAGCCAAGAGAAGATTGAACAGAGCGTACTAACAATATGTGGACAACCCCATCATCTGGGTCGCATTTGCGAGGCGTCCAATATACGAGAGACCCCCACCTGTGAGGGTTGGCCGCACGGCCATTCTGCAATGCTATGGTTGGCTTTCATGATCCCTTCAAATAATATGAAGACTCCATATGGGGTAGGGCGCGTCACATAGATCAGCAGTAACTCTGGAACTTGAACTCTGGGCCAGCCCATTCATTTCCCCGTTCTATGGAGTAGACCCAGATGTCTTCGCTTGAAGCTATAGCGTAAGGTACTTGGGACCCAGATGTCTAATACAATACGGAGTAGTGCATCGAACCAATATATCTGGAGACAAAATTACCGAGTCTTTTTTAGCGCTAAGCCTTGTGCCCTAAAAGGAACCTGTTGTCATTCAAACGTGGCTTTTCCACGCGGAGATCTGGAAAATACAATCAATTTTTTTTTAAATTTAAATTATGGGATATTTAATGTTAATTAGAGAATATGAAATTATATTTTAAAAAGAAAAAAAAAAGAAAAAGTGAAAAGTGAAAAAAAAAAGAGGTTTGCGCTGTAATTGGTATGTAACAGACATGACCCATATACCGACGATACATACATATACGGGCTTCCACGTCAGCCAAAAGGCTTTAAGTCTGGTATGTTTCAATTTCCTTTTTCTTTTTGCCTCTTTGTCTCTGATTAGTTGAACTTTCACTTTCCTCCCTTCGAGGATGAGATCACCTAAATTGCCTCTCTTTGCCTGAATTGGATCCAATTTGCACCGCCCGAATTCCTACCCGATACGATCTGGGCGCATTTCAACTTTCTTCTTTTATTTGATCTTCAGCTCTCCAGCTTTCCAGTTCAGCCTTCAGCCTTCTTTCTTTGCCTTTTAACACCCTTTTTTTTTTTTTAACCAGGCTTCAGCTAGTGGGGTACCCCCATTGCATAGAGAGAGAGAGTGTGTGTATTCCTTTTATACTCAAATCTCTGGGCTTAATTGCACACTTTCTAACATTACTAGTTATATTCTTTTGTTTTTGTTTTTTTCTATATTATTTTCAGCATGTGTGCATCTCCTTGAATTGCAGTGGCCAATTTCTATGGGACACAGACCCGGCTCTCCGTGTGTCACTTACGGGAAAACGTTTCATCTTATGAGGCGAATCGCCAAACAAGGGTCCCGAGGTAGGTCGTCTTCAGCCCTATTTCTCCTTACCCGGGTCCTTTATTTATCTCAAGTCCACTTTCAAATGATTCTGACTCTCAAAGTTAGACTCAGACTTTACCACTGCATAAGGTCACTCTATTAAACTATTCTCTCTTCAAACAGAAGCTGGACCTTCTGACTCTTCATCGTGAGGCTGGATAGCAGTCCGCTTAACAATCGGAGCTGGTTTCACGACCGACGTTTGCATTCAACTGGATTGGGTTATTGCTGGGATATTGAGATCTTGATTCGACCTGCTTGTTCCGATTTATATCAAGCTCAACCTTTTCTTCCGCTTTACTTGGTATCTGCCTGATCTCAGCTTGAAGTTCATGTGGATGTGCACCTGTCCGTGATTTCGATTCTGGCTCTATGTTCTGGTTCTAGAATGGACCTTCGGTTTTCTCAGTCGAGCTTCCATGATTTCAGAGAACACAGGCACCGTTCTTCCGACAGACGCCAATCCGCTATGCCCGAGCTGGCATTCTCATCTCACGGCCCGTTACCTATAGCTTCACGAACTAGGACTACTATGGACACTGCCCCTCCACCACTTCCACCGCCACCCATAATTCCCGATTTGGAGATGGGCCATGACGCCGGCTGGCAATACGCAAACTCACAAACTCCGACTTCTCTTCCACCTATCAACCCGAGCTCAAGCTTGTTTGGAGGCCATCGACGGCCGGTAACTGCCTCACAGGGCGATCCGATGCAGATAGACGGTTTAGAGGGGAGGCAGGGAGCTCCTGTCTCGCGAAGCCCCGAAACTCAGATCCAGATTCAGCCACCTCTATCAGCTACAGACGGATTTCCGAATGCCATGTCGGTTATGCCCAATCCGACGGGCCCAATGTAAGCGCACTTGATGCGCGAGGACTGCAAAAAACTCTCGGTTTCGCAGTACCGCGCTTTTCTATATCTGGTTGATTCTTGCTAACACATTGACAGCTTGAGTGGTGAGCGCGAATTTTCACTGCGCAGTGTGAAAGACTCATCAAATGCCTACGACCAACATCTATTATCCAAAATTGGAAAGCCTCAAATGGCAAAACCACCATCCCCAGGGGGATCTATCAGTCTCGGAACCGACAGCCGAAGTTCGCTCTCGGCGCTCACCGTTCCCTCACGAAGCCCAAGCAATCTACCATCCCCAGGGCCTTCCGAGGGGTCAACACTGGATGTGAAATGGCACAACAGCCCTCAGTCTGGGGGTGTTTCTCCCAGGACCAAGGTCAACTGGAAAGAGTACGTTGAAGGCCGGAGCCCAAGCGTGGAGAGCAATGCACCAGCATCAGCACTGGACTACGATCAAGGATCTTTACGGGATGTGAACCGACGCCGCTATCGTGGAACAACGCCACAGCGAGAAGATAGCATCAGTTTACCGAGCCGATCGAACCGTGGAAGCTATGACCAGGGCGTGTTTTCAGATATCGAGGGGGAGTTTTCGACTGACGAGCTGGCACCCCCGCGGCAATTCATTCTTCGAGAGCCCACTCCGCCGTATCCGGATTCTAGGCAGGGCATGAAACGACGGGCATCCTCACCTCCGCGTGAGCCGATAAGCGACGAGAGACATACATTGCACGTCACTACGAGTAACGGAGACTTGTCTCAGCGAAGACTCAGCGGTCATCCGTTTACTAACACACTATCCGTCAACCCCAACTACCACTACCCCACGAATCAACGCACCCTCTCAGCCGCCTCATCCTTGAGCATCCGGACCTCGGGTTCGTATTCGTCTACGCTGTCTATTGGAGGTAGCAGTATGACCAGCCTTTCTCCGTACGACCGGCCATCACCAGGTGGCTTTTCGCCGAGCTCCGATCTCGATACGTTCCATGAAAAGTCAATCCTCAACCCCAGCCCTCCTGCAGCGCAATCTCAGCCTACTCTTTCAAGACTCCCAGGACCCGCGTCTTTAGAACCGCCTGCGACAGACGCCACTGGAAAGGTGCCTGTACCGACGACCATTATGAACGTACCCAAGCCCGCGGCGCCGAAGATCGGCGGGCTTTTCATCTGCGATTGTTGTCCAAAGAAACCCAAGAAATTCGACAACCCAGATGGCCTGCGGTAAGTTGACGCCGCGATGTCTTGATTGTCAGAGCCGTACTAACTTAGAACAGAGCACACGAGATGGAGAAACAGTACGCATGCGCCTACTGCAACCACCGCTTCAAGAACAAAAACGAAGCCGAACGCCATCAAAACTCCCTCCACCTCCGACGCCATTCATGGTCATGCGCCGCACTCGTGAGTTTCCAAGCAGCATTCCACCCCTCAGGCGCACAGTCCTGCCAAACAAACGCCGGAGCTACCCACGACACGTGCGGGTACTGCGGGGAGGAATTTCCCAATTTCCCTCAAGCCGACTGGGATCGACGATTCGAGCACTTGACCACCGTGCACAAATTCGGCGAGTGCAACAACGCCAAGAAATTCTTCCGCGCAGACCACTTCCGACAGCATCTGAAGCATAGCCATGCTGGCACCAGTGGAAAGTGGACTAATATCTTGGAAAACGCTTGCATGAAAGAAGAGCAGCCGCCGGAGCGTCGTGAGCCTCGGGGACCTAAGGATAAAGCTGCTTCTGGCACCCAGACTGCAGGGCCGTTGACGTCCAACGCCGTCTCGGAAGTTCTTCGCGAGCAATGACAATCAACAGGTTGTGTCTCCCTTGATCGGGGATCTGCTCTGCCTTGTGGCATCCGGCTGCAAGACGGTTCCCGGCAAGCGGATCTGCGCTGTTAATTGCATTCCTCGCTAGTTCATACTCCGGGGTTGGATGACGGTTCACCTTTGTGGTAACAATCGTGTCTTTTCTTTGGAAATTTGACACTCTAAGCTCGTTCGGATTTACCGATGAGTATCAAATATTTTCGAAACTTGGATCTCCGCCACATACCTGTTATAACAAGGCAGCTTCACTCGACATCACTCAACATTCTCACTCCCAATCACACCCGGAACATTTTCTCATCACAAAACAAAACAAAAAAACTACATTCATACTAGAAAAGGCAAAGTGAGACAGGACACTTGACAAAAAGCCACCAAAGGCCCAAAAAAAGCCTGGAATCACGATCTGAAACGAACATTTTTGAAATTTTTCCTTTTCCACGGAAGGAGAAGGGGGCAAAGGGAGTTATAGTCTGGACTGGTATGTTTTTCAGTTTGATCAGCCTTTGTGTATTACCCCGGTTGCATTGCAATGGCCTGGGAGGATTCCTTATATCATTCTCATCTCATTTTTACATGGAGTCGGTTTCATTGGTTCTTCAAGGTGGATTGGAATACTGGAATGCTGGAATACTGGATACTGGAATATTTGCGTTCGGTTTGTGTCCCTGGTTTTTGTTCTTCTGTGCTCTTATATATATTCCCCGCCCGTTTTATACATACTTTTGTTGGATGGAACTGTGGGGCGAAGGGGCGTTGTACATAGATTTCTTTTCCTTTTTGCATGGTAGCCTTCACAAAGTATGGCTTTATGCCTTTGGCCATTTTGATATTTCCAACTGCTGGTAGATTTTGTATTGAATGCTATTTTGGTATGCAGATACATCCAACGAGTATGTAACTAATGCTCCATTGGAAGACAATAGAAAGCACAAATATTCAAACACGAAACACTAACCGATCTAATCCAGGGCTAATGGGAAAATATCTGGCCAAACCCAGAAAACAAAAGAAACCACCCAATCCCATCTACTCAGTAACACTATCCTTAATACCCCGCAACGCACTCATCTTATGCGCGGGATCAATAGCAGCAGCATTCTGCGCCCGACGACGGGCATCAGCCCAAAGCATAAATTCCCCATACCCCTTCGGCATAACCTGCACATCCTTCTCAACAAGGAAAGTATAGTTAAACATACCAGTGGACTTCTTGGTGCCGTGCTCAACATCCCGCACCTTGGAGTCAACACGCACCTGCACCTTAGTGTACTTAGTGCTATCGCCCTCTCGCTCCTCGGGCTCCGTGTACGAAACCGTCGCGCGCAGGTACAGCACGCTGCCTACGGGGACTGGGTTCTCGAAGGTGCTTGGATCGAGAGCGACGAAGTTTGGTCGTGCGTGTGCGAAGGACGCGGCGCAGCAGAAGGCTAGCTCGAAGGTCTGTTTTAGTAGGAAGCCACCGAAGATCATGAAATTGTGGCGGTTGCGGTCTTGCGGTTGCATGATCATGGCGGATTTGAGGACTGTGTCGCTCATGAAGACCTGGTTTGCGGGGCGGGTTGCTGGGTTTTGAGGGTCTGGGAAGGTTAGAATTCTTGTAATTGGGCGATTTCAGTAAAAGGGCTGGCGCTTACTCAGGTAGGACATCTCCTTTGTCCACATTGAGTGGATTAGGTTGCTCTCTTCGTCGTCTGGTGATTTCTGTAGGAGACTGCGTGTGCGGAGGGCCTTCTTGGCTTGGTAATTCGCTTCGCCTTTTTGGAAGAGGCGCTTTTCCTCCTCGGTTTCGACGATAAGAGGAGCCACTGGGACGGGTCTTTTTGATGTTAGTTTGTGTGTATCACTTGATAATGGAGGAACATACGCCTTGGTCGCCGGGTCTAGGGGAGACCATTGTGAAAGCACAAGTGATCAGGACATCTTCAGGCTTTGCCTCCTGTCCCTCCGGACGGGCCTTGGTGACCTGAAGAGAGATTTCCATACTTGATCGACCTGTCGCGTAGGTACATTGGCCGCTGAGCTCAAGGTCGCAGATTTCCATCAGGGGGTTCTCAATGGTGATTCGGTCACACGCCGCGGTGACAGTTGATACACCGTCACCTGTGTGGCGGTAGGCAACAATGCCAGCTAGGGCATCGAGGTCCATCAGAAGAGAGCCCAATCTAGAAATGATCAGTCAAATGCTCATTTGATCAGTAGGCTATCAAAAACGTACCTGATATGCCCGGAGGCGTTGAGATAAGAATCCAGAAGCCATTTGTCTTGGGCCAAAGGCAAAATCTACCAATCAGTCAATATCAACATACTGATTTAACACCAAATAAAGAAGATTATACGTACAGCACTGTAATAGCTATCCGACATCTTCTTTGGCGAGAGATCACGCTTAACGCTCTGCGCAGCATTCTCCTGTGGCCCAGCCTTCTGAGCCTCGCGAATTTGAGTCAATGCATCAATCCATGGTGTCTTGACACGCATGGGCATCCACGTCGGCCGGGAAGCTGCCTGAGATGGCGTGGAGTGGAAGTCCTGGGTGTTGATACAGGATGGCTGAGGTGCGACTGCCGCTCGCGCAGGCAGTGCAGCCAGAGATTTTGAGCGAGCAAGCGCTGATCTTCTACTGAGGCCGAACATTGTGTTGTCAAAGGAAAGGAAACCAAGATGAGATAGAAATGTAGTAGACTTTACCCCTGCTCAACAAATGACGATGCCGAGGATCCGATGTATACAGCGCGCACTAGTGACCAAAAGAGATTTAATTACCCGGTGGCTGGGCAGAAAGTGACCGCCCTGGTAACTGGTGGTTTACTCTATTTAATTAGTTCACTCAAATGGCAGCTGGCTTTGAAGACAATTGGCCTAGCTAAAACACACCAAAACCTACATATTCTTCTGGGTTGGAGTGAGAACTCACGAATCTATAGGTTAAGTCTCTCATGGTCACTGCTGCTTGCCGTATCCGTACCCGGTCCGGTTAGCCCCCGGCGATTCTCGGCCCGGATACGAAAAGCAATGTCATCGCTCCCGAGCGAAGGTTTGATTTGTTCTGTAGATGCGGTTTGTAGCTGAAGGTGGCCTCTAAAGCAAAGTGTAAGCGTATGAAGGCCCTATACAGAAGAATTAAAACCGGGTAGTTCTATCGAGCTGGCTAATGCTAACGCCCGATTTTGATATATATATATATATCTGTAAGGATATGAGGAATCGTCCTTACTGGTCATATCAGATAAGGTGTTCCAAGGTTGGAATCGAATACGTTCAACTGCAAGGAGCTAGTTAAACGTGGAGGAACTTGGTAACCCATGGTTTATATCTTGAAATTGATTTAAGCTTTTAACCAACTCCCAGGTCTGATGGCCCAACGTCAAAATGAAGTCATCGATAAGATATCGATCTATAACCCTCACTTCAAACATTGAACGCAACTAGCTCTCTACTTTTGTTTCTATTCGAAGTGAAGAACCTGGGATCAAGAAAGATTCATATATTTACAACATGAGCGACCCAACAAACCCACATATCAAAGAGCGCACCACACCCCAGTGGGCTCTGTACCAGCGAGAGAACTTCTGGAAACAGAATGAAGGAACGACACCACTATTCAATACAGGAAAGACTTCACTATGGTTCCCGAACCTACAGAAATCCTAACTTCTATAGACCCCCGAAAAACTGGAAGAAAGAGCCAAAGAGAAGCTGAGCGAGGGCGGCTGGTACATACTACCTCCCCATCATAGGAGTCCAGATATCCCAAGACACATAAACTAACTCAAAACCCCTAACAGGTACTACGCCTCCTCGAACGCAGGAATGTCAAACACACACCTCGCAAACCGACAAGCCTTCTACCGCCACCGACTAATCCCCAACCAACTAATCGACACAAACAACCGCTCTACAAAAACAACAATCTTCAACCACTCAGTATCCGCCCCAATCGGCTTCGCCCCAATCGGAATAAACAAAATCTACAACCCAGCCGGCGAAGCCGCGGTCTCAAAAGTTGCCAGCGAGCTGAATCTCCCCTACTGCCTCTCAACAGCCGGCAGCACGTCAATCGAAAAAGTCGCCTCGGCAAACGGAACAGGCACAAGATTCTTCCAACTGTACATGCCACACGACGACGAGCTAACAGTATCACTCCTAACCCGGGCGTGGGAAAACGGCTTCGACGCACTGATTCTCACGACGGATACGTGGCAGCTCGGATGGCGACATGACGACGTTGCGTCGTCGAACTATGCATTCTACCGCGGATTCGGGGCGGATGTGGGGCTTTTGGATCCTGTTTTTCGGAGGAGATGTGTTGCGGATGGTATCGATCCTGATGTTGATGTTGTTGCGGCGTCGACGAAGTGGATTGATTCTGTTTGGCATGGGCGGGCTTGGTCGTGGGAGAAGATTCCTTGGTTGATGGAGACTTGGAGGGAGATTAGTGGGGGACGGCCGTTTGTTATTAAGGGGATTCAGTCTGTCGGTGATGCGAGGAGGTGTGTTGAGCTTGGGGTTGAGGGGATTGTTGTGAGTAACCATGCTGGGAGGCAGGTTGATGGGGCTGTTGCTAGTCTTGATGCGCTGGAGAGGATTGTTGAGGCGGTCGGGGAGAGGATTTATGTTATGTTTGATTCGGGGGTTTGGGGGGCTAGTGATGTTGTGAAGGCGTTGGCGCTTGGGGCGCGGTTTGTGTTTATTGGACGGCTTTGGATTTGGGGGTTGAGTATCCAGGGTGAGGATGGGGTTAGGCATGTTATGAAGTCGTTGCTGGCGGATTTGGATATTTTGATGGGTGTTGCTGGGTTCAATGGGGTTGAAGATTTCAATCGGGATATTCTTGGTCAGTCTTGTCTGCTGTGTGTGATGTGAGGATAGATGCTGATGTTGAGATACAGAGTCGGATCCGAAGAATTATACGCTCATGCCACAGAAGAATCTGTGAATGGAAGACATTTCGGGGTGCTGCTTTTGATTTCAACTACAGCATTGCCTAGCTTGTAAACAGGGACTGCTTGGTTACTCTACACGTCTTCAGCTGTAAATTTATTCAGTGACTACCTAGGTGACTACGTAGCTGTATAATGAAGAGGATGTGATTAACACCCCCCCCCCATGTATTCCGTGGGACCCGTCAAATGGCTATGGAGCCACGACTTTGTCAAAGAACTTCCACGAGAAAGACCGGTTTGTTTTTGGTGTAGACCTATATGGACCTCAACAACCTTGGTAATGTTGACGTCTTTATGTATAGGTGATGCACGGCCCTTTGCCTCGCCTACGCGATCTCACGGGGGCTACGGTGAGATCGGGGACGAGAGGGCTGGGGAGAGGAAGAAGAGAAGAGGAAGAAAGGCGAGAGGAGCCCTTTTATATCCCCAACAACACGTACCTTCCTCAAGTTGGCAGCTGACTTGCACCTTCCCTCTCAATGCCCCACGTCACTTGCCCAATCCATATAGGAAGTTCATATAGAAGCCTTGTAAAAGTGGCATTGATCAAACACGTCTACAAATTGGAAACTGTTTATTATGAGATTGTAGCATCTTGCCAATGATATTGTAGACTTTTGTCTATCTAGGGAACTAATAACAAGTCATGTCCAGTTCAAATGAAGGGCACACGTTGGATATTGAACAGAAACGAGGGATATATGCAGCTGAAAAAAGGCCGAATAGACACAGTGCCGCCAATGCATGGTAGAATGGGTGGGTGGTCGTATGTGGACCTGGGTGTATTAACGAAGGTATTAACAGAAGTGAAGTGATATGCGTGTAGAATAATCGACGATATGCACGGGAAAGAAATGGGTGATAAGTGAGTGTACATTAAGACAAAGGGCAAAATATAACTGCCGCCAAGTCAAAAAAAGATGCAAGAAGTGAAAGATGGGCTGAAATGCAGTTCAAACAGCGAATGCGCCAATCATGACTGTGAGCATAGACCAGCTAATGCTGTGGACGAGGTGGGATGCGGAGCTGCCCGATACTGTGGCCATTGCAGAGGAGGTCGGTGATGATGATGACGTGGCGTCAGCAGTAGACGCAGCAGTTCCAGTGACTGGCGGTGCAGTGAATGTCCCATTGCCTTGGGGCGGGGACGAGGATGAAGAGGATGAGGTTGAAGATGGGTCTAAGTTCGACTTCAAGGCTGAGGCCGAGGCCGAGGCGAGCGCGCCGAAACCGATCTGGCCATTGTCGAAATCGAACACGGTGTAGACATTTTTCAAAAAGACATCGCCAACGAGCCAGTCTGCACCATTTGATGCGTAGCCGACAATGGTCGAAATGCAGTAGTCCGAGCCGTCCGGCTCCGGATTTCCGACATAATCCTTAGGGGAGACGTTGTACTTGACACCAGAGAACTCGAACTCTATGGTGGCAGTCGAGTTACATGGGATCAAATAGTTGTTCGGGTTGGAGGGCTGTTGAGAGGAGTCAGGGACGAGAGAAAAGAGGGCTTTGGCATCCGCGGGAGGGATCAGGAGATAGGTAGTGCCGGTGTCGATGGTAGCGGATTTTCCAGTAAAGTTGCAACTTTGGCCATTCACATAAGCATCATCCAAGGGGATGTTCCAGATTTTGTCATTGGTAGCAGTGTAGGATATGGTGCCATCAAATTTAGTTGTATCGACATCACCAAAGTTGATTTCCCCATCCTTGTGATTGTCTTCTGAGCGAGAGAGACTGAACCCAACCAAGTTTGATTTGATAAGCTTTTTCTCCGCAACGAGATCCATGAAGGATGGCAGATTCCACCCTGATGTATGCGACCGACCCAGGCCAAGAATCCCGTCAAATGGGTAACTCTCAAAGGTTTCCGAGGCATTGTTGGCTAGACCAAAAGTTTGCAAGACTTCGAGCCCTGCAATTGAGAGGGTGTCTTTCCCCATCTTGCCGTCGACCTTGCCGCTCCCGTAAAAGAGGCTGAAAGCCAAATTGTCGGTGGTAAAGCTGGTTGATGCAGACCGGTCGAAAGTGTGATGATGTATGCAGACAGGCTCAGTGCATTTCGAGTCGAAGACCCAGGTATTGGGTGCTCCAGTATCGATTGCCATCCACATTTCTTGTTTTTCGGAACCTACATAGACCGGAGAAGAAGTAGGAATAATCCGTCCCGTCCTGGTGTAACGGTGCACTGTCTGCCAATGACGGTTTGTGGGACTCGACGATCTTATAGCCATGGTCGCGCCGAACGGGCACTTTTTTTAGGTCAAGGGTCAAAGGTTTTCTGTCGGCTGCGTTTGATGGGTCGGTGCTATCCGTGCTGTCGTCGGATTTGGCTCCAATTAAGGTCCACGGGACGAAGCGACGTTCAACTGTAGTTTCTGTGGAGAGTTTCATCCGCAATTCCCATGGATAGAAGGCGTGAACGCCTGAGATGCCGGCAATGAAGACCAGACATGATGACAGATGCATGATCCCTGGGGGAGCTTAGATAGAAAACGTAAAAGCCTGCATTTGACGAATTGAAGCTGGATTCAATTGTATGTCTCTCTATTCAATATAACCGCTGTTCGCTGTATGGAGCCGAGGAATTGGGGGACTCGAAAAGTTGAAGAGTTGAATTAAGTGACAGAGACTGAAATTAAAGAAAAAAAAGAAAAGACAGGATATTAAGTAATGAACAAAAGGCCAGGAGGTTGGAGAGACTCGAAATGTGCCATGAAAGATGTGAGGGGGGACAGGGTCTCCACCGTTGAAAACCCCCCTGAACAAGAAGTTGGCAAGAACACCAGTTGGCTCTAAGCCAGAATAGGATTAGCTTCCACCTTCCTCCACTTGTCTAACACCATTTCGGGTATCGATCGGCCTTAAATGAAGCTAGTGGAGCCAAATTGTTGTATATCAAGGAACTTGGAATATCATACAATATTGATATTCTATTTTAATACTATTGACTGTGGTTGCTTTGGAAAATCCAGGGTGCGAACATATCCACAGTCTATAGTAACATTAGAAATGAAGTACATCCATGGATGTACCTAGGTAGTTCAACCGCTAAACAGCTTAACGTCAAAGTTTTTCATAGGAACACCCGAAGACGAAAACAGAACACGAAAGAGGGAAATAAATAGAATTCCAGCCCATACATATGCTGTAGAATGTAACCGTACTTTGTACAGACGCCATTTAGGTGTATACATGAGGTCTAGACTCGGATTTCCGCCTCCACTTGGGTCGAGACCGTCTGATCCTGACAGCCTTGACAGGGACCACTTTTTCTCTGCAGATACCTGTGTCTACTTACTGCAAGTCATTCCATAAACAATTTGGATTGATTCAAACTTGAATGACTAGAGTACACACTTTACGCAGTTTGACCTGATCCAATTAATTGGAAAGTATAAAGTGGGAGACCTAAAACGGATATATCATGTAGATCATGAGCTAACTGTGGAGACTGACTCTAAAACTGAACATATCCAGGAGTTTCCATTGCTGCATCACAACCTGCGTGGATATTGCATGGGGCGAGTATTGGCTCTATCATTTAGAAGCTGGACAGTCCCGGCCTCTCTTATGAACCAAGCCAGTTACCAGGAAGTAATCCTCCATGTACTCCGTACTACTCCGTACGTACTGCATTACTCAGTCGAGTGCACATGGCATACAAACCCTGCAAGTCTGACAATGTCTTGCACCTGTCTCATCACAGCCACCGCATTGAACGTATACTACTTAACGCAAAATCTGCCACGGGAGTACAATAGTCCCACACTATGCAACAGATATTAGCACCTCGGTATATCCACATCTACTTTTGGACATGACGATACCTTAATTTGATTGAAGTCATGATATTACTATTACTCCATCGCAATTAACATGCTGGGGTGAGAGAATAGTTGTATAAATCTAGTTCGACCAAATGGGCCTATTGAGGAAGGGAACTGTTCGCGACTGGGCATATAGTGAATAGTACATAGCTACCCTAACAGATGACAACCTAAGGAAGCAAACTCTTCGCCTAGGGATCTCGAGGGCTCTATGTAGATAAATCTATGCCAACAAAGGTACAGAACTATCTGGGCAGTAGATTACGATTTAAATCAAGCCATAGAGCCACAAACCCCTTACGCCCGAAACACCTGGGCAACAGCAAAGCACCAGCCACATATAGCCCCAACACTAAAAGACAAACAATAGCCATTGTCAAAGGAGAAAAATCATCAAATGACACACTCCAGACTCCCCAAAAAGCGATTGATAAATCAATCAGATAATCACCCCAGCTCTCCCCGAAATAGCCCGAGCGGGACTCCGACCTTCCCCACGACACCCGAGCCCCATCCGTTCCATCAATTTAACCGGCAACTGCAGATTGCAAGGAACGAAAAACAAACCTCGGAACCGCAAAGATATTACTGCAGCGCCGCTGGAGACACGGAAGAAAAGAAAGTGGGCTGATTCGTTTCTCGTGCTGGATTCCGTACACTAGCGTCGGTTCTTCTTAAATGAGTATCTCGACGTCATTGTTCCGAGGTGGACAAGACAAGCGCTGTCGGGAGCATACAGCGAACGTTAATTTTAGAATATCGCTTTTAGGGTTATTCGGACACATCTCGGTATGGCGCGCACATGCGTTCGGTGACCGTGATGCAATTGTCGGCGAGTATCTTGGGAATAACAGAATGACTCATTCGTCTTGAGCTGTAGGTAGACTGGTGACCTCGGGTCAACGGTGCACTTTGATTAACGGAGGAGTTCCCGGGAGTCTGGATCTACTTTTGTAGATCATGGTGGGTATCGATCGACTGCCTCGGCACAACGAAAAATGGGATTTTTCGGGTTTGTTTCAGAGAGGGTGTTGAGTCATCTGTGACAATAGACTGGTAGTAATTTGGTAGATTGAATGTATGAAAAGATTCACTGCGTTTTCCATTGTTTTTTCGTCAGGTACTTACTGTATCCCATTAGTCTCAGACGGAATTGAACCGCAAACAGAGCGATCTTTCTAAGAGACGTCAATGGAAGAGGCCAAGGATTCTGTTAAAGATATGGATAGTAATGTTCAATTGATTGACACAACTCGACAGAGCTGTAGTGGAATAAGATAGAAAAGGAAGAAACCAACGATCGGCTGGCTGAAACTGGAGGAAGACATCCACTCCATGGGAAAGATATTACATCAAAACGCTAGTATCTCAAAACAGTCCGACGACCAAACAAGAAAAAGACAAGATAAAGCCTGAACAATGTATCAAGCAACAAGAGGATTCGTTTCATCACAGACCCGTCAACGGGACTGAAAGTAACAATGGACCAAAGAGACAGGAATCAAAAGACTCTACTTCCTCTGCACACTCTCCTTGGGACCCATAACATCATCAAGGAAGCCAGCCCAAAGCTCACGTATGACACCAGGCTCAGAAGAACCATTTGACCTGCGCTGGATCTCCTCGCCGACACGTGAGCGGCCGACGGCCTCGGTAAGCGAGAACGGGTCCAGGTCGATGGCGTGGTTATCGACGACCTCGCTCATGGCGCTGGCAGGGACATCAGCGCCGGTGCCGGACACGGTGTAGATCTGGGGCTTCATGGGTGGGGCGGTGGGTGTTTGGCGGCCTGGGATGGAGGGGAGTTCGGGAAGGACCGGGACTTGGATGCCGCGTTGCAGAGGGGCGGCGTCGAGGTCTGCCATGTTGGGCATGTAGACGAAGTCGACGGTTGAGGTGTCATTTAGGGCTTTTGTGGCGCGGGATGTGTTGAATTGGCGGGAGGAAGAGGAACTGGAGTGTGTTAGTTTTTGGGGGTACTTTTTTTTAGGGTTTGGAATGAGACATGGGTAGATGTATTGAATGGAATGTGGGACATACTCTGGGAATGCACTGCCATTGATTCTGCGCATGGCGATGCTGAAGGCGCGGGATTGGAGGACATCATGGTTGGAGAGGGTCTTCTCGCCGTTGTTGGCGGGTTGAGCGGACTGAACTCCGGTGATGTGAAGGCAGCGGCGAGAAGAGGGTGCCACAGGCTGTTGAGAGAGAGCACGGAGAGCGCGGAGAGATGATGAACGGGGAGCAGTCATTGTGATTGTGAAGTGTATAGGTCTATAGCTTTTTTGAGATGGGGCTATGTTGCGAGGCTAAGGGGTGGAGGTCTCCAAGTATAAGGAAAAAGAGAAAGTGAGAAATGAGGGAGTATGCAAATATAGGAGCACAGGCAGCTTTATAGAGCTGGGAATGGTTGGGGAGAGCTATGAGTCGAGGTCTTGGCGGTCTGGACCGTTATCGATAGTGTCGAGCCAAAAAAGTAGAGCACGTCAACACTGAGAGGGTAGCAGTGGGTGATTTGATTCACGGATTTGAAAGCTAAAACAGAACTCTAGAATCTTTCAGAGGACGAGCTGGCAAGAGGGGAAACAAGGATCTCTATATATACATTTCTACTACCCATGTGCTATGTGCTGAGTTCAACAATTCTCCCAGACACAGATCTACGGCGTAAGTACCAGGTACCCAGCCATCGGGACTGTGGGCTACCCCGTACCCACCAGAACACGGAGTGACAAGATGTACCCGGTACATCACTTACCCCCCGAAAATGATGTATTCTCGACTTGTACTTCTGAATATTCCATCTCACCCCCTCTTCTCCCGACTCTCCTGAAACTGGTGATCATTACGTCTTTTTTTGGATGATCATCCAATGAAATAACCACCAGCATTATAGACATCGGCCATTATTGGGTGTTTTCCTGCAGAATGGGGTAGGTAATCTGTCGAATCGTATGGAGTACGGAGTACTTAATTATAACCTGCCCATGCTCTGGACAACGTAGGCCCCCCTCATTGAATTCTCCTAGGGAAAGTGAAAAAAACGGGGAGAGTTATCCGATTCGAAGATACATGCACAAATGGTTCCGTTATGCATATCGCCCTCTAATCCCCTGATCGTGAGTGGCTCTCACAATTCGCTCTTACGCCCTCCTCTCTCTACAGGCGAGTCGGTCTGCACCACAGCCTGACGGCACGTAAGCCACGAAACATATGGAATTCCAATTTTGGGGACTATGGGGCTTGATCGCCGATCCTCAATTGCTGAGGAATCCCATGACCTGATGGACCTCGAATTAATTTTAGGAATAATATCCAAGACCTCAGCAAGTTAGTGTCACACTTAGTCCTTTAATAAGTGGAGCGGTGAGATCCGGAGTTAGGTCCGCCTTCCGAATGATCTACAAAGTACGTACACATTTTACCTATTCTCCGTGCTACACGGTATAAATCATTATATGTAGATGTCCATGATCATCTACAAAATACTACGTATGGTGCTACGTGTCTGTTTTCAAATTCAAATTCAGATTTATGCTTTTCTCACCCCGCAATTGCTTATTAAACCCGGAAGGTCCGGATCGAAATCGTGTCTACGGAGTAGGTCAGCAGACCTTCCTTGGAAGGTTATAAGTGGCTATGCTTATTGTTTTGGTGACCAGGGGCTCGGGAGTATTCGATAGCTGTAAGGGCCCGCCCTGGGGAAGTGGCATAAATCTTGGCGGGAATTGGTTGAATAATTCCCCTTTAACCCCTAGATTAGAGGGTCGGGAGTACTGCTTTTTGTTGATTTCTAGACTTGGTAGGTAGGCAGGTAAGTACTCCGTATATTGGTCGCTAATTACTACTATGTCGAGGCAACTGGTCTAGCATACTGTATGGCCCTAGATGGCTCGCATCCTCACGCTATGGGATTGCTCAACCGACATAGCAATCCCAGTACAAATGTACATATCTCATACCCAACTTTTTTTAATTCAAAGTTTCGATGACTCCAGTCGCCGTCCTTTAGCTATGGCCCGAGCGTACGGATGCGAGCGGGACGCTGGAACTAGGTGGTCGACATCCCCAGTGTGCACGAGATCAGGGGACGCCTCCGCCAGGGATGTGATGCCAATGTTCCGCATAGCTGTTTCCAGCTCATCTTGCATGACTGCGAGAAAACATGAATCAGCAAACTATAAAAGCAGGATATCGAGCCATCACTTACTGTCAATCAAATGTTCTACTCCCTCCTGGCCATAATTGGTAGCAAAAAGCATGCTGCGACCCATTCCCACGGCCGTTGCGCCTGAGACAAACCGCCTTGAGGATGTCTGTCCCACGCCGAATGCCGCTGTCCACATAGACCTCCATATGATCGAAGACCTCCGGACAGCGTCTGTGAATCTCCAGCAGCGTGATAATCGACGGCGGACTGGTATCTAGGTTGCGACCGCCGTGATTGCTGAGCAATATACCATCAAGTCCCGCTTTCATGGCTAGTAGCGCATCGTCCGCTGACATCACGCCTTTCAAACACACCGGTTTGTGCGTGTGCTGTTTCACCCATTTCAAATCCTCCCATGTCAGCCCAGGATCGATGAACCCAGCCATCACGCGACCGAGACCGCCGCCTTTCTTGTCGTTCTGCGCCTTTGACGGCGCCATGGGCACCGATAAGCTCTCGTCTGCCTTGACGCGCTCATCGGCTTCGCGCTTGCCGGGCCACGCGGCGTCCACAGTAACAAAAATAGCTTTGATGCTCGGATTCGCTGAACACTGGCGCAGCAGAGCGGCGGACTTCGCTCGGTCCCGGTTGACATACAATTGGAAGAAGAAGTCGGCTGAGGGTGCTGACGTACGTAGCTCCTCCATGGTGTATGATGAGTTGTTCGAAATCTATCCAGATCGTAAGCATAGTGACTGGCAATGGAAACACACCATATAAGCTCACTCCTTGCATGATTCCTTTGTTTGCGCAGGCTCTAGCAATGGCGCACTCTCCATCCGGGTGGATCAGCTTTGCCATTGCTGCCGGGCTCACGAACAGCGGGAGCTTGTAACTCCCGCCGAGAATATTCGTCCCGGCATCTACTGAACGGACGTTTCTTAGGACTCGTGGGCGGAACCATATTCGGTCAAAGCATGATTTATTGGCGTTTCGTGTGATTAGATCTGTAGCTGCGCTGGAGTAGAAGGCCCAGGTCTTCTTGGTGGCGGTTTTCGAAGCCACGACCTCGAAGTCGTGCGAGTTTATCAGTGTATCCAACGGTGGCTTCTCGTTTTCCAGTATCACCTTGGGACTCTGTCCCGGTGGTGGTTTGGCCCATTCGGCGTCAATTGTAGACTCGTCGAGGACGCCCTTGAACTTCTCCGGTTGGAGATTGTTCTTCATTACGCTAGGTGCGTGGACTTCTGAATAGGCTTTTGTTGCATCTCTTCCTGCGTGCTTCAGGATAACTGTTCGCGAGGTACATTAGATATCGCCCTGAGATGATAATTTGTCGGATCCGTGGACGTACTTGCGGATCCTCCAGGATGCTCTTCCAAAAAGTCGGTCACATCCCACACCTGCTTGTCGACCACAACCCAGCAATCGTCGGGTGTTTTATGCTCTGAGATCTGTCGGACAGACAGAAGTCTGTGGTCTGCCATTGCTGTCAGGCGGTATAAGCGTGCGGGTTCTTGGATTAACCAGGAAGAAACCGAGGCCGATACTTAATCACGCGGGTCCTGTATGTGGAATTGTGAAGGAGGCTTAATGAGGTGGAGGTAAAATTGAAACAGCCAGCCACAGTGAGCTAAATACTCAGCAAGGGTTCGGGGCGGGGATGGCGCTCGGCAATGCCCCCGGACTTACCCCGGATTGCACGGACTAAAGTCCCCCGAGCTTCTTGTTCAAGCATCCAGCTGTACGGAGTGCTGTGTATTGTATTAAAGCTTCTATTTTGTGAACTCTTGGTCTTGCTTGTCTTCAGGATTACCCAGCCTTCTAGATTGCCAGTCAAACTGTTTACCATGTAGTCCCGCTTAGCCCCACACACATTTGTTGTACAAAGAGGTCAAAGACCAATGGAATTTCATAAGCAGCACAAAAGTCTGGATTTCATTCTGAGCTCCGAATGACTCCAATTAGAAGACATCCAAATTCCCAAGTGTCACAAATCGGCGAAGCACCGAGGGGACCACGGATTTCGCTCCGAGTGGGTCCCTGGTCCCTGAATATAACCGCCTGGACTTTCAGGCACCAATTACCACCAGCCACAGTGAAAGCCTCAGCCCTAGTGTGGCTGAACATTTTCCGACCGTGAGTCAACACACATTTGTCTCGACAGAGGAACTGGGGCATTTCAACGACACAATAACAAGGATCTCTGGTCTGACCATCTGATGCGAATAAACTCTGCCGTCGGTTGTGCTTTGAGACTTTTCCGCCGCAATATCACTTCAAGTGTGCGGTCGACAGGCATAGATAGACCTGTCTCGTTAGGTCGGTTCCGTGTCCAGATATAGACTTATCCACTAGTCCAGTCACGCAAAGGCTGGGTGGTCTTTGAAAAGCTTAAGCTGACTCATTTCGTAGGTTTTCAAAAAAGTTACAGCTCGGCTGGTCTCTCCCCTGTAAATTCCATATCTGCTGGAAGTCCCAAGACAGTCTCCACAACTGGAAGACAACAGACCACATCAAATATGGCCGAACCTAAGCCTCTCCGATATGTTGATGTGTGTCGCCTTTTCTTAACAGCCTCATCATCGAAAGGCTGTGCAACTCGTGGCTAACTGCGAAATCATAGATTGGTATCAACTTGAGTGATCCCGTTTTCCGCGGTGAATATCATGGAAAGCAGGCCCACGAAGACGACCTCGATGACGTTGTCCAGCGTGCTCGCGATGTAGGCTGCTCAAAGTTTATGGTGACCGGCTCAGATCTTGTAGAATCGAAGCACGCTGTCCATATCGCCAGCAAATACCGTAAGTTTCGAATGTGCCAGGAATTCCCCATTGTTTACTAACAGCTGGATTCTGCAGCGGGCTTTTGTTATGCCACCGTTGGTGTGCATCCATGCCAAGCAAAGCTCTTCGACGAATACCCAGGCGGTCCCTCAAAAATGCTGGAGGAACTCCGCGCTTTGGCAGTTGAATCCACACAATCCGGCCACGCCGTCGCATTCGGCGAAATCGGCCTTGATTATGACCGACTGTTCCTGAGCCCCAAGGAGCCGCAGCTCAAGTATTTCGAGGCCCAATTAGACCTGGCTGTTGAGATTCAGCTCCCTTTATTCCTCCACTCCAGAGCTGCAAGCGAGGACTTTGAGAGACTCCTTGCCCCAAGGCTTGCCAAGCTTCCCAAGCGGGGACTTGTGCACAGCTTCACGGGGACAATGGATGAAATGAACCGGATGATTGCGCTTGGTCTTGACGTCGGTGTCAACGGGTGTAGTATGAAGACCGAGGAGAACCTGGAGGTTGTCAAAGCTATTCCACTCGATCGGCTCCAAATCGAAACTGATGGGCCATGGGTATGTGCTTTGCTCTGAGCTTTGGACGGATCAGTCGTGACTAACCTTTTCCTAGTGTGAAATTCGCCCTTCTCATGCATCTGCAAAGCACCTAAACGGTGCACCGGATCTGCCCAAGGCCGTGAAGAAGGAGAAATGGCAGAAGGGGTGTATGGTGAAGGGTCGGAATGAGCCTGTCGCCATCGCTCGTGTTGCTCATGTTATTGCTAGTGTCAAGGGTATCACTGTGGAGGAAGTTTGCGAAGCGTAAGATGTTGACTCCTGATACTCGGCCCCATGCTAACTCCTTTTTCTCTCCAGAGCGTGGAACAATTCTATCAGAATGTTTGGGTTGGGTGAAGAGTCGCCTTGACTTTTGCTATCGCCGCAGGTCGATGATAAGAAAAATGCATGAATGCTGTGTCATACCATCACAGCATAGGTAGCTCATATACGTCTTTCAATATCAGCCATATTGGTTGCTGTAGAGGTATAAGCATTGAATATGTAACTGGAACATAACTTCTATAATCTGTTTCATATTTCATTCCTCGCTGTCGTTAGCTCTTTCCTCACTTTGATCTCGTGACCCATTCTTTCTTCATCCCTCATATTACTCTGTCGTGCCTTCCCGCTGTAGCCTCATCTTCTCCAGGTACAGTCTTCCTTCCAAGGGTTGCCCATCTTTGTCGGATGTGCCATGGCCACTAGAGTGGTCTTCCACATCTTCTGGCACTATGTCTCTTGAGACCTAAGCTGACGAGGCGAATCGACATCCATCAAGGATTACTCACATGATGATGAGACCAGAAGTGATCCTAGACTTTGTTTGACAATGTCATCAACAAACCTACTACTCCGCTCTGCTCAAACTGTTTACCTGTGGGCAACCGGTGGAGGTGAGCCACCTCGCTCATCTCATCTCACGAGGTCGAGGTCCTTTCCTTCAGGATAAATATTTATTCCCAGTGAATTAACCTACGCAAACATCACCATGTAGAAAAATTTCTCCAAGAAACAGCACGGATGAAGCCTACAATCGACACTGTTGAAGTTCCAGGCCTCTGGCCTGGAGATCGAACTCCGAGTCTTCTGAAACCACTACGGGTTTAACAACTCGTCGTTCACAATTCCAGTCGGGCATAACGCCAATTACCACATGGCGCTCCTTAGCACTGGAGTCAGGTGCCGATGAATCAGCTGGTCATAAGGCAACCTCTGGATTTACATTCACATGGGTATTCAGGACATTTCCTGATATGACTGCTTTATGCAGGTCCTTCCCCAGACAGCCCTGACGTTGTTTGTCTTGATGCCTTGTCTTTCAGGTTGAACATAGCTATATTAGCAGCCTCAGTTTCTCAGAGAATCAGAATCGTTCTTCTCTCCCGTCACTCTTCCCGTAAATCTACTACACTCAATAGCTCAATACTACCTATAATCATAGCAAGAAAGTGAAATTATATATTATACCGAGTCGTCCGAAGGACGACAACCTGATTGAGGGCTGGTAACCTCATACATCAACTTGGCGTTGGTTTGGGCTATGACCACCTTTCTTCGCCCGCATCTACTCATCTTTCTACTGCACCGTTAGCATCGGCTTTGCTTCTGTGCTGACGTTTAAGATATTAACTCTCAACTCCCACGTGGCTTCTACTATGTCACATGTACGAAGACAGGAAAGAGTGAGATAACGTCCTATTACTAGTTAGTATCTATTACTAGTAAAGACTACTAACTATCACTCGGGTATATCACGTATAGGACCTGTCCAACACTCAACTGAAAGAGAGATTCCCCCTTGACTTCGGCGGGAATGGCCTCATCCGCGCGACACGCACGCCACAGGACCCCCACCGCTGGCCAGGGCGCACGGTTTACCCTTCGTCGTTGTTGCTAGATGACTACCCTATAGCTTCCAACCGTTCTATGGCCCATGATACTGCCGAAGCGTCCTACTACAGTACTACAGGTATAGGACACCGCGAGTTAGGATCCAATATCGGCACCATACTTGACTCCAAATCTTCCACTATATCTGCTGACATCATACAGACATCTATATTGGACCGTTTGAATTGAGCCCATGGCCACTGAGCGTCATGTAACCTCAAGGAAGGCTACAATTTCCGGGTCAGAAATTCCATAACTTTTGTTCTATCTTCCTTTTCGATCTCCAAAGTGGAAGGAGTCAATATCATCCTGTAACATTCCCCGTTCTCTCATCCTACATACTCTCTTCAGCTAACATTGCAATGCAGGAAATTGGTGGAGACCCCATATAGTAAAGCCGAGGAGTTCTGTTAACCAAGCTTTCCTGTACATATCCGTCACAAAAGGCCAACAAATGCCGTGAAGTTAGCTCTTCAAATACAGATATCGGTGCAGCAATTGCAGAACTTCTCGATTCTACCGGCCTGGCGATATGATGTGAGCATCTCCACTTGGATAATCTCATCAATGTGGCCACGTTCGCCCTGAAGCCCAACAAGGGCCAAACAATGAGGATATCAATGCCATCATGGCAAAAATTATCGACGTGGCAAACCATCCCGTGCTTGTCCATTGTAATTTAGACATGGAGAGAATTTTGGAACATTTTGCAATACACACATAGATGAATGCTGAGGTTTTGAATTACAGATTGAAGCTACATACGTAGTAGACTTGGATGTCCCTTCATCCATGTATATAGTGGAGATTTTGTTTTTGGCCTTTCGTTTACACCAATACCTTCAGATGTCGGCATCGTCAAATTGCCCAAACGGACATTATTTCTCAATGCTCAATATCATCGAAATATCGTAATCATTAAACAGGCGTTATCATATATCACAGTGAAGGTATCATATGAAAAATCTAAAGGTAGTCAGCCATTATAATGTCCGTGTCGTATGCCTCCATATCCTCTCGGGGATCATTATCCGTCATATAGTTTCCCGGACAATCCGCCAATTCGCCATGATCCGAGAGAAGCATGGCGTCATGATCACCGTATGAAGTCTGAGAAGACCCAGTTGTTGAGAGTAACGTGTCAAGGGATGTTTGAGTCGAATCCCCAATGTCTGTGAAGCTTGTTTCGCTTAAATTGTCCAAAAGCTGGTCCTCAGATTCGCTATTCAACAGACATACGTCACTTTCTTCATTCTCGTCGTGATATTGTGTTTGGGAAGAACGACCCAGTCCGGGATTTCCGCTGTCGGATTGTTGCTGATCCGTGGGCATGCGACTGACGGTTTCGTTTGATCCAGTCAATCCAGTTGATAGACACTCTGCAGAGAGCATCGAAGCTCGTCTTTTCATGGGTTTTGTCTTGGGCACATTTTTCTGGGCGACACGCCAAAGTGACGAGAGGACTGCAGTCCCCCAACTTGGAAATTGAGGCTGTATCATCAACTCACCCGTGTGGGGGTGGGTGTGGTGGGAGCAAGCGAGCTCTAACAAATCTGCTAGTTTAGCTTGGGTGGATGGATCTTTGTTTCCTGCCAGCATAGATGATACGGCTTTGGTGATTATTGGAATTGTTACTCCTCGCTGGTTCATCGCCTGGGCGAAATTAGTGCCTGATTTTCATCACTGAGATGGAAAACTCACGTCCCGATATCCAGGGTCGAACACCACGGGCGAGATATCTGCGAGGCTCTTGAGCGTGGCCTGCTGTGAGACACTAATCGTGGGATCTTTAATTGAGTTGGAAATGACCAGTCTTTTGATTCCAAGATCGAACAGTCGGAGGAGTTCCTCGAGTGATGGGTCTGATCCATCTCCAGATATGCAAGAAAACTGAGATCCAATAGCTTCATGGAAATCCTCGTCGTGCACTGCCTGTAGGATCGCGACTTCTGTCATTGTGTCTAGCCGTTGAGGGCCGGGGAAAACCGATGATCCTTGTCCAAGACCAACCTCCAACTCGAAAGGATCCTGGGATTGCGGTATATCCTTGCCTTGAAAGCGATACTCCAGCCGAACATCAATTGAAGCCAATGTAGCTACTGGTACACCGGAAGGAGGACACGCGTCTGGGGGATTGGTCATCATACTAGGTAAAGTCCGACCCGTTGTGTGATTCTGTATTGGCCATCCTCTGCGCAGACCAAGTTCGAGGCAGTGGGTACCAGAAGTGTCAATGCAATATTCGTGTGCACCCGTCTTGATCTCAACTGAGAATCCCAGGTCTGACCAGATCTGGAGGAAGGAAGCGTCAGTTTCCAGTTTGGGGAATATTCTCTCTCACACACCTCCATGCCACAGAGTTTGCCTCTCAATTTTGAGATGAATGCCAGTGCTTCATTTCGACCCCAGTTTCCCCCAATGAAGAAGCGCAACTCCAGCTCTGGTGCCTCTGTTATCCATACGCTTTCAACATTTGGAAAGTGTGAGAGGTCAATTGGTATTTGAGGGGCTGCATGGCTTAGTGGCTGGGTGAAATTAGCCGATGCGGCCAGGCGAAGCTGCAACTTTGAATCTCGGATTCGCAGAGTAGATCGACCCAAGTCGAGCTTTTGTGCCATTGTGGAGGAAACTCATCGCCAATTTTACTATTCTTTTTGGGACGCAAGGCAGGCATTTGAATGAGCAATTGGGGAATTGGTGGGGTATTGAAGCGGGAAAGGAATCGCTGAACTGGGTCTGCCCAGGTGGCTATGACCTTGCAGCCATGGACAGGGCACATGACTTCAATGTTCCTAGACTCTTGACCTAAGAATGCGTTCAACCAATCCTTAAAGGTCGGTTTACTTTCACTGTTGATATTTCTTGGGGCTCTAGATTTGCAGCATAATCTCAGCTGAAAAGCTGATTCTTGTTATAGAACTTGGTCGGAATGGAGATTGTTGCTGAGCTCTACTCACGACTTAACAGCAACACATCTCAGACTGGCATATGTGATCTATTGGCTTCCATCTTCTCTTGTGGTGCCGTACCGCAGCATTCAACATACCTATTACATTGCACCGTTCTTCTTCTCTTCGCTATCCAAAATATCCAGCATCGCCGATCAGGATGGTAAAGACCGTATGCTCTCATCGAAAGGACTGTATTCCGATTGAATAATCATTGGGGTCGATAACTTTTGTTTACAGCATTGTCGTTGTGTTACATTATTTAAATAAATCAGACAGGAGTAGTCGGCTCTTGCGCGGCCTTGTCATGTCTTTCCAGACCTGTTTTAGATATCTTCTCATCTTTTTTCCCTTCTCAGTTTTATGGCACGAACACAAGAAAGGCGAAAAAGAAGTGTAAACAGTACAGATGACTTTTCAACCTATAGCTAATGATTACTTTTTTCGATTTGTCAGAACCTTGGTCGATTTCCTTGAAGATATATAAGCATGGTCTATATACCCTGGGGCCCTTTGCTTTGATCTCATCCCAACCCATTCCCACCAAAATAGCAGGTTTGGAAAGTACAGTAAAGTAATTTACACATTTTGCCTGAAGTGACTCGTGAAAGATGTCAAAAGAAGTGAGGCACGACCTGGTTGATAACCTTTGTTAGTCTGTGTATACTGTGGTTACCTTTCATGATACTGTCCACGTTCTCTAGGTTCTTTGTGCCATGCACTGTGCTTTTTATTTTTAAGAATGGCCATTTATTCATTTATATTTGTCCCTGATCATTCGTCGCTAAGTCATTATCTATTCAGAAGTAGTAAGTAGACATCCGCGTAGTGGAGTACCCGTGACGTGCACATGGCAAAGCGTTGTTATCTCTTATCGGATCAAAGACATCCTTATCGATAACCTATCACGTGTGGCCCCCGGGCCCCATCCCAGGTGGCCTGAAAGTAACCGTTACACTTCCAACTATTCACGGTCAGCGATGCCAGGGGATGAGTTGTCAGAGGATCACCTGTATGCCCAGAATGGCCAGGATGAACATGAAGCTCAATCACTTCTGCCTGCTTCAAGTGAGGAGCATGATTTAGCTTTCCACCCGGAACGTCTTCCGTCGCCGATCCCCTCACGTAACGCGACAAATGGCGAACGCCACTCCTCAATCTCTCAGCCTGCGGCCGATGGAAAGCGCCGTACACCCCGTACCATGAACCGAGTTCGATTTGACCTGGAGGAAGAGCCGGAAAGCCCCAATCGCAATTCCATTGAGCGTGCTCTCAGCCCAGACGACACACTATGGCTGGAGGATGAGGACTATGAACATGGAAACCAGGGCCCAAGAACGCACCACAGTGGACAATCAATTCCTCTTCTTACAAACATCGAAGCGCCTAGTGTGACACTCGCAACATCGGACGATTTCTTCCCCGAAGAGCATCTCGAGGATGCGCGGCCGCGGAGTGGGATGAAAATGGCGTTCATGAACATGGCCAACAGTATTATCGGGGCTGGGATCATTGGGCAACCTTACGCGCTTCGTCAGGCAGGCATGGCAACTGGAATTCTGCTGTTGACTGCCTTGACCGTCACCGTGGATTGGACCATTCGATTGATTGTGATCAACTCCAAATTGAGTGGGGCGGATTCGTTCCAGGCGACAATGCAGCATTGCTTCGGGAAAAGTGGTCTCATTGCGATCTCAGTTGCCCAGTGGGCATTTGCATTCGGAGGCATGGTCGCATTCTGTATTATTGTTGGCGATAGCATCCCACACGTTCTAGGCGCTTTGTTTCCGTCTCTTAGGGATATGTCCTTTCTGTGGCTCCTCACAGACCGCCGGGCCGTTATCGTTATCTTTGTTTTAGTTGTTTCATACCCATTGTCTTTGTATAGAGACATCGCTAAGGTCAGCTCTTTCTTTCCTTACTACTTATCAGGGGCTAACAGTCAGGTAGCTGGCGAAAGCATCCGCCTTGGCATTGGTCAGCATGATAGTCATTGTTGTCACGGTCATCACCCAGGGATTTCGGGTCCCACCTGAATCGCGTGGAGAGATCAAAAGCCACCTTATATTCAATGCTGGCTTTTTCCAGGCTGTCGGGGTCATTTCTTTTGGTAAGTTTTAGCTGTCCCTGGCAATAATTAGAAAACCCGCTAATGATTTCCAGCTTTTGTTTGTCGTATGTTCCTTTAAATCCTACTGATATCACAATCGCTAATTTCCACAGACCACAACAGTCTTCTGATCTACGGCTCATTGAAAAAGCCGACACTCGACCGCTTCACCCGGGTCACACATTACTCGACAGGAATCTCTCTGGTGATGTGCCTAGCAATGGGCATCGCAGGGTTTCTATCATTTGGTTCTAAAACCCAGGGCAACGTTTTAAACAACTTTCCATCAGACAATATCGTCGTCAACATCGCACGATTGTACAATATCCCCATTGACCTTGATATAGAGTTTCTTGACTGACTTTGACTAGTTGCTTCGGCCTGAACATGCTGACCACACTGCCGCTTGAGGCGTTCGTCTGCCGTTCCGTCATGACAACCTACTACTTCCCCGACGAACCGCACAACACTGTTCGGCATGTTATCTTCACAACGGCGCTGGTGGTGACTTCAATGGTGTTGTCCTTGATAACCTGTGATCTGGGAAGTGTGTTTGAGCTCATTGGCGCGACCAGTGCTGCTGCTCTAGCCTATATATTCCCTCCTCTCTGTTACATCAAACTAAGCAGTGCTACGCGGCGAGAGAAGATCCCGGCGTATCTGTGCATTTGCTTTGGGGTGCTTGTCATGGGTGTCAGCGTAGTGCAGGCGGTCATCAAGATCATTCGAAGTAAGTCTGTCCCTCGAAACGGTTGCAATTGGACCAAATTGAATGGCCATTTGACCCTGCACTCATCACGGATACTAACGTTGAATTTTGCCTTTACAGATGATGGCGAGGCTCATAGTTGCAGTGCACCTTAAGAGGGACTTTTCAAGCAATATAGCGGTGGTTTATGAGTAACTCTCAGTGTGCCCGAGAAGTCTATTGGTGCCATGTGCCGTGTACATATGTATTCACTTTGAACATATAGCTGTTATGTGTCATATGCTACAGCATTCTCATTCAAAAATCGCTATATGCCGTTGTTCATATAGGGGTGGATTGCACTGTCCCAAGCTAGGTATCAGGTACTTTGGTAGATACCGTGTGCCTATGCATGTATATATAGATATACTCTGAAGTTAGACCGAGTACGGTGAAATACATCCTCCTCGGACAGCGACTGCATGTGGGCACGTGCGCTTTGCGATTCCGGCATCGCAACCCGTCGGCCTCGTTTCTCATCTTCTATAACTCCGCTCACTTTCTACATCCCAAAACTCCAAGATTATTAACAATGGCTCTCCAACGTATATCTATAGGGCTTTATTACCACGTGGACATGCCAGTCCCCAAGGGCAAAACTCCTCGACGGAAGGTGCGACGGACAAGTCGCCTTGGAAACTATGGGAGTCTCCTACCCAAAGCAGAGGTACCCATTGTTTGCACATTCACAAACACGTCGCGTCTTTGGTCCCAGCTGATTGTTCCTTTATTTACCCTCTTCCCATCTTCTCACTTTTCTTCCTTCTACAACCACTCTTTTCCCTGTTTTGTTCGCTTCTTATCCTCTCGTTTGGAACCCATCAGCGGTTCTCACAATTCTTGTTTCGGGTGCTTCGCACAACTCTGCTTGTTGTCCGTCTCTTTTCGCTTTACAGTCAAGCCCTCAGAGTACACCTACTTGTCGTCTGTCACTTAGGGACCCTGCTTGGGCTTTTCTAAGCCTCGTTTCGTCTTTATCCTTCCTTCAAGGGGTCAAGCGGCCCTCACTCTTTTGGGAGACACCATCTCCCACGCTCTAATCTCCATTACAATTCACTCATCGCTCACTCTTTGTGCTTGGACCAACCAAAGCACAGTCACACCCGGTGGGCACATCGACAACGACGTGTCACGTAACAGCGTCTAATACCCTCTGCTTACCGTTATTGGTACCAGCAAGATGAGTGAATCATCGGAGCTGTCAGCGGAGAAGCTCCGCAGGATGCAAATCCTTCAACTGGTAATATCTAGTCTCTCACTTCTCTTCTGACCTTTCTAACCAACGGCACCAACAGGCGGACCTAGGAACCGCTCGGCGTGAAAAGATTTCCACCGCCGATTCCACTACTCAGGCTCGCGCGCATCTTGCCGACATCGAATCCAAGCGGCTTGTCGATCAGAGAGATAAAGCTCAATTGAGTGAATGGGCAAGTAAGTACTAAAGGATAAACGCTCCTGGGCCCCTCTGACTTTGTGCTAATCTCCGTCTCAGATTTGCATGCTAAAATTGGAGATACTCATGGAATGGAAGAACTCGATGACATAAATTCCGGCCAGTCCCACCGAGCTAATTTGCACGCCATGTTGCACCCCAATGGAAGTCAGCCGCGAGCCTACGCCAATCACCCTTACCCAGCTCCATCTACAGGTCGCGGTGGTGGTGTCATGGGAAGAGAGGACGGGGTGGTTTTGTTCCCCTCCTCCCAGTGGACCTGCTAATCTTCCTCCTGCTCCTACAAGGTAATAATTTGATTTGCTCCGACATTTAAGACATGCCAATTAACGGAAGAGAAATCACAGAGGCTCCCTTCATGCAAACTTTACTCGCTCAGGACGCCCAGGACCGCGCGCTCGCTCGACTACAATGTCGGCCAGTATTCATTTGGACCCTGCGCTAAACTGCAACAACGATGACAGCGATGCTCGTGATCGAGGAAGGGGACGTGGACGAGGCAAAGGAAAGGGCAAGGGTCGCGCCCAAGAGCATGTTCGCAGTACGTTTTGATGACGGACACAGAAAAAGAATACAGCTGACAATGTTCTTAGTCCCGCCTGCCCCTAGCAGACCCCAGCGCCCACCGCCATCGTAAGTAATCAGAGTTCTGTTGATGAAATTTCTATGCTAACTTCTTGACAAGCATCAACTTCGCCACTAGAATCTCTGAGCCTGGGGACTTCATGTCCTCATTTCAGTCTCGCCGAGCAACCGAAACGTACAAGAACCCTGTTGATACAATCCCCTCTGCTCCAATGCAGAAGACTGCGTCTGCACAGGAAGCCATTCCGCCTAACGAGCAAAAGGCCAAGGCGCTTCTGGGGGGTACACCCAAGAAGAAGACGGCGGGCATTCCTCCACCTTCGAAGCCTGCATCCTCGCCAGTGGCAACATCGACGACGCCATCTCGTGTTGTTCCTATTGAGAAGACTGCGTCATTCCATTCCTCCAAAGCTCAGGCTACTGCAGCCAAGGTTTCTCAGCCACATATTGGGCCATACCTAGTGGAAACGCCCTCGCCGTCACCTCGTGTTGTTCCCCTCGATAAAGCAGCATCTTCCAAAAGCCGCAAGGCCCAGCCTGGTACACCCAAAGTGTCTCGGCCACATGATAAAGCCACTCCAGTGGAAGCACCCAGCCCACCACCGTCTCGCTCTGTTCCTGTCCAACAAAGCGCCAAGTCCAAAAAGGTGGAAGACGTGGCGGCTGGTTTGCAGGCTTCTTATCCAGCAGTTGTCGCAATCGCTGCGGATGAAATTCAGTGGAAGGTTCCGGCAGGCGAACAGCCACGAAAGAAGGGCACTGCTCCATCCGAAAAGCCCCTGCCACTCCCCGAGGCTAAGAAGACGACAGTCCCGAAGGTCGCTCAAGCTAAAGACAACAAGCAGAATGTTTCTCCTGGTACCCAGAAGGAGGAAACCAAGCAGAAAGCTCAGTCTCAAGATCTTCTCAGCGGGGACGACTCTCCGGTTAATACACCAACGACAGTCCCTCACCATTTGAAGACAGTGGCCATCCAGAGTCCAGGTACTGCAGAATTGGCAGGTCTCAAGTTTGCGGAGAGACCCGGGGAGTCGGTGCCCGTTAAGAGTATTGACGAAGTTATTGCCCCCAAGACAACGAGCACTAAGATCCCAGAAGCCCAGTCTCGCCGCAATGACCAGAGTCAAGCACTTGACGGCTTCGGTATCTATGGTCCGCAGATTGTTCAAGAACTCCGCGAACTCCGCAGACACATTCGTACACCTCAAGACTTGGCTACTACCCGTGATATTGAACGCATACTGGAATCTAAATTGCTCCAGTTGGTCCCTGCAGCATATGCACCACCTGCGTCTGCAGCACCTGCATCCTCGGAGATAGAAAGTCGATTGGGTAATCTGGTTGCACTTGTGGAATATCTTTCAACATCTCAGCAAGGAACTAACGCTGTTGAAGCTTCTTCGGCTGCCCGGCGTGACCTTACCCCCTTTGAGGGGCACCGATCGCCGCCTCCACCGTCCTCGAGTTCCAACTCACCCCCATCTGCGGATAAACGTACGCACAAGGTATGTGTGCCCGGGCTCTCGCCAACCAAGAGTGAGAGTTCCGACATAATCTCCCAGTTCGAAACTCTTCAGGTTTCGGACAAACTAGCCGCACCCCTTCAACCACAGCGCGTAGCCCCAGTTCCAGTTCCTCGTCTACTTGATGTCCCAAAGAGGGCCACTACATCTGATGCGTCCATTCAGCCTGCTCGAGCAAAGGAGGCAACGAAAAAGCCACAGACTCTCAACGATTCGATTTTCGCAGGACCTGTAGGCCCTGTCACCTCCAATACTAACGTTATCGAACCTAATGTGGTGCGATCCCAGACCACGACTCGGGGGCTGAGCGCAAGCCATTCGAACATTCCCAAGCAACAGGATGTTCAATCAATCGGCGCTCGTACAATCGGCCCTGCGCCATACAAACCCCGCGTTATTGGTCCGGCGCCTTCTGCCTATGAGCCAACCACGTTGCGCGATGTGTCAACAGCCCACGTCCGTACCGTTTCTGCCCAGCATTTCAATACTGAGAATTGGCCCTCATTGAACGTTGCAAGCCGCGTTCCGAGTTCCATGGGTGGATCATATGGCCCAGATTCTCAGCAAACTCCGAATCCAGTGTTCTCCATGCCTGACCCTGCGACGATCCCCCCCAAAGCGAAGGGTCCTAGCTCTTTCCCTCCCAACCGATCTCGTCGCTAGTTAACGCATCCAAATCCAAGAGTCTGGGTTTCAGTGGATCACTTCTTCTACTGGTCTCAGCCAGCTCTATCATCTATGGTCTCTACTTTGATGTTATTTCCATCTCTTCTATGGCCTGATTGAGCTTTGAGATCCTTTGCTTTTCCTAGCTGAATGGTGTTCCTATTTCAGTTGTTGAAATGTTCAAAAGTGAAAGGTCAATGATCGTTTAGCGGGCTTTGTTATGATTAATACCCTTATGATTAATACCCAATACTTTAACCTTTAATCAACGAAATGTTAATATTTTTCCTTTCACTCCAATGTAAACGTAGGCAATTCATTCCACAGAGCAAAGGAAAACACATGCTCTGGAGTCAGACATGAGGGCAGATGGGACTTGTTGGAGTTTACAAGAGGACGAAGCGAGAATCTTGAGACTCTGTAAGAAGGCTATATACCACCTAAAGGGGAATAAGTAATAAGGGCCATTATAGACTGCCTTGATATAGATATTATCCTCACGGCCGTCTTTTGAGAGGCCATACGTAGCCTGGAGACGTTGCAGAAGCGCATTGGTCTTTTCAAGCGATCTATGCAGGGGAAAAGGCTTGATCCCCAATCTAGTCACGAATATGATCCTATTCTTTGTGATAATAATGAATAGAAAAAACAAGTTCCTTTCCTTTTTTTTTGGATGGCAAAAAACAACTAAAAGGGATGTAAACATGATCTATCACACTCCAATCACTGCACAGCGCAAATCTACCAAACTATAAGAAAAAGCAAATATGTTTCAGGTTATGCATATGCCTACGGAGTAGACAATCAAGCCCAACTCGGAACAAATAAAACCTGCTTCCGGGATGATGCACATGAAGTTCTCAAGAAATCGAGAATATCGCATATCCAACCTGCATGATTTGACGGGGAACATGACCCCCGTTCCGGCCGTTCTGGGACTTTCGCACCCGAATAGACCTGTCATAGTACTTTCATTTCTTCGCGTTATTTTCTTGTCCGGATCACTGCCCCCGGCTGCGGCTACAGCGGTCAGGAACTGTTTTCGGCACGTTGGAGCCCGGGAGTTCGACCGGGGATGATGAAGATACATCCGGTGGAAAGTACAGAACGGTCTGGCCAAAGTACGTAGCGGTCTATATCAATTACATGTATACACTTCACGAGTGTGATGTGCACAGTGGCTACAGAAGTAGGAACTTTGCTGGCCTTTTCTCTTTGTGATATGTTGAAATTGTACTGTGATAGGGGGTCTAGTACGAGATATATCATGATTCCCGGGTTGTTACTTTGGTTACTTTGACTAGACTACGCTGCTTTAAGTCATGAATCATGCATGGAATATAGATGGTTTTCTATGAAAATCCTAGTTATACCCTGTCACGCTGTCACCCCTCGTTTTACATGTCATCAATGCCACTATCCTGGATCATGTCTGTGTATCTTGCGTTGAATCCTTTCCATCTACACATCTAATTCCAATTGAATTCGGTCAGATATAGACCCAATAGGTTGGAATTAAGCTTACTCACCTTCGAACCCATACGGTCGACGCCTATAGGGCTGCGGTACATCCAGGCCATAGGATCTTTTCCAAGTAGGGATGTTGACCATGTTTCCCTAGAGAGGTTAGAAAATACCGCCAAAGTATACTGGAACTCCTCACTTGTGGAACCGTCAAGTCTACTGTATGCCTGCGTCCCCGACGGGCTCTCCAGTATAGGACAACCAAGACCGGACCAAAGAGGACGAGACCAAGGCCGACAACAATAACTGTATTTGCTGCTGGTGTACAGCTTAAGCAAAGTCCAATCGAAGACATTTTGTCACTAATAAAGTCTATGGGCAGTGAAATTTGGCAATGAAAAGCAATCTTATGTCTCGATGAACGGGGATATCCATTCTTCTTTAAATATGACCAATTCATAACATGATATGTGGCATTCACCTTCGCCCAAGCATCAAAGACCCTTGTCCACTACTCATGTCGGACAATGCAGAGCCACAATATCCTTCAAGCACTGGCAAAGCAGGAAACCGGAGAATAGACGCCGATCAGTCAACTCGTGGCCTCTGGGCTTGACCAGCACTCGGTGACAAGGGTGCATAATGCAAGCCAGGAGAGAAGAAAGCGATATTAAAAAGAACAATTAAAAAGCAAAAAAAGCAAAAACACCAAATTGCGTCGCATCCTTGATGTATTCCGCGGGATTTCGCGGGATTCCGTGCTCTTTTCTTTTTCTCTGACCGTCCTGCAGACACAGAACTAGGCACCAATTCACCAATTCTAGGTGAATTGAGGGCTATTCACTAGGCTTAGAACTTTTTTTTCCCTTGGGCTAATGCACCAATCCGTTAATTCCAGTGTACCGACAACGCGGACGGTGGAGATTGTTACCCGGTGCCGTGGGATTGCCATGCATAGGGGAACACCCGGGTGTTTTTGTGTGGATTCGTGACTTTGATGCTTGGGTCTGCATATTCGCTGTATTTTTTGATTGGTCCTGGGTTCATCTTAGACTTTCACGCTAGCACTGGGAGCACGGTGGAAGAAGGGGCCGAAGGGACAGAGTGGACAGAAAGTCCCGGTAGACGTTGTGCTTGCTTTTGTTGTACCGGTGTCGTGGCATCGGGTCTGGGAGGATCGACTATCCCAATCCGTGTTCATACTTCTGCTCGTACTTTTGTTCGTACTTTTGTATCGAACATGATATCAATTTTTGCTGCCGGGGGCTAGGTGGGTGATTCATATACTTCATTTCTGATATGATTGATGTTTCTGCAACATAAGCCCGGGGTCTAATCTTGCCATTGTGTTCCTGAAGTCCAGCATGCTCCAGGTTCCGTTTTAGGAAACAAAATAAAATATGCCAATGTGAAAGAATGTACCAATATCATGTGTTTCCCCCGCTGGTATCCTATTGATCCATTTGCTTTGAGGACTCCGGGACGCCTGCCATACTTCCCTGCCGTGATAACCGTACCATGATGCCATGGGCAAGAGGTGAAGATAAAAAATAAAAAAATTCGGTGAGATAAGAACACTTGTAGTTGGAAATTGCGCGGTAATGCACCCTCCCCGAGGGCGCAAAACACAAATCAGGTCATGTTCATTACTGGGTTGGTGGACGAGGCCCAGAAGAAGGTCCAGAGTCTGCATCTGAGACTCGGGGCCGTTTTGGATCGTTTGGACCGGGTGCCGGGGCCCCTGCGCCGGGTGTGGCATCAGCATTGGTGACGTCCAGCAATGGAGGCCGCTTTCCGTTGAGATTCTGCTGGGGCGGCACAGCGCCTCGGTTGGCCATGCCTGGGTTGGAAACGTTCCTTTGGTCAATATTGGGCCGGGTCAATGGTCGATATGATGAGACAGAAGGGCCCCTGCTGACCGGACTGCTGATTCCACCGCCAGGAGCACCGACTCTGCGCTGCATATCCGTTGCAGGATTGACAAAGTCCCGTGTATTATTGTTAGGTGGTGCCGGAGATGCGCTCGACAGCATCGGCCTAGCAATAGGAATGCTTTTGCTATGATCTACACCAGCCGTCTTGCGGATGGAGGGACTCTCCGCGTGTGGATCGAATTGAGGTGCGCCTGAAGGGACGGAGTTTGGATTTTCACGAAGGAGGTCCACTGCTCTGGCGGAGTAGAAGCCTGTTGACGGTGTGCCTTGCGGTGGATTCATGTCCTGGTTCCCTTGAAAGCCCCCGGGGCCGGTTTCCTTTTTGACCGGAGCCTGGGCGATGTTGTTTTGTGCAGCATTCTGACCAACTGTTTGCTGTGCTGCTGATGGTCTGGGGTTCGCAAGATTCTGCGCAGGACCCTGGCCGGCCATTTGTCGACCTTGTAACGCGGGGACGGGATACCGGATGGGTTCTGTCGCGCATTTATGGGATTAGGTCGTCCCGCTTGGCCCGAGCCGTTCCATCGCTCTGGTTTTGATGGTGTTACAACAGCGGCGTTAAATCCTGGTCGAGCGGGCGGTCCTCGTTGAGGCGCTGGACCGTTTGTTGGCGCAGGGCGCTGCTGTTCTCGGTGGATCTCTGTGTCTATTACGATCTCATCAGGATTGCCTATATCGGTCTCAGCTACCGCAAAATCGGCCTCATCAAAGAGGTCACCTAGAGACCATTAGCCAACGTTCAATGTTGTGTTTTCTAACACATACTGCCAAACTCTCCGTCACCCTCGAAAGAAGCATTATTCCCAGGATTATTGCCTCTTGCTTGATGTACAGGACGAGGAAGGGGTAGATCATCCTCCTCCGGTTCACGCTTAGGTGGAGGCGGCTGTTTCTTAGGAGGGGGCGCGAAGTCAGGGTGACGGTGAAGATCTTCAACGTCCCATCTTCCCTATTCTAATAGTCAGTATGGCATGTGGCAGATTGGAGGACGTCGGGGACATTACAGGCGCTGCTTTGACTTTGGTCACCTTGGCCACATAATCCTTGTCATAGATACAGTTACCTAGGACGTTGCCAAAGTTCCTCAATGCGCGTTTCAAAGCATCTGTTGTGCCTTCTTTCTTGGCCTTCTCAAATGCTGCGGCCTTGCCCTTGCAGTTCTCGATATGCCCGTAGCCAATATCCTAGAAGAGGGCTGGAGTTAATACAGCAACCCAGCAAAATTCCACACATCGAAGATATCCCTTTACCTCATGAAAGGTTCCATCCCTCAGGGTGACTCTCATAATAACTGAAAGTCCCAGGCTGATCTTGCCCGTGTTTTGATTTTCCTCAACCTGATAAGCGTTAGCCAACCCCGGCGTAGTCGGTTGATGTAATATTAACGCACAAAATCAATCTGAATCGTCTGAATCGAACTGGACCAGCCATTGAATCCAAACACCTCATTCGCAAGATTGATGCATTTGTCCGCGGAGAGATAGTGCACTTTCTGCCCCGCAGCACCAGGTCGCGCAGAAATGTATTCGGGCCCCAACTTCTTATCAAGACGGGCTTGTAGTGTTGCAATTTCCTGTGCGGTGTATTCGCTGATGCGGCGTTGGGGTTCCTCGAATGGGTTTGCCGTGGCGGCTCCTGTATCGTTCGGCATCCTTATAGATCCCGCACCACCGCGATGTTGGTCACCAACGCTGGGATTATCACTATCAGTGCTCGGCTCCATGGGATGCAATTTCCAGGTCCTGGGTATTGGGTCTCACGCTGGCATGTTCTGTTGTGAATGAGTGTCGAGTTCAATATTAGAGATGTAATGACGGCGTGTCGGGCGCGTTGTCTTCAGGCACCGAGACGCGGCTCATCGCGACATCACATGACGATAACGCGATAAGATAAAGATAGGGCTTCATAGATTAAGTCAAATTCAAGTAAACAAAACACATTACTATTTAAGGATAGTTGGAGATTGATAGGGATGTGATTCATATATGGAAGCTATTTTTTGGAGTGTCGTCTCATTTCTCATTCATTGTAAAAGCTATCTATCCTTTGGGACGAAGAAGGGTATGGCATCAATCATTGGATAAGGAGACTGGCACTAGGCACAAGTCCTAGTTCCTTCAAAGACTCCCCGAAGAACTCATGATCAAACACCTTCTTGGGGAAGTTCTGCACGAAGCTTTGGACTTCGATCCCATCCTGTTCCTTCAATGCGGCAGCAACCTCAAACAACGTGGTGTCAACGGGCAGTGTCTTCATGATGTTACCCTTGGATGACTGGAATCGCAACCGAGTTTCCGTATAGGCGGAGGCAGGCTTAGATGTAGAGGGGCCGGAGGAGGTGGGTGCCGGGACGGCGGCGGGCTGGGGAGGAGCTACACCCGCACGCTCGGCTCGCTGCTTCTCTGCCTTCAATCGACGCTCCTCCTTGTCGGCCTCGATCTTTGCCTTGATGCGCTTCTTGGCTTCGATTTCATCCTGCTTCTCCTTCTTCTTCTTGGCCGCCTCCTTCATCTGTTGCTTCCGCTCGAGCTCCTCCTTGGCATCTTGGGTTTCCTTAGTGCTCTTCCTTCGGATTTCCTGATAATAAAAGTCAGCAAAATACCCCTAGTCAGTCATTCTCCGGGCCAAGGCCCGAGATACACACCTCATTCCTCTTCTTGTCAATCTTGTCCTGTTCTGAGAGCCCTGCACGCTTCTCCGCAAGCTTCTCCCGCAGCTCCGCCAGTCTCTGCTTTTTCTGCTCCTCGGTCAACGGAGCAATTTCCTCGGTAGATTCAGCGAAATCAACATGTCCGGACTTAGATGCATGGAACTCGGCCTGCGACTGGCCTCGGAACTTCTTGCCACACTCGTTGCATACTAAGCTGCGTGGTTGTTCGCCTGGTTGGAGTGCGGGGCCCTCTTCGCCTTGTGCCTCTTGGGCTTGTGCCTTTATGTCCTCCAATGACTTGTCCTGGTTGTCCTCGAGCCACTGCAGTGCACCTTGCACTATCCAGCCAGTCAGAGAATAGCTCACAGTGTATATCAGAGGAAAGGGCAGGAACTTACAGCCACCAGTCTTCGTCACTGCGAGCTGGGCGCGCTCTTTGTCAAAGCCCATTTCAATGAGCTGGTCCAGGTCCGATGCCATGATGACTGTTGGGACGTGAAAGAAATATAAGCGTAGGAAACACTCAGAAAATTAGCGTAATTTGTCAAGATTGAATCAAATGGGTGGTGGTTCAGAAGTGAGTTAGCTCGCGAGCAGAGTGGGTGACGTATCAGAAAGGCGGCGAGCGATAAAGGCCCACTTAGCCTTCCCCGGCTTTCTATGGCATCAAGTCCTTCTCGATGGCACATCTGAGGGATATTTCAATATCTGAAGGCCATTAAAAGCCTGGTAATGTCAATTGTAAATCTCTATGTTGCATTTGCGGAAGGACTAGAATTGTATAGTCCTCTACAAGACATCTCTGCTAAACACGTGTGCTATGTGGTACGTACCTGCATTGTAGGTATCCCAAGTTTTACTACATTTAAGCCTCAATCTACTATATATGATAGCAAGTTGGATGACGTCCATTTACATTCAACATTGAAACCAGCATAACTTGAATGTGGCCGAGGGATATGGCCACATACCTCAATGCCACAGCTAAATGCAATTCACCGTGGAAATGAAGCATATACTGGCTTATTCTCAGCATAAATTGCCAAGAAACCGCTGTACGAGCAACGATATAACATGCAATACATATATTGTATACAATTTAAACCAAGTGGGATGATTGACCCCACCGCGGAGATCACATGCAGGTGGAGGAAGATGTTTATCCGAGGATGCGAATGCCGGGGAAGAGTAATGAGGCATGCAACCAAGATATCCAGTCCCATAGCCAAGGTCCCCAATAGAATAAACAAAAATGAAGAAGGCAAATCTTCCAGTTTACGATGTATAGCTTGTCAATAGTGACATCACCTGACTGTTTGCTGACTCATCCAATTTCCCCGAAAGTGCCCAGGTGGACAATAACCAAACTCCTGAGGCATCGGCCTAGACCTGATATCCCTCCCACACCTTTATTTCCCAATCGAAACCTAATCGCGTACAGTCATCTGTGCTCTCGTCATCTTTGTTCCCTTCTCCCGCCTCTTTCACTCTGACCACGTGCACCATGACTATCCAAATCGAGCCCTCCGAGTTGGGCTTCAAGCGTGAGTGCCAGATCCCGAACCTGTCTCAGACCTGCCTAGATCAGCAGCTCATCTCTTAATGATAGGTCCCTTCAATCATGAAGTATGCCAGGTTCTCCGCCTGACCAACCCGAATGAGGACTCTGTGGTCTTCAAGGTATGTGTGACATCCCTCGGTCTTTGTCGCGGGACAAGCAGTACTAACATATGTCCTCGGCGCGCTAGGTCAAAACCACCGCTCCTAAGCAGTATGCCCCGACGATCCTATGCGCAATGCCTATACTCGAGATTTGTTATCTGACCATATTCCAGTTACTGTGTGCGACCTAACTCCGGCCACATCGAGCCAGGCAAGACTGTCGAAGTCCAAGGTTAGTTTATAAGCGAGTACGCTTGAATTACGGCGGGCTAATTTTCTCGATAGTGTTGCTTCAGGCTATGAAGGAGGACCCTGCTCCGGATGCCAAGTGCAAGGATAAGTTCCTGGTCCAGGCCGTCCCGGTCGCCCGTGGCTTGGAGGATGCCAGCGTTAGCCAGATCGTATGTCCAGACTGCGGGATCGCGAACAACAAGACCAATCACTAATATCTATATTCAGTTCGACCAAACCGCCAAGGCCGATGTGGTTGAGCGCAAGATCCGAGTTGTCTACCTAGCAAGTGATGCCGCTCCAGCCAACGACTCGGTGTGCTACTCAGCAATCATTTCTCCATACACATCATCTAACTTCCACCAGGCGCATGATGAGGAACCTCCAGCGTACACTTCTCCTGGCGGCGCAAACTTCCAGACCCCGGCCCCCAAGAAAGTCGACTCCGATGAACCGTCCCCAATCCCTGCTCCCGATTTCTCTGAGAAAAAGTCCCAGTCTCCTCAGCGCGAACCGGCATCTGCCATTTCAAATGCCAAGTCCGCAGTCGCCAATTCTCTTCCCTCAACCGACGAACTCAAGTCTCAGCTGTCTGAAGCCAACGCACAGATCCAGCGCCTGAAGGACCGACTCGCAGACCAGGGACTGCGGCAGCGGAAGACCGGCGGAGAGGCTACCAGCAAGGCTGTGCCTGCCACTATGCAGCAGTCACATGCGCCAACGGCCGGCGGAGTTTCGATCCAGGGTGTAGCATGCCTCTGCCTGCTCAGTTTCTTGATCGCGTACTTCTTCTTCTAAGCTGGTCTTCTGTTTGTCGCTTTCTCACGGTCTATCTAGCTTCATTGCGCGTACTATACGTGTGCTCAATGCCTCTGGTCTAACGTCGCTGACGCCTCTCCCAATTTCCCATCTAGTTTTGTCTCTTGAAGAGCATGCCGTTTTCTATCTGTTCTAGCATCAGCCTTTTTTCTGCGTTTGCTTTGAATTTTTCGCCCCAGTATCAATACTCTTTTCATGTTGTCTCTCGGATGTCCGAACTTCCATTGAGGCCAGACATCTGTCTGTCTCATCCTCTTTGTTGTTGATTTCCTTTGTTTCTTTACCCTTCCTGTCTTGTCTAATATCATTTTATGATGAACGGACCCGGCCCTCTCGATTCATTTCTCTTTGTTTCATAAACCTATTCTCGAGCTCGGGATAATTCATGTGATTGCTACTAGAGCCAAGTCCATGTCGTACATAGTTGGGGACTACGTCTCCCTCCTTCGGTGATTGGTTAGTCGCAGACATTCGATCCTCTCGCAGACACAGGGACCGGACAGCATTTTAATTGAGCGCGACTCTACCGAGATCAATACTTCGTGCTCCCTACGCGCACAGGTTTGAAGCCTCATAGAAACCGCAAAATGACATGCCTATTCTTATTGAAAACAGATATATCTGACAAGCACCAGTACTCCACCCAGTAATGTATGTAATCAAACAACTGAAAATTCCATACCAGACGTTATACTCAAAAGGCAGAACAAGATCTAACATTGAATCTCACTCTCCTTCCACCCATCACCCTCCTCGCCCGCCGGACCCGCCGACGCAGCCGAGATGCCCTCACCACCACGTCCATTCCATTGCTTAGACGCAGCAGAATCACCACCGCGCTTCGACCCACCACCAACAATCCGTCCACCCTGTTCACGCTTCACACGACACCAAGGACCAACATCCTTATCCAAGATGAAAGTGTAAATAACCCAAACCCAGCTCCGGTGACAAGGCAGCGGCTCATAGAACTCGCGCGCAATCTCGTGCAGCTTATGCAATCTGGTCCACGGGATAGCAGGGAAATCATGGTGCTCATTATGCAAGCCGACATTGTAAGTGAGGATATTGAGCGGGCCGTAGTACGAGTACGTCTCCGGGGGAGGAAGGGAGTCGAGCGGGTGCGGGGTCTTGGACTTCTCGTTCTTCTTCAGCTCCGCTAGGGACTCTGTGCCGCCGCTCTTCACGTTCGAGAAGAAGTAGTGCTCGGCGATGAAGTGGCCTGCGCAGGGGTGCAGGGATCCGGCGAGGAATGAGCTCAGCAGGAAGTATAGTACTGGTTGCATGGTGCCGCATAGTTGGCTAAGGGCGTAGTCGAAGCTTATTTGGACGCCTAGGTTCAGGAGGTGGATGTAGGTGAAGGGTGGGCTGTAGATGAACATTGGGCGCACGGCGTAGAAGAGGATTTGGAAGGTGCAGAAGAATGTCTTGCCCAGGAGGGAGTTTAGGAAGAAGGCTTCCACTGCGGTAGGGAGGTCGGTGTCGAGGCCTGTTACGCCGAGGGATTTGTGGTGTGTTAGGTGGTAGGGCTGTTGGTCGTTTGTCAATTCATGACTTCTCCTGAGTTTCTGCTAGTTTCTGGCTTCTGGGGAGTATACATACTCTGAACGCTGCGCTGTAGGGCAGTCCGATAGGGAGGTTTGCGAAGATGGCAAGCAATCGGTTGGCGAAAGCGGACCGGAAGGCCAGGTTGTGTGAGATCTCATGAATAGCGAGGAAGAGATTCTGGTTGCAAGTCGCACCAATCACGTATGCCGTGGCCAGGAACCGCCAATCGAGCATTGAGGTGTTGCGAAGGAGATAGGCACAGGTGATTTGTAGGGACACGACGCCGAGGACGACCCATTTGGTAAGAGGCTCGGGGCCACATAGCTTGGTGACCTATAGACACATAATATCATGAATCAGCGTTGCAATTGCATTTGTTGAGGCTGTCCGTCGCCCAGGAAAGTGGCCAGATGTATCCGGGAACTCCGCAAAAGCTCCGCATGGAGTCTTCGTCGAACCCCCGTACCACCATGAGGGCCCGCAAAACAGGGTCACGTACCTCCGGATGGGCCTTGATAATTGCCTGTCGTCTTGAGCGATGCGGTTCTTCGGTGTATGTCCAGAAGAAATGGTCGTCGACCAAAGCATCCGGTGCCTGGATTCTGGTGGACTCTGGTTGCGTCTTATCGGATGTTTTGGCTGCCGACACCCGGAGGTGCGGTGAACTTGTTTCAACGACCGCAGACATGATGCGAATTTGGTATGTGTCGGAGTTTAGGCCATGAGAGATAGGAGAGGCCTTAAAAAGTCGGAAGACGGTTGTTCCACGTGGGGCGACACGGCATCCTTGATGGCTTGATGGCTTGGCAGGATCGGCGTTTTGATGTCAAGGGTCTTCACTCCGACTCTCCAATCTATTTAAGACATTACTAATGGGATGGATCTTTCAATGATGCTTTTAGTATATACGGTCTATGAAATAAATCAGTAGTCGTCGCCACGACTAATAACCTCCTTCACATTCGGGCGCAACACAATTGTCTAGAAACACAAGTCAGTAAGCAGTCCAAGTGGAGAAAACCCCAAAATAGAAACATACATGTTCATATTGGGCAGTGTATGAGCCCTTGATATCGCAAAGGGGAGGGTAATCCTGGACAATTCCAGATGAAACCAGGTTGTTCAACTACATTCGTCAGCTTCAGTGTCTCACATATGAACTGCATCGTTAACTTACGCCCAGAAGGTACTTGTCCTGACCGAGGCGGTCAATATACCGGCGACAGAAGGGAAGGGTGCCAAAGTTCTTGTTGATCAAATTCAACAAGTTCTTGGCGGAGGAAAGACGCAGGGGAACGTTAGGAGCGTCAGCGGCGAGAGCGTAGTGCGAGGTTTCCATCTAGGGCATGTTAGCTTTGTTCCCAGCCCAGTAAACTACAGTATAAACTTACTTCCTCTCGCACGTAGCCTTTACCAGTACTACCGAAAGTCTCAATAGCAAAAACTTCACCCTCTTCCATCTTCGTCTGATCGGTGCTCTTGACGATAGGCACACTCTTGCCGCCGTGGATGACGTGCTGGTCAATGTTGTGACCGTTCAGGTTGCGGATACACTTGACGGGGTGCATGGTGCCATTGATCTCAACTTCGTAACTCTCCATAGCTTCTTGAATGGCGGCACCGATATCACTCATACGGACGTCAATTCCCGCTTCCTAGAAACCCGTCAGTTCTGCTTGAGAGAAACTAAAGTTAAAAGCAAACTTACCCGGATACCAGTGTTGGTGGCGTCCTTCACGGCGGCGAGAAGAGGATCGTACACTGGGTCAAAGGTCATGGTGAAAGCACTGTCCACAATGCGGCCGTTAAGATGCGCACCGAAGTCGACCTTCATCACGTCTCCCTCGTTCAGGACCATCTTGTTGCCGGCGTTCGGGGTATAATGTGCAGCGCAATGGTTGATGCTCAAACCGCAAGGGAAGCCCATGCCACCCTTGATGTTATCACCTTCCTCCAGACCCGAGTGACCTGTCAGAGCGCGCACTGAATCCTCGATACCCTCCGCGATCTCAGTCAAAGTCTGGCCGGGCTTGATGTTCTTCTGCGCATACTGGCGGACTTGACGGTGAACCTCGGCACCCTGGCGGTACTCCTGCAGGAAGTCATTGTTCATGCGGTCGAGGTATCGTTTCTCTTCGTTGGTGGTACGGTAGGCATTGTCGTTTAGGTATTCGACGATCTCGCCCTCGGGGTACTCGCCGTTGGGGAAGAGGTTAGACACGGGGACGCGCGGTGGCTCGCTCTGAACCTTGGCACCGCCCTTCTTCTTGCTCTTCTTCTTGGACTTCTTCTTCTTCTTCTTTTTGTCGGCTAGAGTTGACCCCGCTGTTAGTTCAATTCGGCCGATTTCTGTGGGGTGAGGTGGGGTTCTGGAGGCGCGGTCACGATAAAGAAGCCTCAACAAAACTTACCTCCAGCAGCTCCAGCCTCTGCGGCACCCTCGTCTTGGGCGTCGTCCGAGTCCTCCTCCGCTTCAGCGGGAACTTGGTCTGCCGTGGGGGCGGCTTGGACGTTCACTGGTATCTGATCAGTCACACCTGGGAGAGGCAATCCGAAAATCTGAGAATCTTACGGTCCAGCTGATCTAACTTCTCTGTAGTCTGAGCTGCCATATTGAATGTGGCAATTAAACAAGTACGTTCAAAGGCAAAAGAGGGGAATGTCGGATGTCGGGGAAAGATTTTTGCTGATAAGATAAGGGCGATTTCTGGAGATTTGCTTGGCAGCGGAATGCCCAGTTACAGCTTCGTATACTAGACCTATTCTTGACACGGACTAACGACAAGTTGCCCTCATCATGACAACCTTGAAGCTTATACATGAGTCATTTTATAGGCTTCCTGCTATGACTACTCTCATGGAATACAGAAGTTATTCCTCATCTCCCGTTATCGTCGTTGTCGACTGTTAAGCCATGTCGCTACTTCAACTCCCCTTTGAACTGCTACTAGAGGTATCTTCTTATTTAGAATTTGTTTCCGATCTCGGCTCTCTCTATCAATGTCATCCTCTTCTGTTTAGTTTGTTAAAAGACAGAGTCGACGAATTACTCAAGACAGAGCAGTCTCTCCAACCTCTGGCGTGGGCCGCAGCGAATGGGAAGGAAATATGTGTTCGCAAGCTGCTAGACGCAGGTGCATCGTTTGAAGATTTGGGCTTCTGGTCCACACAGAGGGAAGATCCTATGACAATAGCTGCAAAGAATGGTCATGTTGATATTGTCCGAATGTTTCTCGACCATGGAAGAGACCCGACTCCGGCGATCAATGAGCCAGCGCACAGTTGGTTTCCCACCTCTAATCTTGATGACCTCGTCGCTTTTGGAAACCCATTGTCCGTCGCTGTGCTGGAGGTCATACCTCAATTGTCAGCCTCTTAATTGAGCGTGGATTTATCAAGCGCTGTATGGAACCCCGGAAGAAAAGAGAGTGGTGTGACTTATCATTATGCTTGGCGGTTATGCAGAGGCATATTCCTATCATCAAACTTCTGCTTGCAGGAGGTTGTGATCCTAATATTACGTGTGGTGGCAAGGTCCCTTTGCATTATGTTGCTCCAGCTCCTGCTACAAGCACGACTATGGAAATTGTCCGTCTTTTACTCGATGCTGGGGCTGAACCTGCCAGTTGGGTCCAATCGCCATTCGATCTTGCCTTGGAAACCGGCAATGAGCCGTTCGTCGATTACGTCTTCCAACACTATGTTTTTGATACCGAAGTTATTCTGGATATGGTTGATAAGATAGCCGGACAGCATAAGGGATTGGCGTCTTTCCTCCTAAAGAAGATTGATTTGGACCACACAATCAATTTTGGTACAGGTGCACGATCCAAGCTTCTGTGTGTTGCTGTAGCTGGCGGCTTCGAGGATTTGCTAGAGAGACTATTATCAACGAGGACGTCTGTCCTTAGCAACTGGAATTGTAACTGTGGCCATAGAGATATCATGGCTCTGGCCGTTGCATCTGGCAATATCAAAATGATAGAGTTGTTGCTCTATTATGGCGAATCTCTTTATGACGCCGTGACTTATCCCGCAGTCATTATTGAGAAAGACACAAATGGGAACTGGGATCCCGATGATTGCCCCTCTTCGATGATTCTCGCGCTTGACCGAGGCCATGATGATGTCGTAAAGTACATCATTAACCAGGGCTTTGATGTTGTATTTGCGTCACAGCATGGGAAGGACCTTTTCAACAGAGCACTCTATCTGGGCAAAGTGGAAATCCTCCAAATGCTTTTTGAGACTTCTGCCCCATCGATTGAAGATATTGCGTTTTCAGAGGACGGCCTATCAATCCAGCTCGCGGTATTAGGAGGAGAAGCCGCCTTCAGATTACTCCTCCAGCGTGGAGTACGACTACAACCGGATTGCGTTGGGCATTCCCGCGCATTGGCATATGCTGCTGTGCTAGCTAATGTGCCTATCTTGAAGATGTTCTTAGATGCGGGTTTTAGTCTGGATGTGCAAGGCGAATTCGGATTATCATTCGCACTCGATGGAAGTAGAGGTGGTACACTCCTCGCTCTCGCAGCTCAGGCTAAAGATCGAGATGCCGCGCAAGCTGCGGTTAATTTTTTGCTAGAACGCGGGGCACAGCTCAACCAGCCAGGCAGCTCTCGCAATTACACTCCTTTGCTCTGCACGGTCTCGGGAGTGGCTAGAAATTATGTTTGGAATATTAAATGGTTCATCGGGAAGATACGTAAGACCGAGGCAGACGAAGTCCAGCGTGAGATAGTACGTGAAGAATTGTTCGAAACTACCGACCGCGGTGTACTGGCAACGAAGCTTCTATTAGAGAAAGGGGCCGATCCTCTCTTTTGCAACGGAAGTGGGGAGTCTGCCTTGGCCGTGGCTGCAGGGAAAAATGATATCGGAACGGTTAAGATGCTGCTGAAATATGTTGATCAAGACGTTCCGATCAGTACCATCAGGTCTCATGTAATGGCAGCGATGGACCCTTCTGACGATTATCATGGGATTCTTGGGCGGTGGAAGGTCAAGCCTTCTTTAGGCATACAAGAGACACTCTGGAATTATTATTGGCGTAAGGCTTACCCTGCTAGCGAATAGAGAATTGAGTACCTAGGTCACTATACATACTTGATTTCCTCTGCCGCCGCTTTTATAACGCTCAGAGTCAGTCACGGTGATTGGTCCCTGATTGCTCACTCATTACTCGGAGTTTGGTTAGATCTATTGAGCACTTGGCCTAACAATACTATTCATTCGTGAACTACCTAAGTAGTTTTGATGGCTAATCAGCGTCAAGTTATTAAGATGTTCCGTACTCTTTTTCCACGTCCCAATCCCGGTCCGGTCAAAACAATGGCCGCAAGCTTTCGGTAATGACGATATGGGGAGCTATAATCAAGCACTCCAGATGCTTAGAAAGTTATATATATATACCTAGGTAAAGATCTAGGGTCTATTTGTCTTACTAGTCTAGCTACGAGCGTGTTATTCGGCCGGTTATAGTTCAATTGGATTCCCCACTCTATTTGTTCATTAATGCACGTAATACTGGGGCATTCTCCAGCCATGTTGGAGTCTTAAGTTTTGCAGCTCCACGGGATTCGTAAGTTATTGCACCTTCACATGTCTAGAGTCCCGATGTTATCCCGGTGCTATGGTTCTGGTATATCCAACGGGGCCACTGGGGAAATGTCCAGAGTGGTTTTTTTTCTTTCTTTTTTCTGTTTCTTTTCCTTTTCCTTTTCCTTTTTTATGTTCTTTTCTTTTTTTGCCTAGCAATAGTGAAAAGTGTAAATCTCTTCAGTTCTATCCTATCATCTTCTACGGAGCAATTCAAATAAGTGATCAAATCGGAAATGTGGATAATAGTCGTCTGCGGAGATGAGGATCTACAACATACCAAGTTGGGCTGAACACACAATTCAAATCCCTTTTCCAGGAAAGGACGGCTTTTTCCGACAAATTCTAGAGGCAGAAAGACCTCCATCGGCTCGGCTAAGCAGCGAGCACATTTGGGACTACCTCCGAGATACATGATTAGTCGGAGACCCATAGTCTCTTGAATATCCTGATGGACCTGCCGTGAGGAGAACTAACTTTTACCATCGTACGCTTCAAAAGAGTTCTTCCAATCTGAGTCTAGTGCATTCGCATATGAGGGAAATGATTGGAATCTCTAACCATGCCCTATAAATTTGTTTATTTTGATTTTATAGTTGCCTAGATTTTTCGCCCGTATCCGTTATAATTCGAAACTTCGAACACGCCGGGAGGTAGGACACTTTTTCCGCCGAAGGAGGGGATATAATAGATAGTCCTACACATATTTAAGACATAACGTGAGTTACCATTTGGATGGTTGAAGGGAACAATGAAAAGATTTATAACTTTTCATACAACTCATCATTTTTTAACTTTGAAAAGAAGCAACGGCTAAAAGAAAAAAAGCCTTGCGGGCCCGGCCCTAGACGCCTTGGCTCTTGGCTCCCAAAAATCTGTAAATTGTGCTACTCCACATACTTCTTTCGGATCTGAGTGCGTTGAACAACTCTGGGCCGGGAAAATTCTGTGCAATTAGCGGAGTTTTGGTGTCGGTCTTCGGGTCTCCTGATGGAGGTATTCGTAAGATCGATCAGGGAATCCAGACGAGTTTGCAGATCTATGGTATCATCTCGTATAGTTCTTACAGAAGCGGGATAGTTGCAGATTATTAAATAACAAAGCCTAGCCTTAGATATCCAAATTCCCGCTGGATCCGGGAAGCATTAGAGGTCATATATCATACAATGAGAGAAAGATATCCTGTGGCAAGGGATGCCTGGGTGAAGTAAATACAACAGCGAGTATCATATACAGAATAAGGCCTCATAGGTAGATCAAGAACCATGCGGCATATCCAAAAGTCTTAGCCGCTGTGACGCGCGCTCCTCTCCTCCGACCCTATGACAGAGACCGGCTCATGAGAAATCTCAATCGTGGTCTCCTGGTACACACCGTGGAGGTTCGACATCTCCATATCATTCTTCCCGACGATGTCCTCGGTGGAGCCTTCGAAGGGACTGGTGTGGTCTTTCTCGGGCACGCTGCGGCGCATTTTCGAGTTCAGACGAGATCCTATCCGGAAGGCCTTTCGAGACCGGGAGCCAGCATTGGTGGTGATATTCGTTTGCCATTGGGAGTCGGTGTTGCCGTAGCTATGGTCAGTGGTGCTGTGCTCGGTATCGAGGAGCAGGTGACGACGGGTCAGAGTGTAGACAACCACATCCATAGCACCGGAAAAAGCCATCAGACAACCAGCGACACCGAAGTAGGCCTTGCTGGGCGAGTTGCCCCGCGCAGTGGCCATACGACCCGCTGCGAGGGGCAAGGACAGAACCACGTACACAACGGGATAGATAACCATGTAAATGACGACACGGTTCAATCGACGCAGACTGTCCTGCTGGCCACGGCGGAGCATGGTCGCTTGTTGCATTCGACGTCGGAGGTAGAAGAACATGATCGTATAGAGAACAATGGTGCCAAACTCGGAGAGGAAGATCCAGATATAGTGGCCCCAGAGGCGCTCATCCTCGTATTGAGGACTCAACCAGCACTATAGTATTAAATTAGTCAAGTTCATCATCACCACCCTATCATCCACAAGACGGAGACACACCCAGTTGGCTTCGGAAATGACAAAGACGTTGGATCCATAGAGGCCGACCGGAATGAATCCCAAAAGAAGAATGAACATCCACAAACCAATCACACAGGATACGAAGATATTGAAGGGCAGCTGCCGACCACGCAAGACGACAAAGCATGTGTGCAGAGCAATAGACAAGACAAACAGACCACTACCGGGATCTGCTGTTTGAATCCACCAGCCCTGCAAGTAGCAGGCCACTTCACCAGGGTGAACACTGCCCCGGGACACCCAATATAGACTGATCGTAAAAGCGATAGCCTGTTGTAGATCGACCAGCAATAGATTGTAAATGAGAACGACATATTGGTTCTGCGCAAGCGAGTTCTTGTAGTACCGCTGCCAGTAGATGAATCGATAAGTAAGGAACGACAGTAGACCCAGAGTGGAACATAATGAGCAGAGAGCAATGATGCCCATAGCAATAAAGAGCGACCGGTCGACACCTCGGAGGGGACTCTCCTCGCTGAACTCCCAGCGACGGGTGATAGAGTCCTCGCCGCCATCAGCGTATAGTGAACGCAAGACGTGGGTGAGTAGGACCATGATTCAGGGCTCCAGGAAATCTGGGAGGGGATCTTGAAAATCCTCTGCAGAAGGAGGGGTCATGTTTGTATAAGAATGGGTATAAGAATGGGATTCCCTAGGGTACTGCTCCTGAATTAGGTTTAAGCACTGCATCTGATACTCCACCATGGGTGTTTTTCCTTATAAGTACTAGAGCCAATCTTCTTTTTTCCCCCTATACGTTCATCTTCCAAAACCAACTGGGGTGCACAATGGCGGACCATGGATCGCCATCGCCATAGCGTCTATATAGTTTCCATCAGGAGATTATGATTAGAAAGATCGTATACTAGATTGGAGAAACCAAATTTAGGCTCTACGATATGTTTGGCCAAGGTAGAACGCTAAGCCAAATGATCTCCACTCCCAAACGCAGAAGGGCATGGTGTTCGACTGCCGAAAACCGCGGCGTCGATCTCTTGCCAGAGAAAGTGCAAATAAGATTTAGCGGCGTAGAATTCAAGCGCGCAATATACCATTCGCCTGCACCCCATAATGGAATTTAAATAGAGGGGTAGCGTGATAACCAGCGCCTCTCACCAGACTAAGTGGGTTCTACGTAGTATTGGCTCACAAATGTGAGATCCGCTACGAACGTGAGATCCACCAGCAATTATGGAGAAGCTACAGGGTTTCACATGTGCCTTTGTCCGCAGATGTCCGCGTACCTGGAGCTACTCCAAAAAGAATAATATGTTTCCCCCTCTGAAGGTCTAAGAAAACAAAGTGGGGGTGTTAGGGTAAAGCGTGATATTACCTACTAAGAATGGCTATATTGTCATGTATCGGGCTCTCCGCATCCAAGTCACTTGTTAAATAAGACTTGGACTTGAATCTGGCTAGGTCGTTGCATATCTAAGCTAATACAGCAAAATTAGCTATTAAGCCAAACTACGAGGTAGATGTACGAAGGAAAGTAAGAATTCTATAGCCTTAGGTGTATATGTATAAAATGTAAAGAAGTAAGTTTGTGTTTTGATACTATATACAATCTCCATATCATATGGATAACTATACGTCTTCATTAATAGGCCACTCTCTGCACTCGAGCCATACGGAGCTTCAGTAATTGACGGTATCCAGACGACTCATGACACGTTTCCGGATCAAATGTCGCTCCTTTGTCAAATAACATCCTTGCCATTGTATCCTTTCCCTTTTCAAGAGCAAATTGTACCGGTGGGCAGTCAAGATCGCCACTAGGGTCAGCGCCATGCTCGAGTAAGAGCTTGACGGCGCTCGGCCGGCCACGGCAGACAGCCAGACTCAGAGGACAGAAACGGATTGCCCTTCGGCTTGGCTTATGGTCTTCATCGAGGACAGGCCATTCATCCAGTATCTTTTCTAGTAGATCATCAAGATGATTGGTAATCGCTCCCCTCAACAGAAAGCAGCGTTGAACGTTGCCATCACTCAGTATGCGATCCACATTCATCCCGCTTAGCAGTAACGCCCCCACCTCGTGGTTTTCCCGTATCGGTCGAGAGAATTCACTTAAGACATCGAACCATTCTAGTCGCCGCCAATCGAAGTTATTCGCTAGTAAGAGCTTTATGACGGGGAGGTTGTTTGATTTCGCGGCTCTGAGTAACAGTCCGTGATCTATATGCAAATCTGCGCCAGCCTCTACCAAGAGTTTGGCGATTTCCAGATTTGTAGATGATGCTTTGGCTGCAGCAGCCACGGCTAGAGGCGTCATGCCATGCATGTCATATGTATCAAGGTTGCTGTAATTGTGTTCAAGTAAAAGCCTCACAATTGGTACATGTCCCATTTTGACTGCTCTGCATAAAGGAATTGCAGCATGTCTGTCCAGGCTGTTGGTGTGGGTTTTGTGTTCGAGAAGTAGTTTGACGACCTCAACATGCTCTTTTTTAATAGCCTTAGTAAGCGCTCTTTTAAATAGATCTCCTTCTTTTTCGGTGTCGTGTTGAATGCAGTGAGGCAGGAATAATTCGACTAGACGGGTGTGGCCATTCGATGCGGCGATCACTATTGGTTCTTGCTCTTCAAAGACAATATCGTCCAATATCTTCGTACCGCACATCTGCAACAGTTTCCGCGCGCTGGTTTCCTTCCCTTCTTCCGCTGCCCATGCTATCGCTTTCCCAGGAGAGTCTTTGGCGATGGTTCTATAAAGCACCCTATTTGACAAAGCATGGAAGTGGCGGCAGACCTGTGTGAATGCATTGAGACCAGGATAGTGAAGGTGGAGGGAAATCTCCAGTAGCAGCTCGTTAGGGAGTTCTGAGAGAGCCGGCATATTTCGATGCAGTTCAGTTGTTGAGAAAGGGATGCGTGGGGAAAAGACGAATGAATCAAGTCAGCCTGTCACTTTGGGTTGAGCCGTTTAATTCTAATACCTCGCGGCTACTTAGGGAGAGCATTTATACAGGCTCTCCGGGAATCTGCTTTGTGTTGTGTTTTATATTGAATAAAAGCAGTGTTTCAAGTCAGCGCCGTGTTCTTCGGGCGTCGCTCTTTGATCCAGAGATCTAATTTAGTTTCAAAGTGTATATAACAATAGCACTATACATTATAAAAGAGACTCTGGTGTTTCATTGTCTATTTATGGATACTAGCGAGTACAAAGACATGCATGCAGGCACAAAGCCCCGGTTACTTTATACCTTAAACTGCCAAAGAAAGCTTCAGCTTCATCTTCAATTGTCGCGTCCACTTGAAAATGACAACAAGAGCCGGTTGAAAAGTGAGATTCTTTCAAGCGCTCAAGACAGTTTTTCGCATAATCGGCTTTTCAAGAGTAGAATAGAGAAGTAAGCAATTGTCCACGACTATGGAAATACGATATCATCAATATAAATGTCAATTTAGGGGCTGCTTTGTTTCGTTAGTGAAGTTCTTGACACAATGGGAGTCTCTCGCCCAGCGCCGTAAGCGCCGTTGGGAATCGATTGCAAATCCGAAACATAAGAATAAGCAAGAAGCGGAGGCGCTGATAACATAAGGTACTACTTTAGACAGGAGGCTCTAACTTGCACAATAGGATTGGTTTGCACTGCTGGGCTACGCCATATTTCTTTCATTACGATTCCCTAAGCGCTCAAGGCATACTTCCCATCCCCTTGACATTAGCATTCTCAGCATCTTGAGCGTAGATAAAACCAGTAAGACAAGCCTGAGTCCACTTTTGTACTGCTCATATACCCCATTCCAGAGGTACTGACCATCGTGAGTTTTTGCCGGAAATTAGGTCTCTAGGTCTAGTCAAAACTCTCGATCTTGCCATCCCTTGGCCTCATCAAATGCCTCAAATCTTGTCTTGCACATCGGTAAAAAGCAAGAATGGAAGTCTCCCCAACTCCTAGGAACTGGATCCCAATAGCTATCCCGGAGGCTCCAAGAGCTAATGCCGCAGCACAGCCTCTTCCACAAACGATTCCACTACCTGCAACGCACAACATCGAGTCCAAGCTCATGAAGAGCACACGCAACCTCTGGCACGAAAGGAACCATAATCCCACGATATGTGGATTTGGTATCCCAAGCTGGTGAAGCCTCCGAGGGTTCTTATTGGATCAAAGGGTCGCCCGAAATAGCGTAGACCTCACCTAGGATCTCTTATCTAATCTGATCATCAGCTGGAGCTATGGGAATTGTAACTGCCCACGTGCCTATAAGTTGTATTAAATGTGTTATTTCGAGAGATGAGAGAGATGGAATAGAGTGATTGTATACTCTAGAATCCACCAATAGCCAGTATTGAATACGTGGTGTCCTTGTACGATCAACTTCGAACCGCAGTGACGCCACTCCGATCTTCACCTCCGCTCTTCTTCCGTTTCTCTCTCTCTCTCCCTCTACTTCTTCCAACCCCTCCCCCACCTCCTACCTATGCTATTATTTTCCTGTTTATTCCGATGTCACACTCTCTAAATATACGACAATGCCTCCACCTCGAGTAACAGCAATTCTTCTCTTTCCACGCGCAACCCTCTCTCCATCACCTTCAACCTACCGCAGCATCTCAGCCCAACGCCTCCGACCACAATTACACCCACGCAAACAACCACAGTCGTCCCCAAGGCCAACTATATCCTCCTTCTCAACCAGCAACCCCGCCCGAGCCCGCGAAGCAAACTTCTACGAAATCCTCGACGTCCCCACAACCGCATCAGCAGCGGAGATCAAGAAGTACGCCCACACCCACACTCAACATGTCTCCTCCACCCCCGCACCCCTCAATCTCCAATTCCAAATAAATGTCTAATACTTACATATCCAACCGTAGACAATTCTACGCCCTCTCAATGCGCCACCACCCAGACCGCAACCGCACAGACCCAGACGCAAGCCAACGCTTCGCCCGCATTTCCGCCGCCTACAACGTCCTCGGCAACGCCTCCAAGCGCGCAGTCTACGACCACGACCACGGCTTCCACACTGCGCAGCACGCCTCGCCCGGCCAAACCCACACCCACCAACGCCCGATGGGCAGCCACAGCAGCTACGCCGGCTCACGACCCGCCAGCGGGCTGAGCAAGCGGCGCTCGGCATTCCGCGGTCCGCCGCCCAGTTTCTACGAGCAGGGTGGATACGGTGCTACGGGGAGACAGGGGCAGGGATGGGCGGCTGGAGGTGCTGCGGGGTCGGAGTTTCGGGCTGGCGCGGGCGCTGGGACGAAGCATGCTGATCCGGAGGATTGGGAGGGGTTTATTCATCGGAATCCATTGCATCATTTTAATGCTCAGGGGCATTTCCGGACGCAGGCGGCGGAGGATCGGAGGAGGAGGGAGAGGAGGAAGGGGGCTAGGAGGATGGAGGAGGAGAGGGTTGAGCGTGAGCCTGGGGTTGATCAGACGATTTCAAGGTTTTTTCTTTGTTCCGGGTGTTTGATTGTGATGCTCGTTGTCGTGGATCTTTGGCGGTCGGTTCCGAAGGCTGTTGATGGGAAGAAGACGAAGAAGCAGAGGGAGGCTTTGTCTTCTTGATGGAGTTGCGCTAGACTATTTCACATACATCCTTGGATACCTGTACATGTAGTTTCTTGGTATGTACATACATAGGATCAAATACATTGCTGGTTGATGTACACCAACTCTTGCATGGCTACGAGCACCCCCCCCCCGGTGCTTTATAGATTTTATGAATCGATCGGATTGATCAACAAAGGAAAGAGTTGGATTTGATATACAAAGGGTGATCGAGCAGAAAGATCTACGACACACGCACATGGTTATTATCTTGGAAACCCCCACCATAATCATCGTTCTGGTGAATCAGCAAGACAAGTGAACTAGTAATTGAAGTTTACAAAGATCTTCCCAAAAGATGGTAGTTCATCTGTCAGGTTTCTGGAAGGCTTAAAATCCAGACGCTTAAGCCTCGAAGGTGAAGCTGGCGCCGACCTTGTGGGCAGCCTGGTTCAGGTTCTGGGTATCGAAGGAAGCACCGAGGCCGAGGGTGACACCAGGGCGGAGCAGGACGTTGTAAGCCAGAGCGGCAATACCACGGTCGTTGATCTTAGCCTATATTGCGAGAAAATTGCGCGATTAGTCTTGATTCACAACAGTAATATAAGCAATTCAAAGGCGCAAAACTAACCTTGGCGAAGGAAGAGGGGTCCAGGCGGTACTTGCTGGCGACCTCGAGGCCGACGGCGTTGCCGGAGGTGGAGTCCCAAGAAGCCTTGGCACCGGCCTCGACCTGAGCGTTAACGCGGTGGTAGTAGCTGGCGGAGAAGAGGGACAGGTTGTTGCTGGCGGTGATGGCAGCGGAGTACTGAGCAACGCTGTAGCCGACGGCAGCGGAGTACTTGGTGATGGCGGCCTTGTTGACGTCGTAGCCACCCTCAGCACCGACGAGGAAGCCCTCGTGGCCGAGAACGGCGTCGAAGTTGGCGGTGGGGCCGTTCAGGAGATCGAAGAAGGCACGGGCGTTCAGGTTGGGCTGCTTGAAGTACAGGTTGAGCTTGGCACCCTTGGACTGCTTAGCGGGCTGGTACTGGGTGAGGATCTCAGCCTTGAGGCCCTTGGCGATGTTGTTGTCGAGCTCGAGCTTGGTGTCGAGAGCGTTGGCGGTGGTCCAAGCCTGGGTGAGGGTGAGGCCTGGTCGGAGTGAGCATATTAGCCTAATCCTTTGCACCTTGGCATCCGAAAAAATAAATAGATTCGTCCGGCGCGCTATTGGAACACCACATCCAAACATCAATGGCATGAGACGGGTTGTGTGCGCGCCGGGATCGGGAGGTTTTTTGTGGAAGGGGCCTTTACCAGTGGGCGCATCAACGTATTTGGCCTCGAGCTATAGGCGACACCAGTTAGTAATTTGCGTAGCGGATTTGGAAATGATATTCAACGTACCTGACCAGCAATGGGGCCCTCGTGAGCGGACTTGCCCTTAACGGTGAAGGTGACACCGTTGGGGGCCTTGGACTTAACCTCAAGGTTGGCTAAAAGCTTTTAATCAGCTATTGAATCTTCAATAAGTGGCGCAATGTGGTGGATAGACTAACCGGCAGCGCCGTGGTAGAAATCCTTGTTCAGGAGCTATTGGGATCAGGTGTTAGCCAAGGTTCTGAGTTTTGTTCCCAACAGTTTTGCGTACATCGTTGGTCGCCTTGGCGATATCGGAGAAAGCAGCGGGGGCAGACATATTGACGAGAGAAGTGGAATTAGAGATGGAGGAAAAGGAGGTTTTATGAAGAGATGAAGAGAGAGGAAGGGAAGGAAGAGTTGTGATGATGTTGGGGGGAACCTAGGGGCTTAGCACGGGTTAGTGGGAGGTCGGTGATTGGCGGTTGCCCGGCTGCCGGGAAAGCCCGCCGGCAATGTTTGGGCAGGGCAGGTCACGTGTTTCCGTAAATACAGTCAAAGTAAAATATTGAGATCATAACATTATAACCGACTATATACCAAAAAAAGGGTATATAAAATCTAATCCCGTGCTATATCACCCAAAAGAAAATGCTAAATCAGAAAACAAAGTCCAGATCTTTTTGTTTATACTTTTTACTCCTTGTCATACTTCTGGTTGTGGATGGCGATGGCTCTGCAAAGGATGGTTAGAGAAAATGAATCAAATAGGAGAATAGATAAACAATAGCTCACCTTCCACTGGGGTCGGTCTGCTTGGACCAGGTAGGGGTCCAGCGCTCGACAGTGCCGGCACAGTAGGGAGGGAAGTGCTCATCGAACATGGTACGGTACCAGTATCTATACCGCGGTTAGTTTTCAACAGTGCTATAAAATGGGGTAATGAGGTGAAAAACATACGCCTCCTTGGTGTCGGGAACGTCAGTACCCCATTCGGGTTTAGGGTTCTTCATCATCTCGTCGGTGACCTGGCGCTCAGCCTCATCCTTCAGGCCGTCAATCCAGCTGTAGCCAACGCCATCGCTGAACTGCTCCTTCTGGCGCCAGAGGATCTTGTCGGGCAAGTAGGCAGCGGTCTCAGGCTCATCGGAGGTGTCGAAGGCCTTGCGCAGCATGTGCTTCTCGATACGCTCGGGTGTGATCATCTTGTCCTGGGGGTCAACGCCCATGCAGGTCTCGAGGAACTCCTTGTCGAGGAAAGGAACACGAGCCTCAAGACCCCATGCGGAGGTGGACTTGTTGGCACGAAGGCAGTCAGCCAAGTGCAAGTTCTTAACACGGCGGACGGTCTCCTTGTGGAGCTCCTCCTTGTTGGGGGCGGCGTGGAAGTAGAGGTAGCCACCGAAGATCTCGTCGGAACCCTCACCACTCAGAACCATCTTGACACCCATGGCCTTGATCTTACGGGAGAGCAGGTACATGGGAGTAGAGGCACGGATGGTGGTCACATCGTAGGTCTCGAGGTGGTAGATCACGTCAGAGAGGGCATCGAGGCCGTCCTCAACAGTGAAGGTGAAGGGGTGGTGCTTGGTGCCGAGGAACTTGGCAACCTCAAGGGCAGCCTCGGTATCGGGGGCACCGGGAAGACCGATGGAGAATGAGTGCAGCTGCTGGAAGGTGGTGACGGTCGACAGGTCGTTCTCGTCATCAATACCAACCAACTCACCGTCGGCATTCAGGTTCTGGGGAGCTTTGCGGGCAGCTTCGGCCATACGGAGGGTCTCGCGCTGGGCGATAGACGCGACCAAGCTGGAGTCCAGACCACCAGACAGCAAAACACCGTAGGGAACCTCGGCCATCAGACGCTTGCGGACAGCCTTCTCGAGGCTCTGGCGGACCACCTTATAGTCAACGGGGGTCGAGGGGACGTTGGTGGGGTCCCACCACTTGGGCTCGAAGTAGCGGGTCAAGCTGTCGGTCTTGGAATCATAGACGTGGCCCGGGGGGAAGGCAATGATGTCGTCGCAGACGGGGTGCAGGCACTTGAGCTCAGAGGCAAAGAAGACGGCGCCGGGAGCGGAGGAAGAGCGTCCAAGGTAGAAGCTGGTGATACCAATGGGGTCACGGGCAGCAACAACACGGTCCTGCTTCTTATCCCAAAGAACCCAAGAGAACATGCCATCAAGGTGCTTAGGGGCGTCAAGGCCATACTCCTCATACTAGTATATATCAGCATTTCGACTCCATGTCCGATTCCGTTATATCTCGCGCGACATACCAATGGAATGATAACTTCGCAGTCAGAGTGCGTCTTGAAGTTGTACTTGTGGCGGAGATTCTTGCGGATGAGACGGTGGTTGTAGATCTCACCGTTGACGGCGAGGGCGAGGGTGCTATCATCGTTGACAAGGGGCTGGGCACCGGAGTCTAAGAGGATATTGTTAGCATATCGATCTTCAAGTTGCCGATCGTTCAAGGGGGCTACATACCAACACCGACGATGCTCAGACGCTCATGCGCCAGGACTATGAATCGCGCGTTAGCATACCACGCCGACACCAAAATTATTGCGTGTCAACTCACTAGTGCTCTCGGCGCAGAAGTTTCCACCTGTTGGAAGACTTTTGTTAATCCTATGATCCTCACATATAGTGCGAAATGTTGCAACTCGGCGTGTGACTCACTCCAATCGGGACCGCGGTGGCGCACACTATGATCAGGGACAGGTCAGCGAGAATTCTATAGATGGCGAGTTGCAATTGCAGATTTCCGCAATTGAAGAAGCATTAGAGATACTCACGCCTTGGCCATGCGCAAAGCCGTAGGCTTGAACTTTTGCACATCGGGGTGACTATAGGACTTCTAGTTAGTATTCTTGCAAAATTGACATCCCACCGCGGGGAGTTTAAGAGTAGGACACGACGAACTGGTGGCACGCGAAAATTCCACACATGATGGGCAATTGAGAGGTGTGGGTAAGGTTGAAGATCAAGGAGGAGAGAGAAGAAGGGTTCCGGAGTAGAATTGACTAATCGTCCGGTTATATGGGGAACCATAGAACGGCGATTTTTTTCAAATTTGCCCCGGTGCCGTCTCGGCGGGGCGAGGGCGATGTCGGCAAGTCTTTTGAGTCACCGATAAGATAACGGCCCTTTGGACTATTTTCTACTGGTTAAGGGTTTTACTACTCCTTACTGTGGCTAGGTATGCGACTATATGCGGGCTCTTTTATAATGGGCCATCCATGAATACTATCCTCGTCGATCTCAGTCTGATAGGCGATCCCTGGAGAATGAGACGATTCATTATCACGTGACCATTATACCCCCACCATGTGAACTATAGCCCTAGCCAAGCCTCTTCCTCGACGAAGTGTACCTTGATGTCTGTTCAAGGAAACTGATAATAATATCAAATAGGATGTGAAGCCGAGGATATCAAAACGCTACTGTTCTAATCATGAGCTGGTGAACTGCATTCCGCAAGCATATCTATCGATTTCTTGGAGCATGGTTGGGAATAGTTAAAACGAGCGTAGTCACATTCCGGAAAAGCTTCTTCCTCGTATTAATTCTTTACCATCAGCGTATAATTTCCAGGATCCAATTCATTAAAAAGACCGCTGGTGAAATCAGTTCTAACCTCAAGGCGGCCATCGAGATCTATGCGGGACCCACAAGTACTGCATCGGTGACAGTGAGATTATTTTGAAGGTTCCAAGATTGATGTCCTATTGATCGAAAAGCAAGTTGAACGCAACTTCCAAAGATACCCACTATGGGCTCGTCCCATCTGCGATGAAGGGTATGGATGGAGGTTGTGTTGGCTGCCCGGGTGATTTTACGTATGCGTAGAAGCAAATAAGTACGACACCGAATTTCTTCTGTATGAGTCACACTGTACTCAATACATGGTAAGACTAAGCATCCCAGCAGGGAGCATGTATGCAGTAACATTGTTTTGAATGACCTTATGCCCAGAAAACGCCATCCATTGGGATATGTAGAAACGCCATGCTCGCGATAGAAAAGCAAAAGTTGCTCCCTTCGTTAAACAAGAAATGCATAATCTTGCCACGATCTCCCCGGTATCCCATGCTGAAAAAGAGAAAAAGAAAAGTAAATGACCCATGCAGCGCCATCGCTGTTTACGCTTGTTGTCTAAGTCAAAGCCTGATTGGGCTGGTTTCCTAATTGGGCTGGTTTTCCCTGACAACCATGCGAACCCTGCGTTCGTATTGAGGACGGTCCTTCTTGAAGAGGTTGTAGGCCTCAGCCTGCGCAGGTGACTCGGGGTTGGGGTCATCCAGAAGATCTTGGATGCCGAGCAAAAGCTGCTTAATAGTGATAGCAGGTCGCCAACCCTCCTCCTCATTCAGGATTGATAGACAAACCGTTCCGGAAGGGTAAACATTGGGGTGGAATAGTGCTGGCGTAAATTTGCCTGAACAGTTCTTATATTAGTGTTTTGTTGTCATAAGAAATCATAGTGACAGCTCCTAGCAGAAGCTCTCTCTCTCTCTTCTGGCGAATTGCCGCAGGATTATATCGCAAAGGGAATACATACATTTGGGAGGCTTGGTAGGATATTCTAGAAGCGTGAAAGAACCTAGATTAGTATAAGGATCTTCAATAGTCATGAATGTTGCGCCACTCACCATCGGGGAAGATCAAGTCAAGTTTGAAAAGTCCACCTTCCCAGAGAGTGTTAGCCTTGCCTGGAATAGCGCATTCCCAGTTCTTCAGGTCAAGGCCACCCTGCGGGGCACGTTTCGGCTTTGCGACAAAACCAAATGGGTGGTCGCGACGCCATTGTTTTCTAGAGAAACCATAAAGGTCAGCGCGGGGCAAGGGTATGGCGCAAGCGATGCGAAGAATCGCGGCATCCGCTGGACAAGAAATATACGTACCGCTCTTCTTGAAGACGGTTCTGGCACAACGACATCTCGGGTAGTGTTCAGCGGGTGAGTAGCTGAAACGGGCTGCCTCGCGGAAGGTGGTAGAAGATCAAGCAGCAGAAAGATACAACTTGGCTGCAAATAAGCAGAGGACTACCGGTGGTTGAGTGACGGGTAAGGAGAAGGGGAGAAAGAGGTGAGGTGATGAGCGGAAGATTTTAAAGGTGGCAATCGTCAAAGCCGGGGAGGTGATAGCAATTGACCTCCCCACGCGAACAATGACCTTTGCTTATGTAATACCTACTAAGGACCGGCCCGGCCTTGCCCAGGAACAACCCAGGAGCCTCACTTCTATTGTTAGGCATAAATAACAATTACAACTGGTTCTATGAGATATTCTTTCTTTCATATTTTCTATGTGGCTATATATTACTACTTTGTCTGGTGGTCCCAATCTAATATCGTTTCTACTTCTCCGAGGGCAGTACTGTGCTGGGTATGTAGGGCTACATACACTTGCACTTCTTAACGACTTGATTACTGTAAGCTAGTTTCACACAGACGAGCTGCATCAACTAAAATAATGCAAGGGCGGTTGTCTTAAATTACAGGTCCCGTTCTGTATCATGAACCACATAGAGAACTCGAGGACATCAGGGTGCCCAGCCATTAACCAGTGCCTTAGTACTGCGAGGGATTTTGGTGCTATTACATGACGCCACGACTATGTCTCTCCTTCATCTTGGCGTAGATTGTCGAGCATTTGTAAATTCTATTACTTGATATATGTTATTGTGTAGGTGGAGAAATGAAATATATTGAAACGACGGGCGATTAGCTCTACCTATATCATTAGTCCGCCTGTCGAAGCTGACTCGCCTTGCGAATATACATCCACTCTCTTATGGGTTCCCACTTGCGGCACATATGAGCCTGTCTAACTCCAAGCCCAACTATATCATTATTATAATGATACACAGGGACCGGCGATAGGTCTCCATGACATTGGATAACTTGTCGCAGCTGATCGAGGCAATGATCACGGTGAATTCTATTCCAATTATCCGGAAAAATAGTGGAGTTTTTGATAGCTTCTTTCAGTTTGCCGTGGTGGTGAAGATGTTTTGAGTAGTAGTCCATATCGAGTTCCATTCGGATTGCATTAAGGCAGTGGAGAGACTGGAACATGTCAGGTCTAATAGAGAGGAATATTAGACTGAGGGCACGGCAGAAGATATGTATTCGCTAGAGCTCACTCAAAGTGGTAATAATCCGAATTCGGGGCCTTGTTAAGCTCTGGTGTGTATGGTGCCGCTTCTTCGTCGGTCATCCTTACGGACTCGCCTATAAGATTCCACAATTGTGTGTAAGTTGAAGAGCCTATCCTACGGCCAAATAAGCTCCTAAGTGTTCGAGAAGGGACCTACCTCGCATCAAATCAGCCCATGCATCGTCAATCTCAGGAGATGGAGTTCCAAAATATTGTGGTGCAGATAGATCAATGTCTCGGTAGACTTTCCCTATCTCCTCGTTGAACGCGAGCTTCCCAGAGAGTTTCCCAATTGGGAAGGAAAAATAAACGTGCCGCTTTATTTGGAAGGCCTTTATGCACTTAGCAAGCACGACCTGCGTACTAGCGCACCCCCTAAGCATTTACTAGGCACGATCTAAGTCCACGGGTCCGGGTACTCACCGAGCATAGCCAGAGCATAACTTGAATATTATTAAGATAAAGTACTACCTAGGTACCTAGGTATCAAGTGGTTACTGAGTAATCACCCTATACCACCTGGGCAGCGGTGAAGCACTTACCTACCTAGGTAGTAAGCAGAGCCCTATACCTACCTATGTACTTAGACTACGTTTAGGGAGCACACATATATATCTAGGGCGTTGTAACTTGATCTAAAAAGAGTGACCTTGCATATGAAATATAACCGTGTTGATGATCTCTTCCAAGGTTAATTAAAATGCAGCTAGTCAGCTGTATTCACTATTTGGCCGATGATAGCCCATCGAAATATACATATAAACAGCGCTATGGACTTCAGGTCAGCACTTCAGGTCAGCCCTACCTGATATAGGCCAAGTCCCGGTTATTCCATTTGCAATTACAATTTCAAATGTGCTTCCTTCTTTCAACCACTACACTAGGCAAAATATTCTAACTTATGACCTTGGCCGGCAAAGTTATGAACAAAGGCATTCATATACCTCTCCAAGCTAACAAAGAGCCAAACAGGGTCTACAATGCCTTCTACCAACAATAACGGCGAAGGGATGCAACGAGAAAATGGTTCTTTATTCGAACCCGGATTGACCCTCGACAAAGGCTCTTTCCAACAACAAAAGTTTGTCGGCAGATGCCGACACACTTTGATTCTGGTCTGAGGCGTATAAAGGAAGATCTTCCCGTTTCATCTGGCATACTTCCATCCACACTCAACAGCCCTCAGGGAAACTATCAGCAAATTTTACAAATCAAATCCCGAGCTTGGAAAGCTACATACATACCATCATCTATCAGCATGTGTCATTCAATTATCTGGTACCATGCCCTATGCCAGCACCAATGCCCTGATGCAAGCTACTCAATCGCATGTCACAGAGCCTACCGAAGGGGCTACGAGTGCACAGAAGATCGAAGCACATTGTATTTCTCACTCGTAGGGAATTGTGTGCAATGCAAGCTTAATCAGCTACTGCTACGCCATCGTATCTTCCGCGAATGGCGGAGAGAAGATCTTGTATCGGCGTTAAACCATGCATTTCAGTATAGCGACGAAGATGGCTGGACCATCGATGACAACGACGCTGAGGAATTGGATATGGAAACATGGGTCTCCCAGTTTCCAAACTTGACTCAAAGGTGTTTTGCTCAGCGAGCTGAGAACAGGGAGACACGTACGTCGTTACGTAGTGGTCCGGCACGCATGCCGACCCTAGTGCAGCAGTCCTCGCCTCACTTGTCTTGTGTTGCTTTGGTTGAACATGCTGATGGCTACGCAGATGATGAAGATGAGCCTTTGGAGGAACCTCAGCCCCAAACGGGTCGGAGCTGGCGGTCTATGATTCCTCTTCCTACTAGGTTGGTGCGCAACTCGCAGAATCGTACTTATCTGGCGTTTATCACTGATGACGATATGTCAGATAGAGAGCCATTGCTTCGCCCTTCTAAGCCGAAAGAGTATCGCCGGACTTGGCGTTCCTGGATTCCACTTCCTGTTAAGAAGGTGTCGGGGCAATAGATTGATGAATTAGTGTAATGGGATGGAAGTCTTCGGTTCCATAGGGGATTAGATGATCTACAGTCGAGATACTCCATAGCCAGCGTTTTGTTTTACTTATAGGGGTAGTTTTTGGAAACATTGCAATGAGAGTTCACTAGAGCAACATCAAATGAAATCGAACATTATCATTAACATAGCTAAGTACATGAAAGGGTATGAACAAAAGCAATTGGCCATGTAAACCCCTGGTCGAACTCCTCGGTCGAAAAAACCGTGCTATGACTTTGCTGCCATTCAGTACCTGGCCTTCGGGCACATTCACGGCCTATTGTATGTGCAATAGTCGAGAATGCACAAATGAACAAATTATCGAGATCTCATAGCGTACATGAAATGGCACGAACATGGGCAATTAGACCGTGTAAATCCCCTGTTCGAACTTCTCGAGATCGAAGAATCGTGCGGTGATTGTGTTACCATTGAAGATCCGGCCTTCGAGCGCATTCACGGCCTATCGTATATGCAATAGTCAGCAATGCACAAACCCACAAATCAAGAGGTAGATCCCAAAAGCTTACCCGTAGACCAGACAAGGGGTCCCTAAATTTGACAAAGACAGGGACTGGGGTTCCGACATCGCGAGCAATGAAGACTCGCTCCACGGTTCCATACTGTGAGCCCCTCAACTTAGCAAAAGCCCCCCCAAGCCAATCAATGAAAAGAAACGTACCTTTTCGTCACACTCCCCTCCAATCTCCTGGACCAAACCACCACCATCACTTCGCTCTATCTCCGCATCCAGGTCCATGCCTTGCAGCATGCCCTGTAGGATGATTACTTGGCTCATAGGGCCAAACTTGCTGGTCTCATATTCACCTTTCTTATTGCTTCCGATGATCTTACCTCGTCCAGCAGGAGTGACAAAGCCACCACCCTCTGAGTCTGGTCGCTTCTTTCGCTTCTCAATCTTGACTTCCAGGGGCTTTACCATACCAGAACCAGTAGCGCCGAGGCCGGAACCCTTAGTCCAGCCATACTTAGAAAGCAGTCGTTCTGCGAAGCCTTGTTGGCCAGGACGAAGGGATCGCGGCGCGGACTCATCTGGCTCTCTCTCATCCGCCGGTTGCTCTTGGGCCAATACAGCTTCAAGTTCGGCTTCGGAGGCCGGGATGTCTTCTGGGGGCGGAGGAAGAGCGTACCGGACCGGTGCACGGGAGATGGTTGCGGAGCTAGGTTGGATGGCGTCAAGGGGACGTGAGGGTGGAGGAGGTGGTATGACTTGTCCCGATGGTGGATTCTCAGCTTTCTGGAAGCGGTGCATATACGCATCTTCGCCAGTGGGATCATCGGGAATTGATGTATGATCTTCAGTTCGGGTTGTGGGTGACGGGAGATTCCCTAATGCTGCACGGCGAGCAAATGCATCCTCACCGGATGGGTCATTGGGAATAGAAGCTGGTGGTGGCACATCGTTAAGATCCGGCGGCGGCGCAAAGTTGCTTGGGGGCGCAAATTGTCCTGTGGTATCTTTTTAGTCTGGGCATCATCACTAATCGCGAAAGACTGGAACATACTTTTCTTTGGCCGGTCATAATCCTCGCTATCGGAATATCTGCTCGGTGAACGCTTTCTGGTATGCGAATACAAGAGATCCTTCCACTCGCGGACTTCAGCAATCTTCTCATCACTATGGCGGTATTCCGCGTAATTGGTCGGTCGAGAAGGGTCGTAGATATCGTCCCAGTTTTGGACAACTTGCGTTTCAAGGTTCTTCTTGCGTTTCTTTCTTCCACCGCGCTGTCGCTTCTCGCGCGTGTACTCATATTCATCATCGTCAACGGCGGTCCAATCAGCCAAAGTGCTCTTTGTCGGCACCGAAGCTTGGTTGGCGGAGGGCTGTGGTTGAGACACTGCCTTTGGTAAAGTATGCCTCGGTTTAGGCTTCTGAGCTGAGAGCTGTGGTCTCTTGGGTGGTTGGAACCGAAGAGAAGCTATGAAGAAAGGTAAAGGTCAGAATGTGCCGCTCCGGAGTATTCAACAAGCTGAGGGTAAATACCAGGATTCAGTTGTTGCTTTTTGGCGGCCGCGTCGTCGGGTTGAGGTTCAGTCTCCGGCTGCTTAAAGACAACAGGTGCACGGGAGATGGTACCAGGCGCATCAGTAGACGGATCAAGTAAGTTGGCGTACAGGGACATGCCCCTTTTTGGAGGGGGATCAGAAGCCATGGTTGTTTGGTAAGAGTCTCCAAGGTGTGTCGACGGCCTGAGAACGTCGGCATCGATTTAATCAAACGCGATGCGATAAGGCTTTATCTCTCCGCTCGACTCTCCGCCTCCCCACTCTTCAAGTTGAACCAGCACCTCTGTCATCCTTGCCTATTCCTTGCCTACGCGTGTTCTTCTTCGGTCAATAATTTTTGAATTCTGCTCAAGCGTGCCCATTGTCAAAAGAAACTTGCCTCTATTTAACCCAGTTTCGGCTGGCAAAGGTGAACCCGAGGATAGCTCAAGCTTAGATCAAAGTCACCGGCGACGCAATGACCCAAAGTCAAAATCCCAAAGCATTGGGCAAGCCAAAAGGGGTATGTACAATGCACTGCAAAACCGAAGTCTAGACACTATCAAGCGACTTGATTATTTTGCAGAAATTTCCATATCTTTTCCTGTCTTCCACATAAAATGGGTCCTCTAATATGTACTAATGTACTGATCTTGATCTAGTCTCTCAATGCTCCTATTGCAGCTTTTACAATGGCTGTCATCCTCTGTTCATACTGTTTTAGCTCCATCCGCACTGCGCGGCGAGATGCCCAGATACAGGGCCCCAGTTCTCATCAGCGAGCTGCGCCATCTGAAAGGAAAGACGAGTCCTGGGTTCAACAAGCACTTGAAGAGAGTCGAGCGCAGAACGATGGGAAGGGACGACCTTGACGTGCAGTCTATGTTGTAAGGTGTCTTTACTCATGTATATAATATGGATTGAATTCACTACAAGAGTGTTTGATAGATAATTGGTGATACCAACATGTACTAATTCTTTGTTCATTGAGTCTCTTTGTTGCTAATATAGAAGGTGAAACAAAAGCAGAACCAACTGGCAGTAACATCTGCGTCTTCATATTCAATCAGAATTTTCAGTGTATGAATGATCATGCCCCAGGAGTCTAAGTGTATTGACAACCCAGTTCAATCTTGAAATTGTTCATCATGCGAATAGTGAAGGAATATGTGATGCGGCCAAAGGTATTGCAGGTTGTGAGACCGTAGAGAAGGGGTGACATAAGACTGCACAGACACATCTGACTGCCTTTCAATAGATCAATCCATTGGATCAAATGGCCACACAAAAGCGAATGGGGTTAGTTTGATGCAGTCAGGTTGCACACCTGGGCAGGCAGATGAAAGTAGTTAGTAAGTGAACCTGGCCAAAATCAATATTTGAAACTGATCTGTGAATTGATCCTCAAAGTGCCAGCATTAAACAACTGAGGAACAAGTACAGATTGATGAAGAAAAAAAAGTGATGAAGAGAGAAGCGGAAAAGGAAAGAGGGAAAAAATATTTACGGGCAGTTTTAAATAGCGTGTCACGTGACTGTCCCATATGATCAACTACATTCTATACAAGCTATATCAGCATCAAGTTGGAAGCCGGCCTCCAAGGCCCAGTGTTTTCGCATGTATAAGTTATCCCTCCCATTCAAGGTACTATAGTGACTGTATTATTCTGCATAGCTATAATTATAGTCACTATGCGAACATTGCTTCGACTAGATTTGAAGTAGCATAGATCAACTCATGTTTGGCTTCCACATGAGACTGGAGCATATCGCCCTTATTAATTTCAATGATGAACTTCAGATGTTCTATTCTCCAAACCTCTTCTCAATTATCTCTATTTCACATTCATCCTAATTATCTCTATTTCACATTCATCTCTTCTCAACTATCTCTATTTCACATTCATCTCTCCTCAACTATCTCTCCAATATGTCACCAGTGAAAAACTCCTCCCTACTTTGCCAGGCGGTCGGAGGTCTCTTTATAAGCGATCGCTTCTCTGATGTGACTATTGTCTGCCGGGATGTGACTTTCAAAGCCCACCGTGCCATTATCTGCACACAGTCTCATTTCTTTGACGCTACCCTTAAACACGGCTCTCTGGTAAGATACCCAGTGTCTGCCTAGGTGGGATATAGGTAGCTTCAGTTACTTACATACTCTTTCAAGGAGTCCATCAGCGGGACCATCTATCTACCTGACGACGACCCGGAGACGATCAAACGAGTCCTCTGCTTTCTCTACCGGCGGACTTACAACGCCAATGACCAAGACGTGGACCCAAAGCACAAGACATCAGGTGACTCTGGCATTGTAACAATCGAGCTTGATAGCCGAAAGGCCACTGCTTACAACAACCTCTATGTCTACCTTGCGGCAGATAAATTTGGCATCTTGCCACTCAAGCAGATTGCTTTGCGCAAGCTTGCTACATGGATCAGAGACTACTACATGACATCCTCTTTTCCTGAAATCGCTCTTCAAATCATGAAATCAATGCCCCCCTATGAAACCAGTCTTCTCGATATTCTCGTGAAAGTCGTTTCCGAAAACCTCTATGATCTTGTCGCCAAGAACGATATCCTTGAGCTCCTGCGAGAGTGTGGTCAAATTGGATCTCTGATCATTGCAAGAATGGTGGAAAAAGGCACGATTGTCTATGAATACGCCCATTGTAGAGAATGTGGGGTATTCTTTAACATGAGCATGGGGGACTCGGGTATTGACCGTTGTGACAATTGTGAGGCTCGGCATGAAAGCTGATTAGTTATCGCAAAGATGAGATCAACATTGGAATACAATTCTAAATACAACAACTAGGACAAAGAATGTAGAACCCATAGAGGCATGGTAGTATAGAGGGCTGTTGGAATTTGTACCAATAGTCGAGATAAATTCTCATCTATCATTCCTAGTGGGTAGTTCCAATTGAAATATGTGCTTCGTCTTTCAGATCAGATCTGAAAGCCATTGCTTTATTTGAAATGTGTATTCACGAGAATGGGCGAGCATGCAGAAAAAGTGATGTATATACAGGAAAGACATGCAGAAGCCAGGAAGATGGTAGACAAGTTTAGAAAGCAACAAGAAAGAACAAAAAGCCATGCTTTGGGCCGCAATAATATTTCAGCCAAGATGCAGCGAGCATGTGAATACATGTGAAAGCCATTTCACATGTCAAACTTGGAGGCTGGAGACACTGTCATCTATGCCGAGACCCTTGTATGCTTTCAAAATGCAGTAGCCAAAATTTACTCGCTAAAGATTGATCTGCAAATATCGAGTCACAGACCACCTCGTCCATGTCTATACAGGTTGTGACAAAAGGAAAAGAGGGACTTGGCGATCAGAAGCGGTGGGGTGCAATGTTTTAGAAGAAGCAGATATGAAGGGGGAGGTTGGAGATTGGAGATAGTCTCTTGTATGGTGATATATTGTGGGTATCATATAGATCCATGAGCTTCTTCTTCCATCTGGATCTTAAGCGCACCTTCATGCTGCAAGGTATTGATCTGCTTCCGCAGGTATTCATAGGTGAGCATAGTCGTCATGGCAGCCGGAACGGCCCGGAACAGGTTGACGCCGATCCCGGAGTAAAACGCACGCCATCCCTCTTCCTTCAGGATTGTCTGGATGGTGCGTACCATGCCACTATAGCGTGGGCGGCCGGGCATTCCATCTGATGAGGACATGCCACCCGACCGGCCGCGGTCATGTGGATGGTTCAATCCGCCGCGGAATGCAATCTCCTCGTGAGATTGCGCCGGAGCAGTCCGTTGCTGTGTTTGAAGTCGGGTCCGCAAGACCTCGTGAGGATATGTGACTGTGCTTGCACAGACCTTGCTGAGGAAAGTGGCAACGGATATTCCCACCCAGTGTGAGCTACCGGTATCGGGGTGCTCACCAATACTATAGCCAGTGAACGCCATCTTTAGATATTCGTAGAGAGGGAATTGAATAGCCACATGGGTCAGTCCCAGCAGAGCCGGGGTGAGGCCAGAGTAGAAGGAGCGAATGCCCTCGATTTGATACATCTTGCGAGCAGCATCCCATGTTCCCGAGTATTGCCAAGGGGCTCGTACTCCTTCGCTGTTTTGTTTAAGGCTTTGTGACATGAGCCTGGTCTTGATGACCCAAATGGGGTTCGTCACAACCGTTGAGCATGCACCGGCTGTGATTGAAGCATAGCCACGGGATAACCACCAACTTCCTGTTCTTTAGTCAGTACTGATAGATGACCGGATCCTTCGGTCTGGAGGTACCTACCTGTCTTGTCATGGAAATATTCACGACTCCGGTCATAGACTGCGAGGTAGACAGCCCAGGTGGGGAGATATCCCAGCAACATTGGACCTAGTCCCTGATAGAGACCGCGAATGCCATCTTCCCGCCAAATCCTCCTTCCACTTCCGAGCATGCCACGATACAGCACGCCCGAGGCAACTTCCTTTGCTCCCCGCCGAAAGCCGCCCTGGGCTTGGAGCTTCGTTTTGATGACATCAAGAGGACATGTGACAATACCAGAGGCCACGCCAGCGCTGGCTCCGCAGAAAGGTGCTATGTAAAAGTTGGGTATCTTGGTGGAAAAGATCTCGAGGCGGGTTTTTAAATCAGAGATCGGTGCGGCGGGCACGTTGGGGGAAATTGTCGACATGGATTGACTGAGTTTGGGTTTGGGAGCTGCTTGGAGCGCTTCGGCCGTTTGTAGTCATCTTGGTGGCCGGCGCTCACGCAGCTTTTCGAACCGTACTGAATCAACGAGGGCTCCCGGACACGAGCATATCGGGTGCTCGATCCGGAACCCAAGAACCCTATTTCAAACCGAGCTGGGAAAGAAATGTAGATTTATCCAAATATCCAAAGCCCAAGGTCCGTAGACGGTGTAAGGAAAAAGTTGTGAGTAACAACTGAGGATTGAGAGAGAGTTTTTTGGGCCCGATGGTTGCCGAACCCGGAGTGTTTGAATGCGCAATGTGCTAATATCTTGCAGCACGGACGTGGGCGGGGTTCTCAGAACAATCAAGCTTCTTGCCGTGGGCAGGGATCAGTAGTTGCTTCAGCAATTAGCAAATCCCATCTCTGTCAAAGCAAGCGATAACATCGAAAAGGGGATATGACATAGGAAACCAATCTGTTAAGTGGAGTGTGCCGATAGACATTCCCAGTTTCTCCACCGCCTGAGGCACAAAATTGTCACGTGCTTATGGCCTCAGGCGTAGAGATGCCGTTTCGGGACTAGCCGCCCGAGCTCCGTTTTGCACAACCTCGCAACATCGGGTCATCTCGTGTTCCAGTCGGATAGCCTTTCAACCCTTCACCACACCCACGTCAATTGGGATACCCGGGATTCAAAATGTCTGCCCCTTCGCTCGCCAGTTACATCGTCAAGCGCCCATGGCTCAAGAGCTGGCTCACCCCCTCTCCCACTGGTACACTGATGCCGCCGGCTACAGGAGACTCGGACTCAAGTAATTCTTGCCCTCCCATATCGATAACCTCCCGACCACGAGCGATTGAGACAATGATTGGGAATTGTCTGGTCGAATTTGTCGCGCACCGGTGGCATATCTTTTGAATGCGTTCTCAGTTGCGTCGAATTTGCCCGGAGCCCCGGTCTTTCGGATATCGTTCGCGGCAGGGTTGGACCGAAACACTTGCTAACCTCCCAATTAGGTTCGATGACTTGATCCCTGAGGAGAGCGAGAACGTGCAGAAGGCCATCAAGCGTCTTCCTGCCAAGGAGGCCTATGACCGTGTCTTCCGTATCCGCCGTGCTTTCCAGGTTCGACTGACCCCTTCCCCGTACTCGACTGGCGCGAAACCTAACGAATATGTCAATTGCAGTGCTCCATCTCCCACACTCTCCTTCCCGCCAACGAGCAGACGAAGCCCTCTGAGGTGAGTCCCCAACATCCAAATTTCGCCCTCCCCGCATGGGTCTCCATCAGCCAATCCTGTTGCACGGATTTGTCACTTCCACCCCGATTCCGTTTGGGAACATCTACTCACCACAACGAACTCAATGCTAACAATGGGAATCAAATAGGACGTCGAGTACCTGAGCCCTATCATCCGCGAGATCGAGAAGGAGGCCAAGGAGCGTGCTGACCTTGACAACCTTGTTGTCCGCAAGTAAGCCGTTGCTGCTTGGTTCAATAGAATATGAAAACAGGGGGGGTTGGGGTAGCATTGTTGTTGGCATTGAATAAACGCCTGGTGTGCTTTCTTCGTAATTGAATGGTCGCCGTCGTCGGCAGCCCATGGCTTGGTTACGCAGCCTGAGTGTACTCATACTGTACAAATCGATTTTCTTCGCGCGCTTACATCTTTGGTCATTCTTTTAACGACAAGACAGGCGGGTCCTTCCTTGCTAGTGCATCGTAATATTTAATAATGACTGGGGAGTTCGGGACCTCTAGCTTATGCGGGTTATGGCAGCTCAGCTGATCGCTTTGGGCGTTAGGCGCCCAACATCTCTGGCAGCACATGTATAGCATCTTCAATTATAACCCCTTTTCTCGTGGCTGCGAAGTCAGAGCCACGATTCCTTTCAGATATTAACTATGTACTGCGGCAACATCTATGCCACAAAATTATCTCAAATGCTCGACATCCAATAAATCACACGGTATGCAACCAGCCTGACTCGCGGAGGTACTTCTACGACCTTTAACCACCAAGAACAGCCACGTCAACATCCTCAATCCGCCACATATACCACATAAACAGACTCCTGGATCAACTAGGTAAGCACATTGTCTACACCATGAACAGGGTCAGACGTACCTATATGGTGCAAACTTGGCAGCAAGTTCCAGCATATCCTTTTCGGTCATATATTTGAACTTACCACCACCCTTGCCCTTGAGTTTGCTCACATCACGACCCACAAAGGCAGCACAGCCTCGTCTACAAAGGTGTCAGTAAACACTCTTCCGCTGAGCCACGACACAAACATCTTCGGTCACAAGACCAAGAATTTGTACGGAACAAAAGCAAGAAATAAACTTACTGTACTCCCAAATCCCCAGTAGAAAACACATCAATGCGCTTGAGCGCAAACATAGCAAACATCTCAACCGACCACCTCCCCAATCCACGAACAGCAATAAGCTTCTCAAAAAGCTCTTCATCAGTAGCCCGCGCCAACATCCTTGCCCCAAGCTCTCCACTAGCAAACTTCTCTGCAAGACCCTGGATATACTCCGCCTTGCGCTGCGACAGCCCCGCCGTGCGCAGGGTAGCGATATCACACTTGGCGACCTGATCCGGTGTCGGGAACTTTGCATGTCTATGCCCATCCGGCGCAACGGTATCGGGTAAATCAAACAGTGCCAGGAACTTGTTCCTGATAGACTTTGCTGCTGCGCCAGAGACCTGCTGGCCGATGATGCTGCTGGTCAGGCTGTTGAAGGGGTCGATTTCCTCTGCTAAGCCGGCAGGCGAGAAGAGCGGACATGGATTCCGCTCAATTACTGTTGCAATGCGTGGGTCCATCGCTATGAGGTGCGCAGTGGCTTTCTCGAGTAGCGTCCCTGTTGTGGCCGTTGGGCGTGGAAGGCCCGTTTTCGAGGGGGAGGCATCTTCTGCGTGCGCTGGGTAGGCGTTTACTGTTGAGCCGTGAGGGGTAATTAGGATTGCATTTGTTCGGTGCGGGTCGACAGGGCGGTCGAGGGGAGGGGGTGTCTGAGGTCTGAATATCGCGGGATTAGTGGTTGATGGCTGGTTGTCTGTTTCTTGTTTCTCTGGGACTGCCGGCTCTG